TTGACGTTCTGGTTGACGTTCTGGTTGACGTTCTGGTTGACGTTCTGGTTGACGTTCTTGTTGACATTCTGATTGACATCTTGGTTGACATTTTGATTGGTATGTTGATTGGCATCAAGACTGACGCTTTCTGATTCACCGTAAGAGTCTATAACGGGATATCAGTGGTCAGCGAGTCGTCAAGAATGGATGCGGGCGGTCATGCGAAAAGACACGGAGCGATGAAATATTAGGTACAGGCAGGTCGGTGCTGCGTCGCCTTCGTGACAGAGCTCACTCACTCTGATGTCCATGTTGAGATCCATCATCGTTCTTCGCCACCGAGCCTGGCTGTTGTGCCATTGGGAGGGCAACAGCTGTGGCAACGAGGCCAGAGGTGAGGAGCATACGCAAGAGCTGCATGTTGTCGTCTGAGTATTATTGCGGTCGGGTGATGCTGCTTTTGTTCCTTAGTGATGGAAGATGTTAACGAGCGCGGTTGGTACTCAGACGGTGGGCAAAGCGACCTCTTTTATGTCCTCGCTGACGAATACATGGCACTGTGTGACTGTGAACTCTCCGAGCAACTTCATAGACTCTACGAATCGAAGCGCTGTTCGGTTCGCTTCGAGCTGAGTTCCGGGTCATATTTGGCAACATGGTCGTGGGTCAGCCATGTGCGCATGTTGTTGGGAGCGCAATTGTCGACCTCATGACCGCATTGCATTCCAATCGCGTGCAAAGCATCTTTGTCTGCCGTCAGCCCCGCTGCAACAAGGTAACGGGTTCGGCTGGCCTGTCAGCCATATTGCTGGCATGGCTTGCAGAGCGATGCCCTAATCATGGTTGACAGGTGTTTTCTACTAGCTTGGGATTGCGCGTCTAGCCACCGTCAAATCGGTCTGTCGCGCTGGCCCAGCGCCGTCTTCTGAATGCTGCGCGCTTGATTGCACTGCGGACTGGAGCGCATTGGCACGATTGTTCCTCGCTGATGGCGATGAATAGGGTTACGATGAGGATGTGTTGGTCGACGAATAAGGTGCCTGACGAGCAAGTCCAAGGTTGACTTCCCTGCGAGCCATGTGCCTCACTGTGTAGGGCTCATTCGTCCTCAGACGCAGTGACCTGTCATACGGACACGAAGTCTAAGAATAGCATGCTGGACGAAGAAGGGCAGAGAAAGGTTGAGCTTCGTGAGGTCCGAAAATCGAACGTTCTAATAATCGTCAGCGCGTCCAGAAAAACAGTGGTGGCAGGTGCGAGCCTGTATTCATGCTGGTCTCTCGTTCCGGGGAAACCTTAGCGACTTGCCCGATCCTTCCAAGAGCTTGTGCAGTACCCTCTGATGGTTGTAAAGTTTCTGACTGGTTGAAAACTCTATGCGAGACGTGTCTTTCTCGAGCTTGAGAGTGCTTCGACGGGAACGAAGCATATTGCGTGATTGATCGTGGCCATTGCAATTGACGTTCAGGCAGTGCTGATTGTAGGTGGCAGTGTGTCAACCCGCCATTGGGTATTGCGCTGAACACTCATCATTGAAAATGCTCGGAGTGGATGTTCTTGACACGGTTGGTTCGTGTTGCATCGCGCTTGAAGTACGATATTCGATTATTCGTATGTAGAGGCGTTGGCAGCTCGAAAATAACACTCCAGGGAAGGGAAGAGGCGCTCCACGGAAAGGGCTGCAAAACCACTGGGACGCCAAGCTTTAACAGTCTTGCTTTGCACAGCTTATGTGCTCCAGCTACTCACTCACTTCACCTCTTGTCTATTTCCCGCTCAACCAGCTCGAAATGACTCACATCTATGTCAGTGGCATGCCATCAGTGGGAACGCCGGGCTTGAGTGATACACACGCGCTAAGAGAAAGGTTCAGTAACCTCAATCACCAGAAACGGCTGTCGGCAGCAGTGACTTCGCTTGGCAGCGGCACAGCTGCATCAAGTGCTGATCAGCCACCATTACTCTCGTTCGAATATTGTGTCATTCGCACAACTGATGGAATACTTCTTGACATTTAGCCCACAGGTACAGTTTCCAAGCCCGCAGCGCCTTCCACCATGTCGAACTTCAATCTCAAGACTCACCCTGAGCGGCCGCAAGAGCTGCTGCTAACTCTTGACACGACTGGAGCCGGGAGGGAGGCCACCGATCCCGTGACAGATCCGCAAACCATCGCCGAGTCACGCGTAGCAGAGGAATATCGGCATTCGCCTGTCTCGATTACTATCAATGATCCTACAGCGCTGAAAATGCTGGGCGAAAAGATGTCTCACGATGGCGGTGATGGCAGCATCGCATTGAGCACAGACCGGGAGGAGAGGGTTCTTCGATTGGCTTCCATAGCGATACTGGAAGTCGGAATCTTGGCACCTATCACACTGGAAGACGAGCTGACTCCCGAGGAACTCAATGGTGGAACTGATGGTCCGGTCCTTTCATCCCTGATAAAATCCTGGCGTGAAGCCTTTCGCTCTCTGCCCGAGAAGCATGCGATTCAACGCGTACGATTCAATATGCGCTGCCAGCAAAACCACGAGCCTCGACACATTGTCCGCTTACTCCAGGAGGTCAGTACAGGCATGTATATGAAAGCCAAAAGAGCAATGGGCCGACAGCTGGTCTTCGAAGCCACAGGCTGCGAAGACGATGCTAAGAAGCGCTGGCTGGAGGCAAGCTTACCAGCAGTGAAGAAGAAGTAGGATGTTTGAGCGAGATACAACGTATTTACAACTCTGTAACGTAGGCGCTCTGATTCCAGCACGAAGGCAGTAATCCTCTTCAAGCCTCGACTTGCACACTCCACGCAATAGCTCCGGGCACTTCCGTCAGAGGAATACAGAGAGGGCTGTCTTGATTGCCTATGCTTTCCGTTAACACATGTCTTCGGATGAAATATGATACAAGCCGCTGACCAATATAGAACTCCGTTATATCCCCGCAAGTGTCCTCCGCGTGGATACGGAATTCATAATCAAGATCTCCGTAATATGTCACTGCCTGTGAGACGCCAATGTCCGGGATCGGCTCGCAATTCTGAAAATCAATAGGCGGCTCGCTGGAAGGACCGCTGTAGGAACCGGTGTTCGCTCCAGAGCAAGCGTCGCCTGTCCAGAAATCGACTCTCCAGATTGGATTCTGCCTCGATGTGATGTTGTTCGATGCTTCTGGTATTGGATTCGCCGAGACTTGAAAGGCAAGTGCTACGACTGCAGCAGAGTGGCGAGTGAAGAACATTTTTTTGCGGAGATTGTTGAGTACGGTGTCAATTTTTTAACCTGATGCCGACGCGTGATTCAGGCAGCATACTGGCGAGACTGTGCGCTTTATGTACGCTAGACAGTCGAGGAGGAAACCATTATCCACTGCCCATGACGCTTGCTGTACGCCGCTCTGGCTCCTTCGCATTGCAACGCTGCTGATCGAAGGATTGTGCTTTCTTCTGCATTATTTGCTGAGCCCGATCTATGGCCTCGCAAGCTCATCTCCACGTCACCAACTGATGGACAGGTCATTGTCGATCGATGGTTGTCATAAGCTTGGATGATTATTTTGACAGAGCTTGTCGTGGTCCAACGATTCGTACGCCGTCAAAACCATCGTCTGCAGTGATACGATCTGATGCGACCTTGAGCTGCCGTCGAAGGAGTCTGCTGCATTTGCGTGAATGTCTGTGTGTGGCACAGTATTGCCAAGTTCTCCGCCATTCCCAACGCGTCCAAGCCGGATGTGCCAAGACCGGAGCATTCTTCGATCGACATGTTGTCGTCTCCTTTCGACCAGGAGGTTACATCTGATTCTGGCTCCTCTGATACAACTGGCCGAAGAGTGTTGTTCTGCAAGTCGATTGTGCTGTGCCTCCTTCGAGTCTCACCGATCCTCAACGCTAAAGTGGCCGTCTGGCTCATGACTGCGTCGCACTAGAGCTCTGTGATCGAGTAAATGGCTCATGTCGAGGAGCAGTGCCGAGAGCTACTGGCACGTACGGTGCATAAAAAGAGGACCCTCCTCGTTCAATCCTTGTGCAACCAACACTACACACAATCATACCTTCTCATTATCGTTGTGATACTATCAAGAGCCTGCCACAATGTTGTCTCATATTAGCATCATTTTGCTAGGCGTACAATGGTCTTATGCCCAGACCGTCACAGGCGTTACACTCAGCAACTACCGCCGTCGTGATTGCAGCGTTGCTGGCGGTGCAGAAATCTGTTATTCGAAATACCCGTTGCCAGACTGCTGCGGAAGCACCAGTACACAGTACTTCGTTTCTGGCGATTGCTCTGGCTGCACATCAACAGATATACACTTTCTCTTCGGACCAGGGGCGCAAGGAGCGTGCAGCGTGGCCCGCACCGGCTCAAACAACGGCAATTGCATCAACGCTCAAAATGCCAAGGGGCACGGATGGTGCAGAGTGTGCGGCACTCGCGTGCAACAATTGGTCGATGAGGACGCTTCGGAGGAAGATTGGGCTGACCCTTTCAACGGGATATCGGCGCAGCCAGAAGACGAGAAAGTCTGCTCAAAGCCGAATGTTGTGACCAAAGATGGCTTGAGATTTTTTCGCGTTCACTATGATGTTCCGCAGGAAGTCACTGATATGATTTACGAATGGTATGACGACGAAGAGAACACTCGCTTTGCTGTCGGTACCGTTCCTGAGGAGTTTCTGCCTTACGAGACGACTAGTCCTTGGGAGTAAATGGCTGGAACGACAAGTTGCGAATTTATTCTGCCTGAATCAGCATTTGCAGTGAAGGAATACGGCGCATGATACCATACGTGTCGGCCCGAGAGATTTGAAGTTCATGGGATGAGCAGTGCATGGAGACAGTCCGTTGAGCGATGAGGCAAACAGAGCAAAAGCAAAGTGCCATGCCCGAGAGTGGATACTAGATAGTTAGCAGCAAGATATACCTTTTCGGTCCATCAAGAGTGCGCATGTCAGGTCTCAAGGGTAGTTGCCAAGGACAATGCCCCCTGCTCCTTTCGTTGGCAGCTTTCCGTCGCACAGTATGGGTGGCCGCATGCCTCGATCGCGGGCGGTGCTCGTTGAGGCAGCAGAAATAAGTGCTGGACAACGGCACCTTCTCAGCCGAACCTCTCCCTCGCCAGACTCCTCAACATATCCATCGTCTTCTCTTCTTTCGCCCTGACGCCCTGCATCCTCTCCTCCCGCTCCGCCATCCTCGCCCGTAGCGCTTCTTCTTTCCGAACCTCCCTTTCAGACTTCACCTTCTCTCTCCTCTTCAACTCTCTTTTAAAGTCGTCTTCACCACCTCCCATCATTTCCTGATCATTGACTTCGACATCGCCACCATCCTTCGCTTCACGGAATGCATGCAAGTTGGAGGTTTTGTCGGCCTTTTTCTCCAGTTGTCGCTCGCGACTGCCCGGGTCAGCGCGGGGAGCGAGTTCTTCCAGGCGGTCTTTTTGGAGGTTGCGGTCGACTTTGCGGGAGTACTGAAGGTCGGTGCGGGAGTTCTGGCGGGCTTCTGAGATGAGTTCTTCTCGGTGCTGGAGGTCTTGAAGGGAGGGTATGCTTGCTCCTAGCGTGCGAGACTCTCTGTCAGGGAGAGCGGGGCCGTATCCGTCCTCATCGCTATCTTCCTGGGCATCTTCTACGCCGCTGACTCCAACTTGTAGTGGTCGCGGAGCTATGGGAGCGTCCATCTGTGTCACCAGCTTTGCTCTGTCTCGCTCATTTCTAGTCGGTCGATTTTTCCACCTGTCCTCTGCTCTCCATCTCGCCTCGGGATCGTACCAGCCTTCTGCCAATTCTCCTCGGTTCCACTTGCCCAGAAAGCTCTTCCATCTGCCTCGCACTTCGGTCTCGCTTAACTCGTCAATGTCGATCTGCTTTTGGACATCCAGGTAGCGAGCGAAGAGGCCTTCATACTGCTTGAAGTCATGTTTGTGGAGAAGGCGGGCTGCGAAGGGCAGCTTGACCGACTCGCTGCGACTTGTGGTACTGCGACGGTGGTCGCGGTGGTTTTTGTGGTGCGGTGAAGGCGAGCGAGATCGCTTCACTTCGTCCGATCGGACATGATAACGGTCAGGCGAGCGTGATCGCTTTCTGTGATGGTCAATGTCCCTCGAAGTCATGGCAGTATTGTAGCACGAAGCTGGAAGTCAGGACGGAAGAGACGGCTGCCTAGCTTATTCGGGTCGCGCGTCATGTGAAAGGTGGATTGCACACGCACGCTGGTACACTGCACTGCACTGCTTGATGCCTCTACTACCACACAGATTGTAGTCTGGTGTGGCACGCGTAAGCCAGTCTTGCACTTCGACGATGGGACGTGTGCGGCAGTTGCATTGTCAAGACATCCGGTTCTCAGCCCGGAGCATAGCAACGAAGCAACTGGAAATCGAGCGATTTGCGTGGACAGTGCATCGCGGCAGTGCGTTGAATGTCGCAAGGCAGCATTGCGGTGACAGATGCCGCCATGTTTGTTGGCTGTGCATGCTTCGAATCCAATCACGTCGGCTTGACAACACGGCGATGCATGTGCTGAGCGTGGCCACTGCGCTCTGTCCGCCCGCACAGCTCGAACAAGGAACAGGCTCAATGGCTGCTCCAACGGCTCGGGAAAGCGGAGTCGTTCCCCCGCGAGGTTCGTGCCAGACCAAGTCTCGGATGATGAGTCGCTGCAGACGGCGCCCAGACAACGTGGTTTCTTGTGGCGTGGCGGAACGTTTTGCTGTGCCCATCAATGTTGAGGATGAGGAATAGCATGGGATAGATGGGACAGGACCAGGACATGCATGCTTCGTTGAGAGCTGGACTGGACGGAACTGCACTGAACTGGCAGAGCGAAAACTGAGGCATATACCGCATTGGACGCAAAACCTCGCGCTCGCAGCGGTTGCGGCATTTTGACAATCGCGGGCGTGTGATTGGGTATTGTCGGCACAAGAGTTGGTGGCTCGCATGGACTAGTGTCGATCGAGACTATCACCAGGTACACCAGTCGTCAAAAAGGCTCTGATCTTGCCTTTGCGGCTTTTGCATCACTTGACCACGCAAAACACTGGGTCCCAACCCAACCCATTGCTGCCGCTGCCACCTGACGTGCCATTGCGTGCTGCCTCTACTGTCCTCCCTACAACCACCACCCTCTCCCCCTCCGCCTCCGCACCTCATTCTTCTCCCTCTGCTCGTCTTATCTTTTGCTTGATCTCTATATGCGATCAAATGTAAGCCAATCACCAGACTGCAGGCCGCGCTCTCTCTCCGCCGAGCGAGCGGTGCCCTGCATGGCCGCATTGGACGCCTTCTTCAGCAGCAGCACCACGGCCACATCGGACACCTCCGCCAGCAGCAGCAGCATGGCCACGAGCTCCTCGAGGATACACGACACCGGCACGACGGCGGGCGGCGACCATGGCCAGTCCACGCCGGGCTGTGAAGAAAGGCAGCCCAGCGTACGGCACATGTCTCACCACCCGCTTCCCGCCTGAAGCTCGAATTCCGCGCTCGGAGCTCCCGCGCCTGCGCTGCGCTGCTGACGTTGGCCTTTGTCTCCGCCGCCCTCACGCTCTGCATCCACTCGGCTCCTCCTGGCGTTGCCGTATGCGCATGCGGGAACGCTGAGCCCGACTCACTAACACTTGTCTCTAGTGACTCCTCCTCCCACCCTCGTTCACCAACGACAGCCATGTCTACGCCTTCCATTCCTCCTCGCCCGCAGCGCAATGCCCAGCAAAATGGCCAGACGACTGTCCGCAGCGACCAGCCCCTCGTGCCTCCGAGGCCTCTCCGCAAGACGGACCCCTCGCCCACTCGCTCGCCGTTGAACTTTCCGCCCTCGGCTATGGCCACTCGCCCGCCGCCGAAAAGAACGAGCCAAGAGCTGCCTCGCAGACCCCCGAGCGTGTCGCTGCCAGACCTCGGTCACGAGGGAGATGAATACTCCAGCTTCGACCAGCTCCCTGCTGAAGCCAAAGCAGACAATGCTGAGCAGACGAGGAATATTGCGGCGGACTTGCCGATGCACCAGCCCAAGGCATCTGTGCCGCAGTCGACAGCCACGAAAAACATTTCCAAAGTCACGGATACCGACTCCACCACCGCTGCAGGGCTCGGCATTGGCCGCTCAAAACCCGCAGATGATGTGCATAAGATGCCTCCCGGAGATTCTTCGCCCGCCTCGCCTTCCCGCATCACTCGTGTGACCAGCAATTCCCGGCGGGCTCCCTCTACCGAGCCTCCCAACATTCTGCGCACCAAGGCCAGCTTCAACCGCTCCTCTCAGAGCCTGGGTCTGGAACGCCAGACGTCTCGTCCTGGTAGTGTCTATGGCGACGACACCGAGCACGGCATTCCAGAAATTGGCCAGCAAATTCCGTTGAACAGATTTGCTGGAGACGCTCAAGCTCCTACCCCAGGCTCTGGTCAAAGTACGCACGCGCCGGGAATCGGCTTCTTCAACGATGGCTCGGCCAAGCAGCACAAGAAGAAGCATTCGAGACAGGAATTCTTGACTCACGACAGCTATGGTCTCGAGCATGACGAGGATCATGCAGATCAATTCGAGAGGGAATGGATGAGGAAGCATCCTCAAGAGGCGGCCAGAGAGCAGATTTACCGCCATCTCCCAAAGCCCGAGAGCGCCTTGAGTAGCGAGCAATTGAATAGGATCGTGCACAGCAACGACTCTGGTGAGCCTCACATACTTCTCAGTTTTGAGCCAGCTAACCCCACATCCAGGCGCCGCCCCCATGCCCAGCACCCCAGGCGAGGAAGATGCCATCCAAGAGTACCTAGCTCGCATGTCTCCCCAGGTCTCCCACGACCAGCGCACCTCCAGCAACGATGCCACCCTCGGTTCGCCCGTGCGGAAGACCTTTTCGAGGAGTTTGCATCCCGATGATGCCGCCGAGGACGATCATCACGCTGCGAGAAAGTTGCACCGATACGAATCCGAAGACGAGCATACACAGCGTGATGGCACCCCGATCCTTGCTGCTGACGAACTGATGAAGCGTCCGGGCAGTGCTTTCATGCCTCCTGCTGTGGTTCCTGAACCGCGCGCCGATGATGATTATTACTACGAAAGTGGTGGTGAGCACAACAGCCGTCGCAGTAGTATGCACGTGCCCAGTCGTCCATCAAGTCGGCCGGGTAGTGTTCACGGCGCTCAGAATCTGCATGGCTACGGGGGCGGGTCTCTGCATCGTTTTATCTCGCACGAAGAGGTGCACCACTCCGGCAGTGGCACTCCTCTCGAAGAGATCGAAGAGTATGAGCCGCTGTTCCCAGAAGATGACGGGAAAGCGGAGAAGCCCAAAGCAATCAAGAAGCGACCTGACCTCGCGGCCATGCATCATTTCCCCAGTCAAGACGTGTGGGAAGACACGCCGGATTCGTTGCAGTATCTCGCAGAAGTGTCCACTCCTGAGCTGGAGCGACAGCAAGAGGCTATCGACGCGGACCGAGCAGCCGGTGCCGTATTCGAGACACCAGAGCAAGAGCAGGCGCGTCAACGTGCAGGGCCGGACATGACGAGTAAGGAGAAGACCTTGATCCCTCCACACTTCAAGCCTGGCGTCATCGAAGAGGTCAAGGCCGCACATCGACCCGGTGCACATCGTTTCCCCAGCTCCGATGTGTGGGAAGATACGCCGAGCAGTATGTTGGGCGAGACCACAGTCAATCTTCCAGACATGGACGACGTGAGAAGTCCGCCTGAGGAGCGGGCAACCACGTCCGCGCTCCCGTGGAGCCAGGATGACATGGATGCCCGTGCCACTACTGCTGGCGGAATGGGCAACAAGCCGTCAATACCTTCCCGACCACAGCGACCTTCGAAATTGTCGGCTGAAAAGAAGCTGGGTGATGAGCAAACAAGTCCCACGAAAACGAAGCCGCCGGGTATCCCAGCAAAGCCTAGTATTCCGGCTCGACCGACGCGATCTTCCCGCGAGGGTGATAGCGACGAGAATGTTACCTCGCCACCTCAAGCCAAGGCGAAACCCGCCGTTCCAGCACGGCCCGGGTCCAAAATTTCAGCTCTTCAAGGCAACTTCTTGAGCGATTTGAACAACCGCCTGAAGCTTGGCCCGCAAGCCATCCCCAAGAAGGAAGAAGTGCCGGCCGCCAGCGAAGAAGCGGTTGAACGAGAACCTCTTGCGGATGCACGCAAGTCTCGCGCCAAAGGTCCTGCTCGCCGCAAGCCCGCATCCTCGTCGGATCGCAAGCCCTCGCATACGTTCGCCATGTCTCCACTCATCACCTGTTGGACGATTGACGAGACCGATGAATTGCAAGTGCAGAATGAATCTGAGAAGGAGAACGCTGATCCTGAAGCTGAGACCGAGAAAGTATTGGAGGCAAATGAGAAGACGAATACAGATTCTGCTGCACCTCCTGCGAGGGACGTTGCGGCAGAAATCAGCAAGTCCCGTCATCCTTCGGAAACCGCACAATCGCATGCGGAATCGGCCGAGGCATTGAAAGCTGCGATTGCTGAGGCGGGTGCTGGGCCCAAGGTAAATGCCATTGAAGAGGAGGCTGCCGTGGCTGAGACTCCAGCGGAAGAGAAGAGTGCTGTATTGGAGACGACGGGAACTGTCAAGGCAGGCGACATTCCTGGTGGGTTCCCGGGCGAAGACGCAGAGGGAGAAGTGGTTGTGAAAGAGACTAAAGAGGTGGCATGAAAAACAGAGTCATGGTGCCGGAGTTGGAAATAAACAAAAAGTTGGTTAGTTAATGAGATGTCGACGTATTCGCATAGTGTTGTGTTGTTGATGTCCGGTGCAATGTCTCGGGCTAGTACCGATCTAAAGTGCGTGCATCTGCGTGGAAGCAGGACGAACCAGGGTACATGGAGCAGGATGGCCCTCACTCACTGATGCGGAAGGAGAAAATGATATTCATCTTTTTCAGTTTGATTCCGAGTTTAATTCGAATCGATTGGACAAGTCGGCGTATTTGTGCAGACAAATGCGTTGTTTCCTAGCCGAGACTACTTTATCTCTCGCACTTTGCTTTGTTATCCCGTGCACCAGCGACGTTCACGACGGTGACCCAAAATGCTCAATAATGCCAGGGCCTCATGCAGGGCAGGCTTTCGTGATTCTGCACTGTCCGGTGCTAGAGCACGTTTATATATGTACAGAATTAGAGCAGAGATATCCGCGTGTCTATCGCCCATGGCTCCCTCGCTTTGCAATGCAAGTGTTTTTCTTTTGTCTTCATGAGCGATGGCCCTCTTCATCGGCCTTCTTCGCCAACGCCATCGCATTCCCTTTGCCCTTAATACGGGCTTGCCGCAGCCTGGCAGGCCTTGAGCTGATCCAAGTACCATCCACAGATGGTCAGATTTCCCTGATTCTCGTCCATGCACCTCTTGAAACCCTGCACTTCGTTTCCGCAAACCGTAGGACCTTGTTGCTGTTGCTGGGCGGAATACTGATATGCTTGCTGTGCTTCCTGCGCCTGCTGAGGTGATGCAGCTTCTTGCACTGGAGTGCTGCTTCCGCCACCAAAGAAACCGCCGATGGCATGACCGATGGAGGAGCCGACTGCTACACCGCTGCACACTGAACGTTAGCATCTTGCGTACAGAACATTGTAGAAGCGCAGGAAAATCGCCAACTTACGCTGCTGTGCTCGCCATCTGGCCAAAAAGACCTGGCCCCTGCGATGCGGCGGGCGCTGGTGGAGGTGCCTGCTGCTGGTGAGGTGGAGCAGCTGCTGTGCTAGCGGGTCGTGTTTGCTGTGGTGATGGAGGTGCCGGGCGAGCTGGAGCAGCGACTGGGCGGCGGGGGGCCGATGGGGCTGGACCACGAGACTGACGAGGCATGTTGTGAGATGTTCTGAGGTACGTCGATGATGAGCGCGCGATTGGTTCTTGTTGCGTCGAAGCTGAGGTTGCTGATGGCAAAAGATGAACCAGCACTAACGAGCAGTATAGAAGTCGCTCGAAGTCTCAATCACGTGACCCGGCCGGTTGCCGAAACTGTGTTGCCACCATACGATTGTGAAAGGAATGCACAGAGGGTGAGCAGGATGCAAGCACGAACATGGCACGTCTGTGACAGATAGCGAAAAGCGGACATCGACCAGATTCAGAACGATTTCACTATCTACAGCCAGCCGTCAGTTCGGCGTTTCGCAACTGACGGCTCACAGCTTGAGCCGGCCGAGGTGACGGCCTGAGAGAGCTGTGATGACCTCCAGACACTGTCGTCTGGTCCATTGTTGCAGAATGTGGAGGGTATCGTGCTTCTGCTATCCATTTCTCTCCCTCACATCCGGTGAACCATTCAAAAGTCTTCACATACACGCACAACATATGAACCGGAGAAACGCCTCATGAACACCGGTGCATGAATTGCAGCTGGTACAGATCTCGCGAACTGCACGGTCTATTCTCAATCGCTAACTTTCGTTCTGCCTGCTGATTTCGACGGTCGATTTTCGAAAGGGAGGAAACATGGTGGAAGTCGAATTTGGTGACCTAGCAGGTGGTCATTGCGAAAAGGAGCGTGTTGCGAAGTCTGATTACGCTCACTTGCTGACTTGCTCGGCGGCGGCGGCGGCAAGCCAATCGGGGTCGGAAGTCGTGCCTCACAAAATGGTGCACTTGGGCTTCTTGGTGGGCTTTTGTTGCCTAGGGCTGATAACGGCTCTATTACCGAGTGTTAGGAGTGAGGCGCAGCATGATGGTGCGCCGTAAAGAGGCGACTTTTGAGGTTACTGACTTGATGGCTTCATCGAACACGCTCTTGAGATTTCTCTGCGTGAGAGCGGAGCATTCGAGATACTTCACAGCTTTGATGTCCTTGGCGACTTGCACTGCCTGCTCGTACTGGATCGGTGCCATCTTCCTTTGTCGCAATTGCTCGCGCACTTCGGGGTCGTCTCGCAAGTCAAGCTTGGTGCCTACGAGGATAATGGGGGTACCAGGTGAGTGATGCTCGATTTCAGGATACCACTAAACCGCCTGTCAGCCATACCCGGTGCACGGGGCGATGTCGTGTCTCACTTTGGCCTTGACGTTGTCGAACGAGGAAGGGCTAACGATCGAAAAGCAAATGAGAAATACGTCAGTCTGAGGGTATGAGAGAGGGCGCAGTCGGTCGTAGTCTTCTTGTCCAGCAGTATCCCAGAGCCCCAGACTTATGGGCTTGTTGTCGACCATGACGCTTGCAGAGTAATTATCGAAGCTGAAGTATGGTCAGCCCAGCCAGCCCGTCACCTGTCCGATAGCCACGACCTACACTGTGGGGATATATTCGCCTGGAAAGGCATTCGTGGTGTAGGATATCAGCAGACATGTCTGTCGGATACATCAGTCGCGGTGTCTCGCCCGTCCTCGGAGACTTCCATACCTTGCCGACTGCTCCATCTCCCGTCACCACGCACTACTCGAGCTATCAGCAGATGTTTACAGCGTTGTAGCGTGCACGCTGCCACGCACCTTCAGTGACTGCGTTGCTTGAGCTGCCATTGTTCCCCCTTCTGATTCAGCAGTTGCCGCTGACTCTTGCTCCTATCGTAGATTTTTACTCCGTCGCACGACAGTAGCTCTGACTGCGCACAGGTCGGTCCGCGAATCGTCGAGTATCGAGAGCCGTCCCGTCTGTGTGCTGCAACACCAAAAAACGAGCTCTCGTGTTGTTTGTGGCTGGGACTCGGTGTGTTTTCCCTGCCCGTTCGGTCCAGGCAAAGTCGCCACGTGCAGACCCGATCAAGATGTTCGATTCGGAAGCGCCCAGCTCAGTCGATTGCACAGGGCGAGGATTATCAGAGCTGCGATATGGTGATGGTTGTTGGGTTCTGAATGAGCAGTGGATAGCGCGCGGGCGTGGTTCGTCCGAGCGCGATTGGCGATTGGAAGAGGAGATGTTGAGCGCGGCGCGGGGCGATTCCGAGTGGATCTTCGGGGGTGTCGTGTCGTCGTGTCGTGTCGGACTTGCACACGACGTCGGCACACACGGGCAACTCGTGATGCAGCGGCGGTGATGGATGGGACACTCGTGGTCAATGTCACGGAGGCGGAGCGAGGAGCAGCAGCGGCGGCGGTGCGGTGAAAGTAATGTGGCAGCTTTGCAGGCTAATGCATCGCCCAACAGCCAAGCTCCACTCTCGACGAACCCATGCACACGCCCGTCGACCTCACTTTGTGGAGGAGCTCAGCGCTTAAACAACCACACGCCCTCACTCTGCATGACCTCTCTGGGCCAACCACCGCTGCATGTCGACGTTATTCGTCCAGTGCTGCAGCTGCATCGCGGCATGCGAACACTTGGCCTGCTGCAGCGTGAACCTGAACTATCGCGACCACCGGTTGTGCCTCACTCGCTGCCGAACAAGACGCCGACGTGGGGTCCGCCGCACGCCAACAGCCATCGTCGTGATCCACCGACCAAGTGCTATGGACAGGGGTGGCATCAAGTTACAGATACAGTACTATACATTGCGAGATTGATCTGAAAGCCATGTCCCAAGAGCCGGGTTGTTGAGTGGCCCGTATCTTGTGGGAGCCGTCCTGTCAGACCGTCCGACTCAACTTGTGCGTCGACGGCGGCAGTGACCCAGTCATGCCTCTGGGCACGCAACAGATCTGTCGAAGACTGGCATGGCTCTTGACCTCGAGAGTGGAGATGATGTTGGCAGAGCATCCACGCCCGCCTCATGACTTCTCGACTTCCTTCTTCAACATCTCAATCTTCTTCCGCAGCTCCGCCTGGTCTGCATTGCCCTTTGCCTCCTGCTTCTTCTTGTCCAATTCAGCCAGCTCAGCCATCTTCTCCACGATCGTAGTCCGCAAGTCCCCGACACCATCTTTCCTGCTCAAAATCTCCGCCATCCATTGCTCGATCTCTTTGTCCGCTTCTGTATCCCCAGCATACACGTCATAGCCTACTCCAGCTCGAACCCAGTCCCGCAAATCCTCCACGTCTCCGATGTTGTTCAACTTCATGAACATTCCCGTTCCAGCCATGAAGACGCTGAACACAGACAGCGTCGCGAGACCGAGTGCTTCGGCGGCATCGAGACCTCCTTCAGCTTTTGGCGGAGTGTTGGATGGTGAAAACGTGGGCACTTCGATTTTGCTGCCTCCTTTCGTCGTTGTCTGCTTGATCATTTGAGGGTAGGCGGCGAGATATTTCCTCCTCAGCGCCCGACGTGTCACAACCGCTGAGAGGAGGGTGAAGGCGAGGCCGCCGTATAGGAGCGCATTCTGCCGGCGAGCTCGTGTGGATGCATCGGCTCGTTCTGTGTATTTGGGTCCTAATGAGGACGAGTGAGATGCTGCACTCGGAGAATCAGGTGTTGCCGCTGCCACCACATCAGCCTGTTGCGGGCGTGACTGGCGAATGTCACCGGGCGCGAAGTATTTGTCCCACCACGACATCCATGCGGCCTTTTTCGATGAATGCTGACAGTTTAGGTCTGCGCCGCAGGTGACCGGCGAACAAAGTCGGAAACAATCGGCTTTCCGAAGCTCGTCGGACCCTGCGTCGGCGTCGGCGTCCGCAAGCCATGACCAAGAACAATCACCTCAACCGCCACTGGACTTCTCTTCTGCTCATCAACACCACCCCTCACCCACGACAATGGCTGCTCTGCGCCCCGCATCTCGCCGTCTGCTCTCACAGTCTCTACTCGTTCCGCAGAAGCGGTCCTTTGCGACTGCAGTTGCCGATCAGCCTCCGCCGACCACAACACCGCGCCCCGCGACATCTTTCACAGACCGCTTGAACAATGGCCCGTCCTTTGGCGACTTTGTCAGCACACCAAAAGAGACGGTTCTGACTTCAGAAGAGCTTTACGAGCTGCGCGAAGTAGAAATTGGCCCTGCCGGGCGGAAACGAAAACACACTCGACTTCCCGAATGGCTGAAAACGCCCGTGCCTTCGAATAACAACTACAAGAAGATCAAGTCAGATCTGAGGGGGCTGGGCTTACACACGGTGTGCGAGGAGGCACGATGTCCGAACATCAGCGATTGCTGGGGAGGGTCGAATAAATCTGCTGCCACTGCAACTATTATGCTGATGGGCGATACGTGCACGAGAGGATGCAGATTCTGCTCCGTCAAGACGAGTAACAAACCTCCTCCTCTGGATCCTCACGAGCCTGAGAATACCGCTGAGGCGCTGAAGAGGTGGGGTCTGGGTTACGTGGTGCTAACATCTGTGGATCGGGATGACCTGGCGGACGGAGGTGCGAGGCATTTTGCTGAGACGATCATGAAGATCAAGCAAAAAGCGCCACACATGCTTGTTGAAGCGCTGACAGGTGACTATGCTGGAGACTTGGAGATGGTCAAACTGGTCGCTCAAAGTGGACTGGACGTGTATGCGCATAACATGGAAACGACAGAGGAGCTGACGCCGATGGTTCGGGATCGGAGAGCCCAATTTAGACAATCGCTCGCTGTGCTGGAAGCCGCAAAAGCGGCGAAGCCCACTCTCATTACGAAGACGAGTATCATGTTGGGACTTGGCGAGACCGAGGAGCAGCTTTGGAATACGTTGAAAGAGCTGAGGAAAGTGAATGTGGATGTCGTAACCTTTGGGCAGTACATGCGGCCTACGAAGAGACACATGAAGGTCCATGAGTACATTACACCGGACGCTTTCGAGCTCTGGCGACAGAGGGCCTTGGACTTGGGGTTCTTGTACTGCGCTTCTGGGCCATTGGTGCGGAGCTCCTACAAGGCAGGCGAGGCTTTCATTGAGAATGTGCTGAAGAAGAGGGCTAAACATGATACGCTGCTGAGTGCGGAGAGTGTCGGGAGATTTGCGGACATGAAGGTGGTGGAGTAATGAGGTGTAGGGGTGGCGTTTGGAAGGAGTTTTGGCAGCATCAGGCGTGCATTGCGAGGCCTAGGTGCACCAAGCACTAAATTGACAGCTATTGAATTGGGAGCCAAGGATGAGACGCACACTTTGCTGCAACCAGTGCCAATCTGATCAGATTAGTACATCCAATTTAGTCAAAACTTGGATGCTGTTTTGCCGTTGTGGAGTAGAAGGAATGGGCACTCATAGTACTGTACCTTTTCTAGACTCCATCGAGTCGTTACCACACTCGGCAGACGGTACAGCGACGGTATCCTAATGTTGGCGGAACGAGATATGGAGCCATCACCGCGACGACAGCAGCAATTGGCCTGATCAACACAGCAACTTGGGACGACCCTATTTCGGTCTAATATCAGAGACAATGTAGCATAAACAGGCTCCGCGGAGGGACAAGAAGACGCGACAATGTACGGGCTACTCACACAAGCACGTCTGGAGTCGCTAAGTTCAACACACGTGAAAATTGCCGTATTTGGCGACGACAGACTACCGACTACGAGCTGGTAGCTTCTGCTCCCTGATGGGAGTGCGGGGCGACGAGGACTAGGCCCTGCGCATATCAACTCATCTTCACATTCAAAGACGAGGCCCGCTCTTCACCTGAATGTTTTGGGTCTCCACTTGCGTGCATTAGCGTGGGTCCGTGCATCATGGGCGGCACAAAAGGGCACCTCTGTTTGCCTTCCAAACCTTTCCACTCTCCTACCAACAACAACATCAGCAACTCGAACAAGGTAGCGCGCCGCGCCACAGTACGTCTCAAAGCCATGCGAATGCTGACAACACTTAGATGAGCGGTCGTAACTCCAGCCAGCCCGTTCCCCCAGACGCGGCATCCCCCAATGGAGTCGCCATGAACGGCCGCGACAGCAACGACGATAGCGGTCTTCAGACCAACAACAATCCGCACTCTCTTTCTGAGGTGGAGGTCAATCTTGCGCACAGCCTTGCCCAAGAACTAAATCCCAATCTCCCGCTTGCCACCACTCCACCATACGACCCTAACCAGGGCTTTGTCTCGGACCATTACATGCCAGGCACTCAGCAGAGCACCAGCACTCAGTTCTACACTGAGAACCGTCCCGAGCCACCGCATGACCAGGTGCGGGGCTTCGTACAGGGGCAATACGGGCAGGAGGGAAGTCACAACTTCGACGGCGAGCACCAGTCGAAGCATCAGGACGAGGGCTACACCGGACCTAACAACTCGTCTGGCTTCCAGCAGGCCCTCGGCCACTTGGGCGTGTACGGCGCAGCTTCTTTGCGCGACTACTCGAACGGAGCCGGCACGACAAGCACTGACGCGATGGACGCTGGAAACGGAGGCTTCGAAGAACCCGATGAATTCCAAATTGTAAGACCAGACATACGGCCTGGTCCAATACCTGACATACTGACTGAGCTACAGGCCCCGGTGGATGAGGGTGACGATACGAGACGTCAAGAGGCAGAAGCCCGCGAATCCCTGGTTCATTTCGCCAATCTTCAGACGGAGACCGCACGTCTCAAGAACGAGACCCAGGGGCTACAGGCCGAGCGCCATGCCCTGCGCGTCCAGGCGACGTGCATCAAGAATCTGGCAATGCTGCAGAAGACCCTGGGTGATGATGTCAAGGGCAGCATGAGTGGCTTGCGCAAGGCGCTGGCGGGCATTCACGAGGTCAAAGACATGCTCACCAAGGTGGGTGCAAGAGAGCTCTAAGCAACCACGGCTCATGCCGAGAACGTTACGAGCCAATGAGGCCCCATGCCTACAGTTTGTCTACAGATGCGCTGATGCGCAGGACAGGTACATGATCGCGCCTATGAAATTGAAATGAAGCGTCATACAGAATCCCGTCATACTAGTTCGTTACCCCGGTGTCTGACTACCTTCACCTCACTGATACCATGCTTAGGCCCTAGTGTCCCTCTGAAATATGGCCTTCGACGAGGCAAGCCACGAGTAATGTACAACGTCGAAGAGCTTGCCAGTGAGTCGAGTGACATAAGCGATTCCAACGGAGACCATGATGAAGGCTTCGACTCGAGCGGAGATGAGGCACGAGGGCGCCTCGATTATGAGCAGCCGCGTGTCACTGACGACGAGTCTGGGCACATGGACATGGGTCTGGTGGTGGTGAAGAAAGACAAGACCTCGCATGAAGCCAGTACCGATGAGTCGGCAGAGAGCAGCCTCGATGACGAAGTACAAGACTTGATCGACGAGAAGGAAGAGTTGCGACGGATCAAGAAGCTTCGCCGTTGCTCTACTGATGCCTATGCCAAAGGGAAGAATGCTGATCGAAGAGTCAGCCGGGAGTACCTCGTGCACTACAAGGACGACGAGGACTTTGTCGTTCCTGACGACATGGTAGACTACAGGACGAGTAGCTCGTCTTCGGAGGATGCTGAAGCCAGCGAAGATGTTGACGATGACGAGGAAGGTGGCATGGGTGACTACGATGTCATGGATGAGGAGTAAAGTCACGAAGACAAGGGCCTGGTGTGCATGCGCATGGGCAGGACGGAAATTGACATCGTCTTGAGAACGCCACGGCTCGAGGGCCAGAGATCAGGGCCTGTGCATATGGTCAGTGCCAGATGGTCGAAGAAACAGCTGGGCCCCACTTGAGTGAATCCACACCAAATAAGGTTTAGCGGGCCGTGCGTATTGCCCCACAAACAAGAACAAACATTTCTCCAGCGTCAAACCACTTTCATTCCTTTCCATTGCATCTACCAACACAACACACAACACACCGCAAGCACTATGGCGGCGAACTGGGATCCGAAGGAGCTTGTGCGCACAGACAACCCACCAAATGTGCCCGCAAATGAAGAACAAGCTTTTGTAGCCCGGCTGATGACTGGTGACTTGAGCGCCTACGAAGAGCTAATGGAAGACCTCCACGATGACGAGGCCATGGTCACTATCAGGAGTAACGGCAAGGAACGACACCGAGTCTGGGTCGGAACCATGCCAGTCGAGGACGTAGACAATGACGGCAACATCATCAAGTATACTGACAAGATGTATTTGGACTATGGAGGAGCTGGTGGTACGGATACTGGCGCCGACTGGCAGGCCAAAATATGGTACGGCACACGCAAGATCAAGCACTCGAAAGCAAGCTCGAGCGCTCAGATCGACCTGGGCATGCCTCTGAAGTGGCACGACGACAGGCTGTCAGGTGTTCACTTTGACAAGCAGCTCCTAGCCCTAGGTATCACTGACAAACCACAGCGGGAGAAGATATGGAAGAGGGTCCTGCTTCGTACGTGGCGAGCGTATCATCCGCATGTGAAGATGGTGAAGAAGCCCAAGAAAAAGGACCAAGGCCTGGTCTCCAAACACACGACGACGATAACCGGCAAACAGTCTCGCAATGATGACCAGGCCCCAGGTCAGCCGGACGATGACCAGACAGTCGAGGACACCATCTGCTCCGAGTGGGGCGTCGACTCCGTCGAAGCGTTGTGGGAGCTGTTCAACCATCAGCCTCAGGCATTCGTGAATTTCATCGACAAGGACGAGGGCCTGGCCAACGCTGTGGCACAGGGCGCCGTCGACAGTCTCAGCGGGGGCGACTTTGCGCCTATGACCCAAAAGGCCCTGGTCAAAGCTGCCATCGCGACAATTGAGCAGAACTTGGCCCAGGTCTCGCTGTCTGCGACCTACAGCGAGTGGCTGAATCGTGCGAGCACTGGAGCGAAGGGACGAGTCACGAGTGGTACGAAGCCCTCGTTGCAAGAGCGAGCCCTGATGAAACAAGAGCAGTCCAAGGACGAAGAGAAGCGCCTGCGTCGGGAGGAGAAGCAGCAGAAGAAGCTTCGCAAGGAGGAGAAGAAGCTTCGTAAGGAGGAGAAGAAGCGCCGCAAGGAGGGAAAGCAGCGCCGCAAGGAGGAGAAGCAGCGCCGCAAGGAGGAAGAGCAGGCAAGCACGGACAATGAGTCGCAGCCCAGTGACGACCGTGACGAGGCATTGGAGGACAAAGACGAGCGACTTTCGCGCTCACAGAGGAAGCACGCACGCCACCAGGCCTCGTCTTCCGACCAGGACGGGGCTCCCCGCCGCAAGAAGGGAAAGTCTTCGCGTAGTAAATCTCGGGCAGCCGACGACGAGGATGAGGCCGAGGCTGAGGTGTCTACACAGAAGAAGCTCACCAATCGCAAGCATCACCGCCAGACTCCGCCGAAGGAACCAGCATACGAAGACGAGGACGAGGATGAGGATGAGGACGAGGATGAGGATGAGGACGAGGACGAAGATCAGGGCCAAGTGTCTTCGTACGAGGAGAGTCGCACGACTGAGCAGACGACCACGGCTTTTGAGGAGGACCTTGAGGACCTGGACGACTTTGTGGTAGCTGCTGCATGAGTCGCGGCACAAGGGCTTTGTACCCACTAGGCATGAGGGGTGATGGATGAGCAACAACATGAGAGATGAGAGACATGAAACGAGGGACGAGGCCTTGTAGCTAGCCTCTTGGGTTATCTAGCGTGGGCGCTGGACTTGACTCGATCATTGCATTGAGGTTTTGCTTGATGTTCTCGACCGAGAGTCGCGATGAAGCTTGGTTTGTGGGTCATAGACGAGGCTTGATACGGCCTCCAGGCACCTGGTGCTTGGTCTATTCTGCCAACAGCGCCATAGTTGACCATAGCCAAACCCGGAAACGTTGCATTACGTAGGTCTTGTCTTCCCATGCATCGTGCAAGGCCCTGGACCTAGGCCTGGTCCCCGTCTTCCAGCCAGCACTGAGCTTCGCATCTGAGTCTGGCCATCAGTGACTCGTGGAGTGATGCGTCCATATTTTGACACACGCACAGGACCCAGTCTTCGCAGTTCGCTCGATTGTGCCCGGTCTGTGGGGCTCGATAAGTGGGTCGTGACTTCCCTCTTGCTGTTACTTACGTACAGAGACTTTGCTGGCTCTGACGCGACTTGTCTGGCCTTCGCAACTACATCAACCACGTCGCCCGCGATGGCGCCTACCACCGGCCAACCCAAAGCATACGCCAGCAAGAACGCGGGTGCGCTGGCTTCTACCACTATGCAAATGGACTTTGGCGCGTGGATGCAAGCCGATACGACAGCAAGCTCGGCAAAGATCCGCGATCTACTTGCCAACGCAAAGCGCGATGTCCTGGAGGCTGAGAAGACCAAGGCACGCGAAGAGATCCGGCGACAGACCGCTGAGATAAAGCAGAGGCTCCGGGACAAGCCCTGGCTCGCGACTAATGCTACAGTCCTAGATGAGCTCGCAGCAGTTGCAAGTGAAGCACAAGTGGAGCATGTCAATAGGCTCACTACTACCTGGACTAAGCTGGGGGACGAGGTGCAGAGCGCCCAGAAGCGACACGAAGTTCGGAAATCAGAAATGGACGACGAGCTCACCGACAAACGCCGAAGCCTGGTCGCGACACAGCAGGAGATAGCTCGTCTCTCGGGTGACCGTGATCACGCAAAACAGGCTCTTGCAGACAAGTTGAAGGAGAAGGAGGCCCTCGTCGAGATGGTCGCAGCGGAGCAGCTTCAATTGCAGAAGGCCAAGACCGAGCACGAGGGCCTCGTCAAAACCCGGCAGAGCGAAGAAAGACGTGCCCACGACCTTGCTGCCCACATTAAGGAACAGGAGTCGAAAGTCTCAGCTGTGCAGGCCTCGTTGGTTCAAGCTGAGGAGGAGAGCAAGTCTCAGCTCCAAGCTCGAGAGCAAGAGCTTGCCGGCCTTGCCGCGAACAAGCAGTCATTGACAAGTACGATTCAGGAGAAAGAAGAAGTTGTGCAGAAGCTGAAGCACGAGCACGAGGGCCTAGTCTCGCAGCACAAGAAAGCACTCAGCGCGTTGAAGGACGAGCAGCAGGGCATCGTGGCACAACATGAGCAGGAGATGAGAAAGCGGAATGTTCAGCACAATGAGCTCGTCTCGAACAGAAAAAAAGAGTTTGATGACCTGCAGCAGCAGCATGAAGCTCAAGTTGAGCGTCACCGAAAACGAATAAACCATCTCAATAACGAACACGACAAGCTTATCGCACAGCACAAGGAAGAGGCGACCAAGCTGAGACGTGAACACGAGGCCCTCGTCCAACAGCAGCAGGGACAGACAACTGAGTTGAAGCAAAAGCACGATGCCCTTGTTGAGGAGTGTCGAGCGGAACGAGCACGACAGGAGGCCCTGGAGGAGCGCAAGGGTCGCCTCGAGCGACTGGTTACCAGAGTGGAAGAACAAGGTCACGACCTGCGGATGTCAAGCGGGCGTCTACAAACGACCAAGCGTGCTGCGATGTTCCTCGTGGCGATAATGATGCTCAAGATACGTGCCTTGCTCCGCGGTCACGATCTCGCTCACAGGAGGCAGAGAGGCCGACTCCACGCCAGCGTCTCCATCAGCCAAGTCCTGCATGCGCGCGTCTCCTCACTCGAGGGCGACAAGCAGGCCTTGCTCAACGATACAGCTACTCTAAGATCACAGCTGCTGGATTGGAAAGATGGGGTTCGACTACTGCAGTTGCAGCTTGGTCGGGCAAAAGGCATGCTCAAGGCCAAGGACGCGTCAATTCGATCGCTCAACCGTCGTCTGATAGAGCAGGACGAGGCCTCCGTCTCCATGGTCGCAGCACTCTCGGTCGTGTTGCAGGCCTCATACGTGAGCCTCGGTCAGCACAGGAAGCTTGTGCCCATTCAGAGGCAGCGAATCACTCGACTGCATAATGCGAATACGTCCCAGCACCAATCGTCCGCGAATAGAGAGTCAGTCCTCGTCCAGCAGATTCAGGGCTTGCAACAGCAGGTGGCACAGGCTGTCAAGGAGTCGACCTGGCGTACTCGCAAGGGACGCATTCAAGCGAGAAAGGTTCGCGCCCTTCGTACGAAAGCTCACCAGCTCCAGGGAGACAACCAAGCCCTGCGCTCGAACATGCATGAGAGGAGCCTTGAATTACAGTCACAACTTGACAAAGCAAAAGACCAAGTCCTGGTTGCTCGAAAGGAGGCCTCAATTGCTGAAGTCCGCCTTTTCCAGGCAGACGAAGATCTAGCCAACATGGCGAGCGAATGCCACGAGCTGGATGATGAGATTGACAAAGCAAAACATCAAGTCCTGATTGCCGAGCAGGAGGCCCTGGTCGCTGAAGTGTGCCATCTCCGGGCAGACGAGGATCTAGCTAACATCGCGAGCGAATGTCACGAGCTACACGATGAGGTGGAGGAGCTCAACCACGCCCAGTCCTCGTTGCTTTCCCGACAGAGCGAGCTTGAAGATGAATTATCGAGCGTGGTATTGTGTCTCATTGATCTTACCAAGCAAGCCCGGGGCCTCATCTCCGAGAAGAACGTCCAGATCGCAACGTGGAGCGATGAGGCAGGCCGATGGAAGGAAGCGTATGTCTTGATCAAAGCTGATTGGGTGGAGGATCGGGAGTACATAGAGGATCAAGACCTCGTCATCGAAGAACTTGAGGAGCAGGTTGCTGAGTTGGCAACTGAGCACAAAGACGAGCTTACAAGTGCAGGCATCCTGGCCGAAGCCCAAGAGAACCATGTCCACAAGCTGCGCGCCGATGTGAGGAACGCCAATGCCACCGTCCAGCTCACGACACAGCAAACCCAAGCTCTGGGCCTACTAGTTGCAGAGCAAGGCATAGCACTTCATCTCCGGCAGCAGGCCATTGACCAGGCGGCCGAGGTGAACAAAGGTTTGGTGCGCTCGGGCAAACGTGTCACCTACCAGGGCCGGCACTGTCGATCGACTGCTGTAGGAATGGAGGAAGTGATCGGCACTGTCCTCAAGGAGGTACTACAGAACATGACGAGCATGAAGACGAAGTACGAGCGTCGCCTCCACCAAGCATCTCAAAGAGCTACTGCCAAGGACAAGACATACCAAGACCTGCTGGCTCGTGCACGCATAGAATTTGTACAGCAACAGAGGATGTACGAGGACAAGATCTACAAATTGATGCGACGAGGCCCTGCTCCTATCGCCCAGACAGCAGTCAAGCGGCTGTTGCTGGCGGTCGCGCAACAGCTGGAGATGGAGCACGAAGAAAAGACTAGGCTCCATGTGGGAGAGTTCGAGCAGGAATTGGGCAAGCTTCAGCAGACGATCACGGAATCCAAGCAGGAAGTAACCTCATACAAAGGCCTCGTACTCAAGTTCAAGAAGGCGAACGAAGAAAAATCGGCCATGATGAGGCACCTGGCGGACGAGGTTCCGCGTTCTATTGGGCAGTACCAGCATGAGGTGAGATCGCTACAACGGCTAGTGCTGCTGGCCAAACAGCAATCTCAGGAGCAGAAGGAAAAGTTGAAAGAGTTGATGGAGGTCATGTCGCGTGTCATGGGTTGAGAGGTGTATGCTGAAGGCTGAGGATGACAAACCTAGTGTGGAGATCAAGGCTTGTCCCAAGAGCTCACTGCCGGTGCTCTGGGCAGAGGACACGGACAAAGGCGTTGTAGGTAGATATCCCTGTGCAATGATTGCTGAGACACCGGCTATCGCACGCAGACACCAAGGCTACAATAGTCGACGAGCTCAAGGCTGAAGATGAAGGTAGAAAAAATCATTTGTAAATATTCAGTACAGAACCTGGTGATCGCAATAAAATGCACAAGCCCATGGCCTCGTAGATACAAGATAATCAATGTTGTAGCCACGGCGCTTTGCCTCAACCAAGCCTCGACAAGAATACTGGTCGTTACTGATGTTGTTCGAAAACAGGTCCTACGACCACAACCCTGCCGGTGTCTTTGCTCGGTCATCACTTCTTTGCCATCTGGCTTGGTCTCCAAGGCGTGGTGGTAGCTCTCCTTCAAAGACCTGCTCTCCCAAGGCTACGACAGACAGGACGTTCTGATCTGGAGACTATCTCAGACACAAGCCCTTCCTGTTCGTACATGTTTGGCATGCAGCTTTCGATCTTTCCGTAGTCCATTTGAATGAGGTCTGTCCACTCAAGTGCTTGAGGCGGAGGCACTTGTCGTAGCAGCCTTTGTCTCGCCAATCAGGCTTCTCCGCATCGAGCTTCGCAACTAGCTCGCGTACCTGGAATACGATGGTCGCCGGGAGAGAGGATTGGGGTACCACGACGAGGGCTCCGTTCTCAAGGACCGAGCCCTGGACCAGAGGCTGCGATGTGGCAGATGTCTCCGATGGTGCAGCCTGTGACCGAGACGAAGCGGGCGTAGAGGGGTTGGTAGGGCGAGGCCGCGACAGAGTGGAGCGATGGGTCTCGAGGCCTCGACGTGAGTGGGTTTTACGAAGCGTGGAGCTCGATGTAGCAATTGACTCCGTAGGTACAGTCTGTGGCCGAGACGAAGGTGGGGTGGAGGTGATGGCACGGCGAGTACGAGCCAGGGTGGAGCCATCAGAGTCCAGGGCTTGGGAAGACTGGATCACATGAGGCATCGGGCTTGATGTATCAGCTGTCTCGTCCGATACAATCTGAGACCAAGACGAAGTTGTTGGAGACGCAACGGCCGGCTGATCACGCGCTGAGGCGAAGCGCTGTCTCTTTGACGCTGGGTTGGCATCGTCCACATGGTGTAATGCGCTTGATGTGACAGGCGTCTCCGTAGACCGAGCCTGCTGCTCTGTCTCGGTCTGCGAAGTAGTAGTGGCAGCGCGTGTACTCAGTGAGTCGGAGCGCTTCCTCTTGGAGGCCTTGTTCACTGGCTAGGACGAGTCAGGGCGGAGGCCTCATCTCATGTGCGTGACACTTACTTGTAGCATCAGGCGCATGCTTTGGTACATCGCAAGGAAGTCTTCATGATTCTTGACTAAGGCTGCCTCCTCTTCGGCGAGATTAAAGTTGTCGAGCTGGGTGGCACCTTCCATCAGGGGTTCAGGACGAGGGCCTCGTCTCGGAAGACGATGACCGGGCTGCGTTGACGGAGCCCAGAGCCTTTCGAGAAGCTGTGGAATATCTGAGAAGTCTGAGCATAGGTACCGAGGGAGTGCTTGATAAGGGCGTGGTGCTGGTGTTGGTGTTAGAGAGTTGAGTCAATGTTGATGTGGAGCCAAAGTCAGCGGTCCGTGCGCGGGACCCACTTTCGCATGTGTTAAACTTCGATCATCCACTTTCGCTTCTTCACCCACCTCGACACAACCTAACAACACATCGAAAATGGCGAATCCAGCTGCTGAGCATATACGGGTGGCTGGCAGAATCGCAGCTGCTGTCGCAAACTGGGGCGATCCCATGGACGAGTCAAGCATTTTTGATGATGTTGATGAAGATGCTGAGCTACGAGCGCATGATTTATATGCCGCCAACATTCCACTTTCCGGTTGGCTAGACAATTTCGCAGCTGCACAAGAAATAAGACGTCGCCAAGACTATTGCAACAAAATGCGGATCGACTACCAGGGTAGGACCGAGGCCTCATACTTCAACATACCAGAGGAGCCTGAGAACCCAGACCTCGCATCATACATGAGAGAACTCCAACGCGGCAAAAAGAGCATTGACGACGAGGGCCTAGTGGGGCACGCCGCCGACGTTGCAGACGAGGCCCTGGTCGAAGGTGAAGTTCCATTGGCAGGCTTCGACATGGTCGATGAACAAGCCCCTGCGGTGGGTCCAGCGCGCGCGGAACGAGCTCAGAGACCACGGCGTCGAATGACGTTCGAAGACGACGTCAAGCTCAGGGCCGTACTACTGGAGACCAAGCACATGGTCGAAGAGGGTGTCGCCAATGCCCGTCGCAATCATGTCAAAACACGCGCAATCGCTGACGATGACCTGGTCCTGGGCATGGAAGACCGAGCCGACTCACAAGGTCGTACGATCCGCCTCGAAGGATACCAGCGAGAGGCTATAGGCAGGATTGAGCACTCTCTCCGTCTGAGACGAGGCGTTATCCTAGCAGACGAGATGGGGCTTGGAAAGACGCCGACAATAGTCGCCGTCATTCAACGGACCGTCAACAATGCAGCACCAGGCATGAGCCCTTTGATTGTGATCTGTGTCCCAGCTAGTCTTCTGGACAACTGGACATCAGAGCTTGGACGAGCCCCCGACCTTCGTGTATACCACATGGCTGACGACGAGGCCCTGGACGCGCGGACAATTCGTCGCCGGTTCGACGTAGTCCTCGTGTCACAGCAAAAGCTAGGTCGGAGGTATGGAGCCCTGCTCCTCAAGTATCGACATTGGCAGGCAGTAGCCGAAGGACGAGAGGTTGAGCTCCGTGACCTGCTTACAGAGAGGAACAAGAAGGTCGCCTGGCAGGGTGATGCGAAGAGGGAGGAGGAAGCCACATCCTCGCTTGAAGCGAACGGCTTGATCGTTGATGAGGCCCATGCCATTCGAAACCAGGCCACAGCTCTGGCTCGCGCTTTGAATGCCTTCAAGGCCTCGTCTAGGATTGCTGTGACCGGCACTCCATTGCAGAACGGCGTGACGGACCTCGGAGGCCTGTTCACGTTTCTCAATCTCCCACCTTTCAACCTACCCTCACTCTTCAGAGCATGCTTCAGTTCAAAAAAGAATTCTGGAAAGCTCAAAAAGAAGACGAGGGCGTTGAACCGCCAGAACAATGCCATTCTCGCAAGCATCAGGTCTTGTGTCACTATTCGACGTCAACAAGACGGCTACTATGAAGGCGACAAGATCCTCGAGTCGGTCGGGTACGACAGTCATAGATGGAACTGCAGGCTCAGTGATAGCGCACAAGACTACCAGCAGATGACACAAGACATGTGGGATGCCAAATATAAGGCCGATCTTGAGGACGAGCGCAGAGAGGACCGTGATGCGGCAGAGGCCAGACATCCCAAGCGGACAGACCTAGCCCAGGCCCTCCTTGAAATCAATCTCTGTCGCATGCATGTTCTGCACCCGGACCTCATTCATGCAAAATATGGCGATTATGGCGTCGAAGATGTGCACGAGGCTCAGCCAGGTGATCTTGCGGGTTACGACGTGAACCCGATTGAGGCCCTCGAGCCTGGTGATCCAGAGGTGGCAAACGCTGTCCCACAGCCCAGGCCCGAAGACCGTGCGGCGGACCTCAACGAAAAGGCCCGCAAAAAGCTTAATCGCAGACGGATGCGTTTCCTTGAGAGGTTCTTCAACGACAAGACTCTGTGGCAATCAGACCGGTTCTATGCCGTTGTCGAGGAACTTATCAAGCTCTACGACCAGCGCGTTGCAGAAGCCGCTCGTCTCCCTTCGATATGGCAGAGGAGGAAGTACTTGGCCGAGCACAAGATCTTGGTGTTCTGCGAATTTCTCTCGGCCCTTGATATTCTCGAAATCGGACTTCAACATATGCGACCCGATATCAAGGTCCTGCGCTTCGATGGTCATGTCACCAAGAACCAGCGTCAGGCCGCCAAGTCAGCATTTGAAGAAGTAGGCAAGCATTGGGAACGGTACAATGACGAGAGTCCCGTGGAAGATCTGCCTATGAACGACGAGGCTAGCATCATGTTTGTCACGAACAGAGCCGGGTACGAGGGGCACAACTTCGTACATGCTACTGATGTTTTCATCATTAGTCCCAGCTGGAACCCGACTATCGAGGACCAGATCATATGCCGCGCTGCACGGAAAGGCCAAAAGAACAATGTCCGCCTGCACCGCTTCTACTCAGAGCTAAGCATTGAAGGCCGGGTCGTCAGCATTCAGCGAGTTAAGAGGTACTACGTCGACATGATCCTCGACGACAGCTTCGTCTTAAGGCACTCGGAGGCTCTCCTCAACGCCACCGATGATTCCTGGATCGAGAAGGTAAGTCCAGGTCTTCTTGGTACGTGGACGAGGCTTCGTCGCTAACGTGATTGAATAGATCGGATACAATCGAGTCAAAACCGCTTTTGAGCGAGGAGACATCCTCTTGTAGCTGCACAGGGTGTATGTAGTGGGCGATGCAATTGAGACCTAGGCCTCGTCTCATGCGACGGACAGGCGTAGTGACAAGGCGTGACCAGGGAACCCGCCTCGTCAGCTTGCAGCATAGGCCACTTGGTTTTGACGGGCCATGTACCTGGTGTGCGTATGCGATAATGCGCCGCTTTCAGATAGCGAGAGAATCACAAAGCCAAAGCATAGCGCTATATCTAGAGGCACCAAGCCTAGTGTCAGATCATCTCGTTCGTGTTCGCTCCTTCACATAAAGCCGAATGCCTGGTCTTCAGCCGTGCACCAATTTGATAGCGCATGCGACAGGACGACGGCCTGGTCCTGCGCCCAGGCACGGGGCCTTGTTGCAGGTCCTGTCGCAAAAGACGGAGGCTTGTATCGCATCTGCCCTACCGTCCTATTGAAGCCACAGTGATAATCAGGTGCAGACGAAGCTCGAGGCGTGAATACATGCACTGACACCTGCGCTCCAGAAGCACGATCGCAAATCAGCACGACGTGGCAGTCACACAACGCTCCTGCTCTTCCCACGCACCCACAGCATTGATTTTTACAACACAACCCCAGTCACCGCATTACCTGCACGCAATGGCTCGCAAGGTCAGCCGCAAAGACTCAGCCCTTCGATTCGACAGCTCCGCTGTAAGGAGACGGCGCACAGCCCCTCCACAATTAACGTCAACGAACGGGTGCATCCCAGGCGAGATCCTGCGCCAACGATACGTGCGCTTCGTTCGCGGTACTGCAATACACCGACCATCACATTCGTCTTCACCTTCCCCGGCGCCAAAGAAAGAAGAGCCAGAAGAACGCGATGTTACGCAGGACAATCCCACAAGCTCCCAGTCGTTTCTGCGATCTAGCCCTACCGCTGTTCAAATAAAGAGAGGAAGACGAGCGGCAAGCGCAGAGATGGCACCAGCAAGTGAACAGGTAGGACGAGGCCTCCGTTGCTTGAAGCACGGACTGACCAGGTGTAGCAACCAGACGGCGCCCATCACTCGACCTCGCAGCTCTTCCTGCCATCCAGCCCCACTGTTCTGCGTCAACAACGAAAGAGAGAGCAGGAGGCGTTGCAAGCTGTGCGCACACAGGGTGTAGGTTGCGTGTTCCTTCCGAGTGACACATTTGACTCAGACTTGCCGCAGAGAACGCAGCCCTTCTTGGAAGATGAACCTGCACTACCAGGCCCTCGTCAAGACAGAGACGAGGCCTCTGGCGCCAGACGAGCGAGGAAGAAGCGCATCCAACCATCATCAATGGAGGTACAAGCCTGGTCGCAGTCACCAGAGTATAAGAGATAGCTCGTGGATAAGGAATGAGCTGGGCACTGGCAGCGTTTGGAGGGATGGTTCTCGGTTCAGATCTACGCAACAGCCGTCTTGTGGGCAGGTTGCAGCTTCGGATACTGCTTGTAGTGACGATGCCTCGCCAATGTACATACAATCATGATAAGGCCTCCGTCCTCGTGTCAGCAATCTGAACTTCCCTCTCTCACGTTCTCGAATCAGCAACGTGCTCCCATCTCAAGACTCGGCCTTGGAAGCAACATCCATTGCCTGGAGAATGCGTGCCAGCTGAGCGGAGAGCACCATGGGCGCCACAGCTTCCTCTAGACACTCCTCATCCTGCGCCAATTCGAGCGTAGCCTCGCCCTCATCCCCCATGCCTGGTTCGTCCATGCCCTCATCCTCTATGCCTGGTTCTTCCATGTCCGCTTCCCGCTGCAGACTCGATGCAAGCAAAGCTGCACGCCGCTTGAGCAGGTCTTGCAACTCTGTCTCCAGCTCTGCGTCCTCTGGGTTCAAGTTCTGCAAACGACGAAGCTTTTCCTTCTGATGGGTCTCTTTCTTGAGCATGTTGTCGAGGGCCCATCTCTCTGCCTCCTCCCAAATCTTGGCGGTGTATTTGTATCCAGATCCTACACTAATACTAGCAGGATAGAAGCTGAATCCACCTGCATTGCCGATGTAGCCCTCGTTCAGCCGTGTGAAGAGAATCTCGGCGATAGCGACTTGGTCTTGCGCAACGCAGGAGTGTATCACGAACTGATGGATGCGGTATCTGCTACCCTCGAGCCCAAGGATAGCCTCAAGCATGTTCATGAGGAAATTGGATCCTCTGTGCTTAGCGTGGCAGTCCAGGCGCTCAGGTATGTTGTCTGTGTATCCTATCTCGACGAGAGGAATTTCAAGAGGCAGGTCACGCTGATCAGCGGGGATCTTCGCAATACGGGCACGGAGGTTTCGAAAGAACGTCCTGGCGCGCTCAGGGCGCTTGGAACTGGGCCTGTACTTGCTGTTGAACATGTAGCGGCGGTAGTTGGGTGTCGCTTCGGCCTTGACTCCAAGCGAACCAATCCACTTGTCCACGCGCCTGACCAAGTCACGGTCGTTGGCTATGTATGCTTCTGCTTTGTCGAGGGCACGAAGCAGCTCGTTCGCTGTCGGTGCATTGCCCTGGTCATCGCAAAGCTCGTTGAGATAAATGAACGGGTGCCTCTTGCCCTCGGCGCGGTGGCGGAGTTTCTTCAATACTGTACGCAGAGCAGGGTCGCGTTTGTATGACTTGGTCCAGCTGCCCTTCAGACATGTGTTGACTATCAATGGATGAGAAGAGACGAGGATCATGTATCCCTTGCAATACACAGCACCTGGTGTTGCACCCTCGAGCACGGAGAAGACCTCGTTCTCGAGTTCGAGCGTATGCTTGGCCAGTGCGACAAGGCCCTCGTCATTATATATGCGGATCTTGCGCGACCGAGCCTCGTCGACGCTGCTGAAGGGGAAGGACTTGATGATGTCCTGGACTTGAGCTTGGGTATGGGCGGGTGCGTGGCGTAGGAAGATGGAGTACAGAGGGAGAGTGGTCGTCTGCGCGGCCGCAGTCTGCTGAGGTGGTGCAGGGTGTTGTGAGGATGAGTCTTCAATCTCGTCAGGCACGGAGCTTCGTGGTGGTTGCGATGATGTGTCTTCGATCTCGTCAGGCACAGGTCTTCGTGCTGGTGATGTGTCTTGAATCTCGTCCTGAGCAGGACTACTCTGCTCCGCAGGCTGAGGTCGCGTATCATCGTCTTCGATGAGAGCAGGGCTGTCCACTAGTTGCTGGCCCGCTGAGTCCTCGACCTCGTCCAAAGCAGCCTTTTGCTTCGAAGGCCGATGCGGCGTGGCTCTATCTTCAGGTCCTCCAATGGAGACCTTCTGGGCTTGAGGCTGTGGATCACCGCATAGTTGAGGATGGTAAACAGGCGTGGTCCAATCCTCGTATCGGACTGGCGCTCGATGTGTGGACTTGGGCTGCACATTCGCGCCAAACTGAGGAGGCTTTGGTCTTTTGTTTACCGGAACACGATAGACGAGCCATGGTTTGCGAAATCGCTCATGACAAGGGCCTGATGCGCGAGTCGGTGTGCGTGGCGTAGTGTCGTCTCGAGCTGGCTGCTGAGTCTGGGTAGCTGGGATGGACTGTTCCTCTTGTGGCGACGGTCGAGAATTGACAGAGATCTGAGCCTGGTTTGCTTGCTCCTTGCGTTTGCGAGGAGGTGTTGCACTTACTTGGACTTGGACTGGGGGCTCGTCTTGATCTGCGAAACGGGAACGAGCCTTGCTGGATGAGACCCTGTTCTGTTGATCACTCTGCGGGCGGTTCTTGGTACGCGAGGAAGCTGCAGACATGGGCTTGGCTTTTGCAATTTCGATGGTCGCGGCCGTGTCGGTAGACCGAGCCTTGGTGCTGTGCAGAGACGCATCTGACGACGAGCCTTGAGCGTTCGTCGGGCTGGGACCATCGGCTGTGTTGCCAGACCTAGCCTTGTCTGTCTGCTTCGAGCGAGTCCTAGCGCTCTTTCTCTGTGAGAACAAGCCATCGTCTGAACTGTCTCCATCGTCGGGGTGTGGTGAGACGTGGGCCTCGTCTGATCGATTCGCGGGGCTCTTCCTCTGCGGGAACAGGCCATCGTCGGAAATGTCTGCTTCGTGAGGGTGGAAGACGAGGGCCTGGTCAGATTGCTTCCGGCGGGTCGCAGACGTGACCTTCCTCTGCGAGAAGAGACCGTCATCAGAATCATCTGCTTCACTAAGGTGCAAGACAGGGCCTTCGGCCTGGTTCTGCGCTTGATCGACCGCAGTGTCGTCCTCGACTAGGGCCTGGTCGTCCACTTCATCGGCACTTTCGCCGGACACAGCCTCATCATCGGAGTCGGCTTCGTTGAATGTTTCGAAAGGGACACCCTCTGCTAACGCGGCCAAGTACGCAACGTTCTGTGTCAGCTGTCTTTGTTGCTGAGTGAGGTCGTCCGGGCCCTCGAGTGCATCCAGCCAGTCACGGGCGCGCTCAGTCGACGAGGGCTCGTCATCGTCAAACGGATCCTGGTCTTCGCTATCGGAATCCTCTTGACGGGCAGGCGGTGCGCTGCGGTCTGCGAGCCGTCGCTGTAGCACGTCAACTTGTGTGCCACCCCACTGAGAAATGGCGTCGTCGTCGTCGCTGTAATCGTGCGCGGCCAATGTCTTGCGCTTCTTCGGCTGCCAAAGCACAGCATCTTTCCCGCGACGCGACGGATGCATGTTAGCGGTGGTGTTGTGGTGGTAGTTGTTAGAAGTGCAAAGTTGAAGTCGGGTCTAGAACAGGAAAGTGGAGACGGGCGCGGCTGCCTAATATGGGCCTTAGAGGACGCTCGGATGTAGACGGCAGCAGAGGAAGCCTAGACGGGCTGGAGGACGCTCGGACGCTCAAGAGCAAGCCTAGGCTACAGAGCTAAGACCTAAAGATAGGAACTCTATAATTTAGTATACTAGCTTTAGCTCTTACTATAACGAGTCTTTCTAGGGTATTATAGAGTCTTCTAACTCTTAAGAGCTATAAACCTATAAAAAAGACTCGAAATATCTATAGAAGAGGCTTCTTCTAATAGTTATTAGAAATTAGAAGATTCTACTACTCTTTTTAGTATCTAGTTCTCTAATTAGTAGAGTAGGTCTTTTAAAGATAAATTAGAGTCTTTATACTTCATAGAGCTAGTTACCTACTAGAAGGACTCTAAATGTTTTTAGAAGAGCCTACTAATAGCTCTAAGAGGCAAAACTTATTTTTTACTACTACTATTAATACTAGGCTCTCTACTTATTAGATCGGATCTTTCTAAGTTAGTCTAGAGTCTTTAAACCCTATAAAGCTATTTCATTTATAGGAAGACTAAAAACCTCTTTAGAATAGGCTTTAAGTATCCGATAAGAGTAGATTCTCTAAAGTTCTACTACTTCTTATATTAGCCTCTGTACTTTATATAAAGGGTCTTTTTAAATTTATATAGAGTCTCTAGACTCTATAAGTTTGCTGTTATATTAAAAAGACTCTAACTATTTAGTAAAGAGGCTTCTAATAATTAATTATAGAGAAGCAAATATCTAAAACTTATCCTCCTTCTTATATTAGCTTTTCTACTAGTTAGAATAGATCTTTCTCGGCTATTATAGAGTTGTTAGATCCTAAAAGTCTATATCTAAACTAGAAAGATTTATAATATCTTTATAAGAGGCTTTTAGTAATAATAGAGACGCAAAAGTTAGAGACTCTCCTACTCTTCTTATATTAGGTTCTCTACTTATTAGAACGGGTCTTTCTAGATTATATTAGCGTCTTTAGACTCTATAGAGTCTAGTTCATATTAAAAAGATCCTTTCTACTCTTAAGATAGGCTTTTAGTAGTCGTAGAGTAGAACTTATAGAATTAGCTCTTCTTAGCTTCTTTACTTAATAGAACGGGTCTTTTTAGATCTTATTAGAATCTCTAGACTCTATAGAGCTAGTATCAGCCTAAGAAGACTCTAAATAAATTTAGGAGAGACTTCTAATAGTAATAAATAGTAAATATTATAAAATTCTACTACTTACTTTTAGTATTAGTCTCTCTTCTTACTAGAACGGGTCTTTCTATATTTATCTAGAGTCTCTAGACTATAGAAAGATACTCCGTTACTAGAAAGATTTAAAATACCTATAGATAAGGCTTTAAAGAGTTAGAGAAAGGAGAAATTATAAAATTCTACTACCTATCTTAGTACTAGCTTCTTTATATTAGAGAACGGATCTTTCTAGGTTAAGTTAGAATCTCTAGGTTCTATATAGCTAGTTTAGTACTAAAAAGATCTTTAATATCTTTAGAAAAGGCTTCTTAATAATAGAGAGTAAAAACCTCTAAATTCCTCTACTATTTTATATTAGATTACTTACTCGTATAGGTCTTTCTATATTTTCCTAGAATCTCGAGACTCTATAGAGTATTCTAACTACTAGAAAGACTATTAATATATATCGAAGAGCTTTAATATAGATCTAGAAGAGAAAAAGCTAAAAGTCTATATAATTCGACTCTTTTCTTATTTAAACGAATCTTTCTTAATAAAATTAGAATCTCGGGACTCTATATAATTTATTTACTACTAGAAAGACTCTATCTATATATAAGCGAAGTTTATAATAGCTATAGAGAACTAAAGGATAGAAACTTTTTTCTTTCTATTCTAGAAATCTTTCTAGAATATAGAACGAGTCTTTCTAAATTTTATTATAGTATTTAGACTCTCTTTAGCTAGTTTTATATAGAAAAGACTCTTAATATCTTTAGAAAAGGCCTTTAATAGTCCTAGAGACTTTAAAGCTTTAGATTTTACTCTTCTTCTTATTTAAGCTTCTCTATTTATTAGAATAAGTCTTTCTAGATTATTATATAGTCTTTAGACTCTATAGGCTTACTTTATTACTAGTAAGACTCTTATTCTACTTAGAAGAGGCTTCTAATAGTACTTAAAAGCAAAACTCCTAGAATTCTAAACTCTACTATTATATTAGCTTCTCTACTTATTATAAAGAGTCTGTCTATACTATTATAGAATATTTAGACGCTTTCTATTTACTTCTTACGGGATATAGCTAGTCTAAGCTTAGAAGGAGCTTATAATAGTTCTACTAAAAGGAAAAAAGTAAAAATCTAACTTACTTATACCTTTAGCCTCTTACTTATTTAAACGGATCTTTTCATTTCTATTTAGAGCCTTTAGACTATATATAGTTACTTTATAACTAGAAAGATTCGAAATATTTATTAAAGAAGCCTATAGAAGTTATAAAGAGCTAAAAGAGTAAAAGAAAAACTTTTACTTTCTTTTAACTCTTCTACTCTATAGAACGAGTTTTTCTTAATTAAATTAGAGTCTTTAGACTCTATAGATACTCTTTATATCTTAAAAGATCCGAAGTATACTTAGATAAAGTTCTAACTACTAATAGAAAGTAAAATTCTAGATATTTAAGTCTTTCTATTATACTAGTATCTTTACTTATAAGAACGGGTCTTGCTAAATTATAATAGAGTCTTTAGAGTCTAAAGAGCCTATTTTATACTAAAAAGATCCTATCTACTCTTAAAAGAAACTTTTAGAAAATATAGAGAGAAAAGGTAAGAAAATTTATTCTTTCTAGTATATTAGCTTCTATACTTAATAGAATAGATCTTTTTAAGTTATATTAGAATCTTAAGACTCTATAGAGGTCTATTAAATCTAAAAAGATCCTAAGTATACTTTAGAATAGCTTAATAGAAATCTAGAAAGAAAATAAGCTTAATTCGCTTTATATTAGCTCCCCTACTTACTATAACGAGTCTTTTCTAGTTTATTAAGAATCTTTAGACTCTCTATAGTTGCTTTCCTACTAGAAAGATCCTATCTATGCTTAAAAGAGACTTATAGTAGTACTAAGAAGCAAAAGGCTAAGAATCTAGCTTTTCTTTTTATAATAGCTTCTCTACTTACTAGAACGGGTCTTTCTAAGTTAATCTAGAGTCTTTAGGTTCTATATAATTACTTTTATACTAGAAAGATTTTTAATAACTAAAGAAGAGGCTTTCTATATTTATAGAGAGCTTTTTTACTCTAAGTTTTCCTACTATTCTATATTAGTCTCTCTACTTAGTATATCGAATCTTTCTATATTTCTTTAGAGTATTTAGGCTCTAGATAGCTACTCTTATACTAGAAAGACTCTTAATAGTATTAGGAGAGGCTTTTAATAGTTATAGAGCGATAAAATCTCTTAGTTTTTATTTCTCTTATACTACTTACTAGAGTAGGTCTTTTAAAGATTATTTAGAGTCTTATAGATCGATCTAACTACGTACGTACTAAAAAGTTCTTAATATTCTTAGTAGAGGCTCTAAAGAGTAAAAGAGTAAAAAGCTTTTAATTCTCTTACTATTTATATTAGCTTCTCTACTTACTAAAACGAGTCTTTCTTAATTTATTTAGAGTCTTTAGCTACTAAATAGCTACTTAAATACTAGAAAGATCCTTAATATATAGAGAAGAGGCTTATCCTTATTATAGAGAGAGAAAAAAAGCTAAAACTCTAGCTTTTTCTTTAATATTAGCGTCTCTACTTATTAGAACGAGTCTTATTAAGTTAAATTAGAGTCTCTAGGCTCTATATAGCTATTAAACTACTAGAAAGATTCTTAATACTCTAAGAAGAGGCTTATAATAGTACTTAAGAGTAAGAAAGCTAGAAATCTAGCCTATTTATTATTATAGCTTTCTTACCTGCTAGAACAGATCTTTCTTATTTATTTTAGAGTCTTAGATCTCTAAAGAGCTACTTCTATACTAAAGAGATTCTTTATATATAAAGAAGAGGCTTATAATAGATATATAGAGAGAAGAAAGCTAAAATTTAAGCCTTTCCTTTTTTATATTAGCTTTTCTACTTCTTAGAACAGGTCTTTTTCAATTAACTTAGAGTCTTAAGGCTCTATATAGCTTCTTTTATCTTAAAAAGATCCTTAGTATCTAAAGGAGAGGCTTATAATAGCTATAGGGAGCTAAATACTTAGAGTTTCTAGATATTTCTATATTAGATCTTTTACTTAGTAAAACGAGTCTTTCTAAATGTTTTAAGAGTCTTTAGCTACTAGATTTAGTTTTATACTAGAAAGATTCTTAATATATCGAGAAGAGGCTTATAATAGCTATAGGGAGCTAAATACTTAAATTTTCTAGATATTTCTATATTAGATCTTTTACTTAATAAAACGAGTTTTTCTAAATGTTTTTAGAGTCTTTAGCTACTATATAGCTAGGTTCATACGAGAAAGATTCTTAATATATAGAGAAGAGGCTTATAATAGTTATATAGAAAGGAAAAAGCTAAAATTCTAGTATTTCCTTTTATATTAGCTTCTCTACTTAATAGAACGAGTCTTTTCTAGTTAGGTTAGAGTCTCTAGACTCTCTATAGCTACTTTCGTACTAGAAAGATTCTTAATACTATAAAATAAGCTACTTATAGAGCTAAACTCTCTAAGATTTAAAATTTATTAAATATTCGTCTCTTTACTAACTAGAAAGAGTCTTTCTTAGTCTACTTATAATCTTTAGACTTTATATAGCTAGTCTACTACTACTAGAAAGACTCTAAATATCTTTAGAGGAAGCTTTTAATAGTAATAGAGTAAAAAGCTTAAAGTTTAAGCCTTCTTATTATACTAGCTTCTATACTTACTAGAACGGGTCTTTTAAGATTTTTATAGAATCTTTAGACTGCTTATAAGTACTTTAGTACTAGAAAGACACTAATTATCTAAAGGAAAGATAATAGATAGTCGTAGTATAGAAATCTACTAAGAATTTTCCCTATTAGTCTCTTACTCTATTAGAAAGAGTCTTTTAGAGTAAACATAATATCTCTAGAGTCTAGTAAATAGAACGCTTAATATATCGGGTCTATATTAGCTTAAGAAAGGCTTATAGTAGCTAAAAGAAAGAAAAAAGTAGAAATTTTAGCTTCCTCTACTATATTACTTTATATACTTAGATAAGTCTTTCTAGATCTAATTAGAATAGGATTTTCTAGTTTCTTTAAGAGTCTTTATACTCTATAGAAGTCCTTATATTATATAGAGACCTAGAACAAGCTTATAAGAGGCTTATAATAATAGAGAAATTATTCTTTTTATAAGAAATTTACTAAGTCTTTCTTAGCTGTTTTAGACTCTTTAGCTTCTCATAAAAGCAGTCTGGCTTTAGCCTTTTACTAGGGAAGAGATAGACCTAGGTATCGCCAGAAAAAAGCTCGTTTACTCGTTACTATTTTGTATAGAGACTACGAGGCTATACCTACGTAGCAGACCTTGCTTGCTTTGCAGACCTTTTCTCTGCAGCAGGTCCTACCTATGTCTCGCTGTCTGCCTAGCAGAGGACTAGGGCTTTGTCTTACTTCTCTCGACCAAGCCTCGTCTTATCGCAAGACCTTGCGCTCACGATGACCAGGCCTCGTTCTACGTGCAAACCGCATCTGTCCGCGAACAACAGACCAGGCCCTCATCTCAGTACTCAGGCTTGGTCTCCGAGCCCCTCGCAGCCTTCTCCTTCTTTGCCTCCTTAGCCTCCCTCTCAGCCTCTCCCTCTGCAACAAGTTCTTCGAATCTCTCCATACTATCGAAGTTCGGGCCATGCTCCTCCTCCAACGTCTCGACCTCGTCTTCGTGCACAATTTCGCGGGGGCAGCCAAATGTGTGTGCGTCGCAGAGGGCGTTAATGTCCTTGGTGCTCCAAGGCTTGCCGTTTGGTCGCGGGTTGATATCGTCGAGCACGCGGGCCATGACCCAAACGAGCTTGCGGGGGACGGCGTCCATGGTCATCTTGCCTCGCAGATAATCCATCATCTCCCACACACGCACCGGCACGTCCTCCCAGTCGTTAGTCCATTCGAGATGGACCCGGTGCAGGTCTTGAGTGCATATGCGGACATCGAAGCCTTGTGGATTGCCATGAGCGGTTCTGGGGCCCAGGAAGTACGGGTCCTCGCTGACCTTGTACTTCAATGCCCGACTCATATCATTCCACTCGTCGCCGAACTGCGCCTTGAGGGCAGACACTTCGGCCCGCTGCAAGAAACCGTCTGGAGTGCCGAAGCAGTGGGTTCTGCTCATGTGCACCATAGCGAGCGGGGACCAATGCTTTCTGTCAGGACGAGGGTTGACAGTGTCCAGGATATCGGCCATCAGGCGCGTAGACTTAGCGGCGAGGACGAGATGCTGTTCGCGTTTCTTCTTCATCTGGTCCCGGAGGTAGTTGAAGATTTCCCACAGGCGCTTGTGGTCGACGGGATTGACGGAGTTGAAGACGGCGGCTGCATCTTGGTCGCAAGTCTCCAGTGTCATGGGCAGTGTGTTACCGTAGGGGCTGATGCTGGAAGTCGGTTCCTGGTCCATGTCCTCGTCGCTGTCCTCGTCGCTGCTTTCGTCTTCGTCGCCGGCTTCGTTCTCGCTGGCCTCATGCTCGCTTTCTTCGACGCTGCTGTCACTGTCGTAGCTATCGTCGCTGTTATTGCCGGCCTCGTCCTCGCTGCTCTGTTCGTTGCTGTCGTCGCCATCTTCGTCATCAGCATCAATCTCCTCGTCACTGCCCATCAATTCTTGGTCCTCGTCATCTGAAGCCTGGTCTGACGACTCTTCATCGCCGACCTGGCCCTGGTCTTCATCTTCTGCGGCCTGGTCTGACTGGCTCTCCATGTCCACGTCGTCACCCCCTGGGGCCTCGTCTGGCAGGCCCATGAACTCGGCACTAGGAAAACGCTCCTTCATGGCATCAACGCGGGCTTCGTCCTTCTCCTGCTGATCGAGTTCGTCTCTGATATCTGGCCTGTTGATGAAGGCATCGATGATGAAGCGCACGTCAGAGACCAGGCGCGGGACACGCTCGACGACGTTCAGGAGCCTCAACTACATTCAGTCAGTGTGGGTTACAATATGACTAGGCCTCATGTCTGCACTTACCCGCGAGTCTGCAACGACAGTCGCAATGACAGCACTCCACTGGTCTTCGTACCGGGCTGCGCACATCATGCTTGGTTCATTCTTTCGAACGGATCGAAGAATTAGTTGCTTGATGCTCTGGTCGCGCGCGTCGTACGGGAGGGCCGTCCAGCCCGGGATGCGTAGGGCCGTCTGGACGTTGTTCTCGATGATGTCCTTTCGCGCAAGCCTCGTCTCGACGTAGAGCTTCGATAGATCCCGGCTCAAGCCGACGAGGGCTTCGTGGCAGGCCTTGATAAGCACGATCAGGACGTTGCCTGCATCCTCTGCAGCGTCATGGTCGTCTTGCCACGTTTCGTGGAAGGAATTGTAAATGTGCTGGTACGTGTCAGCGATGAGGGACGAGGCCTGGTCCCTGGTCTATTGTGACTTACTGCAACGGTGTGTGGTAACTCAAAGCTGTCGATGTCGAGGGCCTGGAGGTGGTCATAGGTAGTGCTGAGGTGAGAAATGTAGGCTTTGGCTGCAGCGCCCACCTCGGCTGTAGCGGAGTTGAGGATGCGTGGAAGGAGGTCGTCAAATTCTCGACCAGTCGTGTGTGGAGTGATCTCCTGGATCAGGGCCTTCCAATGGTAGCGGTCGGGGTTACGCTGCGAAGGATGGTCTTGGACGTCAACGTAGAGGACTCCATCACGTGAGGATCCCAGTCGCTTGAGAATCTTGAGGTAAACGTCCGAGGCTTCATTGTTCAAGTCTTTGAGCTCCACGGCAGCAAGCTTGAGCTTGTTGCGGAGAAACACCCACTTCTCGCTGAGATTCAGATTCTCGTTAGCGAGATTTGCGGGCGGGTCTGGCCGTGTGAGTCTGTGGAAGTTCTCAGGGGTGAGATCGTTACCCAGAGGGCCGTACGGCTCGTGAGGCGGCTCCTGGGACATCGTGGATGCGGTACTGCGGTGGTGTTGGTATGTAAGAAGGTGAAGAAGAAAAGAAGAAAGCGAGACCAGTTTTGTGCACAGGTGTGGGGCGGCAAAACGCGCTAGTGGATGAAGTGGTCCGTGCGGGATTTAGTGGGGTCGAAGTGAATGATCAGGCCTGGTCCACATCTCAGTGCTCTCCAGCTGTGCGAAGGGTGACACCCGGGCCAGCTTTACTGCACTAGCAAGTTCGCTTATCAATGTAGGACTAATACCAGGGCCCCCTCTTCGGCCATCGGGTCGAGCCCAGTTGCAACTAACCTTGGAAGATAGTTACTCGCAAGCCTGCACCTAGGCCTCGTCCCTGGTACGAGAATCCACTTATAGTGGAATGGCCGTTGAACCATGAAGCCTCTAGTGCATTCACCCTCGATTCTTCGCGCGTACGACATTATCTACCAAGCCTCGTCGTCGACCAAGATGCATGTGGATCCGCATTGCAGCAAACACGCTAGTCCACTAGCGCGGTTTGCCGCCCCACATCTCTGCACAAAACCCCTTTATCTTTCAACCTACAACTCTTTCCAACTTACGTACCTTTTCCCCCGTCACCCATTCCCTATCACCGCCTACTGCTGCGCTTTCCACGCTCTACCAGCGCGTCCAAAATGGCCGACCAAAACTTGACCTCGTATGTCCCGCGCAGTATACGTTTCCGGCAGATCTACTGACTCCTTTCTAGTGGTCAACTAGCACAGCAGGAGTACGATCAGGCGCTCTAGGACAATAACAAGGCTTTGTCAGATCTCCAGGATCAGCGCCAGAAAACCAACGATGAGATGATCGCGTTCCAAGCTATCGCTGGAGACGACATGACCGTGCTGCACGAGGAGCTGGCCCTGCTTCAAGATGGGCTAGGATCGGTATAACCATTCCCGCAACTGACCAGGGCCTGGTCCTCATTACTGACTATGTCCAGCTCCTCAGCGCTCGGCGCGCCTACGATGCCCTCGAGGACCGCATCCCTGTCCTCGCAAACGTAGTCCAAGTGGGCGCCAAAGACCTAGAGGCTCAGCTTCGCCGCGTGGGAAAGTCCTTCGAGGGTAGGTCTAAGTCCCCAGAGGTGTTAGGTGCGATTCAGGCCGCAGAGACAGGCCTCAAGATTGCCGCAGACGCTATCAAGCAGTGCGCAAGCCTACCTACCATGAGAGGTAAAGATGAGGCCCTAGACTCAAAGCGCCAAACCGCGTCGTCTGGTCGTAAAGACAGTATAGGTGTCGATGGCTCCATCGAAGAGCGGAAGTCCAAGACCAAGACCTGGCTTCGCCGTGCAGCCGACGAGAGTGAGGACGAGGACGAGGATAAGGACCAGGGCCCGGTCGAGGAGAGTGACAAGGCTAGGGCCTCCTCGCGCAAGAAGACTAAGGTGCAGAATGATTCCGATGAAGACGAGGAGCAGGTCTCGAAGCATGCGAAGAAGGCAGCCCCACCGAAGACCACGACCAAGACCAAGCCTGCGTCGAAAGAGGTGAAAGCTAAGGCCCCGAAGCCTAGAAAGAGCAAGAAGTCCACTGCTGCCACCAACAAGGGTCAATCCGATGCAGACGAAGAAGACGTCCACGAGCGTCTGAAGAAGCTCGAGCAAGGAAAAGCGACGACCAAGCCTAAGTCTACCTCGAAAGAGGCCAAGCACGAGGCCCTGAAGACCAAGAAGACGAAGAAGAAGCATACGAAGACCAAGACTGAGTCTTCCTCTGAGTCCTCCTCGGAGGCTTCATCCGAGTCATCTTCAGAGTCCTCTGCAGAATCCTCGTCTGAGTCTGAAGACGAAGAACCCCAGGAGAAGAAGACGAAGCAGAAGTCCAACCCCTCGAAGACCACGACCAAGGCGAAGAACGGAGCCTCAGCCAAGTCCAAGCACACTGCCCAGCGTCCAGTCTCCGAGTCAAACGAAGAGGTTGAGAGTCCTGCAGTCAAGCAGATCAAGGTGAAGAAGGAGGCTCTGTCCACGTCCAAGTCCACTTCCAAGCGCCCAGTTTCCGCATCAGACGAAGAGATTGAGAGTCCTGCAGCCAAGAAGAGCAAGGTGAAGAAGGAGGTCTTGTCCAAGTCGGCCGCTAAGCGTTCCGCCTCAGTGGCAGACGAAGAGAGTGACCAGCCTCCAGCCAAGAAGCAGAAGGCCAAGTCCAAGAAACCTGCAGAGCCGATCGCCACCCCCGAACCCTTCGCTCGCCGCCGTATGCAGGGCGCAGAGGATCAAGACTCTCGCACCAAGTCGACCAAGACCAAGCCCTCGTCCAAAGTCAAGCAGGAGGAGGTGGTGGTGTTGAGCTCCAATAACCCATCCTCCGAGCCTGAGGACGAAGTAGTCATCACCGAGACGCCTCCAAGATCTCGTGGAGATCAGAGAAACAGAGGTAGTCGTAGCGTCCACGGCGTGGGTCATGGCAGCGGAAGAACACCGGTGAACACCCCACCACCAAGCTCTGCCGTCAAGAACAAGGGCACGCCCAGCAGCAAGAGTAAGGGTGGTCGCTGAGTACCGTTGCATTGAACCGGTCATCTTCTGGCCAACGCATTTCACCAGGCCCTGGTAACTGGCCCAAGTCCGGCTTCTCGCTGAGACGTGCCACAATCAGGCCTCATCTGTTGGAAAGGCATTGCTGCTGCTTTGCAGTAGCGCAAGACCAACGACATACCACGACGACTAAGGCCAGACATCAGGCAGTAGTCATAGCATGAGCTTCAGATATGAGATAAAATGAGAGCATGATTCGCTCTAACCTGCTTTCAACATTAGTCAAGACTGGATGAGTACCCGAGGCCTTGAGCTACGTGCTTTGCCGAGAGCGATCATTATGCTCAAGACTCTTTCTCTTGTGCTATCCCTATTCTAGTGTGTATCCGCTACACAGTGACTAACACAGTTCATATCTCCTATAGCCGTTAATATTAATCTGCCGAGAGACAATCTTGGAGAGCCGTATGTTGCAGCACAGTCGTAGTCCGAATCACTTTGCAGAAGTAGCCTCAATCAACTGTTTCTTCTCCTCACTCTCAAGTGGCTGTACATGCGCCAGCCAGATGCCCTCAACCCAGCGCTGAGTCTCAATCTCCTTCCGTGTTTGACGATGCGCAGCCGACTTGATACTTTTGGCTATACCTGTAGCCGGATACGCCAGGGTACCAAACATGCCCGCTCCCGTCTTCGTAACCAATCCGGTGAGGCCTTTGCCAAGTCCTGTAGCCAACCCAGCAGCACCATTCTTCTTGACATCTTTGTATGGCTGCGTAACCAACCCCGAAAGCCCATCTGCGAAGCCCCACGCGAAGGTTTTCCCAGCAACAGCAAAGCCACTCCCGATACCTGTCACTTGGCCGTGGTCTCGAATCTTGTCTCCGTAGTGTCCGGGTATAGACTTCATGCCTTCTGTGATTGCCAGAGGGATATCTGAGGTCATGCCTTTGAGTGCCTTTGGGCCGAACATTCCTATACTTTTGACACTAGCTAGTCCTGTGTTCTGCTTGCCAGGTCGCCGGCGGGAAGTGGTAGATTGATGAGACTTGCCCGTCATATCGCTGTGCGTGCTGGCGGCGCCGGATTTAGTGGAATCGAGGCTATGTTGTTGTTCTTGGACAAAGGTCTCCAACGCTGCTGCCCTGGCTTTCTGCCGCTGTTGTTTCTGATGTTGCCCAATTGGTCTGGTAACAATACCCGTGATACAATCTCCAAGGTCTATCGCTGTTCCTAACGTGGCAGATGCGCCACCGCTTACCGGGTCCCACCGGGTGGTCTGGATACTGATGGGTTTTGTCTTGTGGCTACAAACATTCAGCTGGCTGCGCGAGGACACCAAGTTTTGAACACTTCTTACCATTTCATGTGCTTTCGAGCATCGGATCGGACTTCAGTCAGCGTTACTGCCGCAGCTTTGCTGAGCTTGAGCCTTCTATTCGACTTCTTGTAGTCCCAGACTGCGGGCTGATCGGAAAGCATATCGCATTGAATGTTCTCGACCACCAGATGTCTGTGAAATGATTGAACAGCGGCATGAACGCCATTTTCGTGAACCATGCGGTCCGCAATAGCTGTCGCCGCTGCCTTTGCTTCTGCTGTGAGGCAAAACTGGATGCCGTCGGCGAGCAGCGCTGTTGTGAGCTTTCTAGGAGGTAGCGGTTCCGGACCTGCACCTGCGGTCGCTACCATGTGGCCCCAGAATGGCTGGCTGCAACATCGTCAGCACAGTCGTATTATGAAAGCTGGACCCCACATACTCGCCAAAGAATGGAACAATCAATGTCGGAACGCCATTCTTAAGCCCGCAAGCCGTGGTTCCTGCTCCGCCGTAATGCACGACAGCCGCCATTCGTGGGAACAGCCATTCATGAGGACAGTCTCTAATGTAAAAGATGTTCTCGCCAGCATCGCCGCCAAGTTCAGACCAACCTTTTGAAATGATCGCTCTCACTCCGCTTAGTCTCACAGCCTCAGTGATGACGGCCAAAATCTTCTGTGGATCGTCGAGCACGATACTGCCAAAGCCGATGTAGACCGGAGGAGGACCTAACTTGAGAAACTCGTCGAGATCGGGAGCTGGTGTATATGAAGGAGTGCTGCGGAAGAAGAACCCACAGACATCTGGATTGTAGGCGACGTTAGCAAGAAATGGCGACAAAGCTACTGTGGGGAACAGCTACCAATATTCTCAGCCCAATCGACAGGCTTTGCAACAAGAGCAGGAGACCAGCAATACGTGGTTGGTATTTTCAGTCTGTCTACCAGGCGCGGACCGTCCATCATGTCAACTGGGTCCAGGTCAATGTCCTTGCGGAAATCGTTAATAACATCGCCTAATCTATGCGAAAGGCCATGTTAGCTGGTGAGCAAGCTCAAACGTCGCAATCGCCTTACCCTTGCCATGTCATCCATTCAACGATATGATAGGACAAGAAGTTAGCAACGTGAGGATCGTCGCCGACGTTCTTCAGATTCGCCAAGGGATGGGGAAATGCAGCGGTGGCTGTCCACGGCATGGTGAACATTAGGTGGAGAGGAATACCCATGGCCTCGGCGCAGTGAACATGGGCGAAGCTGGGTGGGTTCGCGATGATAGCGTCGGCCACAAAAGGCGTGTCAAAGATGGGATCTGGCAAGACGCAAGAATCCCAGAATCCTTCCAGCATATCAGCTACCATTGTCCTCTTCCGCGAGATCTCTCCATCCATGATCGTCTTCATAGAGGGCATCAGGCTGGGATTCTTGACCATGTATGCCATCAGTGCAGCAGGATCTCCACCAACTGGATAAAATTCGAGGCCAGCTTTGCGAACAAAATTCGCAAACACATCGTGCGTGGCTACGCGGACACGATGCCCGTATTTCTGAAGCTCGCAACCAAGGGCCAAAAACGGCTGCACGTCACCACGACTGCCTACAACGTGGATGACAATGTTCATCTTGATAGTCCATGTCGGCGGAGCCTTCTCGGATTGCGCTGTAGGAGGAGGTGTGGTCTCGAGCGTCGAATAGTCTGGTGGTGCCGGTAGAAAGTGCGACAATCTCTGAAGAGCACGAGAGCTGAAGTCGATGTCGATGCGCGCATCATCTGGTGCATTTGATGAGTACAGACAGAGTGCCAAGTTTCAAGACAGTCGATCTTGAGGAGGATCTCGCGAACCTTCCAGAGAATATACCGGAGGACTGTCATAATCTGAGCTCAAGCTTGGTGGGTAGGATGGTAGCTTATGAGAAGAAGGCGCGGACGAGATCGTGGAGGATCTGCGCCTGCCATCCTTGATAGAGCTCATAGATGCTGAGAGGAGGTGCGAGTGAGGTCAGTTGGTGCATAAAAGGGGATATGGCCGCCGTTAGAAGAAGGCAGAGTGTTGTAAGGAAGCAAAAGACAGAATGAATAAATACAATGGTCGTGGACTGGACGCTGTCTTTGCTATGATTGCCGCAGTGATCACGAATTTATTCGCGGCTCGAAGACTCGGCCTCGGTGATAAAGCAATGGGCAACGTACGTGCCCATTGAACTGAACCGAACTCTACCACATTAAGTAGTGGGCAAAATCATCGGCGTGTATGTAGCTGGCAAGGACAGCGTCATGCCTTCCGAGTTGATGGTCGAGACTGTATGTAGGCTAGCCGCTTTTGTGCTAGCTCCATGCCTAGACCGTGCTAGCGGACACTGTTGTCCACGTTGTGAGCGTATTCCGTATCTCGTACTTCGTTCCCTCAACATCGCCTCACAAGTCCTGACTACATATAGATATCCTGCACATCGACCCGCCCACTGTCACGGTCGCACCCTCACCTTCGTACACCCATGGGTTGAGCTGCGCCTTCTCGGGCTGTCCACCGTACGCGTACTTTCACCCAACTTCGCAGAACAGATCATGAAGCTTGCAGACGGGATGATGAATCGGGCATCAGGCTGCACGACAAACACGCGGCCATTTCGAGCGGCTCGCAAAACGGGAATATCAGCACCGAAGCAGTTCCGAAGCCCCGCCACAATTGCCTCGAACACTATCAGTCCTGTTCTCCATTCCTGAGATCACGGAGGCACATTTCCAAGGATACGACGCAGCGAGTGTTCCCAGCAGAACCGACGCTTTTGTCGTGAGCTCAGTCACGTCGCCTTTTGGCCGCGAAAAGATGGCGCCGAGATACCGAGGCCTGGGAATGCATGGGTAGGAAAAGGACAGGAGATCATGTTCATGGACAAACATTGCCCGTCATTGCCGACGTTCATGGTCATGATCAGGGCTCGAGTGCCTTCGCCATCTCCGGTCGAAAACCTGGAGCTGCTAGCGCACCTGGAGATAAATGATGGCCGACAAATGCAGGAGGTAGGTACAACCGCGGCCCATGTCGAACCCGGCGCCGCGGGTTGCGCGAAAGTTTGCACTCGCAGTAATGTGGGAGGCAAGCAATTACTCTGGATTTTGATGTCAATGAGGCTGGAGTAGTATGTGTTGTGGGTCTGCTCTCAATTTACATTTGGCAGACGAACGAGCAGCAGTGCTACCAATCATCCTATGCCACGGCGACCCCTGTGTTAGGGACACCAAGCCTCCTATGCTTTGCCACAAACCTCAGGACTGCAGCTGCGTTTGGTCCTTTGTATGAGAGCCGAGCCACCCTCTTCTTCTCTGCTGGTCCTTTTACAACAAGTTTCAGGCCAGGATGATACTGCTCCTCGAAGTGCACTTTGGACAGCAGCTCGCGATAGTCAACCGCCATATTGCCCACGCTTCCTTCTTCTCCCAGCATGCCCAGTGTAAACTGTTCTAGCGCCGGGAGCCGACGTGCCAGAATAGATAAAAGTTCCAGCCAGGTGGAATCCGCTACAAGCGTAACTTGAACGAGGTGCAATTGAGTCAAGCTGTTCGCCGAAGCTGCCAGAAAAGTGCAAATCAAGTCCGCAGGAAGCTTGGTGTGAGAAAGGCGAAAGGATTCCAGATTTGGGATGACTCTGTCCGCGGATATCGCTTCGTACCCAGGAAATCTCTCGATTGAGATGTTCAAGTCCCGGAGACTCGCAGCATGATAGAAAATCTGCTCGAGCCAGTATGTGCAGTTTCCCCTATCTAGACGCAGGTCTGCGGATCGCAGCATTGTAAACCCGGTGCCATGTCCTTGCTTATCGGGTGCGAAGTCAATTCGCAATTCTGATACTCGGGACGATCCTAGAGCGAATGAATGACCACTTTGTGCAAAGCGTGGCAGGTGTAGTGGAGAGCTTTGAGAAAATGGAGCGCCGATATGACTGTACTTTATCGACTTCATGGCCAGATCGCCGCCTTCGATGACTTCTCGAGCGAAATTGAGAGCAGTAATCCCATGGGATGACTCGTCGCCTGTTGGCTTCAACAAACTTTGTACGATGTCCATCTCTGAGCAAAATTTGAAATTCGCAGCTTCGATGCGATAGTCCCGAGTCAGGATCGTATGCGGCTGGATCAGCTTCTGCCGTAACACACTCTGGACGGCCGTGACATCGAGCTGACTTAAGTCGATATTACCAGATTCATAACGAGGCCAGATATGATAGGCCGTATTCATTGGCAGCTCCGAAGAGGCGTATGGGTCCACCAACTCGCTATCGTCAGCAATGCTGATGACTTTCACATATGCTGCGAGTTCCGGATCTGCTGCCAGGTGATTCAGGCGCTGCAAGTCTGATCCCATAAGCGATGTTCTCCATGTTCCGAGCCACGATTCCAGGATAGCTCCACGCGTTGCCGTAGAAGCTATACATGCTTTGCGCAATTCCACCTGGTCTGAAGGTCGTGAACACTTGCGGCTGATTGGTATAAGTCTTCAAGAATATTTAGATTGGCAAGGGCTTCCAAAGATGCTTACAGCGCGCGCTCACAACTCCTCGGCATCCATCGCTGGGCTTATACAGGCCATCACGCTTCCATCTCAACACAATCACTCCTCGGCTTTGCACTGGGCTGCGATAATAAAAGGAGCCTAGTACCCTGAAGATTGCGCTACAATGCGCGTATGTCGGCTCTCGAGGTCGTACGATGATGCCCTCTATTCACCAGATATTGTTGCCGAGCACTTCAGCCTGCACTCTGCGCAGGCGGCAACTTTTGCAGTGCGATATTTCGACTTGAGTGCTCACGATTCATTCTCTAGCGAGACGACGGATCACACTAAGTCCGACCAAGCGTATACAATATTGGCGTGGGGCGTTGTGTCGCGAACAAGACCAAACCAGAAACGTAGAGATGAGTACACAGACACACCTTGCCTCATGGCTGGCGCTGATAAGAACAAGTACGAACACGCGACAATGTTTACCCCGCTCCGCCAATTCGAGCGGGTGCATTAGTTTCAGCACATCAAACTCACATACTTCCAATCAAAAGCTGCCGAAGGCCACGTCAACACTTACACCACGGGATTGAAGGAGCGCTCTAAGAAAGAGGTAGGTGATTCCGGAGCCAAAAACATATTGTCTTGATCAGACTGTAGCTTGGGTTGGACGAAGGAGATCTCGCCACGCCACTTGCCCTCGCGTGGTTGTGGTTCTCCTTTCGAAGAGCTCGCCTCGTGTCTGCACTCTCGTGCATTTCCAGACTTTTAGGCAGTTAGCTAGATGCACGCCGGCCCCTGGTATCGGACGTGGCCCGACACACCTGACCTCGATATCTTAAAGCAAGAATTTGGACTGCCCCTTGTGGATCTATGCTTTGTGCGGCCTGTGCCTCTTTCGCACCCACTAGCAGCATTAAACACAAGACAGTATAGTAAGATATGGGCAAAGCAGATACTAGACCCAGCAGGGCACCGCGAGCTTTTGCGGCCTCCTTACAAGGTCAAGAAGACTGCGATCTTAACTACATTACTGGACTTACCGAGCGGGGCTGTGCCACTGACACGGTCATCGTCATTGAGAACATTAATTAGTACTGGATTGAAACCATAGCTAATGCTTGGAAAGTCGACCTGGGCCTCTTTGCCGAGCACGGTGACAATCCTTCGACTAATCTATACCTATGGCCTGCCGTCTTTGGCCATAAGACCAGCCCACCGAGTCGATGTAAGGACTACTAGCATGTTGACGGAGTGTTCCAATACGGGAGTAGCAACGAGACCCAATTACGAGACGCGAATATATTTCGTCGTATTCTCGCATTCGATCCGACATATAGATGGCAAATGACAACTCGGATTACTTATATGACTAAACTTTGGACGGGCAATCGATTAGGTTTGTGGACTCTGGTCGTCGGAATGCATAATTGGAAGTTGACATATGTGCACAGCGCTTCTACTAGTCGATGCCCCGGTCGAAGGTTTCGAACGTGGAAACGCAGAAAATCGTCTTAAACCCGGTCTGCACCTTCCACTAGCGATGTCTCGAGGAGTCTTGATCATTCCAACGCTACTCGCCGGGTGAGATCATTCAGTACTGGCACTGCTCCAGCAGTTTTTCTCGCACAGCTGGCAACTGAAAGTCTTCTTAAAGGCCCACGATGCAACGCCATATGTCCTCTTTCACCTTCTCGCGGCTTCGACATGGCAACATAATTTCCACTTTTTAGAAGACAGAATAAAGCATATTGCGTTCAAGGAGATTCGGCGTCCCAACACCCAAATCAACGATCAGATGCACGATCTTCGAGAGCAGCTCTCCTTCTTGAGAGCCTAGGTGGCGGCGACCAAAAAATGGCTGCCACCTGCGGTTCGGACTGAAGTTCTGTCATATCAACATCTCGGCTATCTTCCTCTGCCCGAAAATGCTCTTCAAGAGATCTCAGAAAAGGCAGAATTCCTCGAGAATTTCCTGATTGATTCGTTTAAGTTGCTGATAAGTTCGACTAGCGTAGCGGAAGCAGAACTTGCTGTACAGCAGGGAAGACGCAACTAGCGCTTGACGCAGCTGGCATTCTTATATGTTCCGCTCTCCTTCGTCACCGGCGTATTTGGCATGAATTTGAAGGAGATCAATAGCTCGCCATTACCTATATAGGTAGCTATGATTGTGCTGATGGTTATAGCATTGTGTACTGCGGGTATCTTTTTGCTCGCGAGCCATTGGGAGAATATATTTCGCCGTAATAAACGAGCCTCTGCAAAAAAGTTTAATGACTGGAGTTAGACGATTTGAGTCTGATAATCGATATTCTTGGGTCCGGGTGGCGACTAGGTCGGCAAGAAGATGATTTTCCCTAGTAGGAGGGGCAGTGAGTGGCAGAGACCCTAATTGATTGCTAAATGCCAAGACGTGGTATAACTACCTTCCAGCATTGTCCCCATTGCAGCACGTGGATTCGCTGCTGCGTCCATTCTGCAACGACAAGATATGCAGCTATTGCCACTTGACTCTGTATTGTTCGAGTGTTCCACCACTGATAGGTAAGAGCCAAGTTTGCCACAGCTTTAATATGTATGTTAGAGTTCCACATTTCAGCCTTGCGGCCAGATTGGTGAGGGGCAAGCGATCTGCCAACACACTGAAAAGTCGAGGCAGGCCGTCGCAGAATTTGTTCGGCTTCTCCTCTCTGCGTGTACTTTTCCCGTGCGCGAATTTGCGCTGCGCTTTGTCAGATATTGGTCATTGCTCAGCTTGACCTGTCCAGCATGACTACACTTTTGAGCGCCACCGCCAGTGGCACCACGCAGCCTACCGTCTTCTATAATACGTACACAACGACGACACACAATCTGACAACTACATTCACGCCACCAGCACAGTGCTTCGCTCCGACCTACACATTGTCGCCCAGCGGAAACGATTCGGCCACAGGAAATACTGTGAACAGAGGATACAATCCGGACTGCTTCCCTACTGGTTTCTTTGACGCTGTCACTGTGACCATCACTCGTCCCACTAAACCAAAAGTCGAAGTGTAGGGGGGCGTACCTGAGCTTGGGTTCGAACCTAGTCAAACTGGTCAGAGTATAGAAGTACCAGAGAGTTATTACTCCCTAGGAGTGTGTCCATCTAGCTATGTGTCTGCAGCGGGGACATATGATAGCAGAAACCACTTTGATACCTGTTGTCCGTCGTGAGTATTTCAGAGCGTCTTACGGCTCAGCTGGTGGCTAAAGGCATTGGTAGTTTCATGTCCGTGATCGGCTCCAGCTGTACCAGTCTAGCCGACACCGTTACGTTCGTCAATGGGACCAAGACTCGGGTGGACTCAGGCCTACTTGCTGTCGCCCCCTCGATCGTGGTGGCTTATCAGTCTTCTGACCTCTCGCTGTGGGCCACACCGGGATCGACAAGCACGACATCTGCTGCCTCGACTTCGCGCCCGACCGATGCGGTGAACTTACCAACGACCACGTCCGAGCCCGGTCTGAGTACTGGCGCCAAAGCAGGAATCGGCTCCGGTGTAGCTAGAGTGGTCATCGTCGGATTCATCATACTTGGACTTGTCATACGCAAACGCAGAACAGGCAGAAACGGTGATCCTTCTTCATACGCAGGCAAAGCAGAGCTCTCTGGAGAAGGCGTTCACCGGGAACTAAACGGAGAAGGAGCCGTGTACGAGAAGAGCACTTTCGTGAAGCCCGTCGAAATCGACAATGATAACCCCGTGGAACTTGATGGTGATTAGCGAGGGTGGGAAGTCGGCTCTCCGCAGAGGAATCTTACAGTATCGGAGAGGAATATCTGAGATTTGCCAGCGGCGTATGGATCTAGCGAAAGATATTAGCATGTTCGAAGCCTTGATGCGACCTACGTGGAAGTGGCCACGAGCACGAGCCGCAATCAATATTGTGCGACAATGTTTAGGGCTTGTGGAACAAAGACGAATGTCTGCTCCTCGACGCTTTTGGCTTTCTAATACACCCCTCTCGTATTCAATTGCAACTCCTGTCCTCTTGCAACTTATGACCTATCTCTCCGCCGGGAGTGGATGGGTACGGCAATGGAGCAGCTGAGTCATATAGCGGAAGGGCGTGAAGTCGTCGGAAGCGTCTCTCAGAATATTCCCAAAGTGGAACCATTCTCGTTTTGTGCTAAGTTAGGGACGAAAAGTGCACGTACCTTTCATGTGCTTGTGCGTGGTGGGCGTGGATGCGTCACAGGCAATAAAGTGTCGCCGAGAGCACCGAGGCCCCCTCCAAGATTGACCCAAAAGTCAATTTTCTGGCTGGACCCAGCAGCACTGAACCACCACAAGAGTCACACGGCGGCGGTGTGCACTTCAACTCGTGCTTCTTGACTCATCTTCTCCAGTTCACTCTCACCCTGCCCATTGAGCCATTGGCCACCATTTCTCTTAGTATTGTTCGACTCACACCTCCACCCGAACCACCGCATTGCATAGCCATTGGCTTTTGCAGACCGACTTTCAACTGCCAAACACACAGCTGTCCTCGATACCTCTAATACCACCACACACCCAATATGGCGGCCGGAGAAGCACGCACCGACGACGCCCGCGGTAGGCTATCACCGTAACAATTCGGCTTCCACAACCAGCATAACTAATACCCACCGCACAGTCCTGGGCTACGACCCTCTAATCCCACCTCAACTCCTCGAATCCGAACTTCCAGCAACCGCGACCTCCCTCTCGACTGTCCGCCGCGGCCGTCAAGAAGCCGTCGAGATCATTCACCAACGCGATGACCGTCTCCTCGTCATGGTTGGGCCCTGCTCCCTCCACGATCCCGAAGCCGCAGTCGACTACTGCACCCGCCTCGTGCAACTCGCCGACAAATTGAAAGATGATCTCTGCATTATTATGCGCGCATACTTGGAGAAGCCCCGCACAACAGTCGGCTGGAAAGGTCTGATCAACGATCCGGATATTGATGAGAGCTACCAGATCAACAAAGGACTCCGCGTCAGCAGGAAATTGTTCTGCGATTTGACGAGCCAGGGTATGCCTATTGCTTCGGAAATGTTGGATACTATCTCTCCTCAGTTCCTCGCGGATTTGATTTCTCTTGGAGCTATTGGAGCTCGTACAACAGAGTCCCAGCTTCATCGTGAGCTGGCCTCGGGTCTGTCTTTCCCGATGGGATTCAAGAACGGAACAGATGGCGGTCTTACAGTCGCCGTGGACGCCATTGGAGCTGCGGCTGCGAAACATCATTTCATGGGTGTGACGAAGCAAGGTTTGGCTGCGATCACCAAGACTGCGGGTAATCCAGACTGCTTTGTGATTCTGAGAGGTGGCACTAAGGGGACAAACTTCGATCGCGAGAGTGTTAAGGCTACGAGGGAAGCATTGAGGAAGAAGGGACTTCCGGAGGTCATGATGATCGATTGTTCGCATGGTGTGTCAAGACTGAATTAGAGTGTAAGGTGGATGTCAAGCTGACTATGGTACAGGCAATTCGCTCAAGAACCACAAGAATCAGCCCAAGGTCGCTCAGACGATCGGTGACCAGCTTCGTGAGGGCGAGACGGGCATCGTCGGTGTCATGATCGAGTCGCATCTCAACGAAGGCAACCAGAAGGCTGGCACGGCAGGTCTCGCATCGCTGCAAAAGGGTGTCTCAATCACAGATGCTTGCATTCACTGGGAGGATACCATTGCTGTGCTCGAGCAGCTCGCAGATGGCGTTCGTGGCAGACGTCAAGTGTTGAAGAGCAAGGCAAATGGTGCGAATGGTTCGCACTAAGGATATCGCTGCGGAAGTTTGGCCAGGTCGTGAAGGTACACGACGTATATGGAACCGTGAACGCATGACAGGTTAAAGAATAGAGTGTCAGCGGATGCGAGCTTCGCCTCTGCGCACTTTTGGAAAAGTCGTTTCTTGCTTGACGTCTCGGGGTGCGATCTTGCTCTATACAGATATTCCTCTCGGCGCGGCGATATTGGCATTCTAGCAGCGTATCACATTTGCTGCCATATTGCTCTTTCGCGTTCCGCCGCGCTTCTCACATTTTCAACCCCAGTCAGCAACTGTCACTAGTGATATGCGTCGCGCAGCGATGCCATACCACTCGTGCCCTGTATGCTTCTCATCTCTCATCTCTTCGTTATCACTCTTTCGCACTCATCGCACGTCGCTTTTGGCGTCTCATGCCTCGCCTCTGTTCTCTTCCGCTCCTTTTCCACTCGTGTTCACCCATCTCATGACGCTGTCCAGATGCCTGCAAAAGTCTCGCCGACACAATCGAGGTTCGTCCAGCCCCTCATACTGGCAAATCCTTATGTTTCCTCTCATCCGCTCCAGCTTTATCTCCCGCAACATTCAGCGCTTTGGCAATGTATGGCCCCACCACAGGTACATTATACGCGAACCCGGCAATCGTTTTGAAGAACTCTCCAAAGAGGATGAACATTCTGCGCACCCAAATATCAGCAATGACACCCAGAACCTGACCATCCCCCAACATTCCCCTTGTTCCTCCTGCTCCACGGCGTGTGATGCTTGTTCGACTCACCCATAACACTGCACCCCAAATCCAACAAAAGGCCATCTCATCAAAATCAACAGTATCCCCGTCCAAAACGCTGCTGTTCCCCTCCATTTCTGTCTTCGGGCGAAAAAGGCGAAGGTTCGTTGGGGACCGAGGAGGAGCGTTATGCCGATGAGGAAGAGGATGTCGCCCATGGCGAGGAGGGCGCGATCAAACAGCAGGATGAGGCCGAAGAGAAGGAAGAAGCCGCCTAGAAGATCAATGTCAGTGGAGGGACTTTGGGAGGGGGGATGTAGCGTGCTTGGTGATAGCGAAGGAGGCTTACCTACCGCCTGTGCAGAATGCGACGCCGACCTCTGTGAATGAGCAAAGATGTTATTAGTGCATGCTCATTGTCGTGCAGCTGTTGCATCTCAATGGGACCGGGAGAAGTATGTACTTTGACCATCTGATAGCCAGTATGTAGGCATGTTGGCGGATGTGATCGGATCTCTTGGGTGCAATTCTTGTTCTGTATGCGCCAAGTATGGTGCTGTGCTTCGAAGCGGAGAATGTGAATGTGACGGCGGAAAGGAACAGTTGAGGCGTTGCAAACAGTTGTCGCGATGCCGACGCTCCTTTTTCGTGCTGGGAAGACGTGTCGAGATGCGCGGCCGTGACGAGTTTGTCCGAAGTTTTCCCGGGGTCGAGGACAGGGGTCTTTGGTGAGCTTCAACTTCATCTGTCTGTTGCTTTCGTACTGCGACTCTTCTTCAGCAGAACTTGGCAGCGCTTCTGCACACCAGCCGTCCAAGCTATTGCATCTGTCCCTAGCAATGTCCCTTCTGTTGCGTTGACGTAGTCGTCTGCGCTGATTGGCAATGATGGCAAGCAAATATGTGCATCCCACTACAACTTGTCGCGTGCAGGCGTTGCCACATTCTGATCACTAAGCGCACAGCAGTAACCTGGATATCGCAGCTCCGGCTGTACGCGGATAGTCTGTATTGCGCACACATCTGTTGCAAGTCATGTTTGTTCGATATTTGCTAAGTTCTGTTGTTCTACCATCTTAGCTTATATCAACCTATCTCCAAGATAGATTCGTTCAAGAATTGTGGCCACCATGACTGTCACCCAAGGATCACTCCACATCTCCGACAACAAAGGTGTTGGCACCAACCGAAGCGGGCTCCCTGCTCGGCTCCCAGCAGACTTTCTATCTGACTTCCCTAAACTGTCGAAAGAACAAGCTGGCCACCTGCGGCACTTCCACAATCTGGCATCACATGGGCGGCCAAGACCCCGGTCAAGAGTGGAATGATGCTTACCGTTACCAGCTAGCAACCATGGCATATGCCGCCGGTGTTGCCCACTTTCATCGCCTTCCTGCTCTACGATCTGCCTTTAAATGCCTAATCGAACAGCTCATCCATAAGATGCTACGTAGAGACGTCTGGAGCTACTGGTACCTGACCAGTCAGAGCGGAAAATTCGTGGACCCCGACATAGTTGAGATGCGCAAGCCATGGGCTGATCCGAACAAGGAGGAGAATATCATGGTGAGTATGGCAAAACGTCAAGATGATCTCAACGAGACATGACATTCTTCTTATCAAGTACTCCGGACATCTCCTCCTCATGGTTTCATTGCACGCCATGCTGTTCGATGACGACAAGTACGACCAACCTGAGGCACTCACTTTCGATTGGGATCCGATATTCTGGGGCTTTGGACCAGAGATGTTCACGTATGCCAGAAGCTCCCTCCAAGAAGCCATTCTTACCGAAATGGAACGGCATCAATGGAAGGGTGTCTGCTGTGAGCCGAACAGCATTTTCATCGTGTGCAACCAATTCCCGGTAAGGCATCAGAGCAACTTTGAGCGCTTGGGATCCTTTGCTCACGGCTATCAGATCATTGCTATGCGGTATAATGATGTTCGCGCCGGAACAAACGTAGTCGACAAGGTGCTAAAAAACTACACTGCAGCGTGGGAGGAACATGGCGGCTTCCTGCAAGGCAATAAGTTCGTCCATAGCTGGTACATGGTGAAGCAAGAACGTATAGTTCCTGGTAACATCGGAACCACCGCCTGGTAAGACAAAATAAGAATACTCAAACGTGCCAGCCTGGTCTGCTGACGCGACGGAAGGACATCTGCATTCATGAACAGCTGGAACTCTCGGCTTGTCCGTTCCACGTTCCCAGCCCAATCCGTAGGGTTCTTCACAAAAGCTGCCAATGGCAGGATCAATCTGAACAGCACTACCGTAGCCATGATCATTCGCAAGCTCGTCAAGACTGAGAACGCAGATCCACAAGCCTGGAGCACAAAACGAAAAGCCCAAGAATTAGCCAAACAAACGAAGGCAGTGCCTCCACCACCTTTCGCGGTACCAATCTTCGGCTACGTTGCGCAATGGGTCTCAGAAATCGGCGACCCATCCCTTACTGAAGGTCTTCTCCGTCACGCAGACATGTTCCTTACTCCAACATGGGATAAAGGCGGGCTTTTTTATCCTCGCAACGAGACCTCAACTGACGAACACGGAAATTGGAAACTTGTGGAACCCTATACAGGTAACGCAGCGATCGCTTATGCGCGACTCAATGTACCAGATGGTCAGAAGAAAATGTGGGAGAAGCCATGGCCAAAGGCGCATTTCTCAACCTTTCCGTACATTGATGGGATTACTCTTGCTTCTGGTGTGGATTTCCTGAGGTGTGCTTGGGATCCGGACAAGCGGGCTTTTATTGCTACCATGCGCACTTGGAATGGTTCGAGAAAGTGGTGAGTAGTAGTTTTCTATGTGTTCATATGAATAAAACGCTAATGGTTTTTAGCGCCCGCTTTCTCGTCAAGAATCTGCCGGCTGGGCCGTATGGCACCTATCGAGACGGAAGCCTTATTGAAGAACGAAATGTGGATGGCGACTCGAGGGCCTTGGAGGCAATTATTGAAGTGGGACCGGAGGAGACGGATCTTGTGCTACTGAAGTCCAGCACAATAGGTCAAAGAGATTTGCATCAGTTCAATTGCCGATCCCTTATGTGATTGCGCGACTAAATTTGCAAACATCAAAGTATGGTTGCAGATGCAACATGCCTCAATCTTGCTGTCGTATATGATGCAAACGCGTAGGAAAATCCTGTTTGCCGACAAGAACTCGATGCGTATCCCTGTGCTGCCAGTCTATTGCTTGAAGTAACTTTCAAAAACTGCTGTGAGGCGCTTTGGGCTTTTCGAGTGGGTTCAACGCTGGCTGTGCTCAAGCAGTCGCTGGCGATCGAGTTTCGTATCGATCTCAGGGTCAGTGAACAACGTAATAATTATTGTGCAACTGTAAAGAAGAAGGTACTCTGGCACCATTTATATAATGGTCACTGACACTTTGCTCTTCTGCACTGACTCCTTCTCGTTCTTCAGTAGCTGCCCAAGCTCAGTTATGTGTACCAGGGCCCGTTGTTCCGTCGTACTAGCCGTCCCAGAGACAACCAGTCTGTAGGTCGAGCTGTCAGATTCCGCGGGCCTTAGCCACAGCGTCCTACTGCCCTGCGGAGGTAGTTCCAGCATGCAGAGAATATCGTTCGCTTTTGGGACGGGTGCTCTTCGTGTCTTGTGAGAAAGCTGGACCTCTAAAGTGTGCCCATTCCTTCGGATCTTTCCTCGCCAAGTCGAGCATGATCTGCTCTTCAAGCGCGTTCCAGAACTCTCACCAACGAAGACACCAATCCAGTATAAATCCAGTTTTAGACTCATGCCATCGTTAACACAATGCAGAGTCACCCGAGGTGGTGGGTACGGGTGGTGCAAAGACTCCAAATAGTAGTCACGCAAGTCCGGAACCTATGATGGTACAGCCGTCGAAGGACTATGGTTAGCGATGCCCGCGAGACAAAGCACGCGCATGTCACCCCTATCCACCATGCTCTTTGTGAAGCGCGTACAGACAATCTCGAATGTAGCTGTGTAATCGGCGCGCAGACCATGGCCAGAGACTAAAGGGAGTAGAGAGTATAGGCGATCGCGAGGATCTGCACAATGAAAGTCACTAAAGTGCGTGACACACCACAATAAGTCTCTTGACGAGAGTTCATCAGGATCCAGAATGCGTTTGGCGTTGGTTACCAGCGACCGAAAAGATTCCAGAGCATTAGGGCTGCGGTGTTTGGCCTTGCGGCTTTGAACCACATATATTACCTTTGCAGCCACCCAAAGTGCTGTAGACAATGTTTTCCAATCAGTCGAGTACTTGCCCCAATAGAATAGCCTGCTATGGGGGCAGCGCATGCGAGAAAAGTTCTCCTGGAGGATCCAACGCCGCTTCCAGTACTTTCGTTGGAGCAAGGGCAAGAACATGGCGAATTTGACAACAAGGCGTCGTAGCCTCTGGCTGTCTGCAGCAAGCCAAGTTTCCAGATTATCTTTGCTCGGGAATGTTGCCTTCAGAGGATAATCTACTGGATCCGCCTGAAATGCGTGCTGTGCAACGGCTGCAGAATTCGGCTTTAGGATTATCGATGGACGAGGCTCGCAGATTTCTATCTTCTCGAAGGTATCGATAGCCTCTATTTGCAGTTGCTCCCTATCGATAGCCTCTATTCGCAGTTTTTCCCGGGGTCTGAAATACTCGTTCGGTTTCTTTTGTCGCACTCGCTCTTCTGCATCTTCAAGGCATCTGGTCAACTGCCACGCGACTTGGTCTCCCTCAGGAAATGTGCCCTCTCCCAGCCAGACAATAACGTCCTGGGCTAGCGTATAGACGTCGAACATCATGGCGACCTGTGTACCGCGCTCGGTCGGGTCGCTCTGGTTGGTACAGATAGCGTCTATCCACAATTGCTTCCGATCTACGCGAGACCTAAGTCTGCGGAGCCCTTCTGCCAGGTTCTGTGTGATGCTCAGGCACCTTCCATCTAGCAGTATGGCATGGGGGTACTGGATCGTGGGCGTATTGCGTCGTTGTAGCCTGGGATTCGCGGGATGCTGAGACACCGTACATAGTATAAACGACTGAATCCGTCTTCCGGAACAGCCAGAGCACAGAGAGCTTTATAACAAGGTCAGCTATGCGGAGGCTGAGCATCTGCGCCACCACTGTGCAACGCGAGTAGAAGGGCAACATCTCAACTCAAGCAGAGATGCCTCAGGCTTACGTGATCATAAGAGCATCACTGGACAGCCGTGAACGAGGGCATCAGCAAGAGCACTGTGTTTCACGTACCTGTCACATTCGAGGGACCACGATCAGGCGAAGCCCAGAACGAAGACAACTTCTGCTCGTACCTCCATTACTTCGTCCCCTTCACAATATTCCTCACCATCTTCTCCAACATCGCACCACCCGTCCCACCGCTCCCCTCAAAATACGCTGCAACACTCTTCTCCACATACTTCCCAACCATATCCACCTCCACATTAACATCCTCTCCCACCTCCTTCTTCGCTAGCACAACCCTTTCCTGCGTATAAGCGATAAGCATCATCTCCCACCATCCTTCCTCATCATTGACCTCCGTGACAGTCAAACTCGCTCCATCGAGCGTCACATATCCTTTTTCCACAATATACCTCAACACACTCTTATCTTTGGGCTGCAACCGGAATGTCACAGCATTCCCATCAGGTCTCTTATCCGCGACGACTGCAACAGTGTCCACGTGTCCTTGCACAAAATGTCCTCCCATTCGTGTACTCGCGCTGACTGCTCGTTCGAGATTGACCCCGCTTCCCTCTTTCAATTTGCCCAAATTCGTCCTTCGCAGTGTTTCGGGTGAGACACCGACTTTGAACTCATTCTTGCTGAATTCGGTGACGGTCAAGCAGGTTCCGTTGATCGAGATGCTGTCGCCCAAATGGCAGTCACCGAGGATTTCAGAGCATTCGCTGATGGTCAAAGAGGTTCCGCCTCCACCGCTGGAGGACTCATCGTGCTCGACGAGCTTGGAGACGGCTGGCCGAGAGGAGGTTCATGTCAGCGGCAGCGTTCCATTCATGTTGAAGAGAGTGGTACGAGGGACGTACTGCCGACGATCTCAACGATGCCTGTGAACATTTTGTGTTTGCTGTAGTGTACTCTTCAAGATGTTCCGGAGAGAAGTTCCAATGGTTCAATGCAGATTGGTGCAAGCGTCATGCAAGAGGTCGATGCCCCTCTACCCCGCCGATGTCGCTGGCTTGACAGGGTTTCGATCAACTTCAATCAAATGTTGGGGCGGGATCAACCAATTTCCAGGACAAGTTGACAAAGATACGAAGCATGTTTCGATTCTGCAATCTCCAACGACGTTCTTTTGAGTCCACCGATTCTCTCTTACGGACCGAGAACCCAAGTGAGCGGACCGAGCATGATCAACAAGCACCAACTAGAAGAGGCATTGAGATATACTGACCAATGTAGTTGCAAAGCTGTAACCTAGCAACACCACACGACGATGGCGAGCCCGAGTCCTTTCTCCAGAGATCGGAAGAACTCTCACCTCAACTTCCTCATCCTCACAAACACATTCTTCGGCCTTCTTGTCACGGTTTGCTTCGCCTGCATCTTGACATCAGTAGGCAAGAATTCGAATTGCCAGAACACAAGCGTGAAGAAAATCCGCATCTGCAGTAGAGCCAATTTCTTTCCCAGACAGCCTCTTGCTCCTGCCCCGAAGACGATGGCTAAGAGAGATCAAGTCAGCCAGAGACCAAGAGTCGTGTACTAACATCTCAGAAAATGCGAAGGGAGAAAAGTACTCACCAGGTCCAGCAAACTGGTCGAAAGCCTCTTGGCCATTGCGATCCTGCTTAAGCCATCTCTCGGGCTTGAATTCATGCATATCACTTTCATCCCACGACCCGATCTTCCCGCCATGCTCTTGACTGGTTGAACTCCTCATCTTCTCGTTCACTGGAAATCCGGGCGAAGTATGCGTAGGCCCCCAAGTGGGAAAGATGACCTCGGTGCCTTTTGGAATATGACATCCTAGGACTTGAGTATCGCACGTCGCGACCCGCATATTTGCTGGAACTGGATCGCCTAGTCGGATGACTTCTTCGATGACGGCGTCGAGATAGGGCATCGATGCTCGAATGATCGCTTCAGTGTTTGGAACACTCGATAACCCGTGTACCTGCTCGATTGCAGTGCGTAGTCTGATTTGGGCATTCTGATGTGCTGCGAGTAGTAGCACTCCCCAGCGAATGGTGGTGGCAGTGGTGTCGAAGCCTCCCACGATATATGTGAAGACGTCGTCCCGCATGGCAGACGAGTATAACCCTTCGCCCAAACGCTGAGCTCTGCTGATCATCACATCTGCAGCGCAGGTCATATCATCTGCATCCTTCTCTTTCTCCGCCAGTCGTCGCACTGCCGCTGCAATTTCCGTATCCACGAGTCTTCTCTTCGCCTTCATCGCTTTTCTCAGCTTTGGCACCACAGCAACAGCGATTATTTGGTGTGCCACTCCAAACGGTGAATTGATCGCAATCTGCGAACTGTTCGGCAGTACGATCGTACACGCAACTTCGTCCGGCAACATCGCATCCTGGAAGACCACTGCACCAGTCACAGGATCGGTCTTCCAGGGCAACGAAAAATTCTCAGCTTGCAACTTCAATGCTCCGGAGGACCGTCCGAAATTCGAGGCCCAGAGCGCTTCAAGCGTAGCATACAGAATGTCCTTGTCAACATCCACAAGAGCGTCACCTACTATTTCCACCTTCTTCGTCCATAGATCCAAGAGCTGTGTATAAGCTTCGTGCACTCGAGGAGCATTGACCCTTTGCAGGAACGAAGGCGCCATCGTGTCAGAAAAGATCCGACGCTGATGCTTCCACTCCTCATTCGAGGCCAGAGCAGGAAGTGAATTTGGCAGCCAGGCGCGAAAAGTATCGGCGAAAAAGGGCGATCTATCGAACTCGTTCGTGCGTCGGAGCATGATGTCGTATGCTCTCGATCAATGTCAGCTGTCTGCTACAGCTCGACTGTCAGATTTGCTTAGATGACACTCACTCTTGCCCATCAGCAAGTACCACACAAGGCTTCGTCCCAGGAAAGAGAAAGACTTGGACAATCGGCGACGCAAGATCCTGGCACAGCTTCGGCAAGAAATAGAACGGCTCTCCAGTGCTCGATGACCACTTCAGCATATCTGGGAGATCTCCCAGCAGGCGTGTGGCTGATTTCCTGTTGTATGGAATACCTTGCAATGGCTTTGGCAGAAGATGCCAATAAAGAAGGCCAGCACAAGCAACAACCAGTGCTGTGGCGGCGAATCCATAGCTGGAAACGATTGATTCAGCCATGTGTGCGTTTGACTCTTTTCTCAAGGTGTGGTATATAAGAAGACGGGAGAGGAATTGCAGCCGAACTCATGATCCGCTCAGCTGAAGCTCTAGTAGATACGAGCTACTCGTGAGCATGCAAGCGATCCCCAATCCTTCGCAGCTACAAAGTATGCCGAGTGCTGCTGTGCAACAACGGAACTGCTTAAAAGCTCTGAGCCGCTTTTTAGAGCGATTTTCAAGCTGCATCCTACTGTTGAAGTAGAGTTTGGTTAGAGAGTAGATCATGGAGCCAAGAGTCGTCTTCTGCCGCTTTCAAATCTGTGTCAAGGGATGCAAGATCTTCGGTGAGGCCCAGAGGCTCCAAGTATACTGGATCATGGCCGTCACTTTGTGCCGTGTCCCGTTCGTACTGTTCCACGATCGCAGAGTAGCTTTCGTACCACTCCTCTATCGCTTTGTACGCGGCGATGATTTTCGTTGTGAAAGATGCTGCGTCCACTCCATCTAGTGAGGCAGAGAACTTTTTCATCTTCCCAAAGTAGCATGGCAGCTTCAATTCGTCGCGGCTGAGTACAGCTCCGTACGTGTTTCCCGGTGCAGTGACAGCCACGAAGAGTTTGGCGAGTATCATTAGAGCATATAGAACTCTTGGAGTGTAGAACAGTGGTGAAGTCGCGAATATTGTCTCCGGTGCCAGTCCGCTCACAATATCCAACACCGCATGGCATGAATCTTTGAGCGCGTATAATGCTGCGACGTGGTCCACTGTCACAACCGGGCTTGCAAAGTCTGCAGCTGCGATGCGCTCAGGGATGAACGGTGCCGAGAATGTGGCTTTGTTCGTTGCAGTGTGCAACACTGGCTCATTGAGATATATCAAAGCCTGATGTCGATATATGAGGAGCTCGGGCTTCCTGATATCTGGTGGCAGCTGATGCGTCCAATTGTCAATCTCCTGGCGCAATTGAGAAACAGTAGCCTTCGCATAATCGCTTGCAAAGACTGTGGGCTGCGACGTCTCGCACAGACCCAGACGTGTCACAGCACGATAGCATAGCAATTCAGCCTGGATGATCTCGCAAAATGTTCGCTGTGGCACCGTTCGAGCATGAGCCTTGACGTACGCCAAAGAAGTATCGTGATGAGGTGTCCACGGGTTACTATCCGGTCTTCGTATGACAGTAGTCATCGCCGAGCCAGTCACAAAACAAGAGAGCCAAGTACGGCAGCCCACCAGTGAGAGATCTTGATCAGATCTTTCAAACCAGGTCCCAGGATCGTGCGTAACGTGCGAGCCGGCAATCCCCAGATCAATAGCCATACTCGTCGAAAGCTGAACAATCTGCAGAATCGTCGCATGTTTACTGCCATATCTCATTCGGAACCAATAGCTCGCAATCAGCAGAGCTTGAGCAAGTTCCAAAGACCTTTCCCCAGCAGCAATAAGCCGACTAGCAAAATCCTGCATAGCTCGATCAACCAATTCAAGTTGAAGATCAAGCTCCAGAATCCCATTCGTTGGGAACGCCAGAATGGCTAACAGCAGAATCGGGTTCCCAGCACGCAGAACTTCCAGGTCCAGCGGCTCAGCATGCAGCAAAGGCAGAACTTTTGAATGCTGCTCATTATAAGCCTCGACAACCCTCAACTGCACCTTCCACTTCACCCTCTCATCAATAAACCTGAAATCAGCATTCGTGACTTGAGCCGGACTCCTCTCATACCCAGGATCCACTCGTACATCATCACTCAGCTTCCTCTTCTTATTCGCGTCCGGTTCGGGAGAGGCATTCGCCAAATTTTGAGCTTGTAACGCATTCGTCAATTCCTGGACCTGAGCTTCCAGAGCAGCAATTCGATCTCTCTGTAATCTTCTCATCGCGGGAATGCATTCTTTCCCAGCGCGGTAGCACCGCTCACAAGACTCATCCCCAGCATCTTCGCTAGGTTCGCAACGTGCTTTGAGGACGTGGCAGTTTTCGCAGGCTCGACGGCGTTTTTGCATATTTTGGAAATCAACTTGAGTGTTCTTGCTGTACTTTTTCGCAGACTCCCTCAGAAATATGGCTCACGGTACTGACAGATTAGCTTTCTCCAAAAAGGTACATGTAGTCATGAAGCGCGTGGCAACAGTCCTCGAACTCCGCCTCTCTCGCTTCAAAGCAATGCTTCTCGGAGCTGAGCTGCAGAGGCGCAGCAACTCGCAACAGGCGACATTGGCAGCTTGCTTGCCAAGTCATAGTCTAACCAGAATCCTTCGAAGCTGAGGTGACGAGTCGTAGACGTCGGTCAAGCAGCTTGGCGACGCCTTCGAGGTTCCTCCGCGTCACGTGTAGAACTAGAAGAATAGAAGGAACAAGGAAGGATTCAATCCGATGTGCAGACGTGCATAACGCACATGGCAATCTCGTGGCACGCTGCAGAGACACAGTTATTTTCAGGCTAAAATGCTAAATCGTGTCATGGACTTTCGTTTCTTCGTAAACCTCGTCAGTCGTGCCGCATCGCCATTTTCACGCTCGAACGCTTCAATGTTTTCACCAGGAATCCCAAGAGCGCCGCTTTCTCAAACGCCATCGCTAAGCATGCGGGCTAGAACCAAAATTTCGCGCCTCTGTGTTATTTTCAACGACCATATCGACGGCAAATGTTTGCCCAGGTGTCCATGAACATCCTCGCATCTAGAAATCGTTAGCCTTCGAACCATGACACCTAATCGTCGAGCAGATTTACCATTCGTCGTTGCAAATGGCAATACCGGCTCCCCACGAGCATTCACTGGTGGCAAATATCCAGAAATGAAAACCGAAGGCTCCGGACTCAGCTTCGCCAGACTCACAAGCCCATTGCTTTGCAACTCAGCCCAGTCCGCATCCCAGATGTATTTCGTAACGAATGCCGTCCAGATTGGCACACCCGCCCTCGGTCCACGAAGAGGTGAAGCCTCGATACGCACAACTTTTGAAGCACTATCACGGATGATTTGCAAAGCATGTCGCATCTCGCCATGTCGAATCTCACCGGCGAAGAGCATCTTCTCGCCTCCCTCGCATTTCTCAAGAGGTAAATCTTCCAGTAGGATCCGGTGTGCGATACCTTCGTGATCTTGATGTTTCATCGCCACAAAAGTGTTGTAAAACAGCACCATTCTCTCATGAAGGAAGAAGTTGAGGCGTGCCCATAGAGTGTGTCTCTCACTTCCATGTCGGACGCGACAAAGTTTGAGCAATGACCCCTCCCGAATGATTTTTAGTTTCGTCAATCGTTCTGAATAATGCAATGGTTGGCCGTATGCATCGAGGGCCATGATCAGGATGATCGCGCGAAAGTCCTCAGGTCGGTAGTACAGGCGTACCCATGTTCGATCTTCATCGAACGACAATTGCATGGCTTGCTGGAATCCGGTCGTAGCTATTGCTTCGAGAGCTTCTGGGGCGGGATCGCCATAGCACTTTGAGCGATCCAGGGACTGATACTCACTCTTGTATCGACTGGTAGGAGAGCTGCCGTCGAATACACTCTGGGCCCAATGAGGTGCCGAGGCGGACTGGCCAGGAAAGTAGGGGTTGCTGGAGTAAGACGTGTGACTGGACATCGTCTGCGAAGAGCCTGAAGAGAAAGTGCTGAAGATAGGCGAAACCAGTGGGGAGGTCGGAGATACTGGGAGTGGAGGGTCTGGCGCATGCATGCCTTGTGGGCGCTCGAACATCAGGTCTTCCGATATTACGGTTGGGCTTGTAGGTATTCGAACTACAGTCGGCCTGCTTCCTGCTCTCGGCCTCGGTGTGCGTGCTCCTGCAAACGCGTCAGTACAATGCATCATACTAGATGAAAAACGGCCACTGCACCAGATGTCTCAAGCAATTCATGATCGTCAGACACGTTTCGCAGCCTCTGCTGTGTCGCAAGTAGTCGAGTCACCTCTCGACGCAGCTGACTCAGATTTGGAGGGCTTTCCCGTTCTAGAACATCATTCTGTGCATCGAGAAAGTCTCTGTAGAGTTCCAACCTTTCCAACAATCCAATGCGTTCTTGACGACCCAGTTGATGTTCCAGATCCTCCCACGCTCTTTCCTCAGAACGTAGCCGTGACCTCGCAAACATATCAAACACATCTTGCGTAGTGTATCTGAGACTTCGGCGCAAAAGGCCAAGGTCGTCTTTGATTCGGTAGAACGAAGGTCCATGAATCTGCGTGTTCTCCAATCCGTGTATCTTTCGCAACTCAGAACTGAGCCCAAAGAGCTCAGAAATGATAGCCGTAATCCTTGTAGCATGTCGTGACAAGGCGTCGCGCAGTCGGTAGAGTCCCGAGCCAGCATCATCGCAGTCCAGTGCAGACTCAAGCAGCGTTCGCTCACGCTGGTGCTCTGCCATCTTATTCGCTGGTACGAGCTTCGCGCGCTTGCGCTTGCGATACCTCCGCCTTCGCAACTCGAGTCATTGGCCGTGTAGAGCTTCTGGCGCGCGCGCTATGCCTCAGGCACGCGAGGATAGTGGTGTGCACGGTATGCGTGACTGGAGTCGAGCACGGGATGATGGACAGAGGCTCACCGGAAGGGCGCTCGAAATTTCCAACCTTCGTGCTCCTCTTCCGGTACGACGTGACTGTGAGCCGCTTGCCGCGCTTGTGGAGCTGGCGATGGCTGATTGGGGCTTCATTTGACCGGTGAAGGGCTGACATCAAGCAGTTTTCTTCCTCGTCTTTGCCAGCACATGCGACATGGAGTCTCTTTTCTTCATGTGAGCCTCGAGGGAATGTCGGAGTAGACTTGCCTTGTTTCAATGCAGTCCAGCCAGGCGTGTGAAAGCCAAAAGGAAAACATGCCTACCTTGACAACCTACCAGCTGAGCTTGGCGACCAGGGACCTACTCGCTATGCAGCAAGCAGAGTGCAGTCGCAGAGTAATTGCGACCGGTCGCTCAATGCCGATGTAGAGATACGATGGGCGGTGTGGTCAGAAGCCTCTCGAAGAGAAATGCGCAATGTGGCCATGGCATCGCCATCTGGATTGAGACTCCGCCAGCCTCAATCTCGTACAAAACACGCAAGAGCGGGCAGTAAAGTTCACAAGACGACATGTGAACAGCGAGGCCTGGACCGCAGTGGTGACTCAAAAAGAGTACACTGGAAAGTAAGAGAGAAGAGAAGTGATGAGGTCGATTGAACGGGAGGTCTGAAACCAATATACGAGCCGAGAGACTCCGCCACACACCACCAACAACGACCGTGCACGAGACCTTCTTCCTCAGGCACAGAGCCTCCCACCCACCTTACTTAAAGGAACCGTACTCATGGATCCAATCATATGCCTCGGACCGCCGAAGCCATCAATTGCGATGGCAAAGCGACTGCAGACCAATCTCAAAGCAGTAGCACCCACTACCCCTAGCTTAGGCAACCACTTCCAACATCCAACAAGTTGACCCGATTAGTGGAGAACGTGGTGTAAGACGGGAAGAAACGAGAAGATGCTTGGTTCTTGAGATCACGCCTCAGCCAATTGACTGAAAAAGGCGTCTTATGCTCATTCCCAACGACTAAAAACAGTAATAGCAGCAGCGTCTCCAACTCAGCCGCACACTAATAGGGTATCTTCGCAATCTCATGTCCTCAAAGAAACGCCAAATGCTAGCACAGGCTAGGCTCAACGAGCAGGTTCTGGCACTCCTTCTCATGACCTTGCCAGATGATGATATGCAAACAATTAACACACAATGCAGTCCGCGATTCCAACGTCCCTAATGCTGTCAGACAGTCTCAAACTGTCAAGGATGTCGAGAAGATGTCGTCGTCGTCAATCCCGAGGGAAACCCGCTCCGAGTACATGTATCCCAACGCCATATCCGTTACCATGCCCCTCATTACATATGCAGGTCGTGTCTGGTGGTTTGAGCTCACAAGAACTCATACTCTTCCTCGTCTGCGTTACGAAGGATCACCAGGCCATCGGCATCGGTCTTCTTGCCTCGCTTCTTCTTCTCCGGGCTCATGATGACAGCTTCACCGTCTGAGTCCAACATCTCATACTCCTTCTTCACGAGCTTGGCGGTCTCGCGGTCCTCGAACTTCTCCACGGCCTTTGCGAGGGCGACGTTGAGGATCTGGCTGCCTTGACTTGGCGAGCGGGCTGCATCAAAGGAATAGGTGACGCCGGCGTCGACGGGTGGGGAGGGAGTGTCGTCGTACTCGTCCGAGTTGCTACCTGATGAGTCGTCCGTAATGGCTGCACCTTCGAGCATATCGTGCTTGCGGGCGACCTTAGCTCCGTGAGCTAATGAAGCTACCGCACTCTTGTTCTCGCGCCGCTTGAAGCTGTACTCGCTGTTGTGTGTCAGCTATAGTGGGGCAGATAGGATGCAAGCTATATGGAATACTGACGTCTCGGAAGGACGATGAGGTCGGGGCTTCGCAGGAGCACGGCCTACACCTCCCGTTGAGCCGAGTGCCCACTTGTGCTTGTGAGAAGCATCGCGCTTGTAGTCTTGAGCAGTGGCGCGGAGGTCGGCGTTGGAGAAGGTCTGCTCAGAGGACATGATGAGGGGTTTCGAGCTGTTGCGAGCTCGGTGTTGGGGGAATGTAGTGTTTGAACGTCCTATGTTGCGATCTGGCTGCAGAGGAGTGGCCTAGACCTGAATGGACACCTTGGTGTCTGTTGATAGTTGGATAGTATTAGAGTCGGACAGAACAGGGACGAGGTGTCGTAGGTGGATGTCTTTGTGACGTCCGGGTCAGCAAGACAAAGAGACAGCAACAACAGCTCGTGATAGGGTGGATGTGACGACTGGATCAAAGAGGTTCGCGGTGTTTATCAGCAGGTAGGCGTGACTCGTCGTTGCGGAGCTGAGTCACGAGGTGATGTAAGGCGTGGCTTCCGAGGGCCGTTGAGCGTTGTGATCGCGGTGTCGCGTCTCGGACGTGTTTGTGAGGTATGACTGTGACAGAAGACGAAGCTGGAAGGCAGTTGTTTGAGTCTCAATCAATAGATGGCGTTGCACAGAGCACAAAGCACGTCAAAGACGATCGAGAGCTGCCTTTATCCAGGTCATCTGGTTTGACTCTTACCTCGTTCCGGCCACGGACGTGTGGGGAGCAGGCGATAAGCACGAAGCAGCGCGATCCCGTGGCGCAGGAGGCCCACGCCCATGCTCTCCGTCATGGCTGCGAGATATCAGGAACGTGGCTGTACGACTGGTGCACGGATCCGGCGGCAGTTGTTTGTTATGCTTGCTTGCCTCGGGGTGACGAGAGCAGCCTGGCAGCGATTGCGATTGCTGGGGCTTTGTCTGCTCCGTCACAGTGGTGAGGTTCCTACGCGCGCGGCCGAGCTCCGATGACGTGCGGGTCTAAATCGGGACGGAGCGCGTTGTCCCACCATGATTGCACGTGAAGCTTTGGTTCAGCCTTGATTCGCCGCAGTACGGCGACGTGCTGGGTCTGCTGATGTGAACGCATCGCGGCCATCGTCCACCTTCACACAGGCCGTGGGCAAGACCAGAAAGTCGGTGACACAGAGCTTGAGTTGTGCGAGGATGATCGCGCTCACACCCTCGCGCTCTTCCTACTCCTCTTCCGCCTCGCCAGCTTCGCTGGGCAGCACAGCCGGGAACCAGCCATAGGTGGAGAAGTCGACTGTCCGTTCGCCTAGGGAGCCACGGCCAACTTGCACTCCTTCTGCGAGCAGGGCGGTTTCCTGATTAGCTGCACCATTCGCCCCTCTTGAGGCGCTGTCAGCTGGACATTCCAGCGGAGGTAGAGGATCATCACCATGACGATGGGCACTTGCCTCTGGCTGATGATTCCTTTTGAGTTGATCACTCGCTGCCAAGGGACCGTGTCGCCGTTGTAGCGAGCGTCTGGCTGGTCTGCTGCGCTGGGCAGATACTTGAGGCAGATGCCAACTTGGCTGAAACGGACATGATCAGAATGTCGGTCTGTCTTGGGTGTCGTGTTCTTCTTCTCCATACCGTGGGCGCTCGCTATCAACCACGATTGAGCCTCTGGTCGCATCGATCGTGAGCTGTCGATCAGAAATACTCACGGATACCCCAATAGAGTCGCAATGTGGCCGTAACTCGTCACCGAGCCGTACGGCACTTGCTGGACAGCCCTATAGACCATCGTATACCATGACGCTGCCTCATCAGATCGAGGCATTGTGGTCGCCGTTCACATGTTGGTGATTGTAATTCTGATCGAAATGCACGAACGGTTTTGTGCGCTCGGCGCGCGGAACCAAAGTCGCGCTAGTGCGTCACCCGTCAAGATCGCCCTTCACTTTCACGACTTGCGCTGCTACAGATCCACTGCTTGAATAGTTGTTCGCAATACCGTGCAGATATGGGTCTCGCCGACTACCTTGCACAGAATTACCTCTCAGCAGAAAAGCCGGCCAAAAAGCGCAAGAGAAAGGAGAAGGCGCAAGCCGAAGGTCTCACGATCGAGGACGACGAAGCACAAAACTGGACGAATCCCACGCAAACCAACGACGATGACGATGATGCACCGGTCATAGTAGGAGGCACGCTAGCAGGCGGGTTGAACAAGCCGGTGAAGAAATCAAAATGGATCAAAGTGGGCGCAGAAGCACCCAAAGATTCGGAGCAAGCGGCAGCGGATGCCATTCTTGCAGATGCGCAAGCAGAATCGCGAGCGCGCGCACAACAAGACGACGATGACCCGACACTTGTTGGAGAGAATGGAGCAGACTACGATGGACCCGTCATGCAGAATGGCGCACTGGCAGGCCTGCAGACTGCCGCGCAAGTCTCGCGAGCGCTGAAGAAGAAGCAGAAAGCAGAGATGAAAGCTATGCAGGATGCGGATCTGGCGTCGGGAGGTCTGGCACAGCAGACAATATACCGTGATGCATCGGGACGAATGATCAACGTGAAGCAAAAGCAGGATGAAGCAGAGGAGAAGAAGAGGGAGGAGGAGCGGAAAGCAAAGGAGGAGCTGGAGAGTCGCAAGGGAGATGTACAACGGCGGGAGAAAGAAGAGAGAAGGCGAGATCTCGAGGAGGCGAAGGTCATGACTGTGGCAAGAGGAGCGGATGACGAGAAGATGAATGCGGAACTGAAGGAGAGGGAGAGGTGGAATGACCCCATGGCACAGTTGCTGGCAACGAAGAAGAGCAGTGGGAAAGATGGGAAGAGCAAAGGTGGGAGCAAGACATATCAAGGTGCATTCGAACCGAATCGATACGGAATCAAGCCAGGCTGGAGATGGGATGGAGTGGATCGAAGTAATGGATTCGAGAGGAAATGGTTCGCCGCGAGGAATAAAGCCAAGGACCGAGCAGCACTGGAAGTTGCATGGGAAATGGACATATGAGCGCATTATATGGACCATTCTTCAAAAGCAATGCTACAATCAAGACCATCTATCGACTACGCGCAAAATCCCAAACGCCGTCATACCCTCAGTGAGGCCGCGTTGCGCTCACGGCCGAGAGAGGAAAAGCACCTGCTCCCCCACGAAGAAATCTTGCAGCAGAACTAGATCCAGCTGATGACTCCCTCTCAAGATTCCTCACCGACATCCTACCGCTCCCTCAACAACCCAATCTCCTTCCCCATCGCTCCAAAATCATTCCCCCTGAACCTCCACTGCGGCAGCGGCGAAGACTTCATACAATCCTCACATTCACTAGTATGAACCTTCAGAAACCACACAACAAATCCCATAGTAATCCCCTTCGGATTCTCCAACCGGAAAACTTTTCGCAGCCGCTCGCACTTGAAATCCAGCGTCTCGCAGGGCGGCTGCATAACAAACATCTTCCTCCAAGAAGCGTCTTTCCTACACATGGCCTTCCATTCCGGGATTGTCCTTGGTCCGAAATGCTTGGTAGTTGTTGCTCCGATACCAACGCCCAACATAGCGATACTGATATGATGCGGGTAATGTAGCGGTTCGGCGATGAGGCCGCGATGGATGAAAGAGTATTCTGTGGTGTTATTCGCTGCTTTCAGAGGCACGAGGTAGCGGTGTAGTAGAGGGTTGGGTTTCGGGATGAGAGGCTTTTTCGAGGAGACTTGTTGCCATTTGCCGAGGGAGTTGTCGAAAGGAGTGGAGACGAGGCTGAGATTGACGGTGACGATGTCGGTGTCGCCTAGGTCGAAGCTGCTGCGGAACTCTACGAGCTCGGTTGATGAGGGGCGAAGGTAGAGTTTTTCTTGGAGATCTTTGCTTGCGATGGCGTACTTCCAGGTGTGGCATACTCGCTGGTTGACCAGGATCTGGTTCGCTGGAAGGTGTCCGACAATATTTTCAATTAATTCTGGCATGGAGAATACTTGGTCTATGGCGGGCGTAGGGGCCTCCTCATCCGAGACTTGAGGTGGTTTTACGGCGTCCGATATGGCCGACATGGTTGCGATGGTTCTGGACATCTGTTCTTCTTGACGGAGTGGGTTTACTCAGAGACGATTTGTGTGAGAGCAGGATGGGCGCGATGAATGATGCAAACGTGGTTTATATTCCACCTCTGTCCTCAAAGACTTGCGTCCTAAGGACGACATATTCTGAATTCTACCTTCCGGCTGATCCGTGGTTCTGCGTCCTGTTCAATGCGGCCTCATGCCCAAGACCATCAAAACTCTCAGCGCACTGGCATCGTGCAGCATATTGGAGGCGCAGTCTTGCTGTCGAGAGCTGCAACGCAAGGTTCACAGCTTTGCGTTTCCCAGGAGAATTCACAACAGAATCTCTCCCAGAGCTTGACCTTCGAACTTGAAAATGCGAATTGTGCCGCCGCGTGCAAAGCCGATCCGCCACCGGCTGTGCCTTCCATTTTTGTTTTTACGACAGAGTGGAAGGTGTGTGTGGCTTGCATTGACCAGTTGACCCAAGGTCACGCCAGTCTGGTCCGGTGTCCTGCGGCCTCCTAAGCCTTCGATCGTGAAGGTCACTGCGCAATACACGCATGTTACGCGCACCCAAGCGCAGGGTGGTTGCGTGATGAACATCTTCGTCGCTATGCTGCGTGATTGCGACTTCAAGCGCGCTTTGGACAGCGTTGACTTGACTGCGAGCCAGCCACAGGAGCTTCGCCTGAAGTCGGCGTTGACATAAGGGTTGGCAATGAGGTCGAGTGTAGAGTCTGCGTCGGGCTGCAGCACACGACCTTTCAAAGGTGCCAGGAAGAGTGCCTTGCAAGCGTTAGCTCGCCTGATTGTATGTTTGCTGGTGAGTGTGTGTTTTAGGACCAAGCAGCGCAGCCATCGAAGGGCGGGTTTGCCGACGAGCCTGTATTCGCGTGACTTACAGCCTGTATCTGAATTGAGCCTTTGACCGTGGCGTGCCAGAAGTGGGACACCCGCGAAGCGACCAGGACTCGAGGAGCACTGAGGTAGAGGAGAATCTGCTCGACGATTTCAGCCGTATGGAGCGCCGCCTCAGCCGCCGCCATTCTGTTGTGTGCTGGAGTTCATTTCTGTTGAGCGAAGTGTTGTCTGGTGTCTGGTGTCGAGGTCGAAGTGCTTGCCTCCGCGCGGCCCAGGCTGCAGCGGGCCGTGCAGTGTTTGTGCAAGCGCGCATGGAAGTGAAGGAGAACAAACCGACTTGATCTCAAAGCCCAAGCTCGTCAGTTCGCGCAACATCAACGATCACCCACCACACAGCACCCGGCGACATGGTCGTCACAGTCTGCGAGTTTTGCGGCAAGGACTTCGGTTCAGGCGCAGGTCGAGCATCTCACATCAGAGCTCGCGCTGCCAATGGCCTCTGTGGTGACTCCCGCCAGTTGAAGATCAAATCGAGCCGTGCAGCGAGTACTGCTTCAACCGCCGCCCAACCTCCCACCCCGACCTACTTGACTCCGACAAGTCGCGCAGGAGCTGAATGGTCCGTTGGCGCAACACTCAAGCGCAGATCCGCCGGAGACGTCGGGCCAGATGGGGTCAGCGAAGACCGCAGCCCAGGCCTGCTTCGCAAGAGAATCAAGCCCACGCGGGTGTACGGCCTCCAGGAGGAGACGCCAGAAGAGCGAGCAGAGCGACTAGGGCTCGAGAGGCAGAGGCAAGCCGATGACTTCCAAGAAGATTTTGCTTCCCCTATCCTGCCGAATCCCTCAGCGAAGCTTGTGGAGGACACGGAGTACGACATCAGAGACGTGCCAGTGGGCGAAGAAGGAATGTGGGTGATCGAACCAGAAACTGGGAAGCGCAAGATATCGTCCAGAACCGGTCGTCCGATGCTTGACAGGAAGGGTCGAGATTACTTCGTCCACTACGCCAACATGTACGAGCCGTGGAAGTTGGAGGTGCCAAAGGGCGAGGAGGGAATGTGGTCAATCAACCCAGCCACCGGCAAGCGCAATCTGTCGACTATTTCTGGCCTTCCGATGCTGGACTGGAAGTCTCGCGATTATGTTGTTCATTTTGCGATGAAGTACGAGCCGTGGAAGCTCGATCAATATGGCAAGTTGCTTTGAGCTCAGCTGTACAGGCGCACCGGGGAGTCACGGAAGGGGCCTACGAGAGGTTTCGAGCTGCGTCGTTCGATTGAGGCGGGATCGGGTGAGGATCAAATCAGCATGATGGCCAGCAAGATTTCGAGAAGGTCCGGCATGGGTCGATGATCACTGCAGTCGCTTGCGCTGCCAACAACGAGTGATGGAGCAGCGAGGAGGCGTCGAGCGGAAAGGACAAGCAGTCCAGATGTTCCAGCCAACGCATAAGTCAAGTCTACCGACGAACAAGCCGCCTTCCAATATTCGCTCGTTCTTTCTTCGTTCCGCGTTTCTCCTGACCACCCAGACTCTCTCCTCGCAAATAGCAGTATCGACCCAAGCAAAAGAACACACCACAAGAGCACACCGGTAGGCTACGATACCAGCGCCGGTCTGCCTCGTGTTGCGCAAAAGTTCGTTTAGACTGCGGCATAGTGGTGTTGAAGGATAGGTGTAGAAGGTGCCAAGTGTAACGCTACTGAACGCAAAACACTGTCTTATATCAATCATCTTTCGTGTCTGCCACACTCTGTCATATGCAGCATACAGCCGACATGCACGCCTGCTGTGAGTTTTTAACAGGGTGGTGAGGTTTGCGTAGGATCCCACGTGATGGCTGACTTGCTGCACGCTCGCAATTGTTCCGAACGTGCTTGTCTTGAGCAGCTGACCTTTGAAGCGAGACACACAATTCCACTTTAGCATCCTAACACGACAGGTCGACGTGACCAGACTGTGCATGCTGTCATGGTTCGGGCATTGGAAGCCGACTCCGCCGTCTTGATCATTTGTCGCTGCGTTGTCATAAGAGTGCCAGATGGCTGCAAGCCGTAACTTCGTCTTCATTATGTACTATCATCTGTACAGAAATACACGCCTGAGCTGAGTATGGTAAGCCGCATGGTGAAACAATTCCAGAAACGCCAGACTCCGCGCTGCCCATGATCACCATCGCCATCAAATCAAACAAACACCTTGAGAAGATCCACAATACTCACACCGCCTCTTTATTTCTTCTGCCGCGCCAGTTCCTCTCTCACCACACCCCCACTAGCCCTCCACCACACATCTCCGCCCCATCTCATCAGCCTCTCCGCCGCAGAGGTTGGCCCATCTACCGCAGGCCTAACATCCAAATAGAACACCGGTTCGCCTGTCGGCTCCGGCGGCCCAGAATAATAGTCAATGACATATCTCACTTCCTTCTCCTTCCCACCAGGAATCTTCCTCCTCACAAACCAATCATGCCGATCAAACGGCGGGTTATCCGGAAATTCGCTCGGCCAAACCTTCGCCATGAAACTCAGCATCCTCGCCTTGGGCGTCATATCACCCGGTCTCCCTTCAAATCGAATCAAATCCGGTTCATGGTTCAAGAGCTCGGCCTCCCGTCCTCTCACTCGCAAAGCTTCCAATCTCGCATGTTTTTCGTACCCTTCTTCTCCTCGACTGCATAGCTCCCAGCCACGGCCTAGTCCTGCATGAAAGCGATCTTCCCAGCCTCGAATCTCTTCCCATGCGCCTTCGTTGAGGAAATTGTGTACTGCGACCATGCTTTCGACGTGTTCGGCGGGAGTGTCGGTGTAGCCTTTTCGCAGCATGGCGTTGTACATTTGTTGCGGGGAAGGGTATTCCCAGGTTCCTTGGCCATCGCCGCGCGGAATGGTGGAGGCTTCGCGCTCGAGGGGGAGTGAGATGGTTTGTTCGGAGTGTTCGCGAGTATTGGCAAGGTTCGAGGGCATGTAGTTTAGAGGGTTAAGTTTGGAAATGTATGAGGGTGTCGTGCTCGTGGGTTGTGGCGGTTGCGCAGACGAAGATGGGTTCATGGCGGCGGGTGTTGTCGATGCTCTGGAGTGTTTGACGGGACAGGCGCTCGGTCGCTCGGTCTGTGATTGTGATGAGGGCTTGGGGGGCATCTTGTTGTGCATCGGACATGATGGCTATGGTTATTAGCTGAGACGTTCTACGTACAGAACGAGATATGGCCAGCATACCGGTGGTTGAGCATCTAATCTCGAAGGATGTGATGGAGGGAGTGGCGTTTGCGCAGCTGTCGCATCTGCCCAGAACCAGCCCATGTTTGCGATCTGGAAGTGTAGAAAGACAACGTCGAAGGAGTATGAAGTCGCTCAAGTGGCGCAAAGAGATGTATCGGAGGAAAATGTTTGGAAGACGAGAATGACGCTTGGACGTGGATGGCGATGGCGATTGCTGACAAGGGAAAGGGCAGCCGCGTTTCTCCGAACTTCGGCCGCTCTGTCCTGTGAGAGACTGGAAATCAAGACTGAAGGTCGCGTGCTCATCAAAACATTTGCTTTTCATTATCGTGTCACAGGCGTCCGAATCTATACTCTACAATTGCGTAGGAGACTCCAAGACTCCCAGCTAGAAACGTGTCCAAATTGATCAAGAAGGACCAGGTCATTTAGATCTTCTTGACGAGGCTCTCGCCAGCGGTCTCCTTCGCGTTTCCGTACTTCTTCAGGCGGATGGCGTTCACGGTGATGAAGCCAGTGGTCTCGGATGGCGCGAAGTCACCAATCTCGTCCATGGAGCTCTCGCTGGCATCGTACAGCTTCTCGGTATCAGACCAGCGGCCGACAGCGCTGAACATGCCCTTGTAGGCGCGGCATCGCACGCTTCCGTTGACGTGCTTCTGAGATGATTTGATGCTGTCCTCGAGGAACTCGCGCTCTGGCGAGAAGTACAGGCCGTTGTAGAGGATCTTTGCGTAGTGGAAAGTGACGAATTGGTCGCGGAGAGCGCGGACTTCGCGGTCCATAACGAGACCTTCCAGATCGACGTGTGCGGCACGGAGCATGGTGAGACCTGGAGTCTCATAGCATCCTCGGGACTTGAGGCCGATGAATCGGTTCTCGACAATGTCGATACGACCAACACCGTGCTTGCGTGCGATGGCGTTCGCTGTGAGGAAGAGCTCGACTGGGTCGGTGACGGTCTTCTTGCCCCCCTCGTACTCCAGCTTCACGGGCAGACCCTTCTCGAAGGTCAGAGTGAAGTCTTCTGGGGTGTCTGGAGCCTTGGTAGGGTCCACAGTGAGCTTCCACATGTCTGCTGGAGCTTCGGTGTTTGGATCCTCCAAAATGCCGGCCTCGTAGCTGCAGTGTGCCAAGTTCTCGTCCATACTCCATGGCTTGCTCTTGGTGCTGGTGACTGGAATGCCCTTCTCAGCGGCATAGTCAAGGAGATCCTGTCGGCCCTTGAAGCGCTCGTAGAAAGCTGGGTCCCTCCAAGGTGCGATCACCTTGATGGAAGGCTGAAGGGCGTAGAATGCGAGCTCGAAGCGGACCTGGTCGTTGCCCTTGCCAGTGCAGCCGTGCGAAACTGCGAAACAGCCCTCCTTCTGTGCGACAGCGACTTGAGCGCGAGCGATCACGGGACGTGCGAGGGAGGTTCCGAGGAGGTAGACGTTCTCGTAAATGGCGTTGCAAGCAATTGCTGGGTAGCAGAGCTCCTCAACGAACTGGCAGAAGCGGTCAGGTCAATTCTCTTCTGCAGCCACTGGTCTTTGCTCACCTCACGGCGGATGTCCTCAATGTAGCACTTGGTAGCACCAATCTTGAGCGCCTTGGCCTTTGCAGCCTCGAAGTCCTCCTCCTGGCCAACATCGGCCATGAAGCAGATCACTTCATAGTCTTGATCCTAGTAGATTATGTCAGTGATTGTGCAGAAACTCGCCTACTGTCAACGCAATGGCAACGTGGACTCACCAGAAGATACTTCAGAATGCAGCTGGTGTCCAGACCGCCTGAGTAGGCCAAGCAGACCTTGCCCTTGCTCATGGTGAAGATGCTGTCGTCTAAGGCTGACTTGATATGATTTGAGCAACTCTACAGCTGCCAGTGGTATTTGTCGAGGATTTTGAAGACTCAATGGTTTGTTTGTGTGGAAATTGGCGCAAATGACTTTTTCGCAGCTCTGCCTGCATGACCCATAGCCAGTTTGCAGGGACGGGCCCGATAAGCTATCGTGCATGAGCAGAGGGCTTTGCGCTCCCATTCCGATTGGCTGATAGATGGAACTCAATGGCGCCAAGTGAAGACGCCGGCCGAATGCGGAGCCGAATGAGCCAACAGAACAGCAGAAAGCAGTCGAACTCCAACCCCATCTGCACTTCCTCCATCTACAGAGGAAGACGAGCCCATCGGAAGACATCACCAGGCCTTGAAGCAGATGTCTCGAGCGACTGTCAGCTCGCTGAGCCCCACGATGACCCTACGATCGATCTGGATCCTCGAGCACTGTTTCTTACATCGACCGCCCTAATTCTGACAAGCATGGCATTGACGGCATCGGGTCCTCAAATCGCAGCGAGCGGCCGATGGAAAGCCCAACACAGCACATCGGGAGCCTGTGTAACAGCTGCGGTCAGCACGTCGACGCACAAGTGAGGAGGCTGTGAGGACAGATGAAGCGCGAGCTGTCATCGATCCGTGGATGCATCTGCATGGCTTCGCTCTCCGGAGCCGCCTGAGGCTCTTCTCTGCCAATTCTCTCCCACAAGGCGGGTATGATATCAGGTGTGAAGGTTTATCGCAATGGCAGCTATGTCCTGGGGGAGTGACTCTCTGCCACATCCAAGTCACGCAGAGAGTCACTCTCGCCTCTTGCACGCGCTCTGCACATCCGTCAGCACGGCACATCGAGAACCAGGTCAACTGTAACCTTATGTTCAGCATGCACCGGCTGAGTTTCGCGTAATCGCATCATTTGGAATTTCAGCTCAAGCGTACATGCCTCTACTTGCCGATGCGAAGGCCGTGGTCAGATCACTCAACAATGGCGCTGAGGCAGATGATCAGGGTTAGATCTGATTCAACAAAGACTCACGTGGAGCTGCGTGGCACGCATGGTACCAGCGTCTGGAGAGATTGCGCTGATTGTCGTCTAATTGATGATCATCATTCTGCAACGTGCGCTCTTTTATTAGTAACATTGCTCTCACGTTGCGCACCTGACCCGGCACACTGGAAGCTCGCGATCTACCCACAGCCTGCGAAAATCCAAGGCACAGTCCTGAGAAGGCGGTCACAGACCGCGTTGATCAGTTCAACGCGGCCATAAATGAAATGCTGACAGACTGGGTACGATCGTCTCCTGGCTGGCCCCAGGTTCATTATAACGTGCGCGGAACGAGCCACACGGCAAAGAGCACACCTTTGAGCAGCGCACCACATACGAAAAGCGGAGGTCGGCAAGTGGAGGTGATTGTGAAGAAGACCTCCACGCTGCGCCCCGCGATGCCATGGGCAAGGTAATGCTGCCAACGATGTCTGCTTGTTCGATAAGCAGTCTTCGAGCGACGTACGAAGTCACAGGCCGTCCCGCTCGTACTGGGCAGTGGGACGCATCTTTTCACTGGTAGATCGCAATGCTTGCGTTATCTGAAGAGCAGAGCACATACTCTTGTGCTATGACCTTGCCAATACTTGCCGGACCAGAGCAAGGAACGTGTTCAGGATTCTGCCGTCGGCCGATGGCTCTCGCCACGCCGCACGTACTTCGGCCAGCTGCTTCGCGCTTCTCATGTCTCGTCTTCATTTCCAGAATCTTACCTGCTAGTTGCACGATCAAAGTCGGCGCCAAGGCCGGCCGCTCTCCTGTTGGGATCGCGTTGCGACGCGCCCGCCATCACCCTACATTTGCTAAAGGCGGTGGGGGCTGTTATCTTTTCAGCTTTTACAGTTTGCAAGACCATGATGGTATTCTTGCGGAGCGACATTGGTCCATCGAAAGTCGGTGTCGAAGTGGAGTCTTAACGCAAACGGGACGATCCGACCGCAAGTCGACTTCACCTTCACCTGGTTGCTAATCCCTGCTCTACTCATCCACCATCCATTATCCCATTGCGGTACAGCGGACAAGGGACAATCCGCGCATCATCAATCAGCCAGTGAACAGCCACTGTTGAGGTTTAGCGACCATGTGGGACGGCGCCTGAAGAGCCTGTGAGACATTGGTCGTGCCGTCGCGTGCTATGGCACTAGCCAACCTCACCCCGGGTCAATTGGACTGCCGGACTTGATGCGATCCAGGATTCTCAGAGCGCTACACCTCATTCGACAGACCAGAAAGCCCGCTGCGGACTACGATGTCGATCGTGAGGACCGCCGATGTTGGACGTCCGCCACGGGAAAGGCGATATTGAGCCATGCAGTCGGCCAACACATCGCCCCGTGTCTCGTTGGGTAACGATGATCGCATAGCACGCTTGCGGCAGAGAGTGCCTGCTACGGGTGAAGCACGCAAATTAGCTTCTGATGCGATCACTATGGGCTTCAGAAAGCAATCCACCTCCTCTTTCGTCCCACGGCTATGTTAGGCATTGCTCTGGCAACTGATATCTGATAACTCAATTTTGTCACGGGACCGGGACTGGCGTCAGCAGTATCTGTAACATCCGGTCTCCGTCGCTTATGCACTGCACTCATGCTCAGATGATGTCAAGGCTCGAACACAGACAAGAACCACATACTCGCAGCCATCACATACATTAGTTTGACCTCGGTTAAGCTGTGATTGAGTCCTTTCGGCAAGGTTTCGGCGCTTGGACTGAACACATTGCGTGCTACCACGATCGACTCCTAAGACACTGTCGAACGCCCAGAACAGATTCGCCATGTCGTCCGGGCGAGGCGGTGTCGAAAGCTCGCAGCGAGGCCAAAACGTTGAGCAGAACCTCTGGACAGGATTTCCCGGTTCCGGTGGTGCAGTCCCGGGTGCTGCACTCAGCTACACTGATCCGACGCCGTTACAGCGCTCACTGGTCCCAGAGCAGCCACAGTCCTATGGGAAACCGACGAATCAGGCACCAGATCGACTTCCTGGCATGATGGATGCGCGCTTCTGTTCTGCCAACGTGTGGCCGCCCGGCACCTTAAATACGGCGGCCGTGAAGAACGGAGACGGAAGCGTGTGGTCGCAACACGTTGAAGGCACCGTTCGCACCGACGCCGGAAATGATCCCGAGGTCGATCAGGCTCCATCAAGTAACAAAAGTTCTCCATCAATACCGTCACGGCCACACGCTGCAGTCGAAAAGCGGTACAGACGCACAGTAAATACCAAGCTGCAGCAACTACATGCCGCCATACCGCCGTCGGGATCATTTTCACTTGACCCCGCAGAAAGGTTCCGCTCTAGCATGGACGGTAGTGAACCCGAGCAAGCAGCCAAGCCCGTTGTACTCGATAAGGCCATTCAATACACCACGCACTTGATTGAGACTTATCGCAAATACGACAATGATATCGAAACACTTCGACAGCAAGTTCGCGATTGGCTTGGAGAGGAAGAGGGGACGTCGTCACCTGGCAGCAACAAGGGAAGCGCGGGGTAGGACGAGCGCAGCGCGGGCCATGGCGGCGGTGAGCACTTGCTGTTGATGCGACTGTGCGCAGGTGGCGGGTTCTCACGGCTTTTGCGCTGCCCTGTGCATAGGCGCTGCTTTCTCAACGGATTCGACACGAATCTCGAATCTCTCATTTTACACCTGCCTAGCAAAAGCTGTGTTGGAAATTACAAGCAACCTGCAATGTCGATGGTTTGATGACAGAGTTATTAAAGTACTGTGCCAACTTCAACAATTCCAGTTGCGCACATATAAGCAGGCTATCAAACACCAAGCACAGACGGACCGATTAGGATTTGTACCAGCCTCGTGCCGAGCGCGAGATATCTAAGACTATCTCAGGCATAGTGCGATCCGGACAATCAGTTACACCACTCTTGGCACCACCACTAGGCGTCACCAGCAATCAGAGTGCCTCTCGCATATTCTCGTGGCCATATACGAGCCATTACAATCTATCCTCCATACTCTTTAGTTCAGTAATTACTCGGCCTGTCTGTAACAATCGTTCGCCACTGCAAAAGCTTCAGACACTCGATTCAGCCTCCTACATTTGCCGACCCTCCTCAAAATGTCTCTCCAAAGATGCAGCTGCATGGCAGAAACAGCGCGTTGAAGCCCTCGAGACAAGGTCAATCGACACTCGATGTGGGGTAGCGCACTTTCTGATCCATGTACGCTCATGCGCTCGCACGGTTCGGCAAGCCATTGAGAAGCGCCGGTCTCGACCGTGCGCCAAAATAAGAACCACGCCTCGCCATTTACAGAAAGCAGTCAGCGACGGTGTTTCATGAACACACCAGCGACCTTTGGGACAATCGCGGTCCATCGCCATTGCTTAGTGGACACAGCCCACTCTGATTACGAGACGCACGTGGCCGACTGTTCATCTCATGTAAGGATTCGACGAGGTATCCGACCCACCTCAGAGCTTGTGTCTCATCAAAGGGCCCAGGATAGTCTTGGGCCATGGAAAGGCGCACGGAAGATCAAGAGATCACTCACCAGGTCCTCCGCATAACTTACCCTTAGCAACCGGTTAGCTTGCAAAGGATTGAGATCAGTGCTCACTGAATGGCGGCGTCGACCGGATAAGTTATATCTTGTCGACCCGGCGTTCATTGCCAACCTCTCTGGACTGGACTGTGTATCTGCGCTTTTAATCGACAATCGCCCCGACTCTCGCCAAAGGCCGCGTCAGAGCGAACATACCATCGACTACAACTGACAGCAAACATTCACTCACTTTTACCTTCATACAACGATGGATACGTACGGTGACACCGCTGTCATGCATAACGACATGCAGCACAGCTTCTATCCGTCAGGATTCTATGGTAAGCCGAACATGGTATAGACCACATATAGACACATAGCTGATGGCATACAGCTGGTGGTGGTCTGACTCCAGACATGGGGCTCGAGTACATGCCTCTCCCTAACTGGAGCACCCAATGGCCTCTACATACCTCTCTCCAACAACAGACCTGGTCGGCCGGCGCTAACAACGGGCTCTTCTCACTGCCTTACCAATACCCTTTGGCGCATCACGATGTGGAACCAACCAGCCGGAAGTTGAGCGTGCAACATCCACGACCAGACCTCCATGTACAGATACCACAAATACCACTGGCTTCAACGACGATACCTAGCATGCGACAAAAGCGGAAGATGTCCCATATGTCATCTGATGACAGCATGGATGTCAAGCGCGCCAAGGTGATACAAGACTCTCCAACATTCAGCATGGGCAACAGCAGTCCCTGTAGCAGTTCCTCCAGTCCACCAGCTACCTCGAATACTCGCGCGCACTATGCCGTGGAGAAGAAGTACCGCTCCACACTCAACGAACGATATGCGACACTAGCTCGCATTGTCACACAACCGGAGACCATGGAAATTTGCCGAACTGAAGTGCCAGACTGGGAAGTGCCGATGAAATTGGAGGTTCCTGAGGAGGGGGCAGAGAGACATCCGGGCAAACGTCAGAGCAAAACTACAACACTGTCTGTCGCCATTGAGACAATAGAGCTGCTGGATCGCGCGTGTGCACGCAAGGCGAAGGAATTTCAGGACCTGACGCGGCGCCTGTCAATCATCGCTGGCTCGGCATCCGGTGCGTCCAGCAGCGCATAAAGACTTATCACCAAATACGTCTTCGACGAAAAGTCGAAGGCTTCAGCAGTCTACAAAACCACACACGGAGTCGCGGAAAGGCGTTTGGCGACGCATCAAATTGGACTCGGAGCAGTCATGGATCCCACTATCACTTATACCCCCTCGTTATACCCCCTCGTTATACCCCCTCCAGGCTTTCATTTTCGGTTTTCATGTACATAGCATTGAGAGCGTTCAAGTTTGTCAGCCATAGCATTCGTTGTACATACAATATCCATCCAACGCTGAAAGTTCAAGCACACAAGAAGCTGGAGCCTAGATCCTCTCAGCTTCTCAGCCCTATACCCTTCATGGTTCGCCCAGTATGTTGGGTGCGAACTGCGAGTTCACGACATGTCGTCGGGCAAATTTCCCCTCGTGGCGAAATCGCCGGAGAGCTTGCTCTCGTGCTCTCCACGTTGTCAGCTTCACGCACACTGGCCAATCACGAGCCATGAACACTGACGTGCACTCACCACCGGAGAATTCAAGAGAGCATGTCAGACTCAACGTTCACATAGTGCAGTTGCATACATGCATAATCTCAGACATTGTTGCGTCTATCTCACGAACACCCCTCTTCTTCAGCACCATCCTACAGTACTTACCCCTTGCTATCTTCTGGAAAAATTAAAGCTGGGATAGGCCTTGAACGTAAAATTGCTGGGATACAGGATGTTCGCTCCTGGTCCACCGGCGACCAAGTTTAGTCAGGAACGCACTGGTTCGTTCTGTACACGTTCGAACCACGTGCGACGAATCCGACAGAAAGTGCTAGCGGCTCTGGGTTTCCCATGAACTTGTCCACGATATCAAATTTAAAAGTTATCAATGGCGTTCCCCTTTTCGGCATTCCCGATGTTTCGAAGATAGAAATGGATAGGTACCAAGTTCGTATTGGGTATGCTCGCTATAAGTTTAGGCACGCGTTGGCAACTCCCACTCCCAACGCGGGCGTGACGAGCGAGCAATCTCGGTACGGTTGTCCGAAGATTTCCGGTGCTTGTCTTACCATTTGGGCCATGAAGATGTCATGGCAGCGTCTTTTGTTAGAAGCAGCATCATAATCAGCATCATCATCAGAATGCGCGACTCGGAAGGTCCGAGTTGTCATCCTTCGAGCCTGCTCGCTTGCTGTCGATGAACGATGTCCCTTGCAGGGACATCGTACACTGAAACTGATGATCACGCAACGCAGGATCGAGATGTGCGGCTGCTCCAGGGAGCTCTTTGCCAAGGCATTCTGCTTCGTGAGATCGAGGCACTGCTCTGGGCAAACTGCAGTGGCATACACAGCACCTTATCTAGACCTCGGTATCCGACGGTTCAAGAGCTCCAGAAGCTGTATCGCTTGACACTAGTTGTTTGGTTAGGCGCCAAGGTGCTTGTCGTCAAGACATGCTATCTCGCATACAGCTTCTCAATCCAGCACGATTCTAACAGAATGCTATCTCGGCATCAAGTCGCGTGGCATATACCATTGCGTTGGTACAAAACTCGTGGTACGCTACGCCAGGCAAGCCATGGTAAAGCAGAGGTCTCTTAACGTTCCTTGCGTCTGTGACCAGGCACCGCCCTGCTGATCTGTCGAGTGCCAAGGAGAAACAGAAAGTGCCCTGGATGTGGAGCCGCTGGGGTGGTGCAATGTGGAGAGGTTTGCACCTTTCTCCTCACTGCGTCTCGCACCGTTCCTCCAGGTTGAAACTGCCGATAGACGAGGTCTAGAAAAGCTTGGATTGGTTCAACGGGTTCAGCGGGCTCTGATATGTCCGAAGATGAATCGATACCAAGCTACCAAGCGTGTTGGTTATGGATAGGGTTTCTGCAATTGTATGATATCATTCACGTGGCAGTATGCGCCAGCACGAGAAATGAGGTCAAGACAATTTCCTGTGCATGGTGCAAAAATTTTCTGGAAGCGTCGAAGCAGATGGTATTTCCTTCCCTCGCCTCGCGTGCGATCCGAGGTGCCTTCCTGTCAATGCTCCTCATTAGTCAAAACAACAGTATGGAGTCCGACCATAGTTCGTGTGAGGGGAAATGAGACAAAACGCATTGTTGTTAGGTCATATCGTGGAGCAAAGTATGACGACCAAGCACCGCCAGAGAAGCCGAAGACTAGCGTCGCCATGCCCTGTGACCAATCAGACCAGGGGACACCTTTTGCACCGTGATGGCGAAATCGTTGACTTCACGTTGCAGATGTCATATTCAGTCAGATTGATTGCATTCAGAGTATACCAGAAGAGTATTTCGTATCGCCATTCGGGGAAAAATGCCCTTCCCAATCTCAACTCCATAACGCCACCGACCCGATTCAACACCTGGCCCTTGAGCCTCAGTCTTCAGGCCTTATGCAGTCATAACACATCGCTCATGTCTGATCAAGCTCCATCTATGCACGTCGAGTGGTGAAGTCGGTCTCCAATTCTGAAGCAGCACTGGCCTCTTTTCCGGCACAATTGCACGAATCTGAGGACATGTTAACAACACTGTTCATGACGTCGTTGCAGGACGACAGGCTGACTAACCCTTAGCTCTCTTTCCGCAAGCGCAAGCAGCGCCAGTGACTGAGGCATTTTCTGTGGAAGAACGGGAGCATGTGCACTCGCCAGCTGGACGTTGATCTTCCATACAGGTCAGCAGACGCTACGCCCTGGAGAAGTGGCCAACTTACTGCAAGAGCATCGGGCACCGTCGAGCTTGTTCTCGGTCTGAGCCTTCTCACAGGTGCAGTGCAGAGCAGGCTGCTTGCCGCATGAGCACTTGGCTTCTTTGGCACAGACGCAGACTCCGTCACGACCGCAGCAAGTTGCTGGAACGGCGGCAGTTGGTGCAGACATATTGATTGGAGTTGGAAGTGTTTGAGGAATTGGCCGGAAAGTGGTTGCGGATGATCGATGTTATGCGGGAATGAGATTTGTTGGATGAAAACGGAGGAAGTTTCGAAGACTGGGAATTGAGTCCTTTATGCTTTGGCAAACATCTGATACGATGCTATCAGATTCACTTTCGAGGCACAAATGACGCTAATGCTGACATTCGCTGCACGCTGATTGGTCGTAAAGACACCGAGCTTTCCTTTCTAGCCTGGAAATCTCCAGACTTCTATCGCCACGCGAATTTGCCTCGCTTTATTATTGTCAGCATATGTCGGAGTTCTCTCATTGGCTGCACTGGATCCATCTGAGAAATCACAAATGGTCACGGCCTTGTGCTTCTCCTCATTGGCTGCAAACTTCGTTCTTGGCTCCGTCCCGTCAACCTCACTTGTTCATAATGTTCAGCATCAGCTTACCTTCAGCTGGAGAATCTGCAACGCTTCACTGTTTGTAGGCTTTACCTTTCGACAAGGCCTTCTCAGCTCAGTGTACAACACATGGGGGCACGTCAATTCTATATTCGAAGGAAAACGTGAAACATAATTCACGGGAGACAAAATGGAGAACAAGATCTCGGATTTGAAGAGCATGTGTTCTGCGAAGGCCGGAACATACGCTGTATCAACCGTTTCCCAATGATCCAGCTGCTATCTCAAAGAACTGACACCTTGCTCGTCGGCGCGCTCAAATGAGTGTCTGGAAGCGTTTTCTCTCGTCATGTAGAGAAAAGGCGTGCAGTCTAAGATAGCGTCTGTGGAGTGTGGCGAATCAATATCCGCTGTCGCAACAATTATTCCTCCATGAATGATCTCCGTGTCTCTCTGACTAGAAACAAAATTTCGTCATCTCCACTTCCTCCGACCACTTGAAATCCTCGTTGCCAGTGACGTCGATGTACCCAATACAACACTTCATGTCCACTTCGAACTCACGGTTGTCGTCCGGTCTTGTGCCTTCTCTCGCCCAGACTCTCTTCCCTATTGCGCCAGTCTTCGGAGCAGAATGGCATTTTGCGAAGAGTTTCAATCTCCGCGTCACCACTTCGCCAGCTGTAAGCCCGGAGGCCTCTGTTGCCTTCTTGAACTGCGTCGTAAATCCCTCACTCACAGCTAGAACTCCTACGTGCTTGATTGCTTTTCGGTGCCAATCTGTCAGGCGGTCCGGTATCCACATGCGCAGCTCTCGTCCTGACATGATAAACTTAGTGGTGGCGAAGAATTGTGGAGCGTATCTGGATCGAGCCTCGTGGTTGAGCTTGAATGCTAGTGGCTGAACAAAATCACTGAGGCGCAGTTTCGCCGGATGGTCAAATTCTAGCAACTTCTCGAGGATCATGTCGCTGAGCTCGTTTGGAAGTGCGGCAATGCGTGACTGCAGACTGGCGAATTGCTTCTCTGTAAGCATCTTTGCTTGAGCTTGGCGAGTGTCATTGCTCTCCATGCTTGTGTATCGAGGTGGTTTGACAACAGCGTGTTCTTCAACAAACAGAAGCAGTACTTCTTTTGTTGTTGTAATGTTTGCGTGTTGAGTTCAGTCCCTTGGTTGTAAGATTGAATGGAACCAGAGTGAGCGAGGATGAGTCAAGGGCAAACGGCTTGGGGAAGGGTACACGACGCTGTTTGTCAAAGACCGTTTGTCGCGGAGGAAGAGACCATTCACTCTCCAGGACCATTCACTTCGGATCTCCTGTTCACATAATAGCGGGCCATTTCAACCACCAACAGCGTAGACTTCAAGTCAATTAACTTGTCTCACGCCATCGAACATCGCAATTCACGGGCACACCCGTAACAATTGCGACATCACATCATGCTCAACAAGGTAGAGTTCGAAGAGCTCCAAGAACGTATCGGCGGAGTTGCACAAGAGCTTCAGGATATGATTCTTGACCATCTTCTTGAAGTCGAGAACGAGCAAGTGATTCAAATCGAAAAGTGGGCGCCGCCTTTAGCTCTCCATATCAGCAGTAAAGTTCGCCGAAAAGTCGCGCCGAAGTATTTCGCGAGTTCTCTCTTTGTGGTGGACATAGAGAAGTTCCGCCCGTGGACTTACCAGCTCGCCGAGTGGCATGTGGAAAACATCAGACAAGTCGGACTGGACGACAGGTCCAACTTCCCGCACGAAAAATGGCATTGTCAGGACCTGGACCGTTGTCACATGATAAACTCATGGATTTTGGCCGATTACATCAGGTCATTGCGAGGGATGCTGTTAAAGCTAGGGAGAAATGTGATACGTGCCGCTGATGTGCAAATGAAGCTGAGGTATCGTGGCTTTGATGAGAATCAGCACTGGTCGCAGCCGCAACATATGGACATGCTGCCTGAGACCAGAGAAGTTTGTGAGTTGTCTCGTGTCTACTCGTAGAACGCAAGCTGACACTTAAGCAGTGAACGGATTGTTACGGCGATGAGGCATTGGCAGGCGAACTGTCAGCAGCGCAAGCGGGCACTCTTCAATCGCAGAGACGCACTGTGCTCGGCTAAATTGAAGCCATTGATATCAGTGCAGCGCACACATGCGTATGACGAGAGACTGATTGCATGGGCGCCGATGAGATGTGAGCTTGGAGGACAACGGCGCAAGATCCTGCTGTGCAGAGAGCTGAAATGTGGTGGTATGCAGTTGTGGGCTTAGTGCAGTAGTGATTGAGTCGCCTTGCAAAAGCGGATGTTTGACGAGCTTTGCAATGGTCCAGGAAAGTGAAACGAGGTGCTTTCCACGTGTCTGACACGCAAGATTCACTTGCCTGGCAACCCGAAAGCGAGGTGCCCCACTTAGTAAACAATAAACCCTGTTCCACTCGCGAAGATCCCAGCTTCAATCTTCCTATCGACCGGCATTACATCGACTTGCGCTCTACACTCCGGCGACACACCAGCAACGCCGTCAAAATGTCGCGTGGCAACGAGTCGGGAATGGACTTCGAGTACCAGAACAAGACTGGTCCTCTTGATGCGCGCTCGCCCTTTGCACAGCTCAGTCAGAACACACAGCGCTTCGGCGCCAGCACACCCAGCAAGCAACGTACGTCGCTTTCAACGATGCAGTCCTGTAGCGATGCTGATGATGGCACAGGAGGGCAAAGCGCCTTCAGTTCGCCCTTCAAGAACGCTACGAACCTCCAACCCTCGCCCACACGGAAAGCGCTACCGCCCACGCCCGTATCAGCCTTCAACGCTCTCTACAACACGCCGCGATCGAAAACCATCGATTTTGACGATTCGAGCGCTGGAGAAACGCCCAAATCACCTGAACGAAGCGACAACGACGCAACGCCAGATCACAGCAGGCTGGGTCTGCGCGGAGCACTGAACAACCACGAAGCTTCGACACTACCAACCATGCCTGGCGCAGAGCGGGCCAGTCCCACAAAAGAGAAGACGCGACCTGACACGCTACGAAGAGACAGCTGGTTAGGTGCATCATGGGGCAAATTCAAGAGCAAGCTGAACAGTCCCGGACGAGGAGAAATCCACCGCCCAGAGCACTCTGGCGCAATCGAGAAGCGAGTCAAGAAACGTCGCGAGCGCGAACTGCAACGCCAGGTCTCCAAACGAAGAAGACATAGTATATCTGATTCCGGCGAAGACAGCGAAGTCGTTTCAAAAGGCTCAAGGAAAACCTCTTCCAAACACAAGAAGGACAATAGCACAAATCAGGATCGCCCGCACTGGCTCTCCCGCACCTTCACCTTCATCGCCCAACACCCCACAGTACCACACATCCTCTCCTTCTACGCCCAACTCATGTTCAACATCTTCCTCCTCGCCGGCTGCCTCTACCTAATCTACTGCTTCTGGTCCGCAGTGCAAGGCGACGTGGACAAAAAATCCCACGAAGCCATGGCAGACATCATGGCCGAAATGGCCGACTGCGCACGACAATACACAACCAACAACTGCGATCCTTCCGTTCGCGTCCCCGCACTGAATACAGTCTGCGAAACCTGGCACAAATGCATGAACCGCGACGCATCCAAAGTCGGCCGCGCAAAAGTCTCCGCCCACACATTCGCGGAAATTTTCAATTCTTTCGTCGAACCGATCAGCTGGAAAGCAATGGCATTTACATTTCTGTTAGTCTTTGGATGTTTTGCAAGCGGGAATTTGGCTTTTGGGTTCTTTCGGGATAAGGCAGGGAATCAACATCAACAATATTACCAACAGCCTCCGCCTCCTACGCCACAGAGGACGTTCTCAGGGCAGAATGGACAGCAGCAGTGGTATGGTGGTGGGACACCTTGGCAAAACTTTGAAGCGTTGGAGCCTGGGCCGAGTGGATATCCTGGGCAGGCTCAGATGTTGATTGAAAATGGGGAGCATAGGAGTCCGCAGAAGAGTCCTGTGAGGAGGTTGGTATATAATTGATGATGGGATGGCTTTTGATCGGCCTGGCGCTGGACTAAGGGGATGGGAAATTCATTTGCGAGGGCCACTTCTCTTGACATGGAAAGGGAAGGAAAGTACTAGCTTTGCACACAATGCTGATCAAAAGGAAGGCTTCGGAAATGGTTCGCGCCGGTGATTTGGGCGTGACGAATGTATTTGAATAGTGAGCTTTTACATTTTCATCGAATCATGGTGAGAATCCGGCATCACCATTGAACTTGATACTATTCCTCCCCTAAGCTGAGCTGGAATGGCAAGAAGCCACGTGCTCGTGCCTTCTATGCTTTCCAATTTAGTCCCATTCATGAAAGTGTCTTGACATGTGTATTCTTTGACCAGTATCAGGAAGCGCTTTCTGGCATTCTATGGTATCACGAAGCAGGCACGATCATCAAAATGGGAAGGACCCGAAGAAAAGCAATCATGAAGAAAATCTAGCACCCTGCGTTGATTTATCTACTTACTGCAACATCGTAGCGTAAGCGTTCCATTCATCCATCTTGCTTGCTCCAGACTCCTGTCAAATTCAAGAGTCCTGAAGCCCATGACTACTCTATACTCGCTTTGTACACGATACATTTCATAAAACGTTGCGCCCGACGACTGACTGGTATCCCGCTCGTTAATTACTCTTTACACACACCTCTGCACGCACACATATGCTCATTCTTTCCCGTCGTCATGCAGTTAAAATGCTGAGATCGCAACAGCGATGACCTGCACGTCGCTGTGGCTGATCGATACAGTCGTCGACTTGATGCCAGCCTTGTCTGCGGCGGCCTTTGCGTCTCCGTGAAGCTGTTGAGATTGTCAGTTTTGTGTTTGGGGCAGTCAAGAGACAGGTTGGGAGAAACTCACTCTCACGGCAGGCGCGCCATTCTCGTCATTCGCAATCTCAATGTCCTTCATGGCAGCACCACCGCCTTGGCTAGGAACCTTCAAGCTCTTGAAGACAGCCTCCTTCGCACTCCACTTGCCAACGAAGCTGGCCTGTGGGCTGGCTGCCTTGCGGCAGTAAGCAATCTCCTCGGAAGTGAAGTTTCGCTCGATAAAGGTATCATTGCTGATGTCAATGGCATCGATTTGCTCGATGTCGACACCTGGGTTCGAGTTCTGTGAAGCATTGACCTTCATCAAGGTCTCAACCATCTGCGTGGTGCTCTTGTCCTGGATCTTCTTCGGCGCCGTCTTGGGGTAAATGAGCTCGTTCGTCTTCTTATCGACTGAAACGCGGACAGTTGGGTCGAGGAAGACCTTGCTCTGCTGAGCATCCTCGTAAGGTGACTTGCTCTTGGCACGGAACATGGTGTTGTTGATGAGACCATCATGGTAGTACCTGTACGCTTTCTTCTGTCGTGCCTCAACCTTCTGCTTGTAGGTCTGGAACTGCGCTTGGTCAAGCGTGGCAAAGAGATACTTGGGGTGGATACCAATAGCCTGAGCACCCTTCTGGCCGAAACCGAAGGAGGTGACGGAGAAAGCCTTGATGCCATCGGTCTGAATGCTCTGGCTGGGGTAGACGATGTAATCGAACTTCTCCATGACCTTGTCGACATTGTCTGCATTCCTGTTGCCTGGCACAAGACCAGAATTGAGGACTTGCAGACAGCCGTTGAACATCCAAGCACCAGCGGCACCCTTGGGGTGACCAGTGAGGTACTTCTGGAAGATACCCAACAATGCGTTGCCCTTTTGTCGGCCAAGGTGCTTCATCTGTTGGCAGATCACATCGGACTCGTTCTTGTCGTTGGCTACAGTAGAGGTACCGTGGAAAGATGCGACGTCGAGATCGTCGATCGTCAGGCCCCAAGTGGCAAGGGCACCACGAAGTGGCGCGATGCGAGGATCTTGCTTCCAGAAGTTGTTGCCCAAGCTTGAAAGCGCGTCCTTCTCTTGGCGGCGAGCCTCACGCTCGATGTGAAGAGCGCGGTCCTCCATGTACTCAGTCTCGTTGAACTCAGCGCCTTGCTGCTTCATGGCGTTGACCTCTTCCTCGAGGTACAGAAGCTCAGACTCTTGCCAATTCTTGATCTGTTTCTTGCGGAGGTCGAGTTGCCTCTTGCGGTACTTGATGTCAAGCAGAGGCGATGGGAACTTGCCAGCTTGCTCACGAGCGCCAGTCAAGACACCCTGACCAGGTGCTGGAACAGAGCGACCAATTTTGTCAGTGGCAGTGGCTGTGTAACCAAGAATACCGTAGATCGGTACTCCCATGTCAAGAGCGAGCTTGGCGTCCATGATCACCTGCATACCGCAACCCTGCGACTCCATAAAGCCGTTACGTGTGGTGGTCGTTGGTCGCGACATTTCCTTTGGTGTACGTCCATGAGCGAACTCGTCGCGGGCGTTGCTGGTGGCGCCCATGTTGGCGAACTCATACGAGCCTTCCTCTTGGAAGTCATCGAAACCACCAACGAAGCACATGCGAGCCTTGCCCTCAACGATACAGTCGTAACCGATATCGATAGATTCCACAGCAGTTGCGCAAGCTCCGACAGGTGTTCTGATGGGACCAGTAGAGGACATGAGCAACATGTTAATCCAAGCACTCATTGTGTTGATGAAGGACTCCTGGAGGATATCCTTCTGTAGAGGCTTGTCGAGGAAGCGGTCCTTGTACATTCCACGCAAGGCGGTAGTACCACCAATACCGGAACCGATGCAGTTACCGACCTCGGAAATGTGCACATACTTGTAGAACTCGTATGGATCGGTGATACCCGAGGACAGCAGAGCCTCAGCAGTAGAAACCAGCACGTAGAGGGTGACTGGGTCGACTTGGGAGATGATGTCGTCTGGCACACCATACTTCTTTGCATCCCATCCAGTTGGCACTTGACCGGCAACAAGACGATCGAAGCGAAGGGCCTTTGGAATGAGCAGTGTGGCGCCCTTCTTGAGACGGACCTGATATTCGCCAGATTCGAGCTCAAAGACCTCCACCTTCTCGCCGTGCTCGCGCTTGAACTCTTCCGCAGTCTCCTTGGACGACTCGAATGGATCGAGGTCCTCCTCGATCTGGATCTCTTGCATAAGCTGCTTCTTGTTGGGGTCGTAGCCATTGAAGAGCTCGGGCTCAATCAGACGAATACCAGAGTGGTCGAGAATATGCTTCTCGTACTTGGCCTTGACGTCCTTGTCGTCGACAGGCTCGCCAGACTTGGCATCAACCCAACCAGAGTAGCTCTTGCCCTTAAGGTTGCCGTTGAAGTTCTTGATCAAGCCCATGATCCAGGCCATCTCAACACAGCCCTCAAGAGAGAACTGGCCGTATGCCTCCATCTCCCATCGGGTGCGAGCGTTACCCCAAGGTCCGACTTCTGCGAAACCAGTGACAACAACGACCTTCTCAAGATCGACCATACCCTTGAGGTTGGCGTTGAGAGGCTCGACTTCCTTCCAGTCTGGAAGCTTGGGGAAGTCAAACTTGAGGTTGGCACGCTTCTCAACCTTGACAGTCTTGTAAAGAGCCTCGCTGTCCTCGCCGTTGACAATCTTGTTCTCCACGGCAGTCTCACGAGTGACAGCCTTGCGGATCTCAGCAGTCTCAGTGATATCCTTGCGCAGGCGCGTCATCAGATCCTTAAGGTTTGGCAAGAATTGCAGACCACCGTTCAGGTCAGCAAACACAGGCTCGTTCTGGCAAAGGTTGACGATGGCGGGCGACATGAGTCCGAGCAAGTTGAAAGCCATCTCTTGCTGCGAGAAAGTGCGGACGCCGTAGCGCTCAACACCCTCAGCAACGATGTTGTTGCCACCCATGAGACCAGTACCACGAGTCCAGCCAATGACAGCACCGCAGATGGTGAGGAAGTTGCCCCAGCTCTCTGAGTGCCATCGGTTGAAGAGAGTCTCCAGAGCCAATTTGGACTCAGAGTAGAGACCATCGTTACCGAATGTACCGTGGTTCGGTGACAGTGGGAGGATGACTTGTGCTGGGCGAGTCTCGAAGCCGCGAGTGGCCTTCTGGCTCTTGACGGCACCGAGCATGCGGAGGAGGTTCGTAAGCATGATACGGTGAGCCAGCTCAGACTTGCTGTCAATGCTGTCGATCTCACGTCCATTCTCAGGAATGGCAGCGAATGGCACAATGAAGTCCAAATCCCATCCAAGACCCTTCTTCTCGTCGTAGATGTAGTCCACAAGGGCATTGACATCCTGATTACTGCCCTGGTTGAATGGAACGACAACAAGCTGGGAGCCACGACCACCGTAGCGGGCGTAAATACCCTGGTAGTACTCGGTGACCTCGCGAGAGAAGCGGGAGGTGGTGACGATGACCTTTGCGCCACCACTAACGAGGCCTTGGAGGACTTCAGCACCAATGGATCCAGCACCAGCACCAGTCATCAGCACGTTCTTATTTTGGAACGTGACACCAGACTTGGCGGCTTGCTCGAGGCCGTCGAGGTAGACGCTCGTAAGTTTCTTGCTGTATTCCCATCCATGTTCCTCCTTGCGCTTCAAGTGCAAGAATGGCACAGTCTCAATCTTGCCCTGCTTGGCTGGGTTGATGGCACCATTGAGGCGGCCATTTCGGCTCTTCTTGATGTGTCCGTTGGCCTTGCCGTTCTCGTTTGGCATGATCTGGCCCTCGTTCATCGAAAGCGATCGAACAATGTTGCTGTACAACTGCTTGATCTCAAGCTGTGACGACTTGGACAGCTTGTGTTGTTGCTTGATCAGGCGGTACACGCGCTGCAGGTCATTCTGCACCTTCGTCCTGTTGCCGTATTCGGAGATCTTGCCGCCATCGGCCATCTCACGAACGTAGTGCTCAAGCTTGCGAACGCTGGGGCGTGGCACTTCTGCGTAGTCCATGTCACCCCGGGGGCTGATCTCGAGATGTGGCGCAGTTGGAACAGCCACGTCCTTGTAGACAGGAGCCTCTCCAAGGACATCGCGGCAGTTCTCGATGAGTTGTTGTCCGAGCTCTTTCGCCAGCTGATACGTTTCGCCGCGTTCAGTAGGGCAGTGATCAATGTGGTACTGCATGAACTCCAGGAGCGATGGGTTCGATCGGTTCATGATGAGAATGCATCGCGACACAATCTCACGATCAACCGCAGTCAAGCGGCCAAAGATGATATCAAAGTACATTTTGAGTGCGTCCTGTCTGGCCCAGTTCCACGACGAGTCGTAGACACGAGCTTTGAGGGGGCTGAATGTAGGCTCAATGCCGGCAGCGTAGAACTCGCCGTGTTCTGTGGTCCACAGATCGAGTTGTGCTTGGAGTGCGGTCTCGTTTTGCTTGGTCACCAGGGCTGCCTTGTCACCGGCACGGAGATCCATCTTCAAGTAGCGGGCGAACAGCTCAAGCTGCTGCTTGAAGAGTGCCCGTTGGTCCTTGGTGAGGGCGTCAATGGCTGCTGGGTCCATCATCATGCCACCGCCACCAGCACCACCATCTCCGCCAGCTGGTGCAGTCGACAAGCTAATGCCGGCATGCGATGCGTATTTGTTGGCAAGGTCGTCCAGCCATGCTTTGGCGTCGTTCTCGGACCCAAGACGCGATGCTGGCTCAGCAGTGAGACCGAGCAGCAGCACACCATCCTGTCGTCCGGCGCCCAAACCCCACCTCGTTTCCAGGTGCTTTCGCACTGCTGTGATGTTGAAGCCACCAGGCATCTTTGAGGACACCATACGTGCAATAAGCGATGTGGATTGCTTGCCGAGCTGGCCATTAAAGGTCGCTTGCATGGAAGCTCCAAGCTCGTCGAGTGGTGTATCTTCAGGCTTGTCGGGCGTTGAGCCGAACTCTTTGCCCAAGTCTCCGAGAATTTCGTTTTGTAGTGTCGACTTGCCTAGTAGTCATTAGCTCTGCATTCGAGAGACGTCAGTGTGGGAATTGAAACTCACCTCCAACCAAGTCCTTGATCGCTTTGCTCAATGGGATGTCCGCCAATGGCTTCTTCAGTTTCTGAGCAACCAATGCTCTGAGAATATCGACAGCGCCGACTGGAGCATCTGCAACCGCTGCTGCCGGTCCAGCACCTGCTGAAGGAGGTGGAGCAGCTGCCGCTGGAGCTGCCGCTGCTGGTGCCGATGATGATGCTGCTGGAGCACTCGCACCCTCGCTGGGCGCAGGCGCCGCTGCGGGCTCATCCTCCACTGGGTCGACGTCGTAGTAAATGTCTTTGGCGTCCTTGTTGTAGCACAGAATCTGCCGTTGCACGGATCGTGCTGCATCATATGCCTCGTACTTTGCAGCCAGTGTCCGCTTGGCCATGCCGCCCAATGTGTCTGCGGGCCCAATTTCCACTATCCGCTCCGTCTCCTTCTCGCCCAGAATGACATCTTGTGTTTCGATCCATCTCACGGGCGAGGCGAACTGGTATGCCAGGAGCTCGACCAGCAGCGTGTGGGCCAAATCTTGCTCGACCTCGGGCCTCATGGTGGCGGTGTGGTGTGTACGGCGCCGTCCAGAAAATCTGCGGTTTCAGAGTGCGGTTGGACAAAAAGAGTGTATCATGCGCACAGCAGTCGCGCCAATGGGTCTTGGTGGTGATGTAGAGGGAAGGTGCAGTGGTGGTGGATGGGAGAGGAAACAGCTGCCAGAATTTTCGGGGCAGACTGCGGACGCTCAATGTTTCTCTCACACGCACTCACTGCCCGCGTGGCCGGATGGATGAATGGATGAGTGGATGGGGATGGGGTGGGCGGTTGATGGGAACGCGTGCGATAAGGGCGCAGAGGGTGAGGCCGGTGCTCTCCGCAGGCTCAACAGTGCAGTCGAGTGGTTGATATGCAGGTGGACGAGGGCCAGCGGACCGTTGAACACAGCTCACGCCAGAGGTTGATCGAGTTGAGCGAGCTTACCCCAGTCGTCTCCAGAGCGCGGCAGGCAGAAAGTCTTGAGACCGGCGTGCTCGCTTGACCTGCGCCTTGACGTGTGCCCGGCTGGTCCCTGAGCAAGTGCGCTCGCTTTTTGCGGATCGACGCCAATGCTAGCGGCGGCGTGAAGAGCGACGGCAGGAAGAAACAATGTCGCCAGTTGCAACGTGTGAGGATGGGCGCGATGAGACAGCGGGGAATAGGAGGAATCACTAATCCTCACTCGTACCGCAGGCAGCAATGCAACTGAGGACCGCGCATCGCGTCGTGGTCGTGGTCTCGCGGGCAGTTTGTTCAACCACGCCCGCGCAGAGGGCCTCGCTGCAGGTCGGCGGCTAGCGCCACGGAACGGCACTGCCATCCTTGCACGATGATGCCTCAACGCCGGAACGTCGCAGCTCGTCGAGCCTCAATGCATCTGGGCGACGCTTCCTGCCCGCGTGGAAAGACGTGCTGGCCGTGCCCGACCCTTTCCTGCTCACTGTCCACACTCTCCCACACTCACACCTTCTCTCCAAACCATACCACTGCAGCGCCGCGTGCCATTGGGAGCGCGCAGTCCATTTCTCGAAACCACGCCAACCCACTTACCCGCGGGAGTGACCACATCCTTGCCGTCGGCGTCTGAGCTTTGCCCATAGCTCGACAAAATCCAATCCAGCTGTCGAATGAGAATTTAGGCACTCATTTGCTATAAACGAGAACGACGTGAGTTCCTCCACCACCATCATCAGTAATCTCTGTGCTGCGTAGCGACGGCAACGTGGTCTTTTGGTCAGCATCGCGCCCTTTTGCGAGATCCATTGGAGGCAGCAGCGAAAAAAGCAGCGTCGGCAGTTGGCCAGTTCCAGTTCCGCGCACACGACACCGCCCCTCCAGATCATGCTGCAAACATGAGCACTCCAGCACAAGAACTGACGAATCCTTTCGTGCAGTTTGAAGAGGCGCTTTCGCCCACTGCACCCACCAGACCATCCCCTCAGACACGCCGCCGATCCAACATGTATGGCAGCGGCTCCCAGACCGGCGTCTCTACGCCACGCTCGCAAGCCGTATCACGACCTCTCACGCTCACTCACGGATCGCTCGAATACACCTTTTTGATACCCACCGCATTACATTTCAATGCTACACAGCTCAAGGATCAGTTTCTTTCGACCCTCCCCGAGGCCACAGAAGAGCTTGCTCAGGATGACGAGCCTTCCTCAGTCACGGAGCTGGTTGCTCGATACATTGGCTTTGTTGCCAAAGAAGTAGAGGAGGGCGAAGACCCGGAGCTCTTCACTGAAGTTCTGAAACTCGTCCTCACTGAGTTTGAGCGCACCTTCCTCCGCGGGAACGAGGTGCACGCAATTGCCTCACATCTGCCCGGCATCTACGAGAAGAAGCTCGTCACAGTGCAGGCATACTACGCCGCCCGCGCTGCCGTCAAGCGAGCCATTAGAGCACACGAGTCTGCGCTTCTGCGTGAAGCTGCTGATGAGAATGCTTATGTCTACGCTGTTTTTGGCGGACAAGGCAACATTGAAGAATACTTTGACGAGCTCCGAGAAATCTACAACACCTACCCTTCATTGGTGCGCGACTTCTTGAATGTGGCTGCACAACATCTGCAGTTCCTGTCAAGGGACGAGCAAGCGTTCAAGAGCTACGCCAAAGGCCTCGATATCATGCGATGGCTGGACAACAAGGACTCGCAGCCGGATACCGACTATTTGGTTTCTGCACCAGTCAGCTTCCCATTGATCGGTCTTACACAGCTCGCACACTACGTTGTGACCTGTAGAGTGCTTGGTACACACCCAGGTCACGTCCGAGATCGTTTCTCTGGCGCTACTGGACACTCTCAGGGTGTTGTCACCGCAGCTGCTATTGCCGCCTCGTCGAACTGGGAGACCTTCGACAAACATGCCCGAAATGCCCTCACGATCCTCTTCTGGATCGGTGCCCGCAGCCAGCAAGCCTACCCTCGCACATCTCTCGCACCAAACGTGCTGCAAGACTCGATCGACAATGGCGAAGGAGCTCCAACTCCCATGTTGACCGTGCGAGATCTCTCGCGGGAGACCGTGGAGAAGCTGATCAAGCAGACAAACGAGCATCTGCCGGAAGACAGGCACATCGGCATCTCGCTCGTGAACAGCGCTCGCAACTTCGTCGTTACTGGTCCACCGATGTCACTGTACGGTCTCAACCTGCAGCTGCGCAAAATCAAGGCTCCAACTGGCCTTGACCAGAATCGGATACCATTCACGGAGCGCAAGGTCCGTTTCGTCAACCGCTTCCTCCCAATCACCGCACCTTTCCACAGTCCATACCTCGCAGAGGCCATGAAGCACCTAGAAAAAGATTTGGCAGAGATCAACATCCAAGCTTCCGAGCTCGGAATCCCAGTATACGATACATACACTGGTGAGGATTTGCGTGAGGAGAAGGCTGGCCAAAGCATTACACCTGCGTTGGTCAAGATGATCTGCCAGGATCAAGTGCTATGGGAGAAGGCTACAGTCATGCCAAATGCCACGCACATCCTCGACTTCGGCCCGGGTGGCATCTCTGGCCTTGGTGTTCTTACCAACCGCAACAAGGACGGAACTGGTGTTCGTGTAATCCTCGCAGGCACCATGGATGGCACGAATCCCGAGGTTGGATACAAGCCTGAAATCTTCGACCGTGACGCAGAGCACGCCGTCAAGTACGCCGTGGACTGGGTGAAAGAGTATGGACCAAAGCTTGTCAAGACTTCTGCAGGACAGACGTTTGTGGATACCAAGATGAGTCGGATGCTCGGCTTGCCGCCTGTCATGGTTGCTGGCATGACGCCTTGCACCGTGCCCACGGACTTTGTCGCAGCCACCATGCGCGCTGGCTACGAGATTGAGCTGGCTGGTGGTGGCTACTACAACGACAAGAGCATGACGGAAGCCATTGCCAAGATCGAGAAGGAGATTCCTGCAGGTCGTGGTATCACAGTCAACCTCATCTATGTCAACCCTCGTGCGATGGCTTGGCAGATTCCAATGATTGGGCGACTGCGAGCTGAGGGCGTGCCAATCGAAGGTCTGACCATTGGTGCCGGTGTCCCCTCGATTGAGGTCGCCAACGAATACATTCAGACACTCGGCATCAAGCACATCGGCTTCAAGCCCGGCTCATCTGATGCCATCCAGGCTGTGATCAACATCGCAAAGGCCAACCCTGGCTTTCCAGTGATGATGCAGTGGACCGGTGGTCGCGGTGGTGGCCATCACTCTTTCGAGGACTTCCACCAGCCGATTCTGTCCATGTACAGCAGAATCCGACGATGCGAGAACCTGGTTCTGCTCGCCGGTTCTGGTTTCGGTGGCGCAGAAGACACCTACCCTTACCTCACTGGTGAGTGGGCGAAGAAATTCGGCTACCCACCAATGCCGTTCGATGGTGTCCTCTTTGGCAGTCGTGTCATGGTGGCCAAGGAAGCACACACTTCCCCTGCAGCCAAGCAGGCTATCGTGGATGCACCAGGTCTCGAGGACCACGAGTGGGAGAAGACCTACAAGGGGGCCGCTGGTGGTGTTATCACTGTCCGCTCTGAAATGGGCGAGCCTATCCACAAGCTTGCTACCCGTGGTGTGCTCTTCTGGGCAGAGATGGACCAGAAGATTTTCTCCCTCGACAAGGCCAAGCGCATCCCTGAGCTGAAGAAACAGCGCGAGTACATCATTCAGAAGCTTAACGACGACTTCCAGAAGCCATGGTTTGGGCGCAACAAGGCCGGCGAATGTGTTGATCTTGAAGATATGACCTACGGAGAGGTACTGCGCCGCATGGTCGATCTCATGTACATCAAGCACCAGAAGCGATGGATCGACAAGTCGCTCGCTCGCTTGACTGGCGACTTCATTCGCCGCATTGAGGAACGCTTTGCCGAGACCAATGGCGCTGGTTCCCTCATTCAGAACTACACTGAGCTGGATGACCCATTCGGCACCGTCGCAAAGGTGCTCGAGACATACCCAGAAGCCGATGTCCAGCTCATCAACGCCCAAGATGTGCAGCACTTCCTGCTTCTCTGCCAGCGACGTGGACAGAAGCCAGTGCCTTTCGTTCCCTGCTTGGACGACACCTTCGAGTTCTTCTTCAAGAAGGATTCTCTCTGGCAGTCTGAGGATCTTGAGGCTGTCGTCGACCAGGATGTCGGCCGTGTTGCCATCCTACAGGGACCAATGGCTGTCAAGTACTCTAAGATCGTCGATGAGCCGATCAAGGACATCCTCGACGGTGTTCACGAGGGTCACATCAAATTCTTGACGCGTGATCTGTATGGCGATGATGTCAAGAAGATTCCCCAGGTCGAATACTTCGGTGGAAAGCTCATTGAAGCCAGCGATGATCTCCACAATGTCGAAGGCCTCACGGTCAATGAGACTGAGCACAAGATCCTGTACCGCTTGTCGTCAGTCACTGGCACCGCTCTCCCACCATTGGACAACTGGATTCAGCTGCTCGCTGGCCGCGCCCACACCTGGCGCCACGCCTTTTTCACGACCGATGTGTTCGTTCAAGGTCAAAGATATCAGACCAACCCTGCCCACCGCATCTTTGCGCCAACACCAGGTATGGTTGTCGAGATCCAGCACCCCAACGACCCCAAGAGAACGACAATCAGCGTCAAGGAGCCTTCGCACGGCAATGAGTACGTTCAAACTGTGCACGTTGCCCGCGACAGCAATGGCGAGATCACTGTCAACATGATCGAAGGCCGTACAGCGACCGGCAAGGCTGTCGCTCTGCCACTGCGTTTCACATACCATCCAGAGACTGGTTACGCACCAATTCGCGAAATCATGGAAGCTCGCAATGATCGCATCAAGGAGTTCTACTACAAGATCTGGTTCGGCGACGAAGCTTGTCCATTCGACGTGGATGTCACTTCGCGCTTCGACGGAGGACGTGCAACAGTCACCAGCGAAGCAATCAACGACTTCGTCCACGCTGTGGGCAACACTGGTGAGGCCTTCGTTGACCGACCGGGTAAGGAAGTCTTCGCTCCTATGGACTTCGCCATCGTGGTTGGCTGGAAGGCTATCACTAAGCCAATCTTCCCACGCACCATTGATGGAGATCTTCTCAAGCTCGTCCACTTGTCGAACGGCTTCCGCATGATTCCTGGCGCCGCGGCACTTAAGAAGGGCGATGTCCTTGACACGACTGCTCAAGTCAATGCTGTCATCAACCAAGCCTCGGGCAAGATGGTCGAGGTTTGCGGCACCATCACACGTGATGGCAAGCCGGTCATGGAGGTCACCAGCCAATTCTTGTACCGTGGCAACTACACCGATTACCACAACACCTTCCAACGCAAGGTCGAGACGCCTATGCAGGTGCACCTCGGCTCGACGAAGGATGTGGCAGTTCTGCAATCGAAGGAATGGTTCAAGATTGAGAACGAGGACGTTGATCTTCTGAACCAGACTCTTGTCTTCAGACTCAACAGCATCCTCCGTTACAAGAACCAGACTGTGTTCTCGTCTGTCCAGACAGAGGGCACGGTCGAGCTCGAGCTGCCCAGCAAGGAGATCATCACCGTCGCCTCTGTCGAATACGAGGCAGGAACCTCTTACGGTAACCCTGTTCTTGATTACTTGACTCGCAACGGATCTGCTCTTGATCAGCCTGTGAACTTCGAGAACCCAATTCCTCTCAGCGGCAAGACTCCTCTGGTGCTGAAGGCCCCATCGTCCAACGAGACCTATGCTCGTGTCTCTGGCGACTACAACCCAATTCACGTGTCACGTGTTTTCTCGCAGTACGCCGGCCTTCCTGGTACGATCACGCACGGCATGTACTCGAGTGCTGCCGTTCGATCGCTCGTGGAGACCTGGGCTGCTGAGAACAACGTTGGTCGTGTCCGCAGCTTCCATGCCTCGCTCGTGGGCATGGTCCTGCCTGATGACACTATCGAAGTCAAGCTTCAACACGTTGGCATGGTTGCTGGCCGCAAAATCATCAAGATTGAGGCGCAGAAGGCTGAGACTGAGGAAAAGGTGTTGCTTGCGGAGGCAGAGGTCGAGCAACCTGTGTCCGCTTACGTCTTCACTGGCCAAGGTTCGCAAGAGCAAGGTATGGGTATGGATCTATACGGATCCAGCGAGGTTGCAAAGGAGGTCTGGGACCGCGCCGACAAACATTTCATGGACAACTACGGCTTCGCCATCACCAACATCGTCAAGAACAACCCCAAGGAGCTCACCATTCACTTTGGTGGCGCACGCGGCAAGGCCATCCGCAAGAACTACATGGACATGACTTTCGAGACTGTCGCCACCGACGGCTCCATCAAGTCGGAGAAGATCTTCAAAGAGATCAACGAGAACACCACTTCCTACACGTACCGATCGCCAACCGGTCTGCTGTCTGCCACACAGTTCACCCAGCCGGCATTGACGCTCATGGAGAAGGCATCGTTCGAAGACATGCTTTCCAAGGGTCTTGTCCAGCGCGACAGCAGCTTCGCTGGTCACTCACTCGGAGAGTACAGTGCGCTGGCTGCTTTGGCTGAAGTCATGCCAATCGAGTCATTGGTCTCTGTCGTGTTCTACCGTGGTCTGACCATGCAAGTCGCTGTCGAGCGTGACGAGGCCGGACGCTCCAACTACTCCATGTGTGCTGTCAACCCATCGCGTATCAGCAAGACTTTCAACGAGCAGGCCTTGCAATACGTTGTCGAGAACATCTCTCTCACAACTGACTGGCTTCTCGAAATTGTCAACCTCAACGTCCACAACCAGCAGTACGTCTGCGCTGGTGATCTCCGTGCTCTGGACACCCTCACTGGTGTGCTCAACTACCTCAAGGCACAGAAGATTGACATCCAAGAGCTCATGCAAACCATGAGCATGGACGAGGTCAAGGCTCACCTGGTCGAGATCATCCAGGGCTGCGCCAAACAGACCGAGGCCAAGCCTAAGCCTCTGGATCTGCAGAGAGGCTTCGCCACCATTCCTCTCAAGGGTATCGACGTGCCTTTCCACTCGACCTTCTTGCGCTCTGGCGTGAAGCCTTTCCGATCCTTCTTGTTGAAGAAGATCAACAAGACTTCCATCGACCCTAGCAAGCTCGTTGGAAAATACATCCCCAACGTCACCGCGAAGCCATTCGAGCTTACCAAGGAGTACTTCCAAGATGTGTACGAGCTTACAAAGTCTCCTCGCATCGGCAACATTTTGGAGAACTGGGACAAATACGAGAGCGATTCACCAGATGTGATTCGTCCTCGTGCAGGCAGCATGGCAGTGCCTAACCATGGGTGAGAGATTGCGAGCTCTCACGAGCAGTGACGGCAGGCGTTTTAATGTTTCTTCTCACGGCTTTTATGATGGTGCGTGATGGCGATGTATAATGGGATGGCGTTTTGTGTTTCAGAAGAAGGTGGAATCATGATTGTTGCATCTGTGTATCTGATAGATAGATTTGTGTGTTCCAACAGAGAAATGAAAGAAATAGTGTTAGTTCAGAACGCAGCTTCCACATCTCACGTTCCTACCAATTTCCATCTTTCATCTTTACGGATAACGTTGTAGTCGTGCAAAAGATGCTTTCTACTTGAGTTTCGAATAGTATTGCTTGTTGCCTAACGCAACAATACTTTGGAACATGAGAGAGAGATTCCCTTCTGACTGTCATCGATGGCACGAAAACGTCATCTGCGTATTTGACTCATGATATCGGCACGTCTCGATGCCTTGGAGCACATCGCCATTGTGGTAGTGCATTCACGAGAGTCAATGTGCGATTACATGCAAGCTTGTACACTTATTGAGCAGGAGCTCGAACTGCCATAACGAGACGGATGCTCCTTGAAGTGACTGCAAGTGCAGTGCACGTTCTCACATGTGAAGCCCCTGCCTTCAAGCTCGTACAGCACGTCTTCGAAGTCAAAAGGTTGAGGACCACCACTATGGAGTAACATGGAGTTATTGTGGAACATGCGACGAATGCAAAGATAATGCAATGCAAAGCGGTAGTGCCTGCATATCGCTACAGACCACGAGTTGTGGCATTATTGTAGGACTAGCTGCGCTGGCGATAAGAAATGTTGGGGTACATGTGTGGAGAAGTGAAGACGGTATTCGGCATGCCTATATTGTCTTGTGTGCTTGGAAGTATATACTGTACAGTGAGAATGATGCGTTGATGATGAGGACGAGCTGGTGAGCTCAGTTCAGGTTCCATTGAGGGACGACATCGTTGCGTATACCCAGCTGGAGAGAAGAGCTCTCATCGCGATGCATACCGGTCTTGCCGCTCGATGAACGCTCGTGGTCGCGTAACATCAATGGACGTTGTCCGCGTGGTTCTGACGTGTTGGAGCTCCAATCCAAAATCATGTTTTGGCATTCCCATCTCTTCCGGCACCGAAAAGATGCGCAACCTTCGACGGTATGGCGCCTAAAAGATGCCGTGTTCGCTCGTGATTTGTAGCTTTGGTGTTGCCTGTCAGGATGTTCACGCAAGTTCCACTAGAGGCCCCCAGGTTTGATTCTTCAACTGTAGGTCTAGGTCCTTGCAGGTTATGGTTGGCCACTTCGGCTGTTGTCGCTGCATCTTCAAGTCTCCGAATCCACGCTCCTGTCATTCCGTTAGCTGCGTTCCGGCCAAAAGAATTAGAATACTCACCCGGCGTGCTGTGATGACTGTGCTTGAGATGTTGACGAAAGTGATCGAGCTACCACACTAGTCAGTACCCACATCTTGAATGCTTAAATTATTCAGTCGCCTTACCCTCAAGAACTTCTTACTCTTGTTACAGCTGCCGAATTGGTGCGCTTTGATGAGATGTTGACAACGAATGCCCCAGTCTGGAGGATTCGGAAAACCTTCGCCGCAGAAGGCACAGTTGTCCATGCCATTCCCATCATTGCGGACAATGTATACTACTTCGATGTCGCTGATACTTCCACACGAGTAAGTGAGACTTTGATGTACTGCACTATGATGTCGTTCTAGCTCATTTCTCGATCGGAATCTACACATACTGGTCAGTCTTTCGTTCAGTGGTCTTCAGGTGGATTTTGACTTTGACGTGAACACAGTGTGACACCGCAACAATCCGGTCTGCTTCAGACTTACCTGTTGGGACAATGCTCACACCTCAAAGCCCTTTCGGTCTCGTGAAGCTTGAGTTCAAGTTCGGACTTGAAAGCTCTCGGTCCACTCGGACAACATGCACAGATGTGTCGTCGTGCCATCTGAAATTCGTAGCCATCCGGCTCGCTGCCAGTCCCTGTCGGCTCCGGAATCGGCGAAACAGGAGTGGACTCCGTAGTATGCGTTCGCTCATGCCGACGCAAGTCTTTGGGATAGAAAAATCCCTTCCCGCATTGAACACACACATGAGGCCGATCTGTGCTGTGCACCTTCTCATGCTTTGTAAGTTCTCCTTGGTGATCAAAAGCTTTATCACACCCGGGAAAAGTGCAGTGATAGCCAGCAAGTATTTTAGGCTCGCGTCTACGCTTCTTCGAGGCACTGGTCGCCAAGCTATAATCGGAATCCACTTGACTGCTGGCTGAGATGTAGCCATAGTCGCGCGACATGGATGAAGACAGCGACATGCGCCTCGAGATGCTACCCCTTCTGCTATGTAGTGCAGACCCTGCAACACGCGGATAATGTCTGGGCGACGAAGAAATTCTGAAAAGCGCATTTGCCAACTCGGTCGGACTAGCAGCACCGGGAGCCAGCGATGTTCGAGTAGGCAGTGAGGAGGCTGACGGAGGAGTTGAAATGCTTGATGGTGCCTGATTGGGATCGTAGTTAGATGCACTGCCAAAAGCCTCACGCACTAAATTCGGCAATTGGGAGAATCCCTCATCCAGAAGGTAAGACGTAAGGCTGAAGCCTAGAGGCATACGCAAGAAGCATGCTTCGACATTACGATCCGTGGCGTTGACATTCCAGTGTGGGCGAGTATCATTGAGCGCCAGTACGGCCTTCACGGCATCGGGTGGTGTTTCGAAAAGGGCATACACGGTACAGTACTCGCCACGGATGTCTCTAGTGATCTTGCTAGGCGGTGGCAATCCTAGAACATTAAGACATGTTCGGAAACATATGGTGGATGAGACCTGGTGGAATATCACCAGCCTAGGATCGATATAACCTGGCGACCATGTGTTGCGGCCCGGGTTCCACCTGCGATCCTTGGCATCGCCTGTTTTGGCGAGCGCACACTTGCTCAGTAGCACGCGCTTCTGCAGACCATCGCCTACACTCATGTGGCTGAGACCCCACATGTTGGCCATGGAATGGACCTGTTTGCGCTGCCTCCCTCCCAATGGGATGGTGGTGAGCGTGCAGGTCGGGCTCTGGCGGAAGTCCTGAAGCTGTTGTCGAAGCTGATCGTACCACAGATCCTGGCTGTCAGCCTCAGTCCAAGAAGAGTCACTCTCCTCCTGCGACACAGCGAATGACGGGGCGGAACCCATGTGTGGCAGGTCGAAGTTCATCGAAGAGGGCTGTGGCGTCAAGAATGGCATTGTGTTTCCGGCCATGGTTTGCGCTAGATTCATGTCTTTCAGAGACAGGTCCAGTAGTTCCTCGTTTGAGATCATGAAAGACCCGGGATAGGCTTCTTGATTGGCGTTCATTGTCCAGATTTGCTCTTGCGTCCACAGTGTTGCATCTGTGCTATCGACGTGGTCTGCCATCACGAGTTTGTGCTTCGGACGCCGGATTCTGGTACGCTGTCGTCATTAACAAAGTGTGTAATCTTTCAATCAAAGAGAGACAAGAAATGCTACATGGGCCCAAGGCGATGTTTCAGGAGGGCGAATGAGTGTTGCGTTGTGCCACGCCGCCCTCTGCGCTTGAGGGAGGCATCAGAGGGGTACCGCAGGCGGCCTCGAGGCCGGCGCGCGACACGAAGGAACGTTCTTGGCAGCTTCTCCTCTCGACGTGGCCGCAGATGACGTTGCTCGCATTCTGGTACTGTCGCGTGACTTTGGTGTCGTCCCAACAAAATTGTTACTGGAGTCCGCGAGCAGCCGGCAGAGGCATTGTGAAGTTGATGCAGGAGGCAAAAAGGCGAGATGGAGTTGAGAAAGAGCAAAGGATGAAACGCGCCACTTGGAACTTGCAGAGCCTGAGGCAGACATTTCGCTCCAATGCATTTCAAATCGCGTACATAGCAACATATCCACATATCCAAAGTCAAGTCAAATCATAGAAGAACAGCTTTGCACGACAGAATCGCGAAGACAAGCACAATGACAGAAATCACCACTCAAGAAATCGAAGATGCCCTTCAAGCCCTCTCCCTCAGTTCATCATCAGCAACACCGAACTCCTCCGCCATCAAAACCCTATCAACAGCAAGCAAAACCTCCGAATCCACACGACAAGCCCTCAACAACCCCTCCATCATCCGCAACATCATCGAAACAATACAAGTCTCCCTTACCACCGACCTCGAAACAACAGATCAAGCCCTGCGTCTTCTAGCAAACGCTTGCGTTTCCTCATCAACTGCAGACTCACAACCCGGACCAAGAGACCACATTACCGCAATAGGCTTCTCCTGGGCAGTCCAGTGTCTCTCACCACAAATTTCATCAGACAGAGATATCAGAATTCTGGCGACGAAAGTTTTGCGAAATATTTGTTCGGAACATGAAAGTTCGCAGAAGAAATGTTATGAGGAGAAAGTGCATTTTGCTTTAGTCAGGTTTTTGCAGCATGTTTTGATCGCCAGAGGGCAGAAACAAGATGATGGTTCAGAAGACGTAGATGCGGGTGTTGATGTTTTGTTCACGATTATGGGGCAAAAGAGCACGCTGGAGCCGAAATTGAGTGAGCAGCTGCCGAAGGATGTTTTGGAGGGTGTTCTGAGTTTGTCTGATTTGTGGACTGGGGAGGGCGAGGATGATGATGTGGAGAGTTTTGCTACGGTTGCGGAGACGGAATTGGTGTTTCTGCGGGATGAGGTGGTACAGACACAGGTTGTTGAGGAGAAGCAATTCGAAAAGGTATGGGAGCTTTTGGAGAAGATTGAGAAGGTAATAGGGAAGTTGAAGAGAGCAGGATCAAGAGTCACTGAGGTTGGAAGCGGCGATGAGCGGCCTCTGCCACCTTACTGCCAGAGTGGAGATCTGGAAGAAGACTTGAAGCTCCTGGTGCCTTTACAGGCAAGCCTGGTATGGTGTCTATCGGACACTGCTGCGAATCCGGCTTTCTCGGCAACATATGCTTGGGATGGAGAACAAATGCAAGTCTTGTTTCATGTCATTCAAGCAGCTGCGGACAATGCGAGAGGTCAGAGACGGCAGATATATCCACCAGAATACGCTGGCACGTCTGCTGCTGGGCAAAAGTTCAACGCTGCATGCCAGGTGCTCGGGAACTTGCTATGGGCTCAGAAGGAGCCTCAGCAGTATGCGCGACTCGTGGCTGACGAGGAGGTACATACGGACTTGATCGATATTGTTGCACTTGGCGGCTACGATGCTGCGTTCCCAGATACACTGCACTCAATAGCAGGTTTGCTGATCCAGCTGTCAAGGCCATCAGTGGATGCAAGGGAGGCAATTGGGAGCTATGGACCGGCGTCAGATGCGATAGAGAGGCTGTGTCGGCATGAGAGACCTGAGATAAAGCAAGGTGGCATCAAGCTGGTGAAAGCCCTCGGAAGAGACTGTCATGCCAACCAGCGGCGCTTCGCAGATCTTGCAGGAGTAGCAATGGCTGGGTTGCAACCTTCGTCCGGAGACCACAGCGGAGACACAGATTCCGTTATGGCAACTGATGGGCCGAGTTGAGCTGAATGGATAGTCTTCGTCGATGGCAGAATCTTCATCACCCAACTTTTCCAGCGAACTTTCTTCTTGTCCAAACATCGCCGTTTTCCAGATACTCTGCTCGCGTGACAATCAGATTCTTCATCAGGTCTTCGTTCTGCGCCATTCTCGCACCACCTAGCCACGCGTTTTTCAGGGGATCCTCAGCCTTCGCGACTCTCAATTCGTACCCATCATCCAGCTTCATCCTCAATTCATTCTCCAGCCTTTCGGCAAAGCCCGGCAGAAGACTCGTGCCTCCGACTGCCACTACATTCGCCAAGAACGCCTGCCATAGTCCCTTAGGCAGACTCTCAAGGCTCTGCATGATAGTCCCCGCAATACCTTCTTGAGGCATTCCAATATCAGAAGGCGTAAAAAGAATCTCCGGCACCGTGAACCTTTCATTCCCTACAGGCAACACCATCTCACTCTGTCCTCCGATACCCAGTCGTCTCATCTTCGCGCCTTTGCTCGGGTCATGTGCGCGCGGGAACCCGCGTTTGAGTTTCTCGTAATCGGGCAGGACATAATCAACAACGATGCTTGCATCGACATCTCGTGGGTCTTTCTGTCCGCCTTTCCAGACCCGTTCCAGTCGTGACGAGAACTCTTGTGAGGTTGGACAAACGTAGCACGTGTCTTCTTTGATTTCTTGCGAGATCCATTCTTCGCGATGCATGTCCATAGTGCGCGATAACAGAGATCGCAGATGTGCTGTCAAGGTCTTGCCGCCGATATCGAGGCGTCGGATTGCTTGCTGGAGAGGTCTTCCATAGTATAGCGGTGTGACAGTCGTGTGCGAGTGGCCGGAGTCCACGACGAGGAGGCACTCCAGCGGCACGCCGTGAGCTGATGTTGCTGTATCCGGAAACGGCGACGGAGCATAGGCGTTGAGTGCGGGTGAAATCGTCCTGTAAAGCGAATGAAACTCGAATTCCTCAAAGACCATCTCATCGGCATTTCTCTGCAAGACTCCAGGCGCATTCGGCGATTCCGTAAATATCAGATTCGTTTCGTGCGGGTCACATTTGAACTGTGATCTGCTGTCATGAATCGTTCGTTCCCAGACTGCTTTCTCGGCCTCCCAGCTGACTACATAGCCCTTTTCGACTGGTCTTCGGATCTGCAGTTCTCCAAAGTCGCCACAGTCGTCGAGTTCGGCGCCAACGTAAGTGATTTTGTCTCTTTGCGATCTTGCTACACAGTTGGCCACTGGATGGCAGTCTTCCAATTTCGGCTCCGATCCAGGTGTGCTGAAGCCGGCTTTGATAGAATGTGCCCCATGGTCGAAAACGAGCGTCGTTCTTCCGAGTCGGCCGACTGGCGCTGAATTGCCCGATTTTGTTTTTCCCATGTTGATGTTGGAACTGTGTCGCGAAAGACGCGCGTGGTGACGTGAAGTCAAGTCGTGAAGCGGGCAAACGCAGAAGCGACCACCGACTCAACTTTCGGCAACATTTTTTGACCACATCAACAACATTGCACAGCTGCAAAAACGCCATGACGCCATCGCAAGCAGACCTGAAGGCTCTGAAGGACTTGATCAAGTCGACTACAGCACTGCTTGCGCAATTTCGTTCGTCCCTAAACGCTGTCGAAACTACCACGAGAATCGAAACCCCTCCAAACCCGCTGGAAGTGCTTCGTGACTCTGCGAAACTTCTCAAGGCGCATACAACAAAGATCTCGCTGCTGGCCATCAATAAACCCTTCACACCTTCCGCAATCTCCAAGGTTCTGCGAGAATTGACAGGAACATGTCTGCCCGCCATGATGTCTGCGGTCCAGATCTGCGAGCAAGAGAAATCCACGTGGGGCACAACAGTGGGCCGAGAAGTCGCTAGAAGAGTTCGGAGAGTGTTCATGGAAGTGGAAAACCTGCTGCAGGAGCTGCAAAGTATTGCAGATGGTAATGCGCAAGGAGCGACGAGTGCACGGGACAGTCTCTCCAGCACTGGTGTTGTCTGGGAGTCTTGTGATGCGCTCATCGAGCTACACACGCTAGGCATCGCTGGTCTTGCTATTCAAAAAGCAGAGCAGTTTCGCGAAACGATCAAAGACGCTATCTTCGAACTACAGGAGTGGAAGGAAGGCACGAACTTGGACACCGAAGGAGTGGACGATGCGCTTCTTGACAGCGGAGACGAAGGTGTCGATGGCGACGCGGACAGCTTCGACGACATCTTCAATGCAGCCAACAGCTGCCCCAAGGACAGACCGGAGCTCAAAGAGCTTGTGGACGTCGCTTGTGGCAAGATGAAGAAGATCGTACTGCTGTATACTGCATTGGACAAAAGACGGTTGAAGACTTACGGGTCCAAACCGACAGAACAGCGAAAGAATGTTAGTGATCTGGACGAACTCATCGAAAGGATGTCAGATCTCCAAGAAGAACTCGACGAGATTGCAGCTGGTTTCTACGATCTCGACGAAGACGCTGTCAAGGAGATTCTAGAGAAATGCGTGAACGAATCACGAGAGGTGAGCCAACTCGCGCGACTTGACTGGGCCGCAAGAGAAGACGAATTTACGATATGGAGAGATAAATGGGATGAGGCAATACGTTGATTATCCGCATTCACGTAGTCTACCCTACACGCGTTTCGGTAAGGACAGAAAAGAAGGGTTGGTATGCTACAATCCGTCGCATTACCTCATGCCTATTACAATCTAACTGCATCCGCCACCCCACTCATTCCCCTCCACTCCACTTCGATGTGATCAAATCGAGATCCGATTAATACAGCTTGATCAATTTTAATCCGCCTTCGAATAGTGGCAGGCTGCTCCTCTACAACGCGGCCACAGCGAGGCCGACGAGACCAGCAATGGCAGCAGTTCCAACAAACCTTCCTGCTTGGAGGCCAGAGGCATCGCCGGTGCTCTGCTGGATCGGTGGTCGTCCAGTCTGGTTGGTCTGGTTTCCCCCGTATCCTGTTGGACCCGTGGTTGGGGTCATGTTGGTGTGAGGAGCATAGCCAGTTGGTGGGCTTGGTTGAGTGCTTTCTGGACCAGTTGGAGACTGCTGGTTTGGCTGGCTGGATGGCGGCGAGCCTCCTGGTGGTGGTGCGGCGCCTCCACCCACGCTCTTGCAGAGATCTGGGCTGACATTTGGGATCTTGAAAGACTCGCCCTTGGCTGCGAGCGCGGTAATACAGAGCTCGCCGGTGGCTGCCAAAGTACCTGGGTTTATTTCGTCAGCATGTTGCTTTAGGCTTTGCTCCTACGAATCGCCATCTTACCCATTAGGTCCGTCTCTGAGCATGTGCTTTGGCACAAGCATGGGACGATTGCCTTGGCGATGTCCGCAGCGCCACTTGTGCACTGGCAGTAGACATCAGTCAGAAGACAGCTGGTGGTGCCAGCAGCCTGCGTAAGACATTGCAAAGCACACGGTGGGATTTTGCTCAAATCTGGCATCTGAGGGCTACCGCCCTGCTCGGTGGTACTGGCAGCAGCGGCAATGCTCGCCACAGCGAGGAGAGAAAAGAAGCTGTGCATTTTCGGCGTGGTAACAAAAGAACAAATGTCTGCTGTCTTGCTACTGATGCGGAATGAGATGATGCGAACAATGGAAGAATGCGCAGTGGCAGAAGTACGGTATACTACTCAGGAGGCAAACGAGGTCGCAAATGAATGGGCACGACTCCATTTTCTACTTGCAGAGCCTGTTTGATGGCCTGCAGGCTACAATGTTGGGGGAATACCGCTGAAGCTGGAGATTTCATTGATGGAAAATGCAGCACAAACCACCATTTGGGCAATTACCTTTGCAGGAGACTCTGGGAAATCGTTGGGATGTCCTGGCTGTGTTGCTTGTCAGGAGTTGGGAAGTGCTGGTACCTGGTGCGGAGTTGGCGGTGGTCGAGGGTGTTTGTTGGTGAATGCGGGCCTCACACTGCAAGATGTCGCCCCATGCAGCGGTATGGGGCGATGCAAGAGTTTGCATCCTCGTTCCTCAACTGAACTGCCGTGTTCGCGCGTTGGCCATCGCCAGACTGCCGCGCGTCAGCTCTTCACTTGCCACGGAGGTGCAGCAATCGCCCATAGCTGGCCAACATTCGTCCTGAGGAGCTGCTCTACGCGGACTACATGAAACACTACATGTCTGCCACACAGCTGACGGGTTGGGTGTGCTGTTGTGCGACCCCACTCGATCATGTGGCCTGTTCAGCAGTGCGCGTCGGGTCGCGAAATCTTCCAAGAAGGTTCAGCATGGAGAGGGGAGTGAAAAAGTCAACAAGGCAGGCAAAAATGAAGCGTCCCTGCTCGAGTCATTTCATTCGACAGGGCAAAAGCTTGTTGCCCAGCCCGTTCCTGGCCTGGACCTATTTGCGGTAAAGATGCCTCATCACTGTCGCATGGACTTTCTGTACCACAGTACCAGCCTGCTGCTTTGCACAACGAAGCAGACAGGTCGCTTTGCATTCTCATTTCGGGACGACAAGTCGCATGCCCAATCTCCGCACAGCACATCGATATGCCGGCTTGTGAGACTGCCGCAGGTCCCGTCTGCAGATCATGCAGCTTGCAGCTCCTGTCAAACAGAGAACCATTGCCCTGGGTGTTTCTGAGCCATAAAAGATCGCCGATGAGTAAGTACCATACAGGTCGCAATTTTCTGAAACACAACATTCGTCTCTATTTCAAGTGGCGACAAGGCACAAAGGCATGTCGAATGACCACCCACGGCAGCGTGCACACCTAGAAAAAAAGAAGCTTCTGATGTTCTGCCGAGATAATGAGTAAGTGCTGTGTGTGACAGAGCCTCGTCCGCTCCAGAACTGCTCGCATGCTCAAAATTTTCCTTCCTTACAATGACCTTATCTGATATCTCGACTTCTACTGTTTTCGTTTCTGCTGTTGATTGTCCAGACCAACAAGAGCCTTACCAACATGTGTCTTCCGATGGCATCAAGATCAAATTCAAAGTCCTTCCTTACCAGACTCCTCAAACGGCCTTCACGCCACCGCGACGACGAAAAGTCGAATTTGCACAGCAGCGCGATAGAGGAGCCACAACCGAAACCACGAGCTCTTCATCGTCATCGGAAAACGTTGTCGAAAACCATTCCCATCAAGATCCAGTCGCCGCAAGAGTACTTCCAACAACAGCAACAACAGCAAAAGACTCTCTCACGACTTCCCAGCGTCCGCAACAGCGTGAGAGCTGTCTCGCGTCCTCCCAGCGTCAGACTCTCGCGCTCTCCAAGTGTTCGAAACACGAGAAGACCAGCGAGCATGACAGTCTGTTACTCGGACGCGAGTCCCGCCAGACAGGACTCAGCGGCTGCCACGACTTGGGGCGAGTCAGTCAACAAAAGACTGTCGCTCCTGCGGGCTTATCCAGGCTCAGAGGTGAGCTTGCGAAGCTAAAGGCTCCCGAGGAAGGCCTTGAGGATGTTTTGAGTCTTGTACACGCTTTGCTGCCGGCGGTTGAGTGTGATTGTGCCGCTGGATGTTGTTGATTGCCCAACACACTCGTGTTGAAGTTTGTCAAACGAAGCAATCTTCAACGAGTTCGCGGACAGCCTCAAGATACAAAACGCCTTTACTTTCGGAGCGCAACTTCGCCTGGTCAATAAGTATACTTATGCATATGCTATACTAAACGGCTCACGATGTTACATATAATGGCTTTGCATGGGGTTGCTGATGTTGGTTGCTGTATTAGCATCAAGGCGATCGGCTTTTCATTCTGGTCGTCACACATACTCATGACGCTCACGCTTCTTCTGTTCGACCATGCTTTGGATGCAGATACTCGTGGCTCATTGGCAGGCATCTCTCGTGGTGCTGCACGGCCAAGGCAGTCGAGGTGAATGGACGGACTGGTGAACGTGGCCTACTCGGGCCTTGCACTGGCCTTTCATCTTTGCAATCTCTCTCATACTACACCAGCAACACGACTCATCGCTCCAGAAATTGCAGATGGCGCCGGCACAGCACTTACCTCCCGCTGGAGGCTCGGGGCCAACGCGCATGTCACTGCGACTCAAGCAGAAAGCCTCTAACCCTCAAATCGACACCGCGACAATGACAGCTTCCACGGCTGAACCCTCGTATGGGAAGAAGTACAAGTACAATAGACCGGGACCAGTCAGAAACAACGAATATCTAGTCGAGGATGTCCTCGACGCGCGATACAACAGTTTTGTTGCCGGAAAATGGCAATACCTGGTTCAGTGGGCCGGGTGGCCCAAGAACGAGGCATCATGGCTTTGTCGGCGCGACGTCGACGCCAGTTGGGTTGAAGAGTACTGGAGGAGGCAGAACGCCAGCTTTGTCGCTGATAGGGCTGAGGCAGCGAGCGCAAAAGCATTCTTTACGGCGGCCAAAGTTGTAACGAAGTGGACTCGAAACTCAACAAGGTACTCGATCTTCATGTGGTTGACACAACGAGAGAAAGCTGCAAAAAGGGCAGAGTAAGTTCTTCCTTATTCATTGGCAGAGCGAATGTAGGAGCAAGACTGACGTGTGGAACAGACAGCGAGCAAAAGCGAAGCGACGCAGATTCCGCTAGGCGAAACGGAAAGGTGTGTTGGGGCTCGTGCTGGGGTTGATACTGGTGGTCAGAGACGCCCGGATATTCGAAGCATAGTGGCAATGGAGATACTGCTGTAACTTGGCTGCGGTCGATCAGCCGCTGGAAGCATTCCAGACACTCCACGTCTCGACAGAAGGGTCATTCTCTAGAGATGTATGAACAGTCCGGACAACACGGAACAAATGTTTTCCCTTATGAGCATATGTACACGCCGTGAATAATTTGTGATACACTTACCCATATGTCCACTCGCAACAGTCGTCTTTCCACCAACCGCATGTTCCTCCACCCGCCCTCGACCTACAGTCCCAGATTCACACTTGCACATTCTGATTACTACTCTTCCAAAATCTCAATCTCCGGTCCACAGGAACGCCTTCGGCACCCACGCTCATTGCAGACCTTGCAAGAAGTCGCGAAAGTGGAGTTCCCAGGAAGCAAGATACCCAAAAAGGAGCTATGATCGATACGTACACTCGTTCTCGAATCTTCGTACCTTGCCAGGATCGCCGAATTCTCTGCAACACCGCATTCAGTCGTTTGTCACATGCACAGTTGCTGCAGAGCGCGGGGTAAGGTGTTCGGATCGTGGACGGATGGGAGAGATCGTGTCGGAAACATGTGTTGTCGTGTTGTCGTTGCGGGTGAGAGTATATATAGCTCATAGCTGCCCTGCCTGCCATACCGTCTCTGATTCGCAACAACTGAGAATACGAGACAATACGATAATAATTCTTCCACAACAAGCCGTAGATCATCCTCGAAACCCAGACCGCCAAAGTCGTCCAAATACAGAAAACGGGAAAATCATGTCCGAACTACCATCAAACATCTCCCGCCTGCCTATCTTCCTGCAAGCCGAAGAGCTAAAGAAGTATTTCTTGCCCAAGACGGCACCGGTAGCGGAAGCTCCAGTCAAAGCGGCGAATTTGAAGGGTCTGGATAAGAAGCCGATTTTCTTGCAGGCGGAGGAACTGAAGAAGGTGTTCAGGCCTGGTGGTGTTTAGGCCCGGTGGGAGGTGACAAGGGCAGAACTGAGTATGGACGGGAAAGAGATTAGTGGAGTTTCGAGCAAGAATGCATGATCGGAAAGAGGTCTTTCGTATCGCAGCTGCAGGAAGGAGATTCGACTGTGCAAAGATCAGATCAGGGCAGATATGCATACTTTGAACAACAGCGTGAAACAAGCCGGTGCATATGGAAAGCAGTAATCCCACAGCGCAAACAAGTGCTTGAGCTCACAAAATTCTTTGACAGTCCCATCCCTTTTCACCCGACTCACACCTCCCTCCAAGTCTTCCTCTCCGCCCTCGGTGTCCCATTTGCATCAATCTCACTACTCCCCTCTTCAACCACAGCCTCCAAATCTCTCGACCAGTTCCCATACAAAATCGCCGAACTACTCCTCCTACTACTCGAGCCTTCAAGACTTCCTCTCCCATCACTATTAACTCTCTCTAACATCGTGACCGAAGATCCAGTACCAGTATCAGTCTCCCAGTGATCCTCATCTCCAGTACTCCCAGCAGCCAATTTTTCAGATTCCGGAATCGAAGTATCCAGCGAAGAAGACGAAGGACGGCCATCTCGACACTTGAAAGGCGAAGTAACGAACATGGCTGAGTCGTGCCTGTTCGGTTCCTCTTCCCGCATATTCCGACTTCTTTCAGCTTCTTGTTTCGACTTCTTCCGCTCTTTTGAACGCTGTCTAGCTTTGCGTAGGGCATACGGCACGAGTAGGAAGCCTGCAAACGACGCTATCGTCGCGGGAGTTCTGTTCCTTCTTCGCTTGCTATCTGCATCATGATTGCCTCGGGATCCAGCTCCCCAGGTAAACTCCACCATATCTTGGTCTGGACGCGGAACGAATCTCGTGTGACGAAATGCAAGGCCGTTGCAATTGAGCGTGTCAGTCTGTCGTACGTTTCGTGGTTCTCGCGGACGTTCTTGTACCAGTGGGCTCCAGCGCCGATTTTGCCTATTACCAGGCACGAAATTCCTGGTAGCAGCGAAGAGAAATGACGGAGGCTTATGCACGTCAGACCCAGTATCGTTTATATGTTCGTGAAATCTCGAGTGGTCCGCCATGTTGAGAGGCGGTGATGGCACAGCCCAGCTCACCGCGTCCTCTCATTCTTGTAACCGGACGCCCGACTCTTCAGCGCTTTGACGTGGCGCATTCAGAGTTGGAGTGCGTGTGCTCGCTGCCAGGATCTTCCCGACATATCAAGTAAGGAAATCACGTGGACACGGAGTATGTTTGATGACATCCTCGTACGCTTGAACAGTTGTTGTAATCTTGGCAGTTTTCCGACATCGAACATATGGATGCCTGGTTGTGCTAGCGGTTACTGAAGGATGGTCAGATCAGCAGATGTTCAAGACCTCGGGCATTGCGTACAGCTGAGTCTTGCGCGTCTTCCGACAGCACAAACGAGACATGCCATGCTTGCCTGCTCGATGCCTGGAGTGTTCCCGACACGGCACCAGAAGCGGTGTTTCCAGTCCGAGCGCAACTCAAGTTTCGCAAAAGTCGGCAACTGTGAGAAGCTCGAAAAGTTGTCTGCCTGGTGATTCGCATTGCACAATCGTTCCAAGAATATTGCAGCCTGATGGGAGAAGATGTTGCGAACACCGAACGTGTCCCGAAGAGGAAGGTTGAATGGTATCATCCATCTATCTGTGGTGTGAACACCGAACTTTCGGCTCCGAACGCCGAAGCCCTGAAGTGCCGCCAGCCGAAGGATTGGTGGGCTAGCTCTAACTAAAGTGACGACTCAAGATGGCTCATACTAGGCGACTGTCTGATATAAGTTGTCCTTGCCGCGCTCAGTTGATCGATATCTTCTGCATCAGTACCTGCGAGATTGCACCATCCGACTTCACACGCTTCTTACACCATGGGAATCAGAATCGAACGCGCCGGTCCGGAAGACTCAAATGTCTGCGTGGAACTGGGCTTCAAAGCGTTTCAAAACGACCTTTTGAATCGATCGGTTTTGCCAGAAAACGTTACTCCAGAACAGGAGAGAGAATACATCGAATGGAGGAAGTCAATATTTCGAAGGCGACTGGAGGGCGAGAACCGACATTGGTTGATGGCCGTAGATGGTGAGAGCGGAACAATCAATATAGCACATTCCGATCAGCTAACATTAAGCGCAGAATCCACTGGCGAGGTCTTGGGATATGCAGGCTGGAGTGGCCCGGCCGCGAAGCCTGTGGGGCATCCTCCGGAGGAAGGTCGACCCGCATTCGTTAACATGAAACCTTTCGACGCTCTCTTGAGTGCCATTGAGGAAGCTCAGAAGGAACTTGGATATGCTGATCGCACCGATTACTGGTACTTGCAAAGTTTTGCCGTTCATCCGGATCACTGGGGCAAAGGAGTGGCCGGAAAGCTGCTACAGTATTCCATGCAAGAGCTGATCGACCGTGACGGACGGGATGCCATCCTCGAATCGACCCCGATGGCGAAGAGGACATATGCTCGATGGGGCTTCCAGGAGGTCAAAGAGCTTCCGCTGATGAACGGAGCGTACATCTCGACAGTCATGATACGCCCAGCACAGAAGAAGGCGACTGAGGTCGCGGTGAACGGCGATTCATGAGAGGCATCCCTAGCAGGAAGCCGTTCACGCGGGAATGTCGCCGCCGAACCCGACAGGTCTCCGTCGTGGTTGTCCTTCTTGCGGTGGAGCGTATGGCACAATGGCCATAACATGATAGAGTCTGCCCATGCCTTGCGGGCTTGTATCAATCAACCTTTTCCAGCCAGATTCGATTCTCTTCACCAATTCTGTCAATTCTGACTTGTCCTTTCCACCTTTGCCTGCTCTTTCATCGTCAATGGCTTTTTTCACCAGTTGCGCTGCTCTTTCTTGTATGCCCATTGCATTGAGAAAGTTGGCTTGACTGACGGGCCCGTGGACCTCGGTGCCAGGTGAAGAGTTGATTGCGGTTTCAGCGAGTGCGAGGAAGTCGACATCTGCACTGACATCTGTTTCGCCGGGTCGCTCGAAGGGAGAGACGAGTTCGTGGGCGCGAATGCCGCGCAGACTGTTGATGGGAATGCGGTCTGCTGGTCCGTAGTCGATTATGAGTGCTGCTCCAGACGGCTCAGGCTTCGAAATCGGCGCTTCGGATGTCGGTGGAGCAGCTCGTCCTGGTACTGGCGGTCTGCGCTTCGCAGCAGCATCAATCTCTTCCCGATTCGATCCACCAATTCGTACAGCCATGTCTCGTGTGTATGTTTGCGACTCGGGTGACACTTCGATCGTGGCTCCGTCGGTGTTCTTCAGCGCAGTATATCGTGGCGAGGTCTCTGGCAGATACATCGAATGTGGAGTAGCTGTCCTTGACATTGACATTTCGAATTCGGGCTCACCTTCCTTGAGCCTATGAGGTGGTTTAGCAGACACGAGTAGTTCGCGCCATTGGTGGCCCGGCTGAGGCCTGCCTCTTCGTTCGATGGGCCCTGTTGGTGTCTGAATCGTCTTCGCCTGTTCTGAATCGACCTTAGTAGACTGGAACACATGGATTGGCAGAGCGTCGAAGAACTCGTGGGCGATGATGAACGGCGTCTTGCCCGCGTCTCGCGGCACGAACTTGTGGTCCTCTGTCCAAACGATTCTAAGGTCAGCAGAATGCTTGCTGACACTTTCCCAGCCAAGTTTCGTTTCTGTCATTGGATTGTCGCCGCAGAGGAGCTTGTGTTGTGCCTGCCGCAACGTCTCGCTTGCCTCGATCAGGTAGACTGCTTCAATGGCTTTGGCGAGAGCTGGGAAGTTGCGAATAGTCTACCATGTGTGTCAGCAGCATATTATGATGCATTTGAGATGTCAGAGCCTACACGGAGCATGTCAGACATGAGTGTCCCTCTCCCAGGACCCATTTCCATGAGATATACGCCCTCGCTCTTTTTGCCTTGTGCTATCCATTCCGCCACGACCCAAACACCAATGAGCTCGCCAAATATTTGGCTGATCTCTGGCGACGTCACGAAGTCTCCTTTGGTGCCGAACTGGTCTCGGTCACCAGACAGTGCTCCCGTGTAATAGCCTCCCAGGTCGGATGTAAGGACCTGGCGCATGTACGAAGCTACCGGTATCGGCCCAGTTGTCTACCATCTCTTAGCCATATTCTGTCCATCTATGGCTTTACTGATGTCCATCGTACTGTTATAGCTTCAGCCAATTGTTTGGCCAAAGGTGTTGACCATTTGTGGCCACTTTCGGAGGAGCTCCATCTTGCGCCGGCGCGTCGGCATGAGTTTACGTGTAGTCTCGAGGCGGTGCGACTCAGCTGACGAGCTGTTCGAGGTATAACGCTCGTCATTGTTGAGACCGACAATGGTTGCAGATGAAATGAGTTGGGAGTGGTAGGGAAGAGGTCGTCTCAATGACATGGTTGACTTTCATGTGCAATCAAGCTTTCACCAAAACAGAAAGCTCGCCGCAACACCTCCGAGCACCACCAACATCACGTCGCCAACATGGTCTCGCGCTGGGCAGATACAGAAGAAGACAAGGCGGAAGACGCGCGGAGAAAAGCAGAGAAGGAAGAGAAGAAGCGTTTGAAAGCTGAGAAACAGCGGAAAGCAGAGGAGGCACAGCGGGCGGCAGCAGCGAGGGCAAATGGACAAGGCGAAGATGAGTCGGGACGGCCAGCAAAGAGACGCAGACTATCGCAAGATGGCGAATCAGGAACAGCAGAGGCACCGCAAGAACGGAAGTTGATGCAGTTCCATGCGCCAACATGGCAACCCACGAGATCCATTGAGCGATTCGACCTGCTCAACCACATCGAAGAAGGCAGCTATGGCTACGTCTCACGCGCCCGAGAAGAAGCCACAGGTGAAATCGTCGCAATCAAGAAGCTCAAAATGGACGCCATCAGAGACGGAGGATTCCCCGTTACAGCGATACGAGAAATCCAAACCCTCCAAGCATCAAAACACCGCCACATCGTAACCCTCCGCGAAATCGTGACCGGCTCAAACGACACCGCTCCAGAAGTCTTTCTCGTCATGGACTTCCTCGAACACGACCTCAAAACCCTCCAAGAAGAAATGGACGAACCCTTCCTCCCCTCCGAAACCAAAACCCTCATGCTGCAACTCTGCAGCGCAGTAGACTTCCTCCATTCAAATTGGATCCTCCACCGCGACCTCAAAACGAGCAATATCCTCATGAACAACCGCGGAGAAATCAAACTCGCCGACTTCGGCATGGCGCGTTTTGTGGGAGATCCAGCACCTTCAAATCTCACCCAACTCGTTGTAACACTGTGGTATCGTGCCCCAGAACTCCTACTCGGCACAACAACCTACGACTCCTCCATCGATGTCTGGAGTCTAGGTTGTATTTTTGGTGAACTTGTGACTGGAGAACCTCTTTTCCCAGGGAAAAATGAAGTTGATCAATTAAGCAAGGTGAGTTTCACACTTCCAGTCCCAAAAACCAGACTGGAAAGCCCTCAGATATCCCCGCTCCATCCCTAAATTGACATCCGTAACAATAGATCTTCTCCCTCTGCGGCATCCCCACAACCACAACCTGGCCAAATTTCAAACGTCTCCCCAACGCCCGAACTCTGCGCCTCCCTTCATCATCCTCTCCGGCAGCCCAACCTACCTTCCGCACAAGATTCCCTACTCTCCCATCCCAAGGTCTCGCGCTCCTCACCTCCCTCCTCAGTCTGAATCCTGATTCTCGTCCAACCGCGAAACAAATTCTCGAACATCCATACTTCATCTCCGAAGCTCCAAGGCCGAAACCAACTGCGATGTTTCCTACTTTCCCGTCGAAAGCGGGTCAAGAACGACGAAGGAGGAAACGAGAGACGCCGAATGCGCCGCAGAGAGGGGCTGCGCCGGGGTTGGGGGGACAAGGACAGGTGGATTTCAGTTCGATTTTCGCGGGGAGGGAGGAAGAAGTGAAAGGAGCGGGATTCCAGTTGAAAGTTGGGTAAAGAACGAAGGTTTACGAATAGATGAAAGTGAACGAAGGAGGACTGGATACGTTCATGCATGTGAAGAAAAGTAGCATAAGAGTGGAAGTAAGTCATGTTACATGACCGCAAACGACGATCATCCTCTATCTGCTCCGTCTATTCTATTGTACAGTTCTGTTCGAATTCTATTATGCTGCTCATGCGCGTGCAAAAGTACAGGGTATCTCTATTATCCAACAAGAGCGGCGACTTTTTATCCTTCGTCCGGCTCCATCGCTATGCAAAAAGGTGATCTCAATTCCAGCAACCAGAAATCCCAGGCGAAGCAAATGTGTGTAGTAAACATCGAGCCGGCGTCGTAGCACGTATCGTACAGTCCTTCTTCCACGTGGGCTGAGAGGGATCTTGTGTTGTTGGTCGTGTCGTGTCGATGCCAGAGTTCATGCCAAAGTTTATGCCGGACCTCGTTTCACGATCGGGGGCAGCGCGCGCTTTCCCAGATAGTTCGCTTCAATTCTCCAACAAATTCCTCACATCCCCACTCCCTCCCTCAAATCTTCCCTTCCTAACCACACTCTTCTCAGCACTCGTCAATTCCTGCCTCGGTCTAGTCGCAAATTTCCGAAACAAATCCCCCTCTTTCCTCTTCATCCCTTGAAGAATCTTCTCATCCTCATTGACACTCTTCAAAACATCCACCAACCCATTAGCGAAAATCTCCCTCGCAGGATCTTCCAAAAGACCCCTCTGTCTCTTATCCAAATCGCTCAGATCATTGTATACACCGAAAAGCATTCGATCCTTCGCTTTTCGAAATTCGAGGAGTAAGCGGACAGCGAATTCGTTGTTGAGAGCTTTGATTGAGAAGGGGAGCCACTCATCCATGGTGAGAGTTTTGTATGTCTTCGTTTCGAGACGTCCGCCGAACAGGATTGCCATGAGCGGTGTGACGAGCGTTGTGTCGCGCATGTAAAGAGTATCGCCTGTAAGACTGCGTGAGAGAGAATTGTACGCGAAGATTTGGTCGTTTTCAGAAGGCGAGTCTCGTTTGTGGACATTTGTGCTACTCGGATGCATTATGACTTTGTCTTCGCTGATAGTCTTGTGGACAGGAGACTTGGATTTAGCGCGGTGGATGCCGAGGTTGGGGTACGTTCCGGCTAGGATCAGGCTCTTGACGAGAGCGGTGTTGTTGGAGTTGATGTTGAGTGCCTCGCCGCCGAGTTGATAGTCACTGCCTTCGATAAGGCTTTTGACGAGCCCTGCATCTCTGAGAGCTTCAACAATCTGTTGTGTTGTTTGCTCCATACTTCTGAACGCGCCAAAATGGAGGAAGTTGTCTTGAGCATAGGACCATGCGTTTTGCATACCTCTATCCCTTAGGCGCGTCCGCATTGTCTTGAAGGCGTTGATGAAGGCCAGATGGTCTGAGCTCCCTTGCGCAAACTGCGCGTGCTGCTTTCTGGCTTCTGCTCTCAAGGCCGGAGGATCAATGAAGAGTGGTCGTTCGCTACCAAGGCAGCTGCTGATGATGATGGGGTCTAGACAGCGGAAGATGATGCCGAGCAGAACCATGTTGCCCAATGTTGGATGCACTGGTAGTCGGGCAAGGACGCGCCCAAGCGACGTTATTTCTTCGTCCTGTGTCAAAGCTTCGATGCTCTTCAGGTTCTCGACTGCGACTTGAACAGCTTCTCTTGAAGGAGGCTCGATTGCATCCGCCAAGAAGTCTGAGACTGGGTCGCGGAAGCCTTGGGCTTTGATCGACAGACAGGTTTCCTGAAGATCACTTCGGAGTAGTTCTGGCTGTCCAGAAGCAGGCATTGTCTCTCGTCGCTTCTTGCTGTACAAAGCATAATAGTTGCCATCAGACACTCGACCAGCTCTGCCAGCTCGCTGACGCGCGTTCGAATTACTTTCCCAGACTGTCTCCAGCGCAGAGATGCGCGTGACCTGGTCGTATCGCTTCTCTCGTAGCTTTCCGGTATCAACCACGAACTTGACATCTGGTACGGTTACCGACGTCTCAGCGATATTTGTTGCCAGTATGATCTTTCGGCGGCCAGGCGGCGACGGCTCAAAGATGAGCCTCTGCTGATCTTGGGGAACAGTCGAGTGGAGAGGCAAAATAGTGAATTTGGCTGGGTCACTAAAGTGAACCCCGAAAATGGGCTGTTGCATCAGAATATCCTGAGCCTTAGTGATTTCCTGAAGACCTGGCAAGAATGCGAGAATCGCACCGTCGGTGCTCTGTTCACAGATGTGTGCAAGGACTGCGGTGAGAAGATGCACGGGGACAAGGGCTTCGTGCTTCTGTTCTGCGGCAGTCTGAGTGTCTTGATCATTCTCGCCGGTGTTTTTGCGCTTCCAGTCAATCACTGATGTGCCGACAGCAGCGTCCTGCGCGAACCGCATCTCACCGTCCAGATACTCTTTCGATACGCCCTTTTCCTGGGCCAGTAGAGAACTGAATTCGTCATGATGCGAGGCGGAGATGCCCTCAACTATCTGCTCAACATATCTCTCAGCCACTGGAAATGTGCGACCTGGGACACTAAGCGATTGACAGGGCACAAGCTTGCCCTCATTGACGTTGGGCAAGTACTCGGAGAAAAGCTTTTGATCGAGTGTCGCTGACATCAAGACAATGTGTGGAACCTTCTTTCCGGCTCGCTGCCGCGTGGCCACTGCTTTCTTCAGAATGATGAGAAGAAAGTCAACAAATATGTCTCGCTCGTGGACCTCATCGATCACGAGATGAGACACATTGTCCATGATGTCGTCAGCATTGTATTTAAGCTGCTCGAGCAGGATGCCAGTTGTGCAGTAAGTGATGCTGCCACCAGGCTGTGGAAGACGAGCATCGCCGCGAACATGGTATCCGACAGACTTTCCAATCTCTTCATCGCGCTCTGCAGCCACGCGTTGCGCGACAGAAGAGGCTGCAATGCGCCTCGGCTGCGTACATATAACGTCACAATGCCCTCCCTTGCCACTTTCAATAGCGTGTTCAAGAAGAATCTGTGGCACTTGAGTCGTTTTTCCCGAGCCCGTCGCACCGATGACTATGCTGTATACATCTCGGTTTACGAGCTCTACAACCTGATCCGTGTATGTGCTCATTGGCAGACCAGCCTTGGTGGTGCGTAACGTTTCCAGTCGAGGATCCTGTCGGAAGCGATTGAGACTTTCTTGCAGTGTAGCACTAGCCGTATCTCTGGAAGTGCTTGCCAAGAAGCGACGCTGCCGGGAAGGTTCTCGGGACACCTCTTCTGCGCTGAGGCTTTCGCGCTGATCGGGCAAGCCTGCTTTGCGAGCACTGATCAAGGTGTCTCTCATCAGATCCAGGACGTCTGTTTCCACCGGTACGTCAAAGGGCCGCACCGAGCGCTGAGACTGGGCAGCAGCACTGTTCCTGGTTTCTGCCCATTTTCCAAGCGTCTCAGGACTCGCATTGGCAATCGCCATTGCGGCCAAAAGATACGCCAGGGCTTGTGAGTCTTTCCTTGTATGCATGATACCAGGCTCGCTTATAGCTGAGCCATCGAATAATATGCGAGTGTAATTATCTCCGTGTAGGTGATCCGTCTCCACCTCGAGAGACATGCCGGGACTGAGAGACCTGAAATATTCCACGAACTCACTCGCGGTCTCAGTGTTGAGAAGCTCATACCCGAGCGCAACGGCTGTGGCTTCAACATTGTCAGTTGAGAGATGCTTCTCCTCAACCTTGCGCTTGAATGCAATTGCAGCAGCGGTTTCGGCCGTTCGTGAGTCCTTGCCTCTGGTGACAACTTCTATGCCATGCTCGGGTAATCTGATTGTCGTTTGCACCACAAGCTTGGTGCTGCCTTTGGCCCTCCGACTACGTCGAGTGGTATGTGGTACAGACTTGGTCGTAAAGTGCGGTATCAGACCGAACTTTGCAGCATAGTTATATATGTCCAACTTCGCATCTCTTTCGCGTTTCAGCACCTGCCGGTCTAGTTCGACTAGCTCGATGTCGTTCGGCTCTTCGTCACGAATGTAGACCTGTGTATCACTGCTGTCCTCAGATTGACCCTTGACGGCCGGCGCTGGGGATGGAAAGAGCTGTTGCAGTGCGCCGTGCCTGTGAAGGCGATTGAGCATGGCAACCCAAGCAGCACGCCTTGCGACAGTCTTGCGTGGTGCACTTCCTGTCGTGGTGGCATCAGCAATACCAGGGATGTCGAGCCGAAGCGTGAAATCGTGTACTCCAGGCCGTCTTGAGGTGTATTCGCCGTTGATTTGTACGTTCAATTTTCTCGCTTTGAACACCCTCTGCATTTCATCGTGGATCAAGTCGGGAGTAAACAGCCTTTTCGGAGCGCCTGGATATTGCGCGGGCTGTGGCATCAGTGTCTCGACAGCCCTCTGTGGTACAATTTCTGCGAGGATGCCCGCGGTATGTAGTTTTGAGAGAAGAGCGAGCCACGCAGCGCGCTGTGCCTCCAATTTGTTATCGCCAAGGCCCATCGCAAGCTGTTCACGAGTGGCATTGGGATCGAAGCGGATAGCCATGGCCCAGCCCTTGGAGAAGTTTTCTGCCAGCAGCTCCTGCACGTATGTTTCCACTGCGACGGGCGGGGTCTTTTGAGATGCCAGGTCTGTGATGAAGGTGCTCAAGAAACGGACGTCGCGCGCATCCAAAGCCTGACGAAAGGCCTCTGGTGCTTTGGGATAGTCTGCTTCTGTTGGCAAGGACATGTAACGCTGCACACAATCAAGAGTGACGCCGTCCGCCTCCGACAGAGTGGTAAGCGGGTTAGCAGGAGCAGTCTGCGCTGCTTCTTCCCCGCGCGTCGTCAGGACGTTCTTGATTGAACGTATAGGATCTCTCCTTCTCGTGCTGGCAGCGCTCCGCAACCCCTTGATGAGGGCCCTGCGTTTTTGCTTGTTATGTGCCAAATTCCCCAGCTGGGTGGAGATATTTTGGAGCACCGCCTGCTTCTCCTGCGCAGTCGCACGAGAGCGCGCAGTGATTGCTTCGCGAGCCATATTTATAATTTCGTCCGGGCTTGGGAGGTCTTCGACAGTTATAGTTGGTGGCTTGTCGCCAGTCTGCGCATCCTCGGACGGCTTGTCGTTGTCGCTAATGTGCACAGTAGCATATTCACGCCGATGGGAATAGCCAAGCGTATGCAATATGCTAGGCCGATTCAACTGTGCGGTGCGCCAGGCCGGGAGAGGATTGTGCTTCGCAATCAACCGACGAGATATCATCTGAAGTCGGATCGATGGGGCAAGATTGAAGATGGCCATTGTCCCTGGATTCACTGGCTCGCCGCCACCGAAAAGGAGAAAGTTCTTAGCCGGATATGATCATTATTGGCAAGAGACTCCCGAGAACGCCGCAGCGCTGCAACAGGAGATGTCCGGTGAAGCTGGAGAACGAACGACAACTACAACGAGGTTGAGACAGCACTCGCATTGATGATCCCGCATCGATGTGGTGTTGGATGCGCATTGTCGGCGAAATTTTGACTCTCGGCTCGACTTGCCGAGCGCGTGGCCTGTCGATCTCGCGCGCGCTTTCACATGTCAGCCTGCGGAAGACGCCAGGCCAACGACACGTCTTTCACTCGCAGTACATTGCTGAACTGAACATCGATATGCTGTTTCTCACAGCTGGAAGGACCCAAATTGCAACTTCCCGAGATGAAAAAGACATCGCGACAAGTGGCAGGAGCGGTCCCCACGACGTAATGGTGCCTTGATCACGAGCAAGCATTACATCATCCCTATGCGCCTGTGCAGAAGCTGCTGCCAATGCCAACCTACTTATTTCCCCTCCATCTCTTGCCTCTCGTGCCACATTCTGCTCACTCCCCTCACCAGACCAGCGAGACAACCATCTCCAACCAACCTTCACCCACCACTAAACACTCCACTCATCACCCATCACCATGCCTCGCGACGGAGGAAACGCTCAGAACGCCGTCGAGGCCGAGCACAATATCCAGCACGGTGCCCCACAAGGCAATGAGGTATATCCTGAGCAAGCTCGACCCGATACGGAGAACGCAATCAGCTAATAGACCCATAGAAGCCAACATCGTCTGGCGTCGACCGCTCCAGTAAGGCCGCCGCAGCACCAGAGCCAGAGGCAGGCGAGGGCATTGGCCCCACTGGCCAGGCTCCCATCACCGCAGGCAACACCGGCAGCGGCAAGGGTCCCCTCGAGTCCACCGTCGATGAGCAGGCGAACAAGCTCTCAAAGTGACAGAGTAATGCAAGCACGACTAGCCTTACCAGCTTGGCGAGCTTCAAGAGCATGACAGGACCTTGGTGGTCTCGAGAAGATCAGGCGAACCCGGCAGACGCAAGAGCAGCGAGAGCAGCATCTCGCATTGGAGCACCATCATCGAAGCAGGATACAGAAAGTCCGAAGCAAGGACAGTCCAGCCAGGGATTGAGAAAGGGCAGTCTCACCGCGAGGTTGAAGAACAAGCTCAGAAGTAATGAATGACAATACGATTGCATGATCACGAACACAGCCTTTTCTCAATTTTTCCATGCTCGGTGGAGTCATACGTGCAGCTGATAGATGCAGTGTGAATAGTGCTGTCCCGCAAGCTGCGACAATGCGCGTACTTCTGATGCCCCTCCTCCTTTACGGTCCCGAATACCTTGACCACGCATCTGAACCCCACACTCAGCTGGATCCGAGGCAGTCTCCGGGGGTGTCGCAGCCGACCACACGTGTCTCTTTGGTCATCACGAGCTTTGGCATGTGTTCGTCGATCACATCATTGATCCTCTCGCAGCCGTGTAGCGAGGCGAGCACTCATGTCATCGCATGGCTGGCCACTTTGGGCAATACTCGCGAAAGCAAAGCATATCGAACGATTGAATCTGCAGTACAGTCAATGTCGAAGGCTGATCCAATGGCAGAATGGAAAGGCGTGCAACCCAGGAACAACCTGAAGAGCTCGCCTAATGTGCCTGCATGTCTTACATGTGCGAAGCCCAAAAAGTGGCGCTGGATGAGACACCTATTCAGGCTTGGCACAAACGGCTGTCTGTCTCATCCTGCCCACCACGTTTGCTAGGCTGGTCTGAACATTACCGGAGTCGACTCCTACGCATTCAGTTGTTGAATGTGGCTGCACTTGGACGAAACCGATGCGGCTGAAGGCCCTGGCCATTCACGGTGTCGTAGCAAAAGAGGAGAAAGTACTACTCTGAGACATTGGCTTCGCCCCATGGCTGGATGCGGGAAGCGTGGCAGACAGCTTTCGACCTCACCTGATCCTGCACTGTCAGCGGAATGGCAAACGGGGTTCTCATACCACATCACTTATCAAGCTGCGGTGCTCATTCGATTCTCATCTTGTCAGATCAATGGCTGTTCGTGAGAATCTACGTTTGCCACAACACAGCCCGCGCCACGTGGAACGTTGACGGATCCTAACTGTCGTTACCAGGACCACACGTCAGCACAAAAAGGATCTCGAAACTTTGGTACTGACGTACGAAATATCCCGACAACTTGGTCAATGCTATTGGGAGGCGTTCGCATGCCATAGCTTGAAGTGAACGCCGGGGACGTGCTCCGTTCTGCTGAAGGATTCAACGTTAGAAAGTGTATCGCCTCTACGCTTACGAGGGTCCTACCACGACTGTCACGATATTCGCATGCGAAGGATTCGATCGACGGTCCTCTCCGATGTGACAAGGTTCACAATGCGCACGTACAGCTATGCACGCGAGGCCATCGTGGCCGCAATGCCACAATGTCCCTCCTGCATTTCGCTGGTTCTCAATATTGCCATGCTGACCCACGAGGCTGGAATACTTCTGGAAACATCATGTGTCTGCCGCAATAGGCAATACTCTATTCGAGTTCGCGGCAAGAAAGGTCACGAGTATGGCTTTTGGCTTCGCTTTGGGCAAAGCCATGCTCGAAGGACACAGGCGCCATAGCGTCGCACGTATCGATCCAAGATACTGAGCCGCTGATGGACCAGGCACGGCCTGAGAGCAGACAGTATATATCCTGTGTCTTCGACTCGCTTTGGAGAAATCATCATCAGCTCAACCATCCTCCTCTCCTCTACTCAGATCACTCCGGTATTCGACCTTCGGACAACGCACGGGAAGATGCAGTTTCTTGTCTTCCTCACTGCAGCCTTGGGCTCAGTGGCTCTCGCTCAGCAGCCGACGTCTTCGACTGTGAACTTCGTCTGCGCAACCAGATATGCACTGCAGCCAACGAACCAGATCAGGACTACCACTTTCCGAGTCACCACGACCAATTCTGTTGGCAGGACTGTTACTGTGAGTCTCTTTCGATATTGCTTGAGAACGTATGACATGCTGACATCCCTCGCCTCAGGTCAACCCAAGAACTACTCGCACTGTTGGGGCCAATACGTTCACCGTAACCAACACATTCACGTCGTTCAGCACCGTCACCGCCGCTAGCTCCGTGGCCACCGCTACTGCCTTTGTGACTGCCACCTCCACTCAGGTCTCGACAGTCACTCAGACCTTCACCAGTGCCACAGTGATCACAATCACCAATTCGCTCGCAGGTGTTACCAGTACTGTCGCTGCACCAGCTGGTTTCACTGCTCTCGGCCTTACTCCAGGCTTCGCTGAGAAGCGCGACTCCTCTCCTGAGCCTCATCATCCTCACATCGCCCGTGCTGCAGCCAAGGGACACTTGCCAATCCTCCCAGAAGTCGGAAAGAAGCAGCTCCAGGCTCGCCAGAACTCAGGACAGGAATTCCCAGTCGGCATCCTCTGCACTTCCAGAACCACCTTCTTCGTCACCGGCACCGCAACCTCCACTCGAGCAGGCCCAACCACAACCATCACCATCACTCAGCCAAACGTCGTCCGCACTGTCACCACAACCATCACAGGCGCACCACGAACCGTAAGTCCACTTCCCAAAACTCTCCTCTCTTTCTCACCCAACTGACACTTCTCCCTTACAGGTCACCCCAGCAGGCACAACCCGCTTCATCACCGTAACATCCACCACCCTCCGCTCCGCCACAACAACCAGCACCACCGTCCTCGTCAACACCAACACCGTGAACATCAACGGCCCAGCCGCCACAGCCTTCGCCCAATGCGCCCCCGAAAATCTCATCTCCTCCGCCTTCTTCGGAAACCAAATCGGAACCGTCACAATCAACTCCGCTTTCACCGTCCGCTCCATCAACGTCACCGATATCACTGGCCTCGAATGCTGCAATTCATGCGCTCAACTTCCCACATGCGCTGGATTCGCGCAACAGAGCATTCTGCAAGGAGGCAGTTGTTTCCAGATCTTGAATAATGGCGTTTGTGATCCTGCTCAGAACTTTGGAAATAATTATCATTATTATCAGGTGGAGAGCGGGTTGGGGTATACGGTGGGGAATGCGCAGTGTGGACAGCTTGGTGCTATTGCGGGGCCGCCCAATGATGGCAACTCATAGGTGCCTGTCCTTGAGTGAACAAGGCAGGGATCCTTGAAGAAGGGGATGGGGGTTTGGGTGAGCAAAGTGAGAGAAGAAGAGAAAAACGATGCAATAATTGTGAACAAGATCGAACTAACAAGATTCGTAATATGGTTGAGATTTCTTAGTGTCATCAGTACAAAGCAGAATCAGAATCAGAACAGAACAGAGCAGATGAAAAATCACATACAAAACTCCAAAGCAGTCTCAATAATTCGAATGAAGAAGAGCGTATTGATCTGTCTCATCTCGATCTACTCGATAAAGCCACTACCGCGTAGCCCAGGTCTGTTACCAAGTCTTTCGCGTCCTCGATTCTCCTTACTCTACTGTAATAATACTGAATATGAGCTTTCTATGCATGCCACCACCTCTTAAGATCTCGTGCTACACTGGGTAGATGGTTAGTCACAAATGTCACGTGCAATTGTAGACTTGGCGCTCGCAGTGAATTATCGTCAGCCTACTTTGAGCTTGGACACAGATCACTGAGGATATCCACGCACGAAAAACCGGCGATCAAAGGCTACTCTGCTCTGCTGTCGCCTTGCTGAGGCTGCAATTGAGTGACGAGTTTTGTATGCCCGACCTATCGGCACTGCCGGTCTACGTCCTCGCTGCTGCCAAGTGTATGCACCTCCCAGAAATCAGTCTATGACGGTCTCGTGCTGGCACTTCTTTTCCGAGGCGGAAAGCTTGGAAAAGAGAGGGGTACCCGCAAGTCGCAGCCGTGCTGAGTCGGATGTCCTTTTTCGTCGATTGCAAAGCTGCATTCATCGCGCGGTACCGCTCGGATCAGGTGAATGTGGAGATCAGGGGACATGAGTCCCATGTTGCAGTCCCTGGTTCGCGTGGGATGACATAGAATACAACTGGCCTACAAGCTTCTTTTGTACCACATCGTGCACTGTCCCGATCGAGCAGCTTTATGGACCTTAGTCTTTTGCATTTTCTGTATTTCCGTGGACGACGCGGGCGGTCTGCCGGTAGCAACCTGCTTTCCGTTGGCCTGGCTGGTGGGTTTGCGACAGAGCCGTGGAAAATGTCGAAATATAATTTTGGAGAACCGGAATTACTGTGACAAGTGGGAGATCTTGGATCACTATTAGACTGACAAAATAATCTCTGAAATTCGAAGCTCGTTGAAAAATTCAGATACTTTTCTAAGTGTTGCCGCAGATGTTGTTCGAGCAACTGAGAAACTGCTGCGGGCCGAATTACTCCTGATGTGATTCGGCTTCCCTTCAGCTCGGTGGCTGATGCCCATTGCTTTGGGAGGGTCCCACCTGGTGGCCTCGATGTTCATCTTTCCGTGGAGAGGCGAGTACTTGCATAGCGGTGAGTTGCGTCATCATTCACTTTCCTCCTGTCGCATATCGTTATCTCGCTTTTCCTCTGATGCGCCGGGGCAATCTGCGTTGACAACCAGCTGTTGACAGCCATTCGGAAATTCAGAAGCACCGGTCCTTGTCGATATCTCGCTGCGATTTTGATCTCTTGCTTGTTCCGCTTCGATAGATCGGTTGCCTCAGACTCGTGCAGAAATGCAGAGATATACCTTCGATGCCAGAAAAGCCTCAGTGACCCACGATCACCGACCAAGTGGATCTCTCGAATACAGTGGCATGGAGTATGCCATCGTGGAGGCGGATCGTGATATTGTAAAGACCGCGGGTGCCAACACAATCGTATACCCATGGCCAGACCAGATCCGGCGTCGCGAAGTGGAATCGGTTTGTCGTCACATACTCCGAGAAAAGTGCTTCGCGTATGGCAGAGTTGACATGGAGCACTGATGGCAGTCGAAAGTGTTTATCGACTGAGATTCGCGTTCTGGCGGGAAGTTGGATCACGTGGTCGTAGATCATCTTGTGGAGCTCGGGTGGTAGCTCGCCGACTCTTGCTAGTAGTGCTACTGTTGCCGGGGTGCTATCCTTCCACTCCTGCGACTCTGGATCAGAAGGGCGGATGTCGTCTGTGTCGGATTTCTGCTGAGCTGCGCGCTTGTCCTGATGATTGTCAGAGACGTGCCGCGATGTGTCTTTGGCAGCCATTATGGCCTCAGATGTTATATTGCAGGACATGGCCTCGGAGGATTAGCGATGAGAGGACTGTGGTAAAGCAGCGTGCGGTCGTCTTAAATATGTATGCTCAAGTGCCAATCTTGTCTCGTTGAAGGCCGAGCGTTCCGTACCCCACCAGCAGGTGTACTGATCTGATGAGTGTTGAATGATGTTGTGTCTGCATTGGGATAGCAGCAGAGCTTGCATCCCCGGTACAACATCGAAATTTGAAAAGGCGCTAATCAAATATGGGTTTATACTTGCGAAAGGGAGGGTCACGGGCAGTTTTTCCATCGAAAAGTTACGGCTACTTGCGGCCGTGGCCGTTCGCGGCAGTGCCGATGACCGTCATGCCTGAAAAGTGCCTTGCACACTCCTCGTATGTACCTCTGACGGACGGTCGCCGGACTAGTTGGCACAGCAAGCTTGAGAGTCGGTACCACTATCAGCGTCGACTGTACCCTAGTGATTCGCGATTCATCTTACTCGATGATCCTATATTTCCGATCGACAACATCTTGGAGCCTATGATAATGTCGGCGTTCTTGCAGGACCATGCGCGAGAAGGTCATTTGACGAGTTGCGAGCAGCTCCAGCCGACACTGCCAGCGGTAGAGGATCACCAGCTGTGAGCTTGTGCGGGACTTTGGCCTGCTACAGCTGAAAGCAGATGCTACCCATCTCCCCTACTCTGGGCAATGATCAAGCCGAGAGAGTATGGAGCCCTCAAAGATCCTAGCTTTACGTCTGAAAGACTGCATCCACTGCACCATCGGTGGTTTAATCGCTGCGTGCTTCGCGTGGGGTGTCTTGGCTATAAGCTTGCTGATGTGGGCGGCGCCGGATTGGTCGTACTTCTGGTGGCAAGCACACTGAAATACCCAGACTGGATTCTTGCTTGATCGAATAATCTTTCTGAGCGGCCGCACACTAGTAGAAGAGCCGGGATCTTCATGCACTGTTGTTTGAGCAATCCCACGACATGGTGTATTTCCAAGAAGTTTCGGGCGGCTGCACGAGATGGAGAGACTCAGAAGGACTTGTGAGGTGTTGAGAGCACATTTCCGGCCATTCAGAACGCAGCACAAGCGCTGCGCGCCACCTGAGAGTCAACCTTCGAGGCGAGAGGCATGTTCGTGCAAATCTCGTCCTGTGGAAGTGGGAAACGCCGGAGAAGTCGGTGATCGTCCTCGCGGCAAGCTTTCTTGGAGCAGAGCGTACTGTCGCATGCCCGCTGAACGGAGATGTTACTCTTTCCGAGTTCTGGCAATGATCACGCGTCTGGTGGACAGGACGTTCACGACATGCTCAAGTCAGAAGGAGCTGAAGTCGACAAGCTTGACCATGTTTGTTGCTTGGCGGGGGCCATCACAAATCCGTCCACCTCCGCGCGGTCTCCAACCATCCAGTCGACTCAATGCCCTTCTCAGACACGATATCCATCCAATTCAAACAGACAGAGACATTTTGGATGACTTCACTGCTGAGGAAAGTAGCCCACCAAGATAGGAGGCCTTGATCAAGGCCACATATCGCCGTCATCATGCAGTGCATCAGCATGAGCTGTTTCAGCAGGATAGCTCTCTTCTTTCGCCACTTCCCTCTCCCAACACCAGTTCTTCGCACCTACAATGTCTACTGATAGCACAGTGATCCTCGGCGCCGGCATCATAGGCGTAGCCACAGCCTTCTACCTGTCCGAGCCCTCCTCTCATTCAGGCACGATCCATCTCGTGGAAGCCGCTCCCGAGCTGTTCGCCTCTGCATCTGGGAAAGCTGGCGGACTCGTAGCAGAAGATTGGTTCGGACCAGCTACAGCGGAGCTTGGAGAGCTGAGTTTCCGTTTACATCAGGAACTGGCGACGAAGTATGATGGGAGAAAACAGTGGGGATATGCTAGGACTACGGGGACGAGCGTGGTTGTCGGGAAGAGCAAGCGGAAGAAAGGGGAGAAGTGGCTGGAGCAAGGTGGAAGTCGAGCTGAGGTCGCCGCCGGAGAGCGAGTAGAACACTACGCTGAAGGTGAAGGACCAGGATGGATGCGCAAGACAAGAGGTGGGAAGGTGGAAGTGCTGAGTGAAGAAGGCGGGATGGCGCAGGTTGATCCGAAGAGGCTATGTGGATTTCTGCTCGAGAAGTGCTTGGAACGAGGCGTGGAGCTGCATCAGCCAGCGCGGGCAAAAGGAATCGAAAGAGATGATGACGGGGCACCGGCTGCGATGGTCGTCGAGAATGCTGATGGGGAAGAATCGAGCATACCCTGCACTCGATTGCTGATCACAGCCGGAGCATGGACATCGCACGTCTTCTCTAAGCTATTTCCAGACGCAGTGACACGCATTCCGGTCAGCCAACTTGCAGGTTACAGCTTAGTTGTTCGCTCGCCTCGGTGGACTGCGGAGCAGGAAGCTTCTGGCTGCCATGCGGTCTTTGCGAGTGCCTCTGAGGCTTGGTTTCCTGAGATCTTCAGTCGTATGGGAGAAGAGATCTACATTGCTGGACTCAATGATCCTGGCCTGCCTGTCCCGGATTTGCCTACGAATGCGAAGGTGGACACCCAAGCGGTTGAGGAGTTACGACGGGTGACGGATAACATGATAGGAGACGACTATGAAGTGATCAGACAGGGAATTTGCTTCCGACCTGTCACCAGGAGCGGCAATCCTATCCTTGCGAGAATACCTGACGACAAGCTGCATGCAGATTCTGGGGCAGCTTTACCAGGAGGTGTGTTCTTATGTGCAGGACACGGACCTTGGGGTATTAGCTTGAGTCTCGGAACAGGCAAAGTCATGAGCGAAATGCTGCTTGGGCAAAAACTAAGCTGTAACGTGAGCAGCCTCGGGTTGATATGAAGTCGAAATATCCGCCGAACTAGGTTGGCTACGAAATACGAGCTATATGGGACGTTTTCCTCTTGCAGGAGCCTACAAGCGGGAACGAGACACGACCGAACAAGTCTTCATCAATTGTGCCGCCCTTGCACAAAAGCGACAAGACGGAGATAACACAAGATCCAAAGACCGACAACGGGCGGAGTGAAAGAAAGCAGCATAACGTGCACAGTTCTACGGCGCCGGAGATGTTTTGCTAAGCTATTCCCAGATTTTCCGATACGAATTCGTGTAAGTCAGCTCGCAGGGTAGTCCAGTTGTACGATCGCTTTACTACACTACGGGACAACAACGTTACTGGCTGTTCTACAGTCTTGACGAGTACGTTGAAGGCTTGTACACCCGACGATGGGTGTGGTGATGCTGGCTTACCGGCAACGACCTTGACCATTTTGTCCACGATCACATAGATTCGATGATGATGCCAATCCTCAGTCTGACCTCAGCAAGCAGCATTACGAATACCATTCGGCGAATATCTTGACATGCTTGCACGCTTAACAAGTTTCGACCGAATCATGACACACCAAGGGAAATGCAAGGTCAAAAACGACGACTCGAGGACAATCTTTAATTTTGTCGACAATTGTCATATAGTCCCGGTCGACGAACCTCCGCAGCCGACTAAATCATCAGAGGTACGCCATATGTACAGCTACAATGCTCCTCGTAGTTCTCATCGCACTCTGTTTCTGCGCACTGCTCCGCTATCTGGTTTGCCACAGCTCACTGTGTGATGCCGTGCCAGGTCCATGGATCGCATCGAACACCTCACTGTGGATCCGGTGGCAACGGTGGAATGGCTGCCTCTCGCTGGAAGCAGACAAACTCCTCGCCAAATATGGACCAATTGTGAAGATTGCCCCTGACATTGTCCTCGTCAATGATCTGGAGGTTGCTGAGAAGATGTTTTCTCGCAAGGATCTGGATACATCACCACCAGCGATCCGGGCCTTGCGTGTAGGTGGTCATGAGTGGACCGTTACACATCCCCAATTTGAGATTGCAAGACAGCGACGGCATCCCACCATGATTGCCTCTACCACCAACAATCTCAAGCTAAGGCATCAGCTCTTCTCTGACAACATCGACAGTTTGATCCGGGATATTGGTAGTTTCGATGGGCCACGATCAGAAGACATCGTTCGCCATCTGCGGATCTGTCTCCTTAAAAACTCACTCCCCTTGATGGGCGGTTCTGGAATCGAGCTCGATTCGGAGAGCTTCCCTCACGTGGTCGGCGAATACAACTTCCTCGTGGTCTGGCGTCTCTGTCTCCCAGAATGGACTTTCAGCTGGCTGAAGTTTAGTCCGTTCCCGCACGCAAGTTTCCGTGTCAACTCCAGCGATGCATTATTTCACCTCGGAGCCAAGATTTGTCAGCAAGCCGAGAAAAGTCGAGCTGTCAATGCATCGGACAACGCTCCGAACGTCTATAGCATGTTCCTCGACCCGGAAGCCAAATATCCCTGTCAATCTTGGACCGAAGATGAGATAAGCGCCGAACTGGCAGGTCAGATCCTCGCGGCGACTGAGACGACTACTTCGGCGCTTGCGTACATATACTACGAACTGGCCAAGAATCACGATCTACTGGAGGAGCTATACGAGGAACTCCGTACAGTGGACGAGGATCATGATCTCTCCTCCTTGAAGTTACTCGACGCGTGCATAAGAGAGGGACTTCGGTTCCGGCCTCCTGTAGCCCTCACCGGAAGTCGTCTGGTGCCGCCTGGAGGCCTCGATGTGCTCGGATATCACCTTGAAGAAGGCACAGTTGTCACAACACAGTCACTCTCGCTGAGCCGGCAACGCAAGGACTTGTTTCCTGACTACGACTGCTACAATCCTAAAAGATGGTTGGAGGAAGAGAGGAGTGCCGAGCGACGACGTCTTCTGGCACCGTTTGGAGTCGGAGCACGCAGATGTCCTGGAGCAAATATGGCGATATATCAGATGCTTTTGATCCTTCACAAGACTATTCGGGCGTTCAGAGTTGAGGTTGCTCCTGAGACGACGCCGGACAAAATGGCTCCGTTCGAAGCTAATGGGCATCGTTCTCGGCATGATAGGTGCGATTTGATTCTCGTTCCAAGAGCGAGTGTCATGAATGGGTAGGCAGCCGGAGAGACTGAGCTTAATGGTTCATTTTGAGAAGGATGCTTTTGCCCAGGAGGCCAACACGGCTCACAGAGCACTGCAAAGTGGGGCGATCGAACGAGTGCATTCTGCTTCTGTCAATTCTTGTCCTCTACCGCCGGCATGGAATCGGCCAGCGACTGACCACTTGCGATGGTATGCGAGCAAATGTACATGTCGATGAAACTCCCACTTTGCAGATCATATTCGTTACAGTTTCGATGCAGCAGTACAGACCGGAAGCTGTGGAGTTGCCAAGACTTGGAATCGTGCACCCATGTCCCTTGCCAGGGATGCGAAGGCTGACAAACTTCCGTTCAACAACATCACTTCCTTCTCTTGCAAGCGCTGACTTGTCCTCGCAGTCCTGATAAATGGTGATGCGCCGGGAAAGTTTATTGGAATCAGTTTGCGCTATTCGATGTATTGGCATGGAAGCTGTGCCTGCCGGGCGTTTCATTCTGCTGGGACTCTGCCTTCCTGAGGTGCTCTCAAGTATCGCATCTGTCAGTCACGACCTGGTCTCAAATTCAGCGAGCCTGCAGCAATGCATTGAAGTCACAGACATGCGATCCCACGCACAAGGCACGCCATGATAAGGCTTTGCCATGAGCAACGGTGTGTCACTGTCACTACAGGTGTGCGGGACCTCGAACATCTTGCTCCGTGCTGTCCTCCGTCCACACCTATCTTCAGAAAACACACGCGCATGCATACACCTCTGCAAGGGAGTATGTGACCAGTAATAAGAGCAACGGAGACGACTTTCTCTCGTCATGTCCAGCTCTTATCCGGCTGAGATAGGCCTGATCCGGCCCACTTCAACATTCCTTTGGCCCTCGGCCAGAAACGCTACTTTCAAGCGGCCTGATCGAGACAGCTTCACGGGAAGTACCAGTGCGGCATAAGAAAGCAAGAGAAAGGATGTCGGCACACCTTGGCTGCTTCGACGAGGTTCATAATGGATAAGCGGCCGAGGAACACATTGAAGTGTTTATTGGCGACTTGTTAGAACACTGTCCACCGCATTCTTGCTTCGATTACCTTCTTATAAACCCAAGGCCAGCCGGCCTCCATCTCAATCTGGCGTTGCAGAACGCGGGGTCAGCCAGCCACAGGAAACCTTTCGTGTCAAGCAAATCGTTTGTCTAACCTGATGAAGCAGCCAAGACTGCATGTGGCGTGATGCTAGTCCCAGCTTTGGACGTCGTCCAGAACCACGCAATTTTGTTGCAGGATTGGTGGAAGCTGAACGGCGTTATGTACGCTTGTGGCCCATCCCGCCAGATCAGGAGACCAGAAAACCACTTTGGTATCCTTGTCTGTCCCAGCGCATCCTATTGCGCTCGTCTTGACAAACTTCTTGCAACATCAAACATCGATTGACAGCCATTATCATGCGTCTAGAGTTCTTTCCCAAGCTCCTTGTCGGTCTTTTAGCCCTGCCACAATGGTCAGCTGCAACCCAGTATCCTGGTTGCAAGAGCGGTGTCTATTCATCCGTCGGCTGCGCTCTGAGAAATTATCCTCCGGCGCAAACGTACTGCTCGAAGAAAGTTCCCTTGCCTAAGCAGACGAGCACAGTGACTGCCCCTACGTCGACGATTACCACGACTGTATCGACCACAACAAGTTAGCCAGCGCCCTCCATTTTACTTGCACCTGCCTAATACGGGCAACAGCTACTACTACTCTATCAATCGCAACGTCAAGGTACGATGGATCAGAATGGAGCTTCGAGACTTCTTGCTCACTACGTCCAGCGTCACTCCGTTCTCTACGACTGTAACAGTCAGCACTAGTAGCACGATCGTACAGACTACGACCTCAACCAATACTGGTGGGTCGCCATCCCGACTCCTAACCCCAGCTGCCGACTGACAATCTGCCCTGCAGTGACGCAAACATCAACGTCTACAGCAACAACGACCGTTGCAACTACCATCATAAATTTCCCCAATGCAAAGCGGGACGCGGTCGCTGGCCGACCTACCCCGAACCCTCAAGCCGCGAGGTTCAGTAGTCTGTGCAAGCAGCCAAATCAGTACATTACCTCTGTGTGCAAGTGCGTGGTGAAACCGAAGACCACCACGGTAAGAACGCCTTCCAGGTTATTTTATATCGGAACTAACACTCACAACTCGCATCAGATCACCACGACTCCATCTACTACCAAGCGTGTTGTTGCTACATCCACTTTGAGCACCACTGCAACCGTGACCTCGTGAGCCTTTTACACAACATTTTGTGAAGCAATGATAATAGCTGATTACCGCAGGACTTTCACTGCGACCATTCTGACAACGACAACAATAGTCGTTACAGAGATGACCACTCAAATGACCGCCACGTAAGTGCATATACACGCGATCGGCCCACTTCATGGCTTCGTCTGCATGCCAGCTCCTACTGGAATTGGGAAACGCGTAGTCCGTAGCAGCGGCGGCTAGGCAGTCGCTGGCCTGTTCAATGCTGATCAGCTCTCTAGAAGCACCCTCACGACCACAACGACCACGACCTCGGTCACAACTACTCAAACCTGCCCACCAACCCAACCTACTTACTGCTTAAACCGGGGATATTGCATCAACGCAGACAACGACTACCTCAACTGCGGTGCATGCGACAACGAATGCAGCGGCCCAGCAACGTCTGCCAACGCGGCTCATGCTCCCAGGCGCCGAACGTATGCCAACCCCGTGCCCAAGCCTATCCCTGTGAAAATGCGGCTTCAGATTGTCTTTGCTACAGAGCAGTCAATGGAGGTGGGTATTGTTCGGCAGGCGGCCGTAACTGTGGTCAGGTATGTGAAGTCGCGGGAGACTGCTTCAGCGGACAATGTATCAGTGGAGATTCCACAGGTTGCGGAGTGAACGTTTGTGTCAATCCGGGGGATGCGCAGAGTTGCAGTAATCCGAACAGCAAGAGAGCGATATTTCGACTGGATGAGAGGCATGGTGACAAGCGCATGAAAGTGCCGTCGCCGCTGCTGGGTGTCTCGGAGGAGTAGAGTGGAGGGAAGGCTGGAGTCTAAGGAAGCGTGGCGGTTCGTTCTTGTGAAGTGGGACGAAATTACAGAATTTTCAAAGTTCACTGTTGACTCTTGGATCGATTGAATGATGTCTGCGGTGACTTGGACTCGCAGAGAGAAACGGCATGATATACATCGGCAAAGAAGTTCGAGACCAGCCTCGAGCGATTCAAGTATGAGGTTTAAGCAGAGGCCCTCGATTTTACTGTGCTCAGTATGTCGATGCTATGGACGCAATGCACTGTACACGCAGAGGGTACAAATTCCAGGACGATCTCCTTACGCAGTAGGAAAATGCAAAGACGTCTGATGTGGTCATGGAAGCGCTGCCAAGACCAACCAGGTCGCTTCGGCACATTGTCGGTATGGGATCCACCTTCTTTCCAGGTTCTTTCTGACCAAATTTAGCACGATAGCACAGACCACGAATCGCAACATTATCTCTCCTGCTCAACCTCCTATGTCGCTTCGAAAGTTCAGGGCTGCATGCGCTTGTCCCGGATGCCCACCTTCCACCATGACATCTCGACATCTGGCTGTGCAGAATTGGCACACAGGTCAAATTTGCCAAGAATGCATTACGTCTCCCCCATCACGCAGCATAAAAGGTGAATGGGTATCAGCGGTGAGAGAGCAAGCACCTCTCATAGAGGCTGGAGCATGAAATCAGACATACCCTGGACCTGGGGATGTTGAGCGGGGCGACGATCCGGTGAGAGGCTTGAACACCGATCGCTGCGCCGAATGTTCTTACTCTGGGTGACCAGAGATGCAAAGCCCGCTACTTTGTTGTGTCTCCAACAAACGACACATTCAGCGCGTCATGCTGCGATGAACCGCGAGTCTGCCCGTCATGACAATCTGATTTTTCAGGCTCGAAAGGTCTACTAGATCGGTTTCAAGCAAGACCAGCTTCGGGTCGCTTTCCAAGACGTGCCATCTCGTCAAAACCTCAATACAAGATACGAGAAATGATGACAGGCCTCAAAGCCAATGCAAACGCGATTGTGTTAGAATGTGCGACGAGAAGGATTCATTGCCTGTTGCTCCTTCATTTTATCTGCGTAGTGCGGGCGGAGAGATCCGAGTGGTCGCCCTGACAGCCTGCGTTGGAGGCCCGCGTAGTACAGCTGTACGTCAGGCCAGGCTGCGGGTCTTTAGGCAAAGTGAAGGTGAGGCGCTAACCGCAAGCGAATCTTGCAGCTGAATTCGATGGGTGAGGAATCAGCAACGATGGAATATAGTACCTCCCGGTCCGGACTTGGTATTTTCTCTGCCCAGACTCACTAGGTCAACGCGGTGTAACACGAGTTGCGCTATGAGCACATTGAGGCAAGATGACTATCTGTGATAGTGCCGCAGCATGCATCGAACAGAAGAGCATTCTGGCAACGTCCCACGTGCATAACACCAAAGCGTGCTACCGAGCCCGCTTCCGGTAAGAATTTGGAGGGTCCCTCCCGTGGGTTTGGCCTCCGCGGACGGGGAGGTTTGATAGCTTGGAAGGTTCGACTGTTTTGTACACACAGAGAACATCTCAGAGAGCCGCCAGCTCTGCCTTCGAACAAGGATCGAAAGGTTTACTACTATCCAATGTCCAATAAGGATTTGGGTGAAGGTTGTGGTCCGACGTGATGTTCGAGAGCCTGTCGCTTGAGATGATAGCAACGCATCCCTATGTCATCCACAGCTTGACATATATATATACTGACACCGTCGACAGATGCTATGGATGTACTTGTGAAACTTACCTCTGGTCTTCTTACTGGTCACCGGCTCGTGGCATTCTGGAAGCTCAACGTTGATGATACACAACATCTCGGATCTCGATAGTGCCGTGCGACATGGTCAGCAATCCTCAGATGTGTGTACAATGTGATCCTCACAAAATTTTCAATACTCTATCCTCCTTGAGGCGGCACACCAGGGACACTCATGGTCCGTCCAGGACGGATATCTGCTGCGAGCATTGCAACCAGAAGTTCAAGAGAACAGAGAATCTTAGACGCCACATCCACGAGACACACGAGAAGCAAGAGACAAACTGCGAGCACTGCATGCGGGCATTTAATCCTCGTTACATCGACCGCCACAAGGAGAAGTGTAGGCATCGGCCGAGCGAGCAAACACTTGAAATTCAAGGCGAGAAGGAGCGGTGCGCCATTCCGGACAGATTAATCTGGCAGTCACCAACAAAGAGTTGCCGCCATCTGGTTCGAGGGAAATGAGAAATATGGTGGATGACCAGAAAAATGTGCGATTCGTGCGTGGTTTTGTCGGCCCAGAGCCCCCCAAAGTTGACAATGCGGAGGGAGAGAAGGGCCTGGAGCTACTCGCACAAACCGGAGCGATTCACGATGAGTCGACTTCTGCAGAGAAGCCCCGATCGCCAGCTCCGAGCAAAGAACTTGTCCAGGTGATCTATGATGCGGTCGCCGCAGATGACACAGAGAATCTCAGGAGAATCTTGGTACAACATTGGTGGCCCACGGATCCTGTCTCCATGAACAGCTGGTTTCTCAAAACTTCCAGACAACTCGGAACGGATGGCAACAGCAGCGGAATCCTTCACGGTGCCGCAGAACTCAATGGTATGCGGATCACGCAAAAGCTTCTGGCGGCTGGTTTCGATGTCAACGCCAGAAATGCAGTTCAATCAACACCTTTACATTGTGCAGCTTACAACGGGCATGTCGAAATGGTCGAATACCTACTCCGCTCCGGCGCCAATCCAGGTCTTTCATGCCGGCATGGGTCGACTGCTCTGCATCTGCTACTTGGAGGCAAACAAGACAAAGAAGACAGCGTTCACGCTGTTGCAAAGCTTCTGCTGAAGCACGATGTGCCCATTGATGAACCGAACTCGATGCACCACACCGCTCTAACACTTTCTGCTCGGAGAGGATTCAAACTCGTAGCCGAGCAGCTCTTGGCTCACGGCGCATCAGTGAATGGCTCTCCAGGCGAATGGGGCCCAACGCCGCTCATGGAAGCATGCAACAACCAGCTTTCGATCGAGCTCGTTCTACTCTTTCTCAAAAACGGAGCGAGCCCCAATCTTTGTCGGCCTCTGAAGAAGGGCGGTCGGTCAGTGACGGCTCTGGCATTAGCATGCAGTTGCATGAAGAGTGATGGCAGTGAAGGGAGTGAAAGATATCAGATAGTGTCTCACCTGCTGTCTGCTGGTGCAGACGCAAACATGGAAGGATGCAGTGCAACGGATGCGGCGGCTAAACGTGCTCATGTTGACATCGTCCAGCTCCTGAGACAGTCGGGAGCTGATAGAGCATACGAATTTCACACGCCGCGATAACAAAGTTCCTGTAGATTTGCACAGAGAAGAACTATGTACACATACCAACATGAATATTGCACGGTACACAATGACGATGCCAAGAGTCGGGTCATCGCGTCGGCGTGTTGTCGGCATGGGTCCTTGCTCTGTCTGACTGTACTGTCTACTGACGACATCATCTCTTCTTGTTCTCTCATCACCTTTCATCACGATGTGTTGCTCGAACATTATGACGTTCTGATCTTTCCGTAGGCGCATCCGTGTCCATCGCGCACCTCCCCCATCTCTTCCCGGACCGCGTCACTGTTTTTCGACTTCTGGCGGCAATGGAGCGTGTGCATTGGGCTCGTCCATCTGATGCTCGGGAGCCGCAATGTTTGGAGTCAATGAAGTGTCGCCGTGAGGGCTACAAGGGCGTCAGCATGCTGGCAAGGCGAAGTTCTGGTGTCGCAAAAGACTTACGGGATTTCCGCCAAGCTCACGACATCGATGCCTCCCTCGACATCTGCCACTGCATGGGCCAGTCTATACTTGCGTAGCTGGAGATATCCGACGATGACAGACGCGACAGCAAGGACAGTGGTGAGGACTCCGAAGAGCGCGGCGAGGAGAACTTGTTGGTCATCGTTCCGGATTGCGATGTTTGTGTCGCCCATGTTAAGCAGTGCGCCGTGATGCGTGGTGCTCAGGCCAATCGCAGATCTTTGGGGTTTGGTCGAGACGACGAAATTAAAAGTGGACGACTTTGAAAGCATACGAATCTGCGAAGCTGGACTAGCAACCTGCAGTACTTAAGTGGTATGTAAACCACATCGTGACTTCCACGTGAAGGCCTTATTTCCCTGTTTCATTACTACAACAAGATGATTGTCGGAGGTCTGGGACGAAGACAGACGCTGGGATCGCACTGAAGTATGCATAAGCGATCCTGTGGCATGGCGCTTGCATGGGACCCGATAGCTTGAGCAGTACTGACGACACTAGATCTCCAGACAGAGCAATTTTGCGGAGGTCTGACGATACCGGGCACTCCAGATGGAGCCAACCCTTGGAGGTCTGCAGTGCCCGGATGGGCAGCTTTGGCCCACACTAGCAGGTCCCGGGTGGAGAGGTTTGGGATTTCCAAGTGACCGCGCTAACATATTACAAGTCACCTCGATCTAGCCGTTAGAGGGCAGTTCCTGGAGGCCTGCTGACGCCAGGTCATTAGTAGGAGGCAACTTTCTGGAGGTCGCCAAGCCGCGGTCTGTAGTCTTCGGGCTGCTGCGACTCAGTCGGCTTGCGGCCGTCCCAACCGAGCAGCCACAATATGCTTGATTCGTTGCCAATGGAGGTAGATATTGGGAGGTCTGTCACGTGTCTTTGGATCCTCTCAGGCGTGGAATTGCGAGTCGCGAAGGTGATTGGACAGGACTAATCGCCAGAAACTCGTCAGCACTGCCCCTCGACTGCAGCCTCGTGCATACGCAGGCGCCACGTCTGCCGACCCTTTCGCACAGCTGCACGAGACGCGGGCCCATGCTACCATGCGTTGGATCTGGCGGAACGTTACGCGCTGCATAGAAGCGGTAGCGCCGACCTCCCAGTTCATGCCCCTTTCGTAGGTCGCGCTGGAATTACTTCAATCATTCCCCTAGAATTTACCTCTCGCGGAGCTCTTGCAGCTGCGATATTGTCTACCTCCAACGTTGTGCCATTTGCGTACGCACTACACGACTCAGAGGCTTCTTTCGGTATTCGGTCTTTGAGCATGACAAATGGCAACACGACTTGAACAACCACAGGCCAACCTCGATAAGCCTCCAATGTCCCACGTATGTTCGCAGTGCCTGCCGGAAAAGCACTATAGCAGCTCGGATGCACTGAGAAGGCATAGAAAGACTCATCATGGTGGAATCAAGCCTTCCTGGCAGTGCCCAAAATGCAACCAGAAGCCTTTCCCTAGGAAAGATCGTCTTACACGCCATATCAAGGAGAAACACACCGGAGAACATCTTGGAGAATGCGAGCTTTGCTTTAAGACTTTCTCGAACAGATATCTCAAGCAGCATAGAAAAACATGCAAATCTCGATCCTTTGGACAAGCAACCGAACCACATCCCCAGAAAGCGGGTATTGTGGAGTTGCACTGGAACCACTCGGACTCATTTTCCCATCCAAAGCAGGCTGGCAATGAGAATTCCGCAATAGCGTTAGAGGAAACACCGAGGCTGAAATTTGTTCGCGGATGTGCGGCTCCCATATTCCGGAAGAAGAAAGTCACTTCTCCGGATAAGCACGAAGTCGTGACAGCGTCGAGCCTCAGCACCCGGAAGCAAGGAGCGGTGGGCAATGATCTCGAGCCGCTGAAGCTGGACGAAGAACAGCAAGAAGAAATTTCCTACGCCATTGAAGCGGACGACATGGAGTTGCTCACTGAAATCATTGCCAGTCATGGTCGCTCTCCGCACACCTTGCTGTCAGTGAATGAGGCCTATTCATGCTTTGGAAGCAGCCTTTTGCATTTTACCGCACGTTGCGGGAGTATGAAAGTCGCGCGAATGCTTTTATCGGCAGGCATCGACGTCAACGCGCCGGACAAAGATCTCTGGACCCTTCTTCACCATGCAGCGTACTTTTCAAGGGCCGGGATTGTCAGATTACTAGTTCGACAAGGGGCAGATGTGGATGCAAAAGATTCCTCTGGACGAACGGCTCTATTTCAAGCGTGCTCCTATGAAGAAAAACATGCCGACGAGGCTGACACCTTGGAAATGATTAATATTCTGCTACAAGGTGATGGCGCCAGTGTTGATGTCGAAGACAGACAAAAGGCAACCGCACTCTGTGTCGCTGCTAGCGAAGGAGCCCACTCAGTTGTTAAGAGGCTACTTACCGGCGGGGCATCTGTCAATGGATCTCCCAAAGAGGGTGTCGTAACGCCGCTCATGAAAGCATGTCACCGTGGGGAGTCTACTGTAGTGCACCTGTTGATTGATCACGGAGCGGATGTCAATCGGTGTCACGCTCGTCGTGAATTCCCAGATGTCTGGGACCCCTACAATTTTCTGTTTTTGCGTGGCTGGAAACCGGATGTCGGTTCGGGACAGATTCAGTCACGATGGACCGCGCTCGCGTATGCCTGTGGGCCCTATGTTCTCAGTAGGATAATGGAAGAGTTGTCATCTCGCCTTCTTGCCGCCGGAGCGGATCCAAATCTGGGAGATGTGGTTCCACTGGAGACTGCTATCATATATGGGGACCAGGGTGTTACCAAGATCCTCCTCGACGCCGGAGCTGATCCGTTGTGGGTGTCAAACGAGTGTATCGAGACTCTGCAAGGCGTGCAAAAGCGCACAGACGGTCATTTGTACCGAAAGCGGAAAGAGAAGTGGTCGTTGCTCCAGCAATATTACCCAATTATGTTTGGGAGTAAAGAGTACTTGGAATAGGCTGGCAGGCGATGAAGAGAATGATGGTCAGATTTAGGAGACCCAAGAATGATCAGTGCTATGAGAAGTATGCGACTATGGCAGCAAGCGACAGTAGTGCTTGTGATGACGACCAAAACCAGTAGTAACGACTAACGTATAAAAGCTTGAGGATTCCATTTGAACACATAAAGGGTTTGCACACTTCGCATGCACCTCAGCATGGATTCTCGGCTCGAGGTGCTGCGTTTGCTATGAATTTATACGAAGGAGTAGGATGTTCTTCAAGCCTTCATGAGGTAGCGGAGAACTCCTGATCGTTCCGGACATTGCCAGGCGCATGAATCACGCAACTAGAGTCGGTGCACACGAGCATCGAAAGTGTGTACAGAATCATGCGAATTCCGTCGGTCTTTGCACAACCACAGGTTACTGCCATTCTCACAAGCCTTACAATGTAGCAGAACGATCCTCGTCCCATCATATTATACACCCAACCTTTCCACTTCGATCTTACACCCTCGCAGCCCTAACCCACCCCACCATCCCCCCAACAAACCCCACCAACTTCTCCACCCTCTTCCTCTCTTCTTCCAGCGCCTCCTTATACTCCCTCACAACACCCCTAACCTCCTCATCCTGCGTCACCAAATCCCCATGAACCCTCAACCAAACCGCCATCCAAGCCTGCACCAATTCAAAATCGCGTTTACTCCTCAACTTCCACGTCAAGGCTTGCACAAAAGCGACATGTTCGTTGTCAGTATGCGATAAAGATCGGATTTCGATGTCGGCTGTGGCGGGTGGGAGAGATTGGAGGTGTGTGAGGAAAGGGGAGAAGTCTTGAGAGGAAGAGGAGGAGTGGAGGAGGGTTGTGAATTGGGATTGCGTGCCGGATGAGGCGAGTTTGAGGACGCGGGAGCGTTCTTTTTCGATTTCGTCTGCGGAGGGGTTGGTGGAGGAGGAAGCGCCGGGTTTTTGTTGAGGGAGGTCTTGAAGAGAAGGGAGGAAGAAAGGTGCCTTTTCGGGTTTCTTGGGGGCTTCGGTGGGTTTGTTTCTTTGGCGGATGAGGTCTAGGTGGAGGAGGTTTTGCCATCGGGAACGAGGAACGAGAGAGAGGGAGAGAAGATCTGCGGAGAGTGTGTCGAGTTCCGATGCTGGGTCGGTGTCCAGATCGATGGCTTCTCCGTCTTCTTCTGCGTCTGACTTGTGTGCGCTTGCTGCGATGAGGTTTGTGCTACCTTCGCCAGAAGCTGTCGGAGCTGAGGTCGTAGTCGAATGAATGACTGCGAGGAGTTCCTTCTGCGTTATGTGACGTGTGGAGACATGGGTGAAGAGACTGCGATTGGTCCAGATGTCAACTCCGACGTTATCCTTGGTGGCCGTCGCCAAGTACTCACCCGTAGGCGAGAATGCCAGAGTCGTACATTCGTCTTTGAGCTTGAACACATCCACGAGATGACCTGTCGGCAGATCCCAAAGAAAGACTAGCTGCCCAGCAGAAGCAGTAAGCCAGTGTCCGTCTGTGGAGAATGTGAAGTCGGAGAACTTCAGACCCTTCAGCTCAGCTACTGGCGTTCGTGAGCGCCACAACTCTCGCACCAGCTTCTGTGTCTTGATGTCGATCACACGAATGCAGCCATCAGTGCAGGTGAATGCTGCCAGGTCCGATGCACGATGGAACCGCATATCAAGAATGCCCGTTGAGCTCGACCAATCCAGCTGACCCGTCAGCAGGCCATTACTGAAGCTCCAGAATTTAATCTTGCCATCTGCACCAGCAGACACGACTGTCTTATTCAGACTGTCGACAGCCAGTCCTACGACAGCTGCTGCATGTTTGCCTTGACCTCGATAGAATTTCTTCTTTCCGTCGTCTTCCAAGATCAGATTGTTGCGTTCCACGTCCAGTCTCAACTGCTTCGCCTGCATGGGTGTTAAACGAGCAGGGAAGCGTTGACGATGTATACCAGACTGCATGTTGAACATGTCGATCCCGCCTTTGTCCGAGCCAACGACACCAAAAGTGCCGCATGGCGACAGCGCGACAGATGTCACATTGCCCCCATCGCTTGTGGAAAATGCCCAGCGACCTGCACGCTTCCTTCCCCAGAACCAAGTTCGTGCCTTGGGATCGTTTTCATGGGCCGTCAATACGCTCTCCCATCCTGTCATAGCACTGACTTCAGCACTGACCTGCTTGGACTTGGCATTGTTCTGCCAGATGGGATGCTTGCCGGGCAGAGCACCAATGCCACCATCTCTGTTCAAGCCGCATGCAATTCCCGTAATAGGAGGGCATTTGAGATCTTCAAAGGCGTCTCGATCACCAGACAGCAAGCCTTGCTTCTTGGCTTTCTTTTGTATTGCGCCTTGACTGAGCTCTGTGCTCTGTCTGTCGCGGCGAAGTGACCAGCCCCATAGACTGCGATCTTTGCTGGCAGACAATAGCCATTTTCCGTCATCGTCTGCGCCGTCTGAGGCTGTAGGCAAGAACATCAGCTTCGAGACTGGAGCGCCATGACCACTGAGCTCATGCAATATTCTAGGTAGAGGGTCGAAAGGCGTCTTGTCAAAGATCCATGTCTTGAGACTGTTGTCGAGACCACTGCTAACAAGAATCGCTTGACCTGCCAAGAATTCGATCTTGCTGGTTCCTCCCGGAGTCGTGGCTGTAGGTTGGGCATGTGCAGCTCTGAGTACGCCTGCTTTCCGACCACCGTCGTTGAGGTCCCACAAAGTCACATCGCCAGAGGAAGTGGAAGCAGTCGCCATGACACCGGCCAGTCTTCCATCTTCCCCGGCACCTAGCCCATCTGTTCGGAATGTTATCGAAGTGATCGGAGCACCTGCAGGTGTATTGAGCTGGATTGCAGTGCGGTCTGATTTTACATCGTGGATAAGCAGCGGCCCTTTCTCGTACGCAATTGCAACCAGAGATAGCGCAGGAGTTGGTTCAATGGCCGTCACGGCGCCATATGCAGTGGAAGGCGGGAGAATGGTGTAGACCAGCTTGCCGCTTGAGACATTCCAGATTTCAGCGCTGCCATCCTGTCTGCCTACAATGACCTTGTTCAAGAAGGTAGGCAAGCCAGATATGCAGCTGGTGAAGGGCACGGGCGAGATGCCTCGCAGCGACGTGTAGAGCTCAAAGGTGGTCGTTTTCCACACCAGCAGTTGTGTATCGCAAACTCCGATCAGCCAGCTCCCCAGCACACAGAAAGTGCTGACATTCTCATCGCAGTCTGCTGGCCATTCTAGCTCCGCCTCTTTCTTGCCTCGCTTCATCACCCATACGCCTCGCGCCGATTCGGCATCTTCGCCTCCCCATGCGGCGAAAATGCAGTCTTTCCATGCTGCGGTCGCAGTGATGACTTCGGGAGTCTGCGGTCGGGTAATGAAGACCAGATTGAGGCCTCGTCGTAAATCGTACGTTTGCAGGCTTCGGCCTACGGAAGTGGTGATCTGGAATGTCGTCTTGCCCAGCGGCACACTCGTGAAGGGTACTGCGGTCGGCGAGACTAATCCGACGGTCCTGTAAGGCGCAAAAAGTCTTGACTGTCCCGCGGGTCGCGACGCCTTTGCCACGCCATTCGACAGCTTCTGCCTCTTCGCGACACGCCCCTCGGCCTCCATCGTGATAGTAGTGCTGATATCAAATATGTTCGATCCGTCCAGCCAAAATTTCACATGGAAGCAAGCTCGGACCACGAAGCGAAAGCTTAATTGAGCCTCATGGCCCGTGTCAATGTTGTGGCTGCAGGATGACGCCGCATTTTTCGGTGGTGGGGCAGGCGCAATTGCGGGAGTGCGTTCATGAACGAGTGAAAAGCAAGGCAGATATACGCGTTCGCACCAGCTCTGTCTCGCCCATCGTTCTTCCCTGCTCGGTGCGTCGCTAGTGCCGCTGTCTCTGGCAATTGGGTTGGTAGTCGCCAGCCAGTAGGAAGCCTCCAATGGCTCCCTCGTCGTTTGCTGGAGACCAGCAGCAGCAGCAGCAATCTCAGCCTCCGTCTTCCTCTCTCTCCCGCACGACATCTCGCGAGAGCACCAAGTCGCATTCTTCGGGCCATATCTTATCTGCATCGCACGCCTCTAACGCCAATCGCAAAGGTCGACATGCAGATCTAGATATCGCCGCCGATCACTCGAACCGCGCCAGTATTTCTATGCCACCGCCCGCTACCCCAAAGCCTAATACTCTTCGGTACCAAGCTGCCAGTCGACGCTCGTCCCGCCAGGACGCACCAACCTTGGCCACGCCCACGACATATGTGCACCCCGCCGACGCCATGTCTTCTCAGCAGGACGGAGCTGCTCCCGCCCCCGAGGACGTCCACGCGACGCTCGACGCCCTTCGCAAGGCAACCCAGTCCGACTCCGGCATTCCCAGTGCCATTCGCCGAACCGAGCCCGATTTAGAGAGCAATAGAATGTCTTTCTCCTCCTTCTACGGGCCAGGGAGAAGTGCTGTCACGAGCGGTCCGAGCTCGTTGGGAGGAGGATCGGATCAAGATGGTAGACACCTCTCCAATGTGCTTGAAGCCATTGTAGATGCTGACGATGACGGTGATGCTGCAGCAAGGCAAGACGCCGCTACAACGGCCACACAGAATCTCTCGGTTACTACCCAGAGTCAGAACGGAGCACTGTCGCCCAGTCTTAATGGCTCATTGCGTGAGCCACCACAGAACACCAGCTCCGCTCCCTCGGGCAACTCCTCTGGCTCGCCCGTCAACCCTCCTTCCTCTCCCGCTCATGTCCAGGCGTCGCGCCAAGGTAGAACCATCGCACCGAATCGAGGGCGCACGCCTGCTGCTTCTCGTAGAGTGTCGGGCAGCATCAATGGCAGCGCACCGCCGAGCGTTTCACATTCAACAGAACGACCCAACGAGGCTCCGAAGATTGGCACGATTGGTATTTGCGCACTGGATTCGAAAGCAAGAAGCAAGCCTTCTAGAAACATTCTCAACCGATTGGTCGGCAAAGACACTGACTTTGAGGTCATCATCTTCGGAGACAAAGTCATATTAGACGAAAACGTTGAGAATTGGCCTGTGTGCGACTTTTTGATATCCTTCTTCAGTGACGGGTTCCCGTTGGAAAAGGCGATCGCTTATGCCAAGCTACGACGACCGTTCTGCGTGAACGACCTTCCAATGCAGACGGTACTCTGGGACCGCCGAATGTGTTTGCGAATATTGGACAAATTGGGTGTGCCAACGCCGGAGCGCATAGAAGTAAACCGGGACGGAGGTCCTGTTGCATTGACCGCTGACATTGCGGCACGAATGAAGCACCTCACGGGAGTTGAGCTCATAGGGTCAGACGATGGCAGAGGTGGTGGACAACCACCGCCGGACGACGTTCACATGGAGGATGATGATGACACCTTGGTTGTAGATGGGCACAGGCTGAAGAAGCCATTTGTCGAGAAGCCAACCAGCGGAGAAGATCACAACATCAACATCTACTACCCCAAATCGCAGGGTGGTGGAGGTCGGCGATTGTTCAGAAAAGTCAACAACAAGTCGAGTGAGAAGGACGACTCGCTCACTATCCCACGCGCCGTCACCGAACCAGAGTCGTCTTACATCTACGAACAATTCCTTAAAGTGGAAAATGCCGAAGATGTCAAGGCATATACAGTCGGTACCGAATTCTGCCACGCGGAAACTCGCAAGTCTCCCGTGGTTGACGGCGTGGTCAAGCGGAATCCGAACGGAAAGGAGATCCGCTATGTGACCAAGCTCAACAAGGAGGAACAAATTATGGCTGCAAAGATCGCTTCAGGATTTGGGCAAAGAGTGTGTGGGTTTGATCTGCTACGCGTTGATGACAAAAGCTACGTTATCGACGTCAATGGCTGGAGCTTTGTCAAGGACAACAACGATTACTACGACAAGTGCGCCAAGATCCTGAAGGACATGTTCATTCGCGAGAAAATCAAATGGCAAGGAAGAGCAACTCCAAGCGACATCGACGAAGGCGAGCAAAAAGACGGCCTCATTCCTACATCAATGCCAGATTACATGTCGCGAAAGCCTAACACAACGAGCAGCAAAGACTTACCTAATAGTACCGGCCATCGTGGAGTGCTCAGTCATGTTTTGAGAAGCCGTAGTATCTCTCAGCTTCGAGAGAGTGTGCATCATGCCGCGCAGCACGTTGGTCACCCTCATGCGGCTAAGAGCCCAAGTGGAAAGTCCAGTCCGATCACCTCTCCGCCGACTTTGGAGCGCAAGGGCTCTTTCAGCAAGCGCAGTGCAACTGTGCCTAATGCGAACCCAGAGATGCTACCTCCACCGGCAGTAGGCTCCCTGGACCTGCCCAAGGACATCCCACCTGAGCGGCCCACGTCTGCTGGCTTAGATTCCATTATACACTCTGAGGCACCTTCACATGCACCGGCACCTGCCATCAAGAGCCAGTGGAAGCTCAAGGGCATGGTTGCCGTCATACGGCATGCAGATCGTACGCCAAAGCAGAAGTTCAAGTTTACATTCCACACGAAACCGTTCGTTGATCTCCTCAAGGGACATCAGGAAGAAGTTCTGCTCGTTGGCGAGGCAGCTCTCCACAGTGTTCAGCAAGCTGTTCGCCAAGCAATGGCCGAAGGCGTAGAGGATATGAACAAGCTTCGCACTCTCGCCAACGCTTTAGCCAAGAAGGGCGCGTGGCCAGGCACTAAGGTTCAGATCAAGCCGATGTTCAAGAAGCCCAAGGAAGGCAAAGAAGACAAGACCAAGAAAGAGAAAGATCCATTGCGGCAAAGCATACCGATGGTCGAGGACCCTGCTCAGATAGACCAGACTGTCACCCGAACCAAGTCAAAAGAGATGCCTAACTGGGACGATCCGGCCGGGCCTGCTGGGCTTCGCGCGCAGCATCGAAGCGACTCGGTGGGTGAGATTACAATGTCCCGAGCGGCAGCCGCTGATCAAAATCTTGTGTTGGACAAATTGCAGTTGGTTATGAAGTGGGGTGGCGAGCCGACACATTCGGCACGGTATCAGGCGACTGATCTGGGAGAAAACATGCGTGCCGACCTGACTCTCATGAATCGCCGAGTTCTCGAGGACGTTTCAATCTTCACATCATCCGAGAGACGCGTCACTACCAGTGCATCGATATTCGCCAGAGCTTTCTTGGGCCAGGAGGATGTTGATGAGGACCAGATTCATGTTCGCAAAGATTTGTTGGACGATTCCAATGCAGCCAAAGATGAAATGGACAGGGTCAAGAAGAAGCTCAAAGGTCTGTTGCGAAAGGGCGAAAAGGCACCTGAGCAGTTCGCGTGGCCCAAGGATGGGACACCCGAGCCTTACGTTGTCGTGCGTCAAGTGGTCGATCTCATGAAGTTCCATCGCAGAGTGATGAGGAGCAACTTTGCCAAGCTGCAGAACTCCGAAGCTGTCTCTAGTCTGGAGAAGATTCAAAAGAGCCCGGCACACGCCAACCAATGCAGAGAGCTCACAAGCCCGATCACCGAGACAGCTACCTCGAAAGTGCCATGGGAGAATGCGACAGATGCGAAGGCATCCACGATCCAGACTAGATGGTGTACAGGCGAAGATGCAGAACTCTTCAAAGAGCGATGGGAGAAGCTGTTCAACGAATTTACGGATGCTGAAAAGGTTGATCCTAGCAAGGTCAGCGAACTTTACGACACCATGAAATTCGATGCGTTGCACAATCGTCAGTTCCTGGAATGGGTGTTCACCCCGAGCAAGGCCATACTCGCTGAGGCGATCGAAATTGGATCGCCCACTTTGAAGAGGACCGAGAGCGATCAGGCCCGAGATGAGTTCGAGCATACACATGAGGGGCAAGCTCCATCTGCGTCAAACGGGCCCAGCGGAACCAGTAGCGACCTACCCGCCATGGACAATTTGCAATTGCCACCACCAAAGAGGAGCGACACCGCAAGTACAAATGCCTCCAACATGGAGAGCAGCGTGCAAAGTCTATCACGGCAGGGCAAGGATGGTGAGGTGAAAGATGAGCCCAAGCCAAGCCTTTCCCAACGACTCGGCTTCAGACGTCGGAGTGCTGACCTGCAGACCGTGGCCAAGAGTCTCGCAGCACCTCCAGTCCAGACGCAAGCCGCACACGCAGACGATCCTTCCGCGTCATACTTCAACCTTTTTACGGGAGGGATGCCGGGAAACCAGTCAAAGGTCAAGCATGATGTCCGCCTGGAGAAACTCAATGAGATGTACAAGCTTTCGAAGATTCTCTTCGACTTCATTGGTCCTCAGGAGTATGGTATCACAGACAGTGAGAAGTTGGAGATCGGTCTTCTCACATCGTTGCCACTTCTCAAAGAGATCGTTAAGGATCTGGAAGAGGTGCAGGCTTCCGACGACTGCAAATCCTTCATCTACTTCACTAAAGAGTCGCACATCTACACCTTGCTGAATTGCATCCTCGAAGGCGGTGTGCAGACCAAAATCGCGCGGAATGCCATCCCGGAGCTTGACTATCTGAGCCAAATCTGCTTCGAGTTGTACGAATCGGAGAATCCTGATGCTTGTGCACACAATGCTGCCAATCCTGATGAGCCTCAACAGAATCCCTTCAATTACAGCATTCGCATCACCATATCTCCAGGTTGCCATACTTTCGATCCTCTGGATGTGCAGCTGGATAGCAAGCATTGCATTGGATGCGCGCCTCGTCGCTCCCTTACTAACCATGGCGAATGGCGCACCGTACTGGAGACCCTCAGAGAGAAGTTCGATACCGTCAAGTTGCCGAAGAGTTTTACAGCTGTCAACCTATCAGAGCGGCACCCACAAGAGTTCTCTAAGAGTGCTGTAAATGGTGATGGCTTACTGACTTCGCCGACCGATGTGGCCACGAATGGTACTGTACCCGATGATGCTGGTCAGGAGCTTGGTGGCGCCGAAGAGCAATTTGTGACGCCCGCGGAAGAGTTTGGCGAGGCGGAAGCGCAACAACAGCAGACTGCATCGGATGCGCTGAATCCCATGACTCCGGCTCATTAGGACGAGATCGAGGGAAAAAACATGCAAGATCACCCCGTCATATCCGACGGAACCAACAACGAGCCTCGTGACATTGAAGATCTGGACCCAATGACTCCCCTGCGTCGCTACCCAACGGCACCCAGAAGGCCTCCTCAAGGAACCCGTCGACCCCGCGGCATGTCCCACGACATCCACTACGGTGGTCGGCGATATCTCCCTGCCATCCCGGAACAAGCTTCTCCAGCTCCGGGACAGCCTGCAGCTAATTCGGACATCGGAGCTGCTGAGGAGGATCGTCCACCGCCATATGTGCGTGAAAGCGCCAGTCATCAGGTCCATAGCTTCGGCAATGTGACCAGAACAACGCCCTGCGATGAGGATCAGTGCTGTTATTGTGCTTATTGTCCTGCGATGTGTTTGGATTGTTTGAAGTGTTGCTGGCCGATGTAAGATGGTTTGTGTGGCTGCATAGGCGGGCTTTTTGAGGTTGAGGCGGATTGTGTTGCATTGTATTGCTTTGCACTGGAGAGGCTATTGTCTTCGACGAGCGGTCGTTGCTGGGTGGATATTTTGGACCTCAGGACTTAGAGCATTGTTTGAGATGCATTGGAGGTCGTCGTTGACATTGGGAGGTTGGCATCGAGCGTTTTGTCATTGCTTGCTACACATGTGCATTCGTTCGCATTGGGAAGGCGATCGTCGTCTCGTTCTAGATACACATACACATACACATATATCGTATTGCATTACAGTGCAGCGGGAAGGGTCAAAATGATCTGGTTCTTTGTCCGTCATCGACCCATAGACCAGACGTACGTGCGTAGATACATCCGTGGTAAGCTTTGGGAATGAAAATTGAGAGTAGACGAGATATGGAACCATCATAAGGTGAGTGAGAGGGAGGTCTTTTGTTCTGTACTGTATTGCATTGAAGTTTTTCCGATCCTGGATAGTCAGTCGATGGGTATGCGGACCCGAGTGTGAGCAAGGGGAAGAAGAGGGCGTGGTATGTGACCATGTCCTTTGGCTGCTAAGATCCGTTTTCTTTGCGAGCTAGTTGTGCTGCGCCTTTGAGACCTTCTCATGGTTCGAGCAGCGGCTTCGTTGCTCTTGAAGTGGATAGCGTGTCTACCGCCGTGTCGTTTCTAGTGGTCGTTGGTCTAGTCGTTGAAGCTGCTCGTAGTCTGCCAGTTGCAACAGTCCTGGTGTAGGCCATCTTTGCTCATTTTGCACGTGATGTTCAGCCTGTTCGATATGGAAGAGCACATTGGAGCAAGCTGAGAGATTGCCTTCTTTTGTATTCAGTGTCCCTTTCTGCAAGCACCTCTGGGCTCCAGGTTACCCTCTTTGGCGCAGACCAGACAAGGCTGCGGCAACTCAAGTTGCTTGGAGCGACAGAAAATTCTCACTTCGGATGCGATACACCTGTCTGTTCGCTTGTATGTTCCCCGGCAGAATGTGGTACCGTCGCAAGTATCTACCGCCTCTGCCCATTCGCTTGGAAACTTCAGAAGTGCCGCGAGTATGTTCTGCAACGACTGGTCCATGGACCGTGTCAGTGGCCACAATGGTGTCTTTTTCAGCCTCGCCATGAAGTTACGAAGTCGAGTTGAAAAGTAGGCGCAGCCCTCATCACAAGCACCGATGAGATCTTCACTTCCGGCGCACTCCTCGTCGATCACTTCCTCGAATTTCGAAATCAGTTCTTTCCTCAATTGCTGGCGCGACTCGCTGAGTATTTCTGCTCATATTCGTCAGTCACAGTTCTTCATCTTGGGATGGCTCAATAACTTGCCAATAGTGCGTTGCAATGTCTCAGGGATGTAGTCTGGTGGCGTCAATTTGAACTCAGGTTCGGTGTTGGCGACAAGAGCGCATCCGTATTTGGTGAAGCTTTTGGAGAACTCCATGAGGTACGCGATGATGAACAAATTCAGGATGTTGCGGTCAAGGCATTTGGATTTAGCAAGCCGCATCCAATCTTTCATGGCATAGGACATGGCCGCGCGGCAGTCGTACTTGTCCACCAATAGGGCCACCTGTAGCAAGGAGTCGACACTGGGGATGGAACACGTGGACGTCTTCATGTGCATGACTTCACAGATAGCCAGCATTGCTCCAGGACAATCTTCTGGAAGGGGTAAGTCGAGTCGAGTGCCAGAAGCCAATGTAGCACCTTCCTATCTTGAGTTTAGCGGAGTGTTGACATCGGTCAGGATGCTTCTATGTCTCTTACTTTGAAATGTGGCCCGAGCATCGCTTTGAACACAGGGGATCCAAAGCTGAGGAAAACAGAAGAGACGAGTATATGAGTGCTGTAAGGATAACGTTAGCCAACGGCAATCTGACCAGTATTCGGTCGCTAACCAGTTTCCTTTCTCTTCGCTGCCAAAGATGAGCCGGACATCGCCATCAGGGGCGACTTCGTGGACTTCCGCCATTTTCGCTGTAGTGATGCCGAAGAAAGAGAGGGACGCGAGCGAGACGTTCTGCTCGATCAGTTTGTTTGTGTGACTGCCTGTATGTCCATTCTTCCGGATTCCGCGCTAAGAATTAGTTCGCCTTGGCTTGCATGTGAAGGCTTCAAGTTTCACGTTCAGTTCTACTGCTTTCACTCTTTCGCTTGGGTGCTCGGATGCCCTTCGAAGTACAAGAAGGTCACAGTCAGGTGAAGGAAGGGGCGGCAGACGCGGACTGGGAGTGCGTTGAGATTGCTTGATAGGAAAGTACTCTTGGTTCTGTCCCGTTTGTCATTCTCGTCTATCCTTGAGCTGTGTTAGGTATGCTTCTGGAGTGGTGAACTTCTTACTCTGCCAGAGCTACCATGGATTCTCTCAACATTACCTCAGCATGGGATCGCGGGAGTATCATACTTTGTCGCGTACTAAAGGGAGACTTGACAGTGGACAAAGAAAAGGAGGTTGCAGGATGCTTTGCAGAATAGAAGAGTTTGCTTTTGTGCACAGCTAGATATACTTGTACTTTTTGGTTGTTCTACTCGCTGAGCTGATAGCGAGCTCGACATCGTGTTCATGTTGCCGCTGATCGCCTGAACTTCGAGTGTTCCACGCGCTTTTTCGCGTCTGGTGGCATACGTCTTGATCAGTACCTTTCACCAATCTTCCCGAATCGCAAAAGTGCTTATTCAATTGCAGTGTCCCTTCTCGCAGATTCCCCTGGCCTGCATGTGGCCTTCTTTGACACAAACCAAACAAGGCTTGATTGCCTCATGCTTGATCGAGCTTGCAATATGCTTCATATGGGTTAGAACGCCCTGATCCTTCTTCATGCAGTGTTTTCTGCAGTATGAGCCGCAGACCACTTGAGACTCGGACCATCCGGTCGGGAAGGAGGAGAGTCCCTCGCACATTTGGTGCAGAGTTTGCTTTGTGAAGGAAGTGATTGGCCACAAGTCGCTCTCGAACAATTTCCCCATGAATTTGTTGCTTCGATCTGAAACGTAGAAGCAGCCGCAGAGATTACAGTTCTGATAATGAGTATTGGTGAACGCGAAACCTGTGCATTCCTGCTTGATAATGGTGCCGACTTGGCTTGCTGTGTGTTCCTTTACGCGTTCAATATGTGCTTGGAGGGCAGCTACAAGATGAATGTCAGCGGACGCGCATTGAGTGTAAGATGATCGAACGTACTGATGGCTTTTTTGAGCATCCTATCGATTCCCAGAACGTCGTCGGCCACAGAGAGGGATTTGTTGTGCAGTACAACATCGTGTCCCAGTCGGTAGAAGTCCGCAGCCGAGTCCAGAACATAGGCCGAAATGAATAGATTCAATCGGTCCGTGTCAGACTCGTGAAGTTGCGTGCCCTGCATCCAGACCATGATCTGATACGCGAGCGCGGACTTGCAATCGTATTTGTGGACCACGATCGCGAGCTTCAGGAACGCCTCGGAAGTCTGCACTCCAGGTGCTACGGGTCGCATGTGCATGATTTGACAAATGGTCAACATGCTTGCTGCGTCATCATCGGGCAGTGGTAGGTCGAGCCGCGCGCCGGTCGCCAAAGTGTGGCCTTCCTATTTGAAGGTCAGCAATGCTCCAGCGGCGTTTCATGTAGCATGGGTACCTTGAACTTGGCACCCAACATCGCCTTGAAGACAGGAGAACCGTGCCTCAGAACAGCCGAGCAGACAATGATGTGCGTCCTGCACTTCCGTCAGCCTCGAGTGCATCTCGCCTCCTGTTGTACATACGCATCGCCTGTCTCCTCGCTGCCGCAGATGAGCTTCACGTCGCCCTCCGATGAGATTTCGTGGATGGCCGCCATGTCCACGAAGTTGTGATCGAAAGGTTGGTAGACAGGGTTGATAGGAACGAAATTGAGCTGTTTGCATTGCTTGCTTGAGCGCTGCTACTCGCGAAACACGCTAAGCACCCCTGTCGCCTTGGCTTGCATGTGAAAGCTCTAGCCATCACAGCTCGCTTCACTTTCAACGCTTCTCGCACAAAATGCGCTCACGGTCTCAATTATGTGAGCTCATTGTTACTACTCGCTGTCACGCGTACGTCCATCTGGACAAAGTCTCGCTAGCACTCCTCGATCCGTCTAAATGAAGCAGCACCAACCTTGAGCTCATCTTCGGTACCGAACCTCAGTGACCTTTCTTGCAGCCGCGCAAATCCTGAACATTGGCAGATCTGACACATTCAAGACACAGTTCGATGCGTGCATGTTGAATTTTGTCGGACAAAGCTCCAAGCTCAGTGGCTAGAGTCTTCTCATCAGGCATACGGAGCCCGCAACACTGCTTGCCTCCCCATCCACTGCAGAGAGATGCTGATCCAATCCAGTCTGGGCTGAGGTCCTGGAGGGCGTCGATCAAGCGGAAAATGTCATGCTTTAGGATTGTGCTCAGCGGCCAGACGGCAGATGTAAAAAGCCACTTTCCGAATGCCTTCGCTCGATCGACGCGGTAAGTGCAGGCGTGACGGCACTCATGAGTGGAATCTGAGGTGACATTCATTTCGAACTCTTGCTTGATGAGCTTTTCCACAATACGCACCACCTCGGCGATCCACGATCTCCGTTGCGCGGTCAGCGCTTCTTTGGCTTAGAATCAGCGAATTGTCCTTTGGGAAGTTCCTCAATGTACGTACCTGCCACATACTCGAGCGAGGCTGCACATTCGCCTGCTGCGGAGAGTACAATAGCACCTTCTGCTCTGTAAAGCAGTCTCCTTCCGTACATTTGGAAGTGCGTAGGCAGCTTCATGTAGAAACAGGCGGCGAAAAGCTTCACACTGGTGTCATGATCCTTGGTCCTGTCGTATGCTTTCTGCACCCAGATACGGTAGAACACTCTGAGTGCGCCACAGCAGTCATACTTGTCCGCCAGGAGTGCGAGCTGAAGTGTGTGATCTGCAGTCTGCTCTTCGTGCTCGATATCATGCAAGTGAAGCAGTTTGCACAGCGTCAACAAAGCCGCTGAGTCGTCTTCCGGAAGTGGTATCTCGACGCTTGAAGTTTTGGCAAGTGTGGTTCCTTCCTGCGAGGTGTCAGTAAAACGCTTCGGTAGCCCAATCGACCGCTGCGTACCTTGAGCTTCGAATTCAGCATAGCTTTGAATACCGTGGAGCCGAGACTGAGGACTGCGGACGAGACGATAATCTTGAGCCTGCTTCTCGTCAGCTGTGTCACATGTGAGACATCTGCTGGAGGCGCACGCACTGTCTGTCGCCTTTGCCCTGACCACCACAGATCAAAGCGACATTGCCGTCTGGCGCAACGTTCACCACACCGACGGCAGTCATCCTGAATAGTGCAATTTGCAGCTTGACAGGATTGTGGTAGTCGAGGGCGGCAGTGGAAGCCAAGTATCTGATCGTCGTTGTCGAATGTGCCTGCGCCACTGCAGCGGTGCCCGTCGCCGTTGCAAGCTTTGCTAATGTAAAGTGAAGTTGCGGAAGTCGCAACGCCCAGCGATGCAGGGGTGACGAAATGGCCAACAAAGTCGGCCCACCGTTCCTCATTCGTACTTGTATAGATTTGACATACGAGTTGAAGTCAAATACACCGTGTCGCAAATTATGGTCTTTTGATGCTCCTGGCAGTCGCAGGTTCTCGAATTCGTCCTGGGTCTCCTTTATCTTGTTGAGGCCTTCTCATCAACATCCGCTGCGCCGCTGCGAGGAGAAATCAGTCCACCTTCAATGTACGTAAAATCTGGTGAGACTCACCGTTCCGCGGAGATTTTCGCAATCGCGCTGTCCATCTCATGGCCAACATCATGTCCGGGCAACTCGTATATTTCGCCATTCTCTACTAAGTGGGCGCCGTCACAGCCTTCGAGCTCGAGTTTTCCTCCAAAACTGGCCTCCTTCTCAGCCATTGCAGGTGGGGATGACATCTCGTGTACATTGTTGGACATCAACTCCACGCCAACAGGTGATTCGGCCTTGCCATCCAATTCTGCAATGTGAGTACGGCTCGCCTCATCTTGCTGCCTTCTACGCCTGCTGTGTCGTCGAAGAAAGTAGCCTCCGCCGAATACCAACAAGGCCAGCAGCACCACACCGATTACGATACCGGAGGTCGCACCTGCAGTGACTTCGCTTGATTTGTCCTTTCGAGACGAGACTGGATGAATCGCCACGATATCGCTGGAAACCCCGGGTCTGTGTAAGGATTGTCCAAGCGTGAAGTTCTGTCGCTCCCAATCGACAATAAGATAGGCTTCTTGGAGAAACGTACGACCAAGCACAAGTTGAGTGTCATTCGCTGCTCTCCTGATTGGAAAATATGTTGTGTTCGTGGTAGACCACGGCTGGCCTATTTGCTGATCAAAAGCTGCGTATGGGAGCACGATAGCCGTGGTTTTGTTGATCATCGACGGTGCTGCTATCATGAAGGTAAACTCTGGTGCATAGTTGAGCAGAGTCTCATGCATGGTAGCGTTTACAAAGTACAATTCAGTGCCATTGTCATAATGCAAGCCAAGCGCGTCAGACAGGACGTCACATATTGTGCCAGGAAGCCAGATCTGTGCGACCGTAGAGTCTATCGAGACATTTAGCCCAGAGGTGTCAATCATTGGTGACACAGCTCCTTGAGGAGTGTTCGTGACTACTAAGCTCTTGAGTCGTACTGTGAGTGACCTTGCTCCTGCAAATATCGTTGGAAAGGTAATATTGCTAGGCTCGAAAGCTGCCTGATCATAGCCTCCTAGAACGACGCTGCCCGGCGCACTGCCTGTGCAAATTGTTAGCTTTCGTGCTCAATACTGCGTTCTGTGTTGTCTGACTTGCGGTAGGCTGCACCAGCGTAGAATCCATACGAGGCCGCAGGAGAGAGGCCAATCTCCTTAGCTGACTCTAACAGTGTGGTTGCATTATTCGGTAAATTGGAGAAGGTTCCAGGCTGTATTCCAAGACCAAACATCCCGAGCCAGAAGTTGTAGCTAGATATGCCGCCAACAATTTGACTACCAAATGTCGAAGTGTTGGCAGGTGAGTTTAGCGAGATATTATCCAAGCCGTACAAAGCGGCGTCGCCAGAATCAGGAAACAGATCATCGTATCCACTGAGTCCATAGATCCCAATCTGTTTCCAGCTACTCGATTCGTTGAATTGGAAACCACTACTCTGTACGCCATTGAAGCTTTGCACTCCTCTGGAGCTCGCACATCCCGCAATCGAGGCGTTACAGCCTTCCGGGACTGGTACCCAAATTTCACTGCTGGTCGTTGAGGGAAGAACGCTAAAGCCCTGTGGTGGTGTGCCGACGTTCAGCTGATAGGTGGACCAGTTGCCATCGTTGCCTCCCCATCCGGAAGATTGCAGGATTAGAGGTGAAGTAGAATGCGGCATGGTCCTGGTCACCATGAAAGACCAGCCTGTATATTGTGACCGCCACCTCAAGATCTCCTCAACACGAGAACAGATGATTTGAACGTGAGAGACATGGTCAAATCTGACTTGACGCTCGGTAGCACCAGAATGGTGATCATTTTCATGCTCAGGGAAGTCGGGACCAGTTTGAGCACGAGGGCTTGCAGAGCTTATGTTCTGCGGACGTTTCCGCAGCGTGGGGTTTGTGTTGGAACACTTGCTTCTTCGGTCAAGGGCGCGAAAGGCGGGCTGGGCATCCCATGTCTCAAGTGCGTGAATTCCCAGCATCCCCATGCTCGTGAGACATGCGGCCCTAATCAACAAACTCTTGCGGGCATCTCGATCGCACCATCTGACACCTTCGAAGCAGAATTCTATGCTTTCACATCTCTGAGAAATCAATAGCGATATCCTGCACACCAAATAGGTGATGCACGATCTGTGTTCGCATGTGTCTTTGTACATCCAGGCGTCAACTAATAGTTTACTGAAGTGAAGAATCGTTAGCAGATTCGGTTAGGGTTTCCCCAAAATAACGATAGGTGCTGCGCGTGTGTGGTGAACCTTTCGGTCAATCCTGGTGTCAGGAAGGGCTGTCGTTCATCAAGCGAGGCTGGTCTCAGCTCTCAGCTCTACTTTAAAATACGCGCAGTTCTGCTTCTTTTGCTTTTAGTCGCGTTTGTGCGATATTCGTTCATTCTTGTGCTGTGGAGCGCGAGCGGTCTCGTTGCTTCACTGTGGGCTTCCGGCACGAGCAGAATATCAATCATCCAGCCGATCGTCGACTGCTTCCAAGTTTGGTTCTGGATGCGAGCAACGTTAGCACCTCGCAAGAGCAATCATGCACGCTCCGCTCCTCCCTTCGAGTAACTCAAGTTGCACGCGGCCCGCAGTGACGTGCGCTTCGTGTCTACTTGGGGCTTCCACCAAAACTCTAACCTTTCCGTATAACATCACACAGACAGTCGATGTCACGATCATACCATGCGTGACAGGCCTTCCCAATGGCACCAATGTCACGTATGGGTATGAGACAATCGCTCCACCGGGTCTGCCAACTCATTCCGGCATGCCGACGGTATTTGAAGACAACTCGACCACGATCTGGGTCACTGACGGCGCGACATTGTAAGTCCAGATTCACGGGTAAAGCCTCGCTCTTGTGACTGACTTGAGAGCAGGACGTATCCAACAACTTACGCTTCTTTTGAGAACTTCAGCGGTGTTGCCGCGCCAACTCCAGCCCCTACAGCATGCGTTCAGGCAAAAGATGTCCATCCTATCTTCTTACCAGCTACCACCGACCCAGCATCACTAATATACACTCCAACGGCTGGCACGAATGCGATCAAAGAGCTCCACTTTGGCCACCTGCCGACTCCACTGCTTGCGTATCTTGATAGTCTATCGACAGTCGTCCAACAGCTTGGAGGCAACAGGCCAGGGACCTGCTCATCAACGAGGACAAGCGCTTCATCCGCTTGTAAAACTCCACGGCCCTCCATGCAAAACTTCACGATCCCGGCCAACTTCTCAGAAACAGGGCCACCTCCAGAGAGCCCAGGTCCCATGCTAGGGGCACCAGGTCCTCCAGCTATTCAGAAAATTCCTGCGGTGGTATTGAGACGCACAGCTGGACCAGTCAAGTTCACGCCATACACGGCCCCAGATGCAACGCAGCCCAAGGCCGAAGCTGCTCACCATTCTGAAATGGGAAACCATAATCAGGGTGGCGACAACCACAACGGTGATGGAAGCAGCAGCGAGCAATCGAAACACCCCGATCAGCAACAAGCAGACAGTCAATCGCCTGTCAACCCGAATCCTGAGACGAATCCTGAGATCTCTAGCAACAAAATCTCGTCGGACGGTCAGCTTCACAATGTCAACGGCGGCTCCTCCTCGTCTGGGGGCATGTCGCCTCCATCAGAAGATGTCAGCGGCAGCACATCGTACTCTCCGGGGACAGAAGGCGCAGTTACTTCACCAGGAGGCAGTGACGCTCTCAAACCAGGAGGCACCGAATCTCAAAAATCAGAAGACACCGCATCCCACAAATCAGGAGCCTCAGAAAGCGACGACTATCTTCAATCTGGAGACTCCGGAAGCAACAGACATGCCTCGTCAGAGGCTTCTGGATCTGGTCACGAATCTGGCGCATCATCATCTTCGAACTCTCAGCCTGGACGAATAGAGAATTTACAGGTTGCACAAGAAGGCTCACCTGGTGAAAATGTTTCTCCTACAACATCAGGCAACACGAATGCCGCTTCGGATGGGTCAAGCGACGTTCCACCAGTGTTATCTGGGCAAGGCCCCCACGGCGTTAGCGGTCCTGATCGCTATTCGGCATCGTCACTTGCGCCAAGTGACAACGATCAGTCCGTGGCATCCTCTGCACACAAGGATACTGCGAACTTTGGCTTACCCGGTTCAAGCCCTTTGGCATCTGGAACCTATCCGGCAGCAGAGTCGTCTAGTGGCGAATCATCTGCTTTGAATGCCTCGAACGAGAGTGATACTACAAATAGTGGAAAGTCTCCTGCCGTTAGCTCTCCTGCTACGGCTGGTGAGCCCACAGGCAATTCCAGCTCAACGACCACGAATGTCTCTGCTGCTAGCCGAAGAGGTATATCCGCTGTGGGGGTTATCGTGATCATTGCCGCAATTGCTGCCGCTGCATAGAATTCTACAGAATATAATCAAGCCACAAGTCTTCCACTTCGTCGGTCTCCGTCTTGGGCTGCCATCGACCTACGACTGCGTAATATTCTAATGACATTCGCATATCTGTGGGAAGTCGACAGTTTCTTAGCCGCCATGAAGTCTTGCCGTACGCTCAGCGATGCGCGCAAAGACTCATGCTTAGCTCGCCCGTCGATTTTTCTCTGCTTCCGTTCACCACGGACTGTCTGCTGACCTGATTCCCTGGCCATCTCAGACCTTGGAAGCTTGGCAAGTAGATCTAGACTCCAAACAGCCCAAAACGTCGACTTATTGCAGCCTCCGAAGATATACCAAGGATCCGGCAAAACAGGCTATACCGGCAGCACACAGTAGAGATTCTCCTAGCCTGACCGTTAGAAGGCTGTGCATATAAGTCATATCGTAACGAGGTGCGCGGTCATACCTGTTGCGAACTGAAGACAAGCTTCGAGATCTTTTGAACGACCAACACCAAATCTGACCACCATGCTGTACAAGACAATCCTTCTGACTTCCTTCTACGCCGGCCATGTGTATAGCCAGCTTAGCCAGGTTAGCTCTCGACATTTCCAACCTAAAGAAAATGCTTGCTGAACGATCAAAAGACTGAGGGCGTATGCGATCCCTTCCGCAACGTATGCGATGCCCCTGGTGGCATTCGAGTGAATTGCGATGTAGTAAGCAGACACATTAGCTTTCTCTCAGGGAATTGCTTTCACTAAATTATTTCACAGACTCGCCGATGTGCTAATGTAGGCGAGCGCTGCTTTTTCGGGTTTGGTGAAGATGAATTCGGCAGACTTACCGCATCCTGTTGTGTTCCGCTCCCGGAGGACCCGGCGGAAGTTGGAGCGGCTCCGCCTACTTGTACGGATGCGTAGGATCTGGGCGCAATAGAGGGGATCTGCATGTCGGATACGATGTTGCGGCTGGCTCTGGAGACTGTTATGAAAGTGACTTGCTGTTCTCTATGCTGGCCTGGCGAGGTTGCGCATGTTTCCGAGGGCGCAAGTGGTTGCTGCGTAGTTATAGAGTGAATGACAGCAGTGATGGCTTGATGGAAGGACATTGGGGTGCCCTGACAAATCTTGTGGCGGGCATGGGGTATGCAAGATCTTCTGTTACCTAGCGGCCCTTTTCGACCGTATCTTACCTATATCACTCCGCCCGTTCAAGACAATCCGCCCGTCTTTATGTGTGGTTGATGTCTTCTTCGTGTCACTCTTGCGGTTCTGGCCTCTCACTGTGCTCATTATATCTTCTCCTGATGCAATATTCACAGATCAATCGCATTTCCTTCTTCGTCCCAGCATCTGTGCGGTTCGATCTCGACACCACAGAGGCATGCAAGGCAGGATACATCGTACCTGTCATCGAGATGCCTCGCTAACGAACGGATTTCTTTGACCAGCTTGGATGTGCTCACCATTTGCATGCCTTTGCAATCAATACCTTTTCGTCCTGAGCACGGCTTGAGCTGACTTAGATGCTCGAGACTGAAATTCTTCAGTTTGGAGCCAATCTCACGAGCAGATTGCATTAACAGCTCGTCTACTGGCAAGAGTTTGAGCTCAAAAAGATGGCGAACAAATGCAGGGCCTCGGTTACTGACGTAGGAGCAGCCATTTGGGCACACGCTTGTAGATTTCGTTTCACTTTTGACCTTTTCTTTGAGTGCGCATAAGATCTTGTGCACTTTGTCAACGCGGTGTTCCAGGACGTCGTCTACTTCCTCATCAGTATGGGTCCAAGCACTGCATTATGAACTGTCGACTAACCACACTCGTCTTCGAGGAGCTGTTGGCTGAGCAGAGATGCTCGAGACATCGTTGACGGCACCAGTTCTAGGATAGACCGGCAGGCGCTGCTGAGGTACTTCATGCTTGTACCGTTTTCGTGCAGCCGAGAGGCGATGTGAAGGAGGCTCTTCAGTCTCGCATCGTCATATGGCAGGTCCAGCGCTGTCTTTGCTGCGTTCTCAAGGGTCCAGCAGATTTGGCTGCAGACTGTGTACTTTGCACGCCCAGAGATCTCGTAGGTTCCAACGACGTCCAGCATTGCCGACATCCCCGTCAGAGAGAAGTCTTGACGCCAGTAGAATTCGCGGTGCATGGCCCAACACAGATTCACCCACACTGCCGGTTGGCATGTCGCAACGCTTATTTCCAGCTCTTCAACGCAACGTGGTGAGCTCTGCAATTTCGTGCGCAGATCGACGGTCTCGCTTGGATATGGCAGCAGACGAGCGTGACGGATACTCTGCTGTATGTCCTCGTCGTAGGAATTGGCTGTCATGCGTTTCTGTAGCGTCTCTTGGAAGATCGGAAATGCCAGTGCCATGACAATGGGGCATATGAAGACTCGGATGCTGAAAATGTTTAGCTGCCAAACTCCTGAAGTTTTCATTTGGCACACCTGTGGCCGGTGAGTTCGTTCTCACACGAGAGCACAAATTGACTGTCCGGCACGATCTGAACGTCGCCATCTTCGGAGGCCATGTCCGCGATCTCGCTGTTGGTCGAAGTCGATGTGCTGTGCAGCTTACTTTGTCCGTCGAAGCTTTGAGAAGCACTCGAGCTCTGCTCCAGCGGTCTGTGCGCGCGTCACATCGAGCAAACATACACGCGAAGACGCGCCGCGCAGAGCCTTCGATTTGACTGACGACACGGTTTGCACCGAGCATTTGTCGCTCTACCTGTACCTCGAACTTCTTCTCCCAGGCGAACTGACTTCTTCCAGATCCCTCTCTCGCCTTCCTCTCGACATAGAAGGCATGCGACTCCCATCTCTCTGGCGCTCCTCGACTCTCTCTTCAAACACGACCCTCTCCCGCGGACTTCTCACAGGCGATATCGCCCGACTGCCTCCCCCTCTCGGACTCCTCGCAGGTGATATCACGCGACTGCCAGTCCTTCTCGAACTCTTCCTCCTCCCCTGCTTCACCGCGCTCGGCCGCATAACATACTCTTCCGTCTCACGATCATATCCAAGAATTTCTGTCTCCAACTGCCAAAGTGGTGCTTCAGGCAAGACTTTCACAAAGCCATCTGCAGGTCGATCTCGTGCTTTCCAAAAGATATTAGGGCGCTTTGCAGCGCCATCCTCGGGCGACTCAATTACGAGCTTCCAATCTTGCATTGCTCTGCAGTCGTAATCTCCTCTGTCGTTCAGTCCTGGTCCTCGCAACTTGTATCTCGCGCGCACAGAAGGATGAATGTATTCGTGGGTCTCCATAAGGGGGTCGTCTGTCTGACGACCATTTGTTGGATCAACAGCAGTATAGCGTCCAGGCGTTCTGATTTTGCTTCCGCCAAGCGCATAGACTCCTTCCATGCCACTGAAGATTTTTCCAAAGCTCCACCTTCGCGATTTTTGATCAGTTTTCTCGTAGTAGTCCTCCACATCCTCGTACTGTTCGTGTACGTAATCGAGATCGAAGTCTAGGAAAGGTTGGCACTGTGCCATCATCCAGGCCAAGCTGATAGTGGCGATCTGCTGATCATCATAGCCTCCGCCGACATTGCTATGCGCTCCCGGAAACCATACTTGGCGCAATACAGTGGTGTTGTCTTCGAACTTCTCCCATAACGTCGGCGGGAAGGCGAATCGTCTTTCGTCCAGTGCCAAGGCCTGGAAAGCATACTCGATATGGTTGCCAAGAGATGTATCGTAGAATGACAACTCTTTCATCGTAGCAGATTGCAGACCCAGCCGAGTAAGCCATCCTATCTTTGGCGTTCCTAGACTTCCTACGGTATCCCACACGCCTATTACTCGAACGGGGACTTCGGGATTCGTCAAGCGCCGCCGGGCCAATTCCTCCCTGTACTCCGGACTTGAAGCAGGCGGCTTGTTGGGAAATGGGAGATCTGGGTGCTTCGGCACGTAGTCCGGATCATGTTGGTGTTGGGTATCCCGGAAAATCTCAGCAAGATAAGGCAAGCCATCCTTTGTCAGCACTCCCACGTCGCCAATAAGACCTGCTATGCTGCGGGCACTGAATGCGCCTCGAGAAAACCCAAAGATAAAAATCTCATCTCCAGGCTGGTAGTTATTGGCGATGAAAGTATACCCTTCGCGGACAATCTGTGCTAGACCTTCACCAGAAATGCCAAGAAGCTTATTCGTGATACCGCCACCTGCCCCAACTCCCCAATGGTAATATACAATCTGCTGTATACCATCCGAGCTGACGGGTTTGATAGCTCTGGAGATGCGGGTGATGTTGCTGGGGATAGCGAGACTGTTCTTGAGGCTGTCGCTACTAGAGTTCAACCATGTCCCTGCAGCATGCTCGTCAGCTTCCTTCAAGTCCTTGTGTCACCTCGGATCCCAAAAAACTTGATGACCGACCGTCTTCGCATAATACAATCCTCTTCCCTGGTCGGATATCGCGCACGCGACTTAATGCGCGAGAGTTGCTTCGCCGCTGCTCACTCGCCATTGGCTCAGCCGCCGACGGTCTCGATAAGTTGGCCAGCTAACGCCACGATCAAGCTCCAGTTGCGGTTGTTGTCTCGTCGCATGGTATGTCTGTCTTACAATGCACAAGTGTCTGCTACAGTCTTGCGTCGGGTCGCGATGTATTGATTTTTTTCCCCGGAACGATGATCAGGTTGGGCAGCAGTCGTAAATTCAGCCACAAATTGACAGGTGGCTGGGACGGGCTGCTAAGCAACGTTACCAAATTGCGAGTCGACAACGAGTGGCTCACTCGTGTCAAGAAGAGCCTGAGGCCGGTCTATGCAAGGCGCTTAAGGTCTTCTTGAAACTGTTCGTTTTTCCACATGACGACGCCTGGCCTTGGACCTGCACAAGTGGCCCGCCCGGTTACTCGCAATGCCAAGACGGATAAAAGTTGACATCGTCGGATAGTCGGAGAGCGCGTTGGACTCCAGCTTTGTCGCGTACTTCTGGATTGCCAGCAACTTGCCCTTGAGTGACTATCAGCCACCTGCCATTTGGGCCCATCTGAATACCGTTTCGGCGTCGCGTACGGACTGCGATCTGAACGCGCACTAACAACTCCGCCCAGACGCCGTGAGGCTGCAACTATCCACCATACAGTAAACCTATAGCACCCACGACCGCGATTAGGCACTGCCCAGCATGCCGCCTTTTCGCGATGATCAGATCTTTGTATGTTGTTGAGCAGCCACAGTCTGTTGCAATGGCACTAACACCGCGTCTCAGATCATCGCGCCGGGCTCGCAAACCACGCTGGCGCAATTAGGCCTGCCCGAATCTTTCACACCAGCACGATACCGACTTCGATCGCGAATGTTTCCTGGCGAGCAAAAGGGAGAATACGAGCCGATCAAGATTCGGAAGAAGGAGAAGGTTGTATCATCAACTGAGAATGGCACCGAAAACGGCACGACAAATGGCGAAACGAAGACAGACGAGGCCGAGTGGGAAGAGGATCGCATATCAGAGGAGGGTGCAGTATGGCCCATTCAGAACGGCAGCATTGTGGACTGGCCCTGTTTCTATGCGCTGCTGGAGCATGTCTACAATACCGTCAACCCGCCTTTTCACACGCCCATCCTTCTGATAGCAGAACCGTGCTGGACTCACAAGGAGTACGAAAAGGTCGCGCAATTCGTCTTTGAGAAGTTCAAGACGCCTGCTCTGGCTATGATGGATTCTGCGGTGGCCACGACGTATGCTTACGGTATTCCAACTGCCACAGTGGTAGATGTGGGTCTGAACAAGGCAGATGTCAGCTGTGTGGTCGATTTCGTGCTCCAGGATGTCGGGCGTGGAATCGCTGTTCCGGATTGCGGAGGAAATGCAATGACGGATCGCTTGGTGGAGCTTCTGGCAGGGAGAAAAGGCTTCAATCGAGACGTCTGCGAACAGTTGAAGCGAAGTCCGATCTGCGAGATTCTGGGAGCAGATGTGGAACTGCCAGATGCGGAAGCTGGAGCTGAAAATCCTGCGGCCGCGGCGTCAACAGGCGCTGGTGGTGCTGCGCCTGGGCAGCGGAAACAGTCAATAGCGGGCGAACTTCCACTAGGGCCGGGACCTGGCACTCAAGTCGGTGAGGAGAAGAAACTTGAGGATGAAGAAGGTGTACTGGATGTCGCAAGCATTGTCACGAGCGGCAATATGGCCGAATACTTGGCACAAAAAGAACGTGAGAAGCAGGAGAAAGCGGCAGCCAAGCAGCGAAAGCCGAGTGAAGGGCAAGCACAACAGCAACAGAACAAGCCTGCGAGGTTACCCAACTCTAAGCGAGCGCGAAACACTTTCGTCTATGAAGACTTTGCGCTTCACGATGCGATGAAGAAGGCAGGCAAGAGCGCACAGGAGCTGGTAGACATGCAGACTGCGCTAGACGGATCAAGCAAGAAACAAAAGACACCAGAGCCACAATCGGCAACGTCGGATAAGCCTGCAGATGCCTCGTTCGAACAGCAAGACGGTACGACGGAGAATGCGCCTACTGGAGGACTTCGACGGGAGATCGAGGTTGGAGCCGAGCGCTTTCAAGCAGCGACAGGCGGTATCCTCGAACGACTTGCCGATGCCATCCATCGAACAATACTGTCATGTGGCGAGATCGGGAAGCGTAGCGAGCTGTGGGACTCCCTCATTATCCTCGGCAATGGAGCGAAGGTACGAGGCTTTAAGGAGGCCTTGGTCGCAACGCTGCAAGCCAAGTACATCATCTCGCCTTCATCAGCAACAATTTTCACATCAGAGCTACCCTCAAATTTCTCGACACCGATCGCCACGGGCGCGAATACACCACAACCCGGCCAGCAGCCTCAGCATGGTGGAGTCAACCCTCTCCTGCATGCTGCCTTGACAGCACAGAATCCACAACTTCATCCCTCGCAATCCATGGGCCACTCACCTGTACCGCACGGAATGCATTCAAGTGGGCACGGGCAGACGCCGACCAGCATCAAGATCGCCAAGATCCCTGAATACTTTCCTGAGTGGAAGGAGGTCGGGTATGAGGAAGCGACTTTCCTTGGTGCACAAGTTGCGGGCAAGCTGCTGTTCATTGTCGATGGAGGGTCGAGCAAGGGGTATATGACGAGGACGGATTATAACGATCAAGGACCGAGCGGGATACACGATGTACGAATGTGAGAGGGCGATGATGAGAATCCTACAGTGCGATAGGCACTGCCAAAAGTAAGAGGTGGTACTTTTTCTTGCATGCGGAGACGAATGCTGCAAGCTATGAAAGAATAGAGAAAAAGAACTTTTGCAGGCTCGATTCGTGACTGGCTTGCGAGCGCCAATGTCGAAGACTGCCGACCGCTTGCGTTTCTCATTGCCTGTTCTTACGACAACCCGCCGCCGCCCGTGCCTTCAGTCGCATGTGCTCCGTCGCACAGCGCCATCTCCTTATTGCACCTCAAGCGCTTAAGACCTCTCACATTACGACGCACGACTCGCCCTTCTTGCTGCTCTTCTTCTTGTTTCCGCCCTTCCACCCACCGTTCATTTCCGTCAACGCTCCCTTCTTCTCGACCATGACATAATCCTCTTCGTCGGACTCCTCCACAGGATCTTCCCCTTTGTGCCAGCCAGCGACACGTAGTACTTCATAATGTTGAGTCTGAAATCATTCGAGTCAGCTAAGAACCAAGACAGAAGGACTAGATACAACTTACTCTCTCCTGCCAGCTCTCGACAGGCGTTGGTCAACCTCAGACTCCCTCAAGACCTCACCGCACTGCATGCAGTCGACCTTGAAGACTCGAGTCTCGTGAAGCGTCTCGAGGGCATGTCTGTCGAAGCACGCGGCACAGATCTCGTTGCTGTGGTCGGCGCAGCCTCCGCGGAAGTGGTGTGGTGGCGCGAAGGTGTTGCACTGCTTGCAGATCGCCATGTTTGGCGATGACGTGTTTGACCCTTTGTTGTAAGTTTTGAGTATTGGGTATATGATGTCTGCTCGTGAGGGGGAGCGTGCTTTTGTAGCAAAGAAGAAGGTGAAGGAGTAGACGGAAAATTCAGACTAGCGCAACGCACGGACCTCGAGTGAATGGAAGTGGATTCGACATGTGCTGTGAGAATCAGATGTACACATGAGTACAGTGTCGCTGTTGAGATATACAGGCAAGAAGCATGATATATTGGTTGTAGAACTTCCCTATCGCTTCCGTGCTCGCAACATTCTTATGCAGTTGAAGGTTAGCAAACACCGGAATCATAGTAATCAAAGAAAGGTCTTGATTGGCAATCTTGAAAGGACTCCTGGCGCGCTACGGTTCTTAATTCCCTTTTGTCTCTCTGGAAGAAACCAGTTGCGGTCATGCTTAGTGTCTTCATTTCGCATGCCTCAGTGCTTAAGGCGAAGGCCGAGTTGCCCGCTCGAAACGATATACCAAGCCTTGTAGCCAAGCGATTAACCAGCTCCCTTTCTCATTTGAATTGAAGCTTGCCGCGCTACGGCCTGACTTTTCTTTCGTCTCTAAAGAGACCAGTTGCGGCCATGCTTAGTGTTCCGATGCCGCATGCCTCAGTGCTGAAGGCGAAGGCCGAGTTGCCTGCCCGAAACAATATACCAAGCCTGGTGATCAAGCCATGAACCAACTGTACCTCCTCTGCACTGGATATCTGTCACATCGCGCAGCATGCCTTACTCCGCTTCTTCTCGCTGCAGTCGCGGCCGTCCATGTCCAACAGTGCGTATTCCTTCTTCACCATGACAAAGTCCTCAGTCAGATCCTCCAAGGTCTTTTCAGCCCCAGGTGGCGGCCACTTCTTCGTTGGATGACTCCTCAGCCTCTCGCAGCAGGCTCTTCTTCAGCTCTTCATACCTAATACCATATCAGCGGTATCTCCAACTCGATGAGATTCCATCGCATTGCTACAGCCCGATACACGTCTCTACTTATGGCAGTTGGTGGTTCTTATTATGCTCATACGCTCATGGCCAACGTTTAATGACCTGCTACAGAGTTCTCTCCTATCGAACTCTGCTGGAAGTGCCCATCTGCGGCCATGATATGGCCATATGTACTGCTGCAATTTTTCATGTTTCATACCTCATGATGAAGGCCGTGCTACTCATTCGAAGATCCCAAGTACCCTTCAGCACCCCGATTATGCTTCTCGTACTTCTTGTTCCCTCACATTACGCATCATGCCTTGCTGTGCTTCTTGCCACCCTGAGTGCCGTCGTTCATCTCCGTAGGTGGATCCTCCTTCTCAACCACACCAAATTGCTCCTCGCCAGATTCCTCCACAGACTCCTCCTTCTTGGTGGCAGTCACTCCTTTCTCAGCTTGCTCGGCGGCTTCTTGCAGAATGCTCTGTTTTAGATCCCAGTACCTGGAAGCTTGTTAGCAGTTGTGACAGACTTGCAGATATCGATCGCCTCGATTCGACTCGACTTACTCTCGATAGGCTCCGTGTGACATGCCGTACACGATCTCGGTGTCACTGAGGGTACTGCCACATTTGCATGTAATTTTAGTGGCTCGAGTTCGCTCGACTGTATCCAGCACATGCTTGTCGAAGCAGCTGTGGCAGAGTTCGCTGGCGTGCTTTGCACAGATTCCGATGTAGACTATACGTGTTGGGTTCCGGCGACAGACTTTGCACTGACTCATGGCTGCGATCCGATTGTTAATGAAGCTGTCTTGGAAATTGGTGCAGTTGATAGAGTTGATGAAGTTAATGGAGTTGATGTAGTTGATGGTAAATTTGGTGACGAATAATATGACACTGTTGTGACTAAGAAGAAAGTGAAGAGAGAATACGTACACGCGCGGGATGAAATCCTCACTTAGCGCGACGCACGTGCCCCTGGGAAGAAGGGAACATACTGAGTATAGAAACACAGATGTGAGTATAGTGTCTGCAGTACAACTGTGGCCCGTAAGCGATGCTGTGAAGACATATATCTCTACCTTCGCCGCTTGCTGCATTGTTTGAACCCTGAGCCTCAGCAAACAACGATCTTGCTGGTAAGGTATAGCATTTCTTCGCAGCATTTCGTTGATTGCTGTACAATTTCATACATCTAACCCTTGTCTCTCGCGACCATACAGCGACGGTGGGTTCTACGAGCAGAGAAAAGGAGCTGCGAACTTCTGGAATACCGCATTTAGATCTTGAAGCCATGGACGGCTAGAACGGCGGACACTGTGCTTCCATTGAACGCCAAATCTAGGCTGGTATAACATCTCTTGTGTACTGCTAGAGAACGGTAGGCGTGGCAGCACTTTATCGCCATTGCAGACACGTCGCTCTCCCTCTCCCGGAACCAATCTTCCTTTGTTTGTCGCTCCTGAACGTGCCCTAATCTCTTGATGCCTCTCACATCACCACACAAGCCTGACCGTCTCTGACTTTCTGTCCGCCATTCTCGTCGCGATAGCCGAATTCCATGACATCGCACCTGTCCACAACCACAAAATCCTCCAGCTCCTGGTCCTGCGCAACAGCAACCTCGATTGACTTCTGCTGTTCCTTTTCAAGTTTCCGCTGTTGCTTCATTCGCTCTACTCCCAGAAAGTATTTCGCAATCACGTAGCTGTGGAAAAGTCAGTAGCAGTCTTGGACCGGGCAAATTTGACTCGACCTACTCTGAAGAGACTTTTGCCGACATGCGGTTTTCGAACTCCACATTGCTGAGCTTTTCGCCGCATTGTGTGCAGATAACGGCCGAGACTCGAGGCTTGCCCATCTTCTCAAGAGCCAGCTTGTCGTAGCACTTAATGCAAACTTCGTTCTCGTGGGTTGCACACCTGCCCCGAAAGCAGTGTGGTGGAGCGTATGTGTTGCATTCTTTGCAAACCGTCATCGCTGCGAAGTATCTGCGGCTGAAACTGATGATGGAAATGCCGTTTGTTCCGTGACGGCTTTTTGAAGGTGATGAACAGGAGTTGTGTAGCTTTGGAGCCAGGGAGAGTACAAAGGCGAAAACTCGGACTAGCGTAGTGCACGGACCAGAAGTGAACAGAGCGCGCTTGGGCAAAGCTTGACAAGAAGGCAGGACAATTGGAGTATAGCGAAATAAGTGTGAATATAATCTTTACCATACGAATTCGCATGTCGTGGACACCGTGAAGGAATCATTAATCTTTCGGCGCTTGCTGTATTGTTTGGGTCGTCCGATTCGAGCAAACAAATCTGCTTCCGACAAGGCAAGAATCTCTCTGGCGTCGCTGGCTGTATCTGTATGGCCCACGAATGTACCTCTCGATTCCACTACTTCCCTAGAAGCCACAAATAGCGTGTTGGTAAAGGGTCAACCTTGCGTGACTTCAATTCAGGCCTTTCACATCACCGCGCAGGCCTGACCCGCAGTCCACTTCTTCCTAGCCTCCCCATTGCAGACCTCCTCCGTCGAAAAATCGCTCTCCTTCACCAGCACAAATTTGTCCTTGCTCTCGCCATTGCTGTCACCATCCGCATGTTCGCAAGCTACACCCTGACCCCTGATTCGGGCCACAGCCATTTCATATTTCGCGCCGATGTACCTGCGACAAAAGTTAACTGCAGAATCGAGCGTCCTTCTTCCAGTTTCGAACTGACTCTAGCAGATACTTGCTCGACAGACGTTTCTCGAGCTCAATCTCGTTGATGTGGTTGCCACACTGCGTACAGTACACCTTCGGGGCATGTCCCTGTTGACTCAATCTGTTCGAGGCGATCTTGTCCCAGCAGATGTCGCAGACATCGTTCTTGTGCGTCGGACAGCTGCCGCGGAAGCAATGCGGTGCTGAGAATTGGTAGCAACCCTGGCAGAAGCGCATATTTGCGAAATCTTTGCTGTACTGGAAGTTTTACTGTTGGACTAGCTCTGCAGGCCTGGGAAGAACAAGTTCTGGAGCTTAGAAGAAAGTGAACAGAAGGTCGAAGTCTAGACTAGGGCACGCACGTGCCAGCGAAGTGAACAGGCGATTACTGCGGACTCGATGTTTGTTCCACCTCGTAGAGCGTTGGTTGTCAAGGGATTGCGAGCTCTGTCATTGTGTGCCGTTAAGCTGTCGAAGGCTTATTGGATTTTGTTGGCAACTCCTTTCGCGAATTCTGACATTGTGTGCCCATCGTTATCGAATGTTTCGTGTGCTGCTATCACACGCCCATTACTCCACGTCACGTTTCTCGATGTCTTTCACATCATTGAACATGCCTGTTCCTTCGCCCCAAGTTGTCTGCTTTGCGTTTGCTGAATCTTTTGCATTGGTACATCGTCCTTCTCTACCATGACAAAGTCGTTGATGTCTTCCTCGTACTCATCCTCCACATCCTTCTCTGCAACCTTGTGTTCTCTCATTTTTGCCAGGGCTATCACGTGTCTCGCAACAGTGTACCTATCATATATCAGCCACACACTCGACCAACGATTGTCAAGTTGACTTACTCGTAGCACACCTTGGTGGAAAGCCGCTCCTCGAATTCAGTTTCATCGATTGTGTCACCACATTGGATGCATTCGATCTCTTCGGCTCGACTCAGGTACATGTTCCTCTGCGCGACTATGTCCCAGCAGTGGCTACACACCTCGTTATAGTGTGTCGGGCAGCCGCCACGGAAGTTGTGCGGTAGTAGGTTCTTGAAGCACGCCTTGCATATCATATTTGCGAAATTTATGCGGTGCGTTTGTGATAAGGAGTATGTTGTTGATACAGTCGTGGCTTCTTAAAGAAGACGCTTTTGTAGCCAAGGAGAAAGTGAATGATGCGCTGAGTCGGTGTTAGCGTAAGCACATGCCAGCTGGGCGAACTAACAGTCTTCACAGCAGACTCGAGGATTGTCCAACTGTTTGTCCAGTATGCTATGCCTGCAAAATGCTGCATATATTTTGCGGGAGTCTTTGCATTGCATATATCTCACCACCTGATGTCAAGCTTACTGCTGCCAAGCTTCGATGGCAACCCTCTAATCGCGAAAGGAGACAAAATTAGTGTGCATGAGGCATTGACAAGCGTGAAGAGCTACCAACAAGGTAGACTAGTGCAATATTCTGCATAGTACATATAGGGAAAGACGGGCATGAGTGGTGTCTCCACCATGTGAGAAAGACATACATATATGAAACATGCTTTTGAAGTTTCACTGCTTGCCACCTTGCAAACTCCCATCGAAGCCAGCAAACCCAGCAAGATCCAACGATATCGTATTCTGGTTAAGCAGAGTTCGATTGCTTGCGACAATAGTTGGCACAGGATGGTCGCTGGCTTTGCAACTAGCCACAAGTTCCATAGACATCCCAAAGGTCACGACTTCAATGGTAGTGGCATGCGGAAAGTGGTAGCTCCAATGCAACAACTCCAATGCAACAAAGCTGCCTTGTTGTTTGCGTGTGCAAGACTGGAGATCGGTGTGAGAAAGTTGAAGGCTTTATTCAAGCATGGAGCTAGTGTTGCCGTACAGGCTGACGTCCTGCGTCTTACAACATGTCCATTTCTTGGAACTCCGACTCGCACCACATGATCCATAACGCCATGCGAATCGCGTGCACCCGTAGCGTCCAGTCATAACCCGTTTGCGTTTGCCCGCAAGACTCTATGCACCTGCACCTGCGGCTTGGTTCTTGAGCTTCTGGGCCTCAACATGAGGTCTCCACTTGGCGATATCGGCCTTCGCTGCCTTCATGAACTTGGCCTCGTCGGCTGGAACCTTAGGCTTGCCCTTGATCTTGTTCACAATGGCTTTGGCACCCTTGGCAACGGCGCTGAAGATGCTTCGCTGTTGAAGCGAGTAGTTAGGCCTGAGAGAGAAATCGGCATAGTGATCGCCGAGAGCTGGGAGTCCGGCGACTGGGCTGCGGATGGAGTTCTCGGTATTATACTGCTCATGTCAGCTGCTATTCATCCATGCGAGGTGCATGAGGGCTTACTGGGTTTCCTTCGACTGGGAAAGCGAATACACCCTGCCAGAAGAGGGCAAGGACTGTGAGGAGACAAAGTGCGACGCGCATGGTTGCTGTGTTGATGGAACCTGACGGACAAGTAGAATTGAAAAGAATTGGTGCTGGCCGAGTCCTGCTCCAGGCTTCTTGTTGATCAGAATGTTGATGTGGTCTTGAGATTCTGACTGACAATGCGGTCGTTGCCAGTGCATTATATGCTGATGATAAGGATCCTCGTTCCCTGCCTTCGGAGGAACAGACTTGTGCACGAGTCAGCATCGTATGGCCGCGGTAAATTCATGCTTGTCAAATCTGAGTGCCGTTTCGGGGCATGAAAATGTTTCAAAATTGGGTCTCTGCCACAAAAGGGTATGCAGTGTCGGTAGAAAAGGGAAAATCGGACGTGTGCGTAGCCTGATGCTATGTTCACAGTAGACATGGTCCGGCAATGCAAGCAGAATCTCTTGACAATCGTCAAGGCTAGCCCATAGCCACCGCCATGTCGCACAATGTGACGGCTCAACACAACAGCCTTCGTCTCACTTCGAGTACGATATGTCCGGTATGCTATCGTTTCAGTGTTTCTTTAGATCAGGAAGGAGTCGTCATGTGTATTTCTGTGTACGTTCGACGCCTGCTATTCGACATGCAATTGTAGGGACAATGTTTCTGATCGGTGCTAGTACGGTTTTGCCGGGCTATTGAATGCCTGTAGAGCTTAGTAATCATCAACCAGTGCCACAAGGCTGCAGCATAGAGCATAGCAACCATCAAAGTCTTCGGCCATTTGTTGCGGGTCTGCCATAGCTTTGTGCCGACTATGTTGTTAGTCATGGAGCACCAGACGTGCTGCTTCCGGGCACTCGGAGCCTATTCGGTGGTCTGAGGTAGGGGCGGGATCGCATCCAGGGTTTCTGTGCAAGATGCAGTTCGTCTAAAGCTGGAACCGGATATTCTTTCGGAGTTTTGACAATACCAGCACGCGACATAGCAAATGACCGATTTGAAAAACAACACCCTTGGCTTGGCTTGGCTTTTCACCCTCACCGCAATGACTCTATGCTTGTCTTGACGTTGTGTCTTCGACCAAAAGTGACAAGCCTGAGCAGCTGTAAGGATGCCACTGTTCGGCGAATTTCCACCCAGCGATGTTGCGGATGAACCGGTTGTACTGAGGGTCGCGCTGATCTGCTAGCTTGTGGGCGAACGTTGGATGAACCGCTGGTCCTGATCTTGTCCTCGCACGCTGCACATTTTTGTGTTGCTGTTGCGGTCGCCCGCTCATGGTACTGTAATGAAGATAGCGGAAAGATGAGATGGAGGAAGTGAGGTCGTGGTCGCTCTTACTAAGACGACTCCCGGGCCGGTGTCTCTCCACTTCATCCGACTTCAACGACCAGCCAACAGCCAAGCCACCAGGTTTCACATTTCTTGCATCAGCCACCTTTGTGCTATGTAGGCTCGACATCTTTGCCACTTGATTGTTATCTGCTCTACGTGGAGTAATGGCGCTCTGCGCGCAATCTTGACAAGCAGATCTTGGCCATGGTCCACGAGATCACCCGCAATCCCTGCATTTGACCTTAGTCGAGTCTCCACAGTATGGACTCGCCGGAGAATTGCATATGCCGTACAACTTGTTCATTCCGGCTGCGAAAATAGGGACGAGGGCAACAGATTTCCAGCCTTAGGATCTTGCGATGTGCATTCGTTGCTCAAGCATGGTGCAAGGAACGGACCAAAATCTAGCTCTCATCGTACACGATGAAGCATATTCACAAGGCTTCCACATGCGAACGAGTGCTCCTGGAAGTTGATTTGTCCCGGTATGGAGAGCACGAAAGCTGAATCCTGTAGTCAGATGTCTATAGTCATTGGATCATGTGCAGCTCGAGTGTAAGCTCATACGATGGGGAAGAAATCTACTAAGGCAGAAAAGGGTGTTCCAAAAGTATGCAAGACGACAGTAGTATTGCAATGCAGCATTGAGTATAGGGGGCTTAAGACTCCGCATCGGCGCAATCAGTGATAGCAGTCTTCCATGCCTGCTCGAGAGCTCTTCTCCCAACCCGGCCACAAGCTCGCGGCGCCAACAAAGCGATGGGGCAGATCCAAGATCTTCAATCCAGCTGTTCAGAGGTTCAAATCTCCACCTCCTCGATATCGACCATGGTCCATTCCTCCTCAGCCTCGGCGTCCTTCTTGTCAACACAAATGAACCCGGCATCTTCTTCCGCTTCCTTCTCCTCTTCAGCATCCTCGTCGGCCTTTTTCTCACCCTCGTCTCCCTCGCGTCTCTTGTCGGCGGCCTCTTCCAACTTGAAGGCAGCCAATACGGCGTCCTGAACATCTTTCTCCTTCGTTTGCTTAACCTCCAGATACCTGTCTCCTCGTCAGCAAGCCCTTGGAAACAAACGCTTGTCTGACTCGAAGCAGCCTCGACACTTACCTCTCCCAAAGCTCTTCGCCAGCCCTGAGCCGGATCTCCTTGTTTCCCAGAACTCTCTCGCAGAAGCACTTGATCATTCCGTGATCCTCAATCTTCATGCCGATATGTTTCTTCCAGCAGTGGTTGCAGACCTCTCTCTTGTGAAGAGGACAAAGGACGCCGCGGAAGTCTTCAGCCGGTGCCGGGTGATGCAGCGCGTAGCGAGGCATCTTGAGTCTGTGCGATGAAGATGATAACCTGGACTGCTTTCGTGCTCAATGCAGAGATTTCTAGGAAATGTTTGCGTGAAGAGATCGTGTTGGTTCCAACGAGCCAGAAGGACTCCAATAGCGAAAAGCGCAGCTAGCGTCAAGCTTGGGCCAGGAAGTGAATGGGCCATGGTGAAAAGCTCCCTGCACCATCCTAGAGACGAAGGTCAGACATCGCTCAAATCTGTGAGGTGTTTTGAGGGAGGACAATTTCTTACTTGTCGTACTTGCGCGTTCGAACATTGCAGGACTGTAGGTTATTCGCGCCCTGCCCTCGATCCTTGACGAAGGGTAAGTGATAATAATGCCAACTTCAACCGCAGCAGCAGTGTCGTTCCACTTCTTGGGAGCGACAGACTGGCTCTGATTTCAACGCTCAGAGCCAGAAGTATGCCATATTTCTCGGCTTGCGTGATGAATGATCCGCGAGCCTTTGACGCTGTGCGATGCTCGCCGAGCAGAAATTCTTGAAGAAAGCTCCTCGTCTCTCCGCTCGTTCGCGTACAAAATAGTGCTATCGTCCCAGTCAAGCACCCTTCCTGCGTTATCCAAAGTCAGAGAAGGCCGCGCGCAGAAACGAGGCACTCCTAATAAGACCTTGATCAACGGATCTCCAGAGGCGAGGCGTAGACTGATGGTTCGGTGTTGACGGAAAGCAGTGACGCTGGGAAGTGTCGAGGTTACAGTGTCGACTCGGATACCAGGCACGACTCGCCCGACACAGCTGCGTTCGTGCTGCCGCTGTCCGGGACCAACATGCTTCCAGTCTGCTCGGCGGAGAGTGAGATGCTAGGGTCGAAGAGTGCAACGCGATTCGGGATCTGCAAAGAAAGTCAGCGCTGATGGCAATCTCCAGAATCTCTGTGCTTAAGCTTACCATCTTCAACATCGGACCCAGAGTGACGTAGAGTATATAAAAGTTGTGGTAATGCGTATATACGAAAATGAAAGAAGTCGATTGAGTTGATGGTTTCGAGAAGAAGAGAGCTCGTCAACATAAATAATTCTTCAAAGCAGGCCATGGCGAAGAGAAGGCGTTTGAGCTCCCCGGCAGGATGCGTTTGAGTAGCAAACATCTAGCTGAGCAAAGGCAACTTTTGCCTTGATTCGTTGAGGTGGTGTCGGATAGTTGCATGAACGGTAACGAGGGTGATGTCAGTTGGTCACAGATAATCAAAGAAGCTGTCGTAGATTTGTTGTATGTCTGCTTTCCGTCTGCTTCCTGCTTGTATCCGAGCCATGCCATGGCTTGGTCAAATATTGGAGCGAAGACCGAATTGCACACAGACAGGGTGAGCTCGGAGTCGAATTTCTTTTACCATCATCAGCAAAGATGCCATGTATACCAGATGCGATTGGAAAGAATTGCATACCCACAACCCTCCTCCCTCAAGCAGGAGAAACCACCCCACTAGCTCCACCCGCAAGATGATTCTGAAACGAAGTCCCCCTCCTCACCAATACCCCAGCACCCGTCTTCCCCTCTCCCTCTCCCACAACTTTCCTCCTAACCCTCCACAAGCTCTGCACCTTCCTCACCCCCTCCACAAACCTCTTCTTCTTCTTCAAACTCTCCTCATCAATCCCCCAAGCAATTTTAATCCCCTCGCTCCACTCCTTATCACCTCGAATCTCCCCTCCGACCCAACACTGCTTGCTCGGGTCAGGCAATTCTTTCCACTTCTCAAGATCGAAAGCCGGGATGACGAGATGTGTATGTTTGGGAGAACAGACGGTGGTGTTAAGTTCGCCGGCGAGGAGTTTTTTGTAGCAACCTTCTTCGAGTTGTACGTCGAGACAGTCTTTGCAGGAGTAGATTGTGCGGTCGATGTAGGTCCATTTTTTGTCGCAGTCGCCGTCGCAGGAACTGGTGAGGAAGCCTTCGAGTTTTTGGGGCTTTGGAGTGGCGGGTTTCGCGGGCTCGGGGTCGTCAGCTGGGTTCTCTGGTGTAGCCGGTTTTCGTTGATCAAGGCTTTGCTCATCGGTGTCTTCGCGTTCTGCTCCAGCGACAGCTTGTTCTTCCACTGCTTCACGAGCAGGTTCTCGAGATACCGCTGTTGTACCTTCACTCTTGGACTTCACCTCTGCGAGCTCTTTCATAGCCTCCTCGTCATCCACATAATTGAGCACGAACTCGCCGTCATCGTTCATGCGTGTCGGCCAAAACAGAGACCAAGCCGCAGTAGCATTGACATCATCATCCACAGCCTGCAAAGTGACCGCAAGCCTGTACACTCCATTCTTGAAATTGTCCATCGTCCTCATCCATTCCATGCCATGCTGCAAATACTCGCGAACGGCGTCTTTCGCCCGTTTTTCATCGCCAGCCAAGTGCCAAAATCTCGCCAATGTCAAATGGGGATCCTGATAATCCTGTTGCGACCTCAATTGCGTCAGCTTCTCCAAACGAGCAGCATATCGTGCTGCTTCAGGAGACAGTGGTAAGCTCAATCCATTTTCCTTAGCCATGTCCAGAAGATCGACAGCGAGCCTAACGGTATGCAAAGCCATGACCTCCTCGACGTTGTAGTTGTCCTTGAGCTCTTCAGACAAAGGTCTGTAAAGGTTCTCCTCCAGCTCTTCCAGAGCACGAAGTCTGTTCTCTGGGGTAGCAGTGGCTCGTAGAACGCAGGAATGGCAGAAGCCAAGATAGAGGTGAATGACCCACTCGACATCTCCCTCAGGCTCGCTGGCATGCACTTCAAGTGCTTTTCTGTAACGCTCCTCGAGAAACTCGAGCTGTCCAAGACGTCTTGCGGAATCCCATATAGGTTCGTGCAGTTCGCCGTGCGGTGAGTAGAAGTACATGGCTGCCGTTAGCCATGATCCTCCTTCCTTTTTGTGTGCTTGGGCGTCGAGATCTCGGAGGAACTGCAGCACATCTTCATGTTTATGCTGCAATCGGAGGATGTTGATCATGTGCACAAGTGACTCCTGGAATAGGCCGTCGATGTCAGGCCTCTTCATGGCCTCTTTTAGAAGGTCTGAATAGGTGGTTTCCGCTGCTGCATAGTCCTTTAGCTCGCGCTGGAGGTTGCCGTAATAAGGTAGCAGCGTGCGATGATAAAACTCGTAATATTCGTCAGCGCTATTGTCCAGAAGCGCTCCATGATCTTTGAAGAGATTCTCGATCGACTCCAGAGCGCTTTTGGGGTCCTTTGCAAGAAATTGGGATTCCACGAGACTGAATTTGAGTCGCCAATCGTTGGGTCGAAGCTTGATTGCTTCTCGCGTTCTTGGGATGGCCGCAAGAAAGTTGCCAGTGTCTATCAATGTTTCTGCCATGCACTTGTGCCATTGAGCTTGGTCGTCAGTGTCACTGATCGTTTCTTTGGCCCACTGCTCGATGCGCTAATTTCAGTTAGCATCACTAGGTTTTACTTCCAGACACTGTCCGCGACTCACCTCGACGTCGGCTGGAGTAACATCATCATACATATCTGGCGGCTGTTCACCTTTCTGTTTCAATGGCTTAGTGACTTCTGTTTCTGCTCAGTTGCATGCTCACAATCTTACCTGGTTATGATAGCCATACAGCCACCAGAACGCATCTAAGCTCAATCCACTCTGCTCATACCACTTTTGGGCCATGTATCTTGCCACGTTCACCAAGAGCTGAGTGGGACTAGTATTATCGCTGGTGGCAGAGATCACCCACTGTCGTTCCGAAGGCATGTCAAGGAGGCCACGCTGTACGACGGGGTCGCTGAGACATTTGAAGACAGGATCCAGACAGCTCGTCCCATACACCCAGTAGCTTCGCAAGAACATTCCCTCCTTCTCCCACCACGCTTCGATGAATTCTGGTTCGCGCAAGACTCTGACCAATTTACGCCCAACATCTTGCTTGGTCGCTATATCGATGTCGTCGTTGTTCGTGATCGCTCGCAGATGGTCCGCGAACCATTCATACGCATAAGTGCGGAACGACGCATATTCTTCGTCGTCAAATTTATCGCATATGGCCACAAGACATGCTTGAGCTAGTCGAACGTGACTGACGTTGAATGTTTCACGGTGGATGCGGACTGCCTGGTCTCCAAGCTTTGATTCGAAAAATGCTTCGAAGCCAAAGCGATCGTACAGATCCTCGCCTCCGAATATGTTGTTGAAGTGAGTTTTGAGCAAGCGTTTCACCAATGCGATCTCTCCCTCTTCGAGTGCAACGTGTTCAGAGGCATGCGGTTGGTGGTGAGCGCTACTATTATCGTTCGGTGCATCCTTATCTTCCTTGTCGAGGTACTCTCTAATGTCGTCAGATCTCATGCTGACCATCTTCTCGTCGTCCACGTCGAACAGGGCATAATACTTTTCTCTGATCTGCTTCTCCAGCGCGATGACGGTGAATGTATCGGCCTTCAGTCGCAATACAGACTCGCACTGCTCGACAGAGAGATCCGAAAAAGCCGTGATGACCCACATGAGCAAGTCATTCAGTTCGCGTATCTCATCTTTCCGCAGCGTGTCATTCAGGTGGTTGATCTCGCGAGCGATGGCCTGGCTTCTGGTCTCTCGGGCAAGACTGAGAACTTCTTCCACCTCACGAAAGTTCCGACTTTTGCTCAAACTGTCGAGTTTGTAGTCCAAAGCGAAATAGTCACCTTTGACACCAGTTCCGAGATCTATGCGAGCCCTCTCTTTGAGCTCAGTGATCTTATCCGCATTTCGCTCACTTTTGCTCGCAAAGATGTCCATATCGTCCAGTCTTGACTCTGCGTACAGAAGGATATCATCCTCATTCAACGACCTAACATCAGCAGGACCCGCGATTCTCAGCTGTGGGATATGACTTTCCACGTCGTCGCCCAGTGCATCCAACCCTGAAGCACGGCCGGTGAAGAATAATCGCACACGCAATTGTGCGTCCTTGTCCGGATTCATGATCTGCGTGATGATGGATGCCAAAGGCTTTCCAGCTTCAGATTCAGCCTCGTCGATGCCATCCAACACAATGTAAAATGTTGCGTCCAGATGCTTCGCCGCCTCGCCCACCAACTTCTGCCAGAGATCTGCTGTTCTTCCAAAGTCCTTGTTATTCCCGCAGGCCTTGGCCGCAAGCTTGAGATAGTCTCTGCTCACTGTGGTGGTGGAGGAAGCGAGTTGCCAGATGATGGCCTTCATGGCTTTGTTGATCGGACTCTTGTCCTGATTATCCCGGGCGAAGTAGTAGTACGCAACACATATGCGCGGGTTTTCGCGATGCTTGTCTTGCAGGTGCTTGACCACGATGCTACACAGAAAGCTCTTTCCGAATCCTTCGTCTGCCTTCACGCTGAACACATTGACATCAGGCTGCTTGGAATCCGCCCAGCGCGCGAACGACATGGAAGGCGCTTTGTACTCCAGTAGCCACTTGCCAGTTCCTTCGATATGCTTGCCCCAGAGCTCATCTTGCTTCTCGCTCCACGGCCGTTTGGTACTTTCGATGTTGAGTGCCTCGCGTAAAGTCTCGAGACGCTTGCGATCCTCATCCTCTGCCTTCCTTCGCTCCTCAGCAGTTTGCAAGAAGCCAAGTGATGAAGCGGCCTTCTCTTGGGCGTCTGCGATACTGTCCAATTTGCTGTTCAGAGAGCGGATATTCTTGGCAGCTTCGCTCATGTCTTTGAGAATGACGGTGATTTCTGTTTGGGTTTGATATGAAATCAACCTCTCCAACGTAGCCAATGCCTCCTTCACGCCATCGTCCTCGCCAAAAGCACCAATTTTCGCTGCAAGCTTGAATTTCGCTTTCCAACCTCGTGTGAGTTTGTGGGCCAGACCCATGATCATCAAAAAGTGCTCGAGCACTCGATATACTGTCAGGCGCAATCGTTTGTCCAGTTTCGTCTTTGCGTCTGTATCGCCAAGGTAGATGCGAAGTCTTTCGAGAAACACAGAAACGCGCTCCATGAGCGCAGTAATGTTATTGAACACATCGTCGTACTCCTGCACTGCGGATATGACAAAGCTGATAGCATTGAAGCACTGCTGGCTCGGGCCAAACACCATGCTCGCAGCGTTTGCAGCAATCTCGCCAAATCGTTGCACGCATACCAATGCGTTTTTGAATACCTCCTTCGCTTTGCCGGTGCTCTCTGCCGCCTTCTTGTCTTTGGGCGGGACAATCTTGCTGATAACTTGGTCAACTGTCAACGACCGCCGGTCGTTCAGGTCCCACTTTGTGATCTTGCTGCATCTTGAAATAATGTCTGCCCATACGGTGTCCAAATCATCCTCTTCGGACAGCATGGCCAGTCTGTTTGTGCGGTCAATGGGAGTGATGGGCGTGGCGGCGGACGCGCCGGAGAAGGGCGCCATCGCGTGCACGCCAGGTCTAGAGGAAAATGGGTGGGAAGGAAGTGGAAGAAGCAGAAGCATGTATACCTACTGTTGGTGATCTGCAGGATCACTGCACTAGCTGTGAAGCGGCCTCTTGTGATGTGCTTGTACGCCCACTTCCAACTGTGTGGCGCGCTCTAAGATGCAGCAATTCAGCCGCCCGAGAAGCGAGCTGAGGATGCTGCGAAGACATCTTGGACTGCGAAGGTTGTATGGTGCACTTTTGTTCGCTGCAGACTCTGGATTCATCGTATGGTCGAGGTCTTCGCTCTTCGAGGTCCGGCAAGTCAATGTCATTGTGTTGCAGTTGCACGTTGTGCAAAGGCGAAGTGTTTCGAAGGATTTGAGAAGGGGCGGCGGGCCGGTGGCTGGAGCGAGCCGCGCTATATATTCCACTTGTAGGGTTCGAGAACATGGAGAGTGTGGAGGAGCTGGACGAAGCTGCTCAGAAAATATAGGATGCCGCAGTCGAGAAGGACGAGAAATACAGGATGAGACATTGTCAATCTCAGCAGGCCGTTACTGTCGTTCATGTGCATTATGTATACAAGAAACAGGAAACACTGGAAGGACAGGGCAAGTCCAGATCCTCTGCCATTACAACAGGCTTTTCGCTCTTTCACTCTCGAGCATGACTTGCACACGTTTGCTCGAAATGGTCTGCCGTCTCTCGAAGTCCATCTACACATCCTCCTTGAACATGCTGCGTCGCTCTGTCGGACTGTCGTCTGTGCTGCCTTTCTTCTTGTGGGATGCCGCCACTTTCCCGCCTCCGTGATAGGATGTATCAGCATCAGGCCGAGGACTCATGCTGCGCATGCTGATGTTGCTCGCTTCCGCGTTGTCGCCGAATGGATTGAGGCGCGAACTGCCACCGTGTACCTCCTCATCGTATCGGTCGTCTAGCTCTCGTTGTCTCGACTTGCTTCGCCCTCTCCCAGCTTCAATGCCGCCGACTCCAATGTTGTTGTGCTCAGCGTAGCCGTGACCGCCGTAGGGTCCTTGAGCAGGATCTTGTAGGCCGAGTTCTTGCTCTTCGTAGTATCCTGACGCTTCGTGATCCACGCGCGCATCCCATGCCTCGTCTGGGTCCAGAGGTCCGAAGCCTCTTCGTCCTCCGCGTGTTGATTCACCACCATATCCGGTGCTCTCGTAGGCGCCTCCTGCCGTGCGCTTATTTCGCACCGCATTCCACTTATCAGTCACCCATCCCACGACTCCTCCTGCACGGGGCGCGGGCGCTCTATACGTCGCATCGTCTCGTCTCTTCGCGAATGGGTTCAGCGGTGGTGGTGGTAGACCTAGGCGGTTCGCTCGCCATCTCGTGTAGCTAGGGGGATACAATTAGCACTGCCGCCATGATGCCATCTGCTTGCAGCCTTACCCAATATAGCCTCCAGCACCTCCGATCACTAGGAGCACGAGGATGATGAGGAACACTCCCCAGCCTGATATCGCCATGGCCTATGTCCTTCCCATGCACCAATGCGCTCTGCTGGCGCTGCCTGAAGTTGGTCGGAAAGGTCCTCGTCGGTTCCGGGCTACAATTGCGGCGGCGGATCTGTCGCAGTATCGGGAATATTAATATGCACTTGTTGTATACGCATCAGGATTCAAAAGTGCAACGAGGAGATCAGGGTGCGAGGCTGAGTGAGCGGGCATGAGTAAGGCTGCAGGCGCATCCGTATTGAAGGCGCAGGTCGTTGGTTGTTGTCGATCCGCCGCACGGCAAGTGCAAGCGAGCTGACGTGCTGTTGATCTCGCTCATCAACTCTCAACAAAGCTCCAGCAGACACACGACGATGGCCACACTGTCGACGACCCATTTCCACAACCAGGAACATGGGCGCGTCGGAGTCCTCCGCCGCCCAGACTGAAGGTCACTTCGACGGCCGACCGGCGACCTTCTTCTACAAACCCGAAGACAGCGACGAAGAGGGCGGACTCGGTTACGTTGAAGGCTACAAAGTCTGTACGTATTGCTGTACAGATGGGAGTGCCTGACGATCATGGTTCTCACACAGTCATCGCCCGCCAGATCCTACCTCTCAATGGACTAAAATCTCCTCCAGAGACATCATCGCCTGCGTTCCGAAGCAAGGCGGCGCTGATGGCGATCACCATTTCATCTACGTAGAACAGAATCCAGGCACAGCGCAGGATTCCAAGGCATCGCCCGTCCTTTTCAGATATGCGACGCTCAACAATCCGCCTCAGCCGCTCGTAAAAGACTTCGTGGCCCCTGCCAATGGCGCCAATTGCTGGGAGTTCCGTCAAGACCGTGGTGATTTGCAGCCCCATTTTCACATCATTGTGTCGACTGGCTCGGGCACTGGTCTGGCTCCGGACGTCTGGAAGCAGCTTGTGAAACCAGCTGTCGACCTATTAAGCGTGGTAGAAGGCAAAGACTATGTGCTGCATCATACAACCTCGGAGAATAGCGTGTCCGACCTGACCCGAGATGTGCTCCTGCCTAACGCAAACCTTGGGGTCAGTCAGGGGATCTTACTCATGAGCGGAGACGGCGGCGTTGTCGACATTGTCAATACGTTGCTTTCTAGTCAGCGGAGCGAGAAGTACAAGAAGCCTAACATCTCACTTCTACCTCTTGGCACCGGAAACGCGCTGGCGAACAGTGCTGGTCTTGTACGAGATAACACTCTGGGTATCAAGGCATGGTTCCGCGGCGGCATGAAAGAGCTACCTCTGTTCCGCGCAAGCTTCTCGCCTGGCTCCCGACTGTTATTCGATGAAGCTCGCCAGGATCGTCCACTCCATGTGGAAGACGGCACCGCAGTGGCTTATGGATCAGTAGTCGCCTCGTGGGGTCTGCACGCCGGTCTTGTTGCCGATAGTGATACGACCGAGTTCCGCAAATTTGGTGTCGAACGCTTTAAGATGGCCGCAAAAGAAGCCCTAGCACCCAGCGACGGATCTCCGCCTCACATATACCAGGCCAATGTCTCCATACAGCGTCCCGGCCAACCCGAATGGCACCCTGTTCGTAGCGGTGAGCACGCGTACGTCCTTGCTACTTTATGCAATCAGCTTGAGAAGGGCTTCACGATCAGTCCGGCTTCGGCACCGCTAGATGGCAAGCTGCGACTCGTCCACTTCGGTCCCACGAGCGGTGAAGACGCAATGGCAATCATGAGCAAGGCATATCAAGGCGGCCAGCATGTGCATGACGAGCGTGTCGGATACGAAGAGATCGAAGCTTTGCGAATCGAATTCAACGAAGACGATGGTCGATGGAGACGAGTATGCATTGATGGCAAGATCATTCGAGTTGAAAAGAATGGCTGGGTCGAAGTTCGCCGTGGGCAGAGAGGTGTGGTAGATCTGATTGTTGACGAGGCGTGACGCAGGCGTTTCATTCGAAAACAAATCTGGCGTATGCTTTCTGGCCCGCATCCCACGTGGCTCTGTCTGCGTTGCGCAACGCACTTTCGAAGTCAACCGGCTCCTGCACCGAAAACAATCATCACTCCGAGCATTATACATGCAAAGCACAGCACTGCCAGCACGCCGGAAAGCATGGTACAGCGGTAAGGCTGAGTCGTCAAGTGCAGTCTCCAGCTCTCCACAATCCAGCGCCACAAACACTAAATGCATCCGGAGCCAGTTCCAGACAAATCACAACCAACGTGGCTTGCGGAGTCGCCTTTACACTGCAAGCCTCACACACCACATCTACGATACCAGATCCGATCTGGCAAAAGGACAACATCATCCCCCGCTATAACCAAATTCCAGCTCAGCCCTATGACCAACACCTTACCCAATTCGACCCTACTACCGCGCCACGTGCAAGCCATGCTGTTCTAGCATGCACCAGCTACCGCCTTTTCCCACCTGTAAGGAGTCTTGAGTCCTGGGCAGTGTTTGTGCTTTGCAGCTATAGTCTCGAGAGTTCAATGAGCTGTTGGCAACCGGCATGGCCGCGTTGCTTCTGCCACATGGCATGATGGCGTCTTGGTAAGTGGTCCAGGCTTTCGTGCAAGTGTATAACACTGATCCTGCACGCCCTTGTTGATCCTTTCCCTTCATCATCTCATAGCATACTCTCACTTCCTCAACCGATCACGAGCCCCCACGACTTCGGTGCGCTACAGCACTTCATCTCCTCACCTTCACAATGGAGTCCACACGAAATGCAGTCAGATCATTCCGTGCGTCAACAGCATTCATCACATTCGCGATCTCATACGTGAGTAAAGAGTCTCGCAGCGCAGCCATCTGGCCCAGACCACACACTGACCTTGTTCCCTTTTCTCAGGCAATCTTCACAGACCAATTCCTCTTCGCGGCGATCATACCTGTCTACCCTTACAGCCTCGAAGAACGCGTTGGAGTCTCAAAAGACCAAGTACAATTCTGGATAGCCATTCTGCTAGGCGTTTTTGGGCTCGCCAGCGTTGTCACATCGTTACCATGGGGCTGGTACACTGATCGAACGAAATCTCGCCGTGTGCCATTCATGGTCGGTCTTCTGGTTCTGCTTGGTTCGACTTTGATACTCTGGTTCGCTCGCACTGTTGCTGGCCACGTCGTAGGACGAGCTCTACAAGGTCTTGCGTCTGTCGTGGTCTGGACAAGTGGTTTGGCTGTGATGGTCGATACCGTCGGAAAAGAACACATTGGCGAATACGTCGGATATATTGGCATCGGCTTGAATGCTGGAAGTCTCATCGCACCCTTCCTTGGAGGAATCGTCTTCGCCAAATGCGGCTATCACGCCGTCTTCGGCTTGATCATCTCCATCGTCGTCCTCGACATCATCTTCCGACTCGTCATGATCGAGAAGAGATTTCGTCCCGATCCAGAGTTCTCTCTTTCAACGACACCCTGCGACATCACCCTCGAACTCGGCCACTCTGGCCAACTCCCCAGCGAGAAGAAATCCGCCCAAATTGCCATCGACCAACTCAGCCTCTCCTCCCAATTAACTCTCGTCCCCCACCCACAAACCAACGCAACCACAACACCAAATAAGACCTCCTCCATCCCCCCAATCTTCCGCCTCCTCGCCTCAATGCGCTTCCTCACATCCCTCTGGGGAATCTTCATCCTCGCCACAGTCTTCTCCGGCTTCCAAGCAACCCTCCCCCTCTTCGTCCACACAACCTTCTCCTGGACCTCCATCGGCTCCGGTCTAATCTTCATCCCCTTATCCCTCCCTTCCTTATTCGGACCCTACATCGGCTCCCTCTGCGACCGCCACGCGAATTCTTCGAGATGGTTCGCTGTAGCGGGATATATGACTTTTTGCGGAAGTTTAGTTTCTCTTCGATTCGTGGAGAAGAACACTATGGCTCATAAAATCATGCTTTGTGCGCTATTGTGTTGCGTGGGGAGTTGTATGGCTTTGATTTTGGAGCCTTTGTTCAAAGAAGTTACGGAACGTGCGGAGAGGTTGGAGAAGGCAGACGGTATTGCGAAAGCAGCGAGTGACGACGCGAAAGCTGGAGATTCAGAGACTTCGCCAGGTTATTATGGCTCCGCATACGCTTGGTTCAACATCGCGTGGTCATTTGGGAATTTCGTTGGACCGTTGATGGCGGGGATGATTATGGATCATGCGGGCTGGAAGACGATGACTTGGGCTTTGGGACTATTGGGAGGAGTCAGTGCTATTCCTATTGGGTTGTGGTGTGGTGGATGGTACTTTGCTTCTCCGTCTAACGACGAGAAGGAGTAAGGTCTTGTGGTGGCAAGTCGTTATTTGATAGCGTTCTGAGCGAAAAGCGTCACATCAGTCGAGCGTTGTATTTGTCAATCGAGAAAACCTTCATGTTCAATCTTGCCTCTTCCAGAGAAGTAAACACGGTACAGTTGAGCCTCACTGCCGTCCCAACTTTGTTGCCAATCTCCATCATGAGCAGGTTTTATGGCTTCCATCGGTAAGAACAGAAGTATGCATTTTTTCAGATCATCCATCTTCGAAAATTCGATAATTCAACAAACCGCCAACACCTCTTCCAAATTTCAAGCAAACGCCTCCAAACTCCACAAACATAATCAGAATCACCACAGATCCTAAATTCTCAGTTTCCAGCTCTCCTCACCCACATCTCACGACTTCTCCGTCATCCCACCACTTTCTTCCGATGTAACCCTAACCCTCCACCCAAGCATCATCCAGATACTGTCTCACGCAACAGCACAAGACACCACATCTCGAACTTCATCGACATCACATATGAAAAAGTCGAGATAAAAATTTGCAATGACCCCCATCAGCAAAAGAAAGTTTCCTTCAACTTTCATCCCATTTCCACGTCTCTCTACACCCCTCATCAAAGTCCTTCACATGTGTAGACAACTAGTTCACTTCAATTGATACAATCTCCCTTTCCCTTTTCGCTCCTCAAATTCATGAAAATGCCGATGCTCATCCTCAAAAAACGACTCTGTCAAAAACGCCATGCGATCCGGTTCCCGGACCATTAATCTAAATGTTCAGACGACAGACTTAAAAAAAAAACCAACACAAAAAGTAGAAAAGAAAGCTCGCCTCCGGGTCTCCTCTCGAGCCCGCTCTCTCGGAGGTCTTACACAATACACACGAATACAATATCCTCACTCCCTGCCTGTCGCGTGGAGCACTCGGCGAATCCCGTTGAAGGCTCAAGGGCGATGGCTTCATATCGTACCCACATGCCCATGTCCATGCCCATGATCCATCAACTGCACACTACAAGGCTCCTTATGATCTGGATTATGCACAGTGATAGCCTCGGGAGCAGGGGTAATGGCGTCTGTATCTGCCTGCTTCTCACTTTCCTGGACAGGTTCCACATAGACAGGAGGCGGTGCAGAACTCGACGATTCTCCACTATCGCCTCGTGATCTGTTACCTTCCCCAGGTAGCAGCGACGGCGAGGGCAGTGCGGATCCAGTAGGCGAAGGCTCCTTCAATTGCTCAGCGGCCGGGCTCGAAGAGCCAGCATGCTCGACATGTTGAGAGTGAGCCTTGTCGTCCGATTCGATCATGGCTGTCAAGGATTGAAAATTGAGCATAGGCTCGCCACCTGCTGCGGCAGCTCCAGATCGTGAACTTGTGCCGTCCATCTGAGCGCCGCCGGTACTCACGTCCAAGCCGCTCGCATTATGTGAAGAGAAGTTGGAGTTGGCTCCAGAGTCAACGAAAGAGGAAGCAGCGGACGATACTCCGGAGACGCCTGACAAGTCTCGAAAATGGTGCGTGGGACGCATTGGCGCAGGAACCGGGCTAGATTCCGACTCGAATCGCGCTCGCTGTGCTTCGAGATGCTGTTGTGCGCTTTCTGGCGCCGAGGACGCCGATGCAGGGTTGTTCAGTGTGGAGGAGGGTTCTGTCAAAGGATTGAATCCAGCAAAGTCCTGGGCGGGCTGTTTCCCTTTCCCTTGAATCTCTTCTTCAGGTATCGTTGGTTGTGCGCCCAGGTTGCTCGTTGAGCGAGCCATAGCACTCGTTCCAGCCCAACTGCTCGAGCTGTCGTTCGTCCCGACTTGGTACAACGAGCCACTTCGGCCACTCCTCTTAGCAGCTTTTTCCGCCTTCTTCTCATCCTTCTTGTCTGCCTTGGCCTTCTTCTTCGCATCTTTTGCGGCCTGTTTCTCCTCTCTTGCTTTTCGCTCCTCTTCCGCTTGCAGCGACAGCCGAATTGCTTCCATCATCATCAGATCTTCAAGATCTTCAACACGAGCTCTCCGCGAGCTGGTTCTGCCTCCAGCAATGTCGCTGCTGTCACCTTCTCGTGGGGTCCCACTTCCACTAGCGCTCGGACTGTCACCGAACAGTGTTCGTCGCCGCCTCCCAACGGCGAATCCAACTCTACCAGCTGCATCTCCTTGGTTGTTCAGCACGTAGGCTGCATTATGTAGCGCAGTAGCAGCAGCTGATCTCCTGAGCAAGTTTGCTCTTGCATCTGCAAGCTTCTTGGCCCAGTCCGGCCGGACTCTGTCCGTTGTGACCACATTTGGCGCATTCGCGGACAGAGATGTAGCTCTACGACGCCCTGTCTGCGCTTGCAGTGATGTGGATGATGACATAGCTGAAGCGTGCGGCTTCAAGCTCCCGTTCGGTTGATTTGCGTAAGCCAGACCTCTTCGGAAAGACGGTGGCTCGTAAGTCACACCGAACTGTGGTGTCACGCAGAACGGACATGCTGCTTCTTCCGACACCAGTTGTTCTGCTTCTTCCTCTGGCGGCCGCTGCTGGCCCGGCTGCTCATGCTCCGGTGGATGCGGATCCGGTCGCTTGATCTGGACGAAGCACTCCGAACAAATGGGCTGGTCGCAGCATCGAGTGTGGTTCAGGTAGGGAGGATAGTACATGAAGCAAATGGGACATTCGAGGACATCCTTGTAGAGGTAAGCTTCAAGCGGTTGGCCATTAACGTTGGGATCGTTCGGCAGCTTCACTTCTTGAGGGGTCGAATCTGGTGATTGACTTTTGTTCCCGCTCGCGAGAGATGCGAGCGTCTTAGCACGCCCTCGGAGCAGTGACGTGCCTTGGCCGGTGGGAGAGGAGGGACCAGAATTCGTCGAGAATGCCGGATGTGACGCTGATAAGGACGTCGATCTGTCCGACTGATATGACTGTGATCGGCCTGTGATGGGGACTGTCAAGCTGTTGACGTTGATTTCGGACGAGCGCGCATCGTTGGAGGCCTGCGAAGTGCTTCTTGCCATCTCTGCAGGCACTTCATCTGCAGCGGGGATCGGCAGTCCTCGTGCAGCTGCAACCAGCTGTGCTTCTGTCCATGAGTCGGAGTGATCATCGAGTCCCTTCCAGAACGGAGCCAGTCTCCGCTCAATCTGCAGCTGTCTCACGACCTGCTTGTTGAAGTCCTCGACGCCGACGTACACGCCCAATGTCACCAAATACCCGCCATCAACATGCTCTTCCCGCATACTGCGTTCCCGCTCTTTGATCCGCGCCTGCCGTTCGCGTTCTGCCCGTCGTGCTTCCCGCTCCTGCTTCGTCTCCCGGGGACGGTCTGCCTGTGCAGAATCGGCCTCATCTCGATCTCCCCGCACTATCCGAAGGAGGGATAGATTATTGCTGCTGCCCCGCGCGCTCGTGTTGCCATTACTTCGAACATATACTCGCCCGGCGGATCGTTCTGTCGAAGCTTGCTGTGAAGGTGGCGCCGTGGCGCTGGCATTTTGTCTGTCGCCAGCCGGTCTCCCGGCCTTGCGCTCGTCTTTGGATGAGCTGTTGCCCATGATGAAGTGACCGGAACTCCGCGCTTGCCGTTCTCAGCGCAGCATCCAGTTGATATTCGCGGGGCGCATTGGGCTGTCACCGGGATGGGTGCGGTCGTGGTGAATAGCTCGCCCGGGCAAGCAGAGTAGCACGGCGGTGGCCAAGGCAGCCGTTTGGTAGTTCCCTGTCGGTCGAGGTTTAGAGCACGTGAGGTGGGCAGCACGACGCGGTGAATGGTGTTTCGTTGTGGTATATGAGGGGCGATGCCGGCCGGTGGTGTTTCAGTGAGAGCGATACACGGCGCACTAAGTTGTCGGCCAAGGATGGTGGGAGTGGGGGAAAGAATGGTCCGTAACCATGCGAAGTTGGCAGAAGTGTTTTCGATGTCGTCGTCGTGGTTGTTGGGCCGCGAAGATCTCATAAGCCGCCGGACACGTCGGAGTCGCAGCAGCAGCAACAGCAGCAGCACAGCAGCCGCATAGTCACCTCTGGCGTCATGCATGCAGCGACGACCTCCGCTAAACCAGAGCTTCGTCAGCGACAAGCTCGACACCTGCACGTGAAAATGCTACTGTCCCCATCCTGTTTCACAGTGCTGCGATGGTCGGGACGGCAAACACTTCATCAGACAGCATGGGAATGCCCAACAGAGCCGCAGAGCGCGCATGGCGGCACTCGCGCGAGCAATATGCGTTTCGTCTGGTCATCTTTAACACAAATCATCGATAGCCACCATGCTTCATGTCAGCGTGAGCCGCCTGTCTATACAACCATTCAAACTCTCCCCACCTCCATGTACGGACTCCATGCTATACCCGGCCCTGATAGATCGGGGTTTAAAATTTTCAATGCGCCAAAATATGCACCAGAAATCATCCCATCATCAACATTCGCATACCACATGATGACATCGATATGTCTCGCATCGCAGCAGTTCTCGCTAGCGAAGAGCCAGAGTTGCATCATTGGGGTAGGGTATCTCATGTGGCGGCGGAGATGCAGCAGGGGTGAATGGGGCATCCGCGGCAACTTCGGGCTGCAAAAGTCGTCCATCATCTTGCTTTCTTGCGCGCTTGTTCACAAAGCCTGCGCCCGGACTATCCCAACAAAAGTCCAGATATTCGTCGAGATGCTCTTGGATGCCATCTGCCAGAATCTGCACTGCTCGTCGTCGATTGATGCTCCATTCGTGGTCGCGACTCCATCGTCCCGCGAGACGAGCAGTTTCGGCGCCGTTCTCGAGCCCATCCAAGATACTACGCCACACGCGCATCGTCTTGTCGAGCTCGCTTGCCTTACTGACGCCCATGACCGACACTCCCAATCGATTCCCTCCAACCTGCTCATTCGACTCACGCTGCCACGGCACTCCCGAAGCAGGATCACCTCTCGATCCCACCTCCGCCCCAATCTTCAACCAACTCTCCAACGCATACCGAATAGCAACAACCTCCATCCTCTCATCATATCGATCACAAAAATCACTCGCCCTCTTCACAGCCGCCCTCATTCCATCGCTCGCAGGATGCCAATCCCCCATACTCCCCAACGGCACACCCTCCCTCCTCAACAACCCCATCCCCAGCGGCGACGCATTCGGCACAACATCCACCCCCGCCTCCCTCAACTCCTTCATCCCCTGCGTAGCCAACAACTGATTCTGCAACGTAAAATTCGCATACGACATCACCGCATCCAACGGCTCCCCAGTCTCTCTGAGCACCCTCTTCGCAATCCCACAAAGCACAGGAAGCGGGTATCCCGAAATTCCAATATATTTAATCGTCCCTTCCTCATCTCTTATCCTCCTCAACTCTCTAATTGCCTCCATCGCCTCATCCTCACTCACAAATTCCACATCGTGACAATATACCAAATCCAAATACTCGCTCTTTAGTCTCTTCAAACTTCGTTGTATACTCTGATAAACCCATTCTTTCGAATAATCGAATTCATCGCTCGCGATCCGTCCGACTTTCGTAATGAGGAAGAAGTCTTGTCGAGGGAAATTCTCGCGTACGAAGGAGGAGTCGAGTGCGGAGCCGAGAATTTCTTCGGATGGGCCGTAGTAGGGCGAGGTGTCGAAGGCGCGGATGCCGTATTCGAGTGCTTTGTGGACGAGGCCTGTGGTGTCGAGTTCGTAGGGGTCGGGATTGTATTGGTAGTTGAAGGTTGCGGTGCCGAAGATGAGTGGGGGGAGGACGTCGGAGAGGCGTTGTCGCGACGAGGTTTGGAGGGTGGTCATTTTTGTGGTCGCGTCGCGGAGTGGAGAAGTAGGTTGGAGAGAGAGAGGAAGGAGGGCCGGGCACTTTCTTTGAGTAAATGTGTATGCGCGCGATCGCGCGGCGTTTTACGCCCGTCGCGAGAATGGAGTTGTTCTAGCTCGGTAACTAGAGAGAAACTGGCGTCTCGAACGGTGATGATACGCGGTACTTGCACGCGTGCCAATGGAGGACGGGAGACGAGACCAAGCAAGTAAAATCCACCTTCCTCTTTCAAACCGCAACAATGATTCTCATCGCATAGTCAGAATATTCTGACAGAAGAGAAGAAGAAGAACCACATCAAACATCTTCGGCTATCTCAGTCACGCAATACCGTAAATAGTAGTGCAGGTTGTAGTAATGCAAATCCCAAATCAGCTCCAAGATCAACAACAACAATCTTGAAGTCATCGAAGCCAAAAACGTGCTTGCGCCGGGGGTCAACCAATTCTAAAATCCGAGAGCAAGAAAATCGTCCGATACGCTCACGCTTCAGCCTTCCTCATCCCCCCGCCAGGCTGCAAGAGCATTAGTCAGTTCCAGCGTAGCTTGTTCGGCAAGATAGTACGACCGGTTCTGCCACTTCGTACGGAAGAGAAACTCCTGTTCTGCTATGATAGCTCTCGGAAGGAACGAAAGCTGTGCGATGCACGTTCCGCGCACCCGTTACTGATAGGTGCCGACAACGACGCAAAGGAACAACGACCCGACGAACCGCTGTCAAAGTTCTTCACCTCCCTCTTCTGCAACTCTGCACAGCTGCACAGCAATCTGCAAATCTGCAAGCAGCTGCACTGTGCACAAGTCTCTGCAACTTCTATGACGAGTCTCCACAGCAAGGATCGAAATCTAGATTCGGGCCGGGTTATCGCAGTCCACTTCCGGTGCATCTGGCTTCTAGCTTTTCTAGAAGGTTGGCAGGGCAAATTTTCATTGGTAAGAGCGGCAATTGCGTGATCTTGGTTCCTTCATAAGATCGGCTAAAGTGGACATTTTATGTGTACGCTTCACACTTTACATGTGGAGGGAAGTGGTTGGATTTCTTGATATAAAGCAGATGCAGATGCCTTTGCAGGTAAGTTAGGATCGAGAAGACATGAAAGGAGAATTTGGTTTATATCATCAGCCAAATGCATACTTTGTTGCTCGAAATAGCCACTGCTACGATCCATATCGACTGACAGCAGGATGGAAAATTATCGAGATGTTATGCAATGCAATACCTACATGAAATCTATATCCTCGATTGTTCCCTTCCTCGCAGCCTCTTCCAATTTCCATAAGATCTTCTTCTGTGCCTCGTCTTCATCCCGCATAAATTCATCCACCACTCGTTGCACCGCATCCTGCACAGGCATAGCTTTCGCGAATAATTCCTCCAGCAGTCCACTTTCAGCCACCACAATCTCTCTCAGTCGCGAGACTGACACAGCATTTCGCGATGCGAACAATCCCCACCAATTCTCGTAACTCTCCATCTCAGGTCCAAGGCGCTTGAACAGAGAGAAGAGAGTAGAGGAGAGATTTCTGTAGTGATGCTCTGCGCGCGTAACGACTTCGAGAGTCCAGTTTGCAGAAAGGCGCATGATGCTGAGGGGCTCAGCGTGGGCGTAGTGAGAGCTTTTGATAAGTTCGGTTTCCAGCTTCCCGATACGCCCGAGGAGTTCTTGAATCGCGAGCTTGGTCTCTCCGGCAGAGAATACGAGGTTTTCGAGGTAAGGGAGTTGGTGCATAATAAAATTATCATAGTGTGACAGGAGTTGATAGTTGAGTGTCTCATCGGATTTGAAAGGTATGTTGTTATTGAGAAGTTCTGTGGACCAAGTGTTGAAGTCGGAATGTGCTGGTATTGCCGTTCGGAGTTGCTCGATTGAGGAGCTGAAGTCTGCTATGCCATGTACATTCCATATCAAACTCGACTGTCGATATTCGTTGTCTTTGGTACTGAATTGCTCGACTAGCTTGAAGGCTGTCGAACTACTCTTCCTTAGAGCATCGACGTTCGTTCCGGGCAGGTCGTTCTGGATCGCTGGAAGGATGGTAGAAAGGTTCGTCTTGATCATGAAAAGAGGCATGCTGAGGAATGCGAGCGAAGGAGAAATCTCATTCAATTTCAGTAGCTGGTCGAATGTGGTCGTCAACGGAGTTTTGCCCACTGGAACGGAAGGCAGGACTGGTGTGGATGGCTTCGTCCAGGGATGATCGCAGAGTCCGGAGCCTTGTGGCAGAATGTTCTTCTGGCAGAGGGACTGCATGCCAAACAAGCTGATCTTGCTGAGAATGACTAGCACCGGTGCAGAGAGCAGGATGAAGCCCACGATACCAAGTGCAAGTTTCGATGCTGAATTAAGCTTGTCCAGGGCATTTAGGATGAAGCCTCTCCTGGTTCCAGGCTGCTGTGGGCGATCCGCAAAGCGTATGTGTCTGGGTGGATGCGAGCTTTCACCGTGGTCGAAGTTTCCATGATCGAACCAGCCATGCGTCTTGTACCGCTTCCGTGGCTGCTTCTGCTGCGTGTACTCTGCCGCCATGTCTTTCAGAACGACAATGGGCAAGAAGCAGTATGGCCTGTCTGAAATTACATGAGAATAGAAAGATTATCATGGAAAACATAGTCATGAAAGTGATTTGCCTGTGTTTGAGTCAGTCCTTTGTTCGTGCCTACCTTCACTTCCATATCCGGACACTGTCGCTGAGACACGCGAACCAAGTGATACCAGTCAGTTCCGCGAGTGTTACGCTTTCTATACAATTTCGCAGTCTGCACACGAGGGCCTGGGTATGTGGAAGCAGTGCGCGCGAGTCTCTTCATCGCTCTCTCGTCAAGTCATGCTGAAGGCAGCGCTAGAAGAATCCGCTGCTGACCGCCGCCCTCCGCATCCGGCGAGACTGACGTCCGCGACAGGAATGCGGTTGCCGAGCTGTGACCTTGGAAATATGATGCTCCACTACGTGCTGTAACAGCACGAACGATGAAAGGGCTCAGGTGTTGTCTCAGTGACGTGCCATCCAATGTGCCCCGGGGCAAGGAAGAGACGGTGATGTCGGTCGGGAGCATTTGAAGGAAGACAATCAAAATTTGATGAAGAATTGGCGGGGCAAACTTCACCTCGCCCAGACTTGGCCCAAGCTCACACCACACCAAATGCCACAACGCAGTATGCTACAAGATACAGGAGACTGCACCGGCCACTAAAAGAGCTCTAAAAGCAGCGAGAGAGATGTGGTAAGCAAGCGAGGCACACAGAATGACGTGGTCTCGCATCTTGGCTGATCTCGTTCCTTGAGATAAAAGTATATATTTTATTCACATCACTCAACCAACAACACCGGGCTTGTAGCACAGTGGTAGCGCGCACGCTTTGCATGACCAACTTGGTCGACAGTTCTGCGTGAGGTCTAGGGTTCGATCCCCTACTGGTAGGTCTCCATTGCATTCTAAATGGTACACTTGTATAAAGTCTAACATTGTCTGAAGGTCCATACCATAACCTCAATTCCTTGGGCTCAATACCCTTGAATGCGATCTTTTTGTGTTTTTGCCTTGCTATGTGTGTATGTAGGGATGGAAGGCAAGTACTTTTGCCTCACGATACTTCTCTTACACAGCGCATGTCGTGGACATGCACGCTTTTTTGGTAAGTGGCCTGTCGTGCCCGAAAAAGCAGAACACAGCTAATAAGCATTGCTCTCCCATCAAAAAGGTTCAAGCCCACCCATATAAATTGTCATTTCATTCCATGCCTCATTGCCTTTTCCCATTCGCTACTCTGGTACATATACATCTACAACTTCGGAAAAGCAGTCGGCACCTTCCCACCCATCTCCACCAAAGTACTCTTATTCTGCACCCAATTATCCAACCCTCTCCTCCCATTCTCCACTCCCAAACCACTCAACTTCCATCCTCCCACCGGCATCTCCGCCGGCGATTCACCCCACGTATTAATCCATGTAATACCAGCTTCAATTTGTCCAACAACCTTATGAGCGAGGTCAATATTCTTGCTAAAAACACCAGCGGCAAGACCCATTTTGGTATTATTCGCTCGTGAGATGAGATTGGAAAGCCAGTCGTTTGAAAAGTCATCGTATGGAAGGATACACATGACAGGACCGAAGATTTCGTCTGTGGTTATGAGCATGTCGTCTGTGCAGTCTGTGAAAACTGTAGGTTTGACCCAGAAGCCATTTGGAGAGGCGTTTTCGGGTTTGCCGAGACCGCCGTAGAGGAGTTTGGCCTTGTCGCTTTCGATGCCGTGTTTGATGTATTGGTTGACTTTCTTGTAGTGTGTTTCGCTGACAAGAGGGCCGAAGTTGGTGTTTTCGCTGAAGAGATCGCCTGCTCGGATGTTGCCCATTTGCTCCAAAAGAACCTTTTCGAATTTGCTCTTCATGGATTTAGGGACGAAGACTCTTGTGCCGTTTGTGCAGACTTGACCAGTTGAGAAGAAGTTGGACATCATGGCACCATTGACAGCATCTTCGACGTCTGCATCTGGCAGGATAACGCATGGAGATTTGCCTCCAAGCTCCATTGTCACATACTTCATGCCGCCCGAGGCCGAACCAGCGACCTTCATACCCGTGCTGACTTGTCCAGTGAAAGAGACCTTCTTGATCGCAGGGTGGCCGGAAAGCATAGCGCCGACATCGCCGGCTCCTTGCACCACATTGAAAACTCCAGGAGGCACACCGGCTTCTGTGTAAATTTCTGCAAGCTGCAGAGCGTGTAGTGGAGTGAACTCCGAAGGCTTGTACACCATGCAGTTTCCTGCTGCCAGACACGGTGCAGATTTCCACAGGGCAATCTGAATAGGATAATTCCATGCGCCAATCCCAGCACATACTCCCAGTGGTGCTTTCGTTGTGTAGATCCAAGCATCTGGTCGAAGAGTTGTGGTCTCTCCATTGAGGCCTCCAGAGGCGATCAAGTTTGCGTAGTATTCCAGCACATCGGCTCCTGTGACTACATCTACAACGCTGGTCTCTGAAAAGGCCTTTCCGGTATCGTGAGTCTCGATTTTGGCCAGCTCATCGTTCCGTTGCCTCAGAAGTGCTACTGCTCGAAGAAGAATACGAGAGCGCTCCATCGGGGACATTGCCGACCATGTTGGAAAGGCATTTTGCGCAGACTTGATCGCCGCATCCACCGATGCATTGTCTGCTTTGCAAATGTTCGCTATCGGCTTTCCAGTTGAAGGATCTATGGATTGGAAAGTCTCGCCGGTGGTCTGTCGCTTGCCTCCATAGTAGAGGGACTGTTGCTCGTACTGGATCGACGCCATGGTGTGAGGTTACAGCGGTGCTGCCAGGTATGCTTTGGTTGAGTGTTTTGGACTCTACACCACGGGGGATCGAATGCACAAGAGAAGCGATGCGATACGATTGCTAGCAAGTGAAGATACGACAGATGGCAGACTAGCTCGAATGCAGCAAGGGCTCCCGATCACCTGGAGAGGTGGGACCGGGTTCGCGTTCGTGCAAAAAGCTTGGATGCAGAGACTAATGCTCGATTGCGCAGATTGGCGGGCCTAGTCGCTGGCAGAAAAGATTTTTGAGGCGAGTGGATGGCGGTTACCGAAGGCTGGACATGAACAGCGAGATGCAGCAGCAGCAGCGACGAGCAGCACCAGCAACGGCAGCAGCAGTGTGGCGAGGCTGGGATCCGCGCGGCACAAGAAGGTGAGGTCGGCCATTGACTTTCGGCAAAGCGATGGGCGGCGGTGAAAGGTGTGAGACTCACTCAATCTGGCACGACGACCGCTCCAGCTGAGGTCATGGCCAATGGAACAGACATCTGTGCGGTCAGAAAATCCATGGCACCCTAACTTAGACATCTGACGTATACACTGCCCGCTAGCCAGCGTCTCGCCGACTTCCATCCGCAGCCCTCGCACGTTTGGCGCAGGCCGTGGGAAGCGAAGGAAGCCATCCCGAGAGCTCTAGTGCTGCACATCGACCGTGTTGCGAGATGCGTCGCGTGAGTATCCATGATCCCGACTGATCCAGAGGCAGAAGAGGCGCGGCGGGAGAGGCCGCGCGACAACCATAAGACTCGCGGTCAGCGGGTGGAGCCCTCTTGTATCGCTGGGAGAGGGTCGTGAGGATTTTACATTAAAACTACGGGAGCTTGGCCTTTGCCCTCTGCCTCTTTCTTCCTCAGTCTGCACCAGCCTCGCTCCTCCCCCTCTCATTGTTCAGTACGTAGTCCACTCGTACGTCTCTCGGGTGTATCGGTCTTTGCTTCAGAACAAAGAACCAGGCTTATCTACATTCCTCCCATACACCGATAAAGCATACAGTCGACTATCAATATGAGCGCCAGCGGCACCACCAACGAGCTGAACGCCCAGGACGTCAACAGCTATGACTTTATTATCGTGGGCGGAGGCACGGCGGGCTGTGTCGTTGCTGCGCGTCTGTCCGAGTACCTGCCCAACAAGAAAGTCCTGTTGATCGAGGCCGGCCCTTCGGATTTCATGGATGATCGCGTGCTTCTGCTCAAGGAATGGCTGAAGCTGCTGGGCGGCGAGCTCGACTACGACTACCCAACAACCGAGCAACCACACGGAAACTCTCACATTCGGCACTCACGCGCCAAGGTTTTGGGAGGCTGCTCCAGCCACAACACCCTGATCAGCTTCCGACCTTTCGAGCACGACTGCCAGCGCTGGGTTGCCCAGGGCTGCAAGGGATGGGACTTCAAGACTTTCACTCGCGTTCTTGACAACCTCAAGAATACTGTACAGCCTGTGCACGAGAGGCACCGAAACCAGCTGACAAAGGATTGGATTGAGACTGGAGCCAAGGCTTTGAACCTTCCAGTTGTCCACGACTACAACAAGGAGATTCGATCGACTGGCGCTCTCCACCCAGGTATTGGTTTCTTGTCTGTCTCATACAACCCAGATGACGGCCGCCGAAGCAGTGCAAGTGTGGCGTACATCCACCCAATCCTTCGCGGAGATGAGAGGAGACCAAACTTGACTATCCTCACAAATGCATGGGTCAGCAAAGTCAACGTTCAAGGCACCAAAGTCACCGGCGTGAACGTGACACAGCAAGATGGAAAGAAGCACATCCTGACAGCGAAGTCTGAGACCATTCTCAGTGCAGGTGCAGTCGACACTCCTCGTCTGCTCATGCTTTCTGGTCTGGGACCCAAGGACCAACTCAACAATCTCGGAATCAATGTGATCAAGGATCTCCCAGGTGTCGGCGAGAACCTGCTCGACCACCCAGAATCCATCATCATGTGGGAACTCAACAAGGAAGTCGACCACAACATGACAGTCATGGACTCCGACGCAGCCATCTTCCTCCGCCGCGAACGACCAAACGCCGCAGGCAACGACGGCGACATCATCGACATCATGGCCCACTGCTACCAAGTTCCATTCGTCTACAACACCGAACGTCTCGGCTACGACGTCCCAAAGGAAGCCTTCTGCGTAACACCCAACATCCCTCGCCCACGATCCCGAGGAAAACTCTACCTCACCAGCGCCGACCCCTCAGTCAAGCCCGCTCTCGACTTCCGCTACTTCTCCGACCCAGAAGGCTACGACGCAGCCACAATCGTCGAAGGTCTAAAAGCCGCCCGCAAAATCGCCGAACAAGCTCCTTTCAAAGACTGGATCAAGCGAGAAATCGCCCCTGGACCTGCGATCCAATCTGACGAGGACTTGTCTGAGTATGGTCGTCGTGTAGCTCACACTGTCTACCACCCTGCTGGAACGACAAAGATGGGTGATGTCAAAACCAACCACATGGCAGTCGTTGATCCAGAACTTAAGATTCGTGGTCTTCAGGGTGTGCGTATTGCGGATGCTGGTGTTTTCCCAGAGATGCCATCTATCAACCCTATGTTGACTGTTCTTGCTATTGGAGAGCGTTGCGCTGAGATGATCGCTCAGCAGCATGGCTGGACTGGATTGGAGAGGGCGAGGTTGTAAGCAAAGTGCCCTTCTTCACGAAGAAGGTGTGAGGACCGGAGGAATGTTGGATGCCGGATGTGAGATACGATGATTATGCGATTTTGAACAGCCATGGCGTTCTTCTTTGGGATAAGAGGTGGAGAAAGATGTACAAGAGCAATCTTTGTTGTTGCGATACCCCACAGGTAGTAGGACACTTTACACATAGGCGCGCATTTAAAGTTGACCTTTTACTACCATAGTCGTGTAGATCAACTTGCACGAATGAATGCATTTGCTATGGCAGAATTGCATCTCACACCAAGTCAATGTCATGGACAGCTCTGTTCCCGCAGCGATATCGATGACTAAAGATGAAAAAGAGGCAAAAAAAAAAAAAGAAAACG